AACACAACAACCTCCGTAACACCTAGCCGATTAAACTACTTGAATATTTAAGTAATCAATCACTTCATTATAGGTATAATTGTTATAGGACGCTAAAAGTCACAAGTCACCTCGTACTTTCCCCAGTCGAAATAAGCACTAGTAGACTAAAACAAACTGTCAGCTTCACTTGACGAATATTCTGTTATCTACAGGTTGTAAAGTATATACCTCGGAAAATATTCTATTCTCTAATTTCTATTAGGCGGGATATTGATGATGTCGGAATTTTAAGATAATCTCTCATTTTATAAATATATATTTGATTTTATATCTATCTCCTTGATGTTCTTAGCATCTTTTAAACTTATATTCTATAACAAGCATAGATATAGTGATTTATACTTAAGATTATCCGTTCTGTATTTAGATTTTTAGGATTACTGTTTAATTTTAGCAAGCACTATAATATCTATATTTAAAATAGTTGTCTGAATTCATAACAAATATAAGATACTAGTCCTGGGTTTATTACTTGATTCATTAAAATTTATCTGTTAATTACCAAGCTTGTAACTCAAATGATATATCTGTGAGATCTTTAATTTATGAACTTTTAGTAATTATACCTTTCAATAGATTATTAATTTTTGTATAGCTAATAAGAAAGTATATTATTCTTTAATAATTCAAAGAATTATAAAATATAAAGGAAATAATTCAGTATCAGTAGTGATTGTATATCCTTGAATATAACTATTAGCTAAATAACTAGAGAAAAAAAGTAGAAAAACTTAGAAATTAATTTCATAGTTCCAAATTTACTTAAAGTATTACATAGAAATTATGACCAAATATAGATCACTTTTTTTCTAATAAAATTAATCAACTAAAAAAAAACTATTTATTATTTAAATTACTAAAGTAAAGAAAAAAGAGATGAGGATTTACTTTAAGGTGGTTTCCTAAGCTGTAACTATGTAGTACTATCTAATAATATTCCATCAAGTATTTAATTATTGAGTTATTTCATTAATCTTGAGAAGATAGCTTTCTAATATAGAATATTTCAAAGACAACTTTCCAATAAATAATATATTGATTCATATAATTATATCTTAAAATCCTATTCTTAATGGAAAATCGTGGCTAGGAAGATTGTTGATAAAGTCACCCCTATTTACAGGAATAAGACCCATATTTATTAGCCTATATAAAATAAAGAGAATACCACCAAGTGAGTACAAAATATAGAGGATACGTTGAAACAAAAATGATTTATTAGTAATATTTTGCAATGGTAGGAAATGCTGCTGTACTGAGAATAAGATTTTAATTGAATTAGTTAATGCATAACCAATTATTAGTATACCAAAAATACCTGCATTATTCCCACTCATATATATCATAAAAAAGGTCATTCCCATAGTTTTCAAGGGAATTAATGCAGTACTCCATGCTTTGTTGTTAATATCACTAAGGTTTAAAGTTGAACGAATTTCTAGTGAACTATTTGAATTTTGAATATCTTCATAACAACCAACCAGATTAGTTTGGTACCCTCTATTTCTGTCATTGTTGCGTACACTTTGTGAAAAGCTCCACTTATGATTTACTGGAGTTGGCCTCATATTTAAAAAGCTTATAAGATCTATCAAATTTAAGGAATCTTGCCAGAGAAGTTATAGTCAGTTTATTGGAGGCACTAGTGGCGGGAGCGTGAGGGACTAATACGTTTTTTTGTGCCTTAGATGTGCGTTTAACAAAAGTTTACATTTTCTATTTACCTTAATTCAGTTGATACAAATCCCATTAATTGGTTTTTTTGTCTTAAATAATATTTACTAACTAAGACTTATAATCTAGTGGGACTTAACTTTAAGATGCCTATTTGAGGCTATTTATACTGAGTGTGGCAAAATTACTTGAACTCAAGAAGTGAAATTAAGATCAGTTGTACTATTACTTCAGTAGCTAATAATGAGTTCTCGCAATAAAAAACTTGAAAAAGCTATCGAAGTTGGTATTGAAAGGCTACGTATTTCACTTCAAGATAAGGAACATGCAATCCAAGAACGTTACTTAGAATTGCAAGAGTATGAATATGGACTTAAACAAAGAGAATCTGACTTGTTAGAATTTAGAAGAGTTTTGGAACAAGAGAAAAGGAGTAATGAGTATTTGCGCATTGTGAATAGTAAGGCAGAAACTATCTTTAACAATGCTATGAAGACGTTAAAAAATAAAGAAAAACAGCTTGTTGAAGGGCTGGAAAAGATATGTGAAGAATTTAATATAACTAATTCTATTAATGAAGAGGTTATTGATGTTACATCTAGAATTGAATTGATTAAGATATTTATAAGAAATTTGGTAAATAAGGAAAGTGAGACTATGAAACTTTTAAAAGAATATAAGGAAGAGAAATTTGGAATTTCATGTGGAAGATGTAGGTGTGGGTATCCCATGTTTAATTTAGGAGATGAATTTATTGTAACAGAAACATATAAAAGTCCTAATAATTCAGATTCTGTAGAAATGGAGTTTAGATATATGGAATTGGATTGGGAAAGAAGGGCTATTGAACATACAAAGGAAAGTCTAAGACTCCAGAAACTGAAGCAAAATGAAATAATAAAAAGTAAAGAAGAGAAGTTATTATCTAAACAGGAAGAGCTTGAGGCAAGGTTACGTGAGGTTAAAAGGATGGAATACTTACTTACAAGAAGACTGAATAATGGGAAAAAGAGATTTAGTTGTCCTAACAACTCTGATTTACCTTCAGGAGATCAACATCAAGGGTTAAAATCTACTATAATTGAGCGAAGAGAAAATAATAAACAAAATTTTAATGAACAATATTTAGATTCTAATAATAAGTCTCCTGATTTACTTATTGTAGATCCAAGTAATACTTTTCAAAAATTAAATCAAAATTGTGAAGTAGAAGAATCAGAATTATACTCCCTAACTCCTAGTGATAATAATTTATCACCATTTATTAATAAAAGAGATTCATCTATTGGAGGATTCTCTGATATATACATAGACTGCTACAATACATTTCCAATTAATACTGAAACTAATTTTAATGAAACATCCAAATCACCTTTGAATTATATTACTACTCCTCATAGAGAAAGTTATTTGTCATCTGCTAGAGAGTCAATAGGAAGTGGGGTTATACCACCAAGAATGTCACCTTTGCTTAAACATCAAAGACGTCGTTTAAAGGAGCTTTTATGTGATACAAATGATATCTCTTCATTTTTAAATGAAGATATTGAGAATATATCTTACAAAAACAATGAGATCAAAGAATCTCAAGATATAGAATAAAGAGTAAATTATAAAGGTACTAGCAAATATATTCCATTATGAATAGCCTAGTATAGTTAAACTAATAAATATTTGTTCTTTGTTACAATAGAATTAAAAGTTCTGTATAGTTTGTAGTTTTTATTTTTATCACTTACAAAGAATGGTCTTGATTTATATTAATAGGTGCATTAATACCAATAAAGCAAATTTGTAGGTAGTAGTCTACCAAATATACAAATCACTTAGTATCTGGATCAACTTTATTATCATCTGAATATGATATATTCACAGATGAACTTGATTTATCATCAGAAGTACTCTGTTTACTTTGATAATCCTTGATAGCAAGATGAACAGCATCTTCAGCTAATAGGGAACAGTGTAGCTTGACTGGAGGTAAATTTAAATAATTAGCTATATCAGTATTCTTAATTTTTAATGCATCCTCCGGAGTTTTACCTTTAATTAATTCTGTAACATAAGATGAACTTGCAATTGCCGATCCACATCCAAATGTCTTGAATTTAGCATCACGAATTACCCCATCTTCAATGGAAACTTGCAGTTTCACAACATCCCCGCAGGCTGCTTTACCTACGACTGCAGTTCCCACATTTTTCTTATCACTTGGAAGGGTACCAACATTTCTAGGATTACGGAAGTGATCATGTACAGCCTCACTATACATTGCCTTCTGGGCTATTAGTGATAAATGCTGCTTGCATCTAGTTATGCAGTTACGCACCGCTATCATCATAGATTTAACTGCTATATATATATATATGTATATACATATAGCCTTTAATATAATTGTTTACTCGCAGAAAATATAAAAGTTCACCTTGGCTCTTTGTAACAATTAGCCAAAAATAAACCTCGGGGATTCCTTTATCTTTGTAGCGGGTTTATGGTAGTTAGTGTCTTGTATTTGTGATCTGATGGTATTGAGTATCATTCAAATTATAATTCACTGCTTTAACTTTGAAACTAAGGAGTTGAATACGATATAATTCCTATACCTAGTAGAAGAATTTTTCTATATTATTATTTATATATATTTACTTAGTATAATATTTTGTAAATATATCATCTCTTAGACAGAGGTTGTACACAAACTATATAATTTAACTAAATGAAACTATGAGTCATGAGATACATGAAGTAATCAAATCTCAATCACCAGTATATCATAGACTAAACTATTTATTGTATATTGGTCAAATATACTCGATTATATCTCCAGAACTTGCAAGGCAGTGCTTTCGAAATGCTCGTGAAATATCACGGAAGAAAGTTGCTCGTATTTCATCGAAATCCCGTCATTGGTGGTGCTTAAAATGTAATAGTCACTTGATACCTGGTATATCTTGCGATGTTAAACATGAAGAAAGGAAAAAAAGAAGGAATATTAACTCTCAACACAGTTGCAAAGAAGATTACAAGTTCAATAAGCTGGATCAATTGGAAGATCCGAATAACCAGTTTATAAAATATGAATGGATAGTTAACTTAGCTATCAGATGTTACTATTGTAATAAAATCAAGCGACACAGCTTTGTGTCTTGTGATTACCCAACTAATTAAAATGTAACATAGATCTTGACATATTTAAAATACATATAAAATAATTTAGACTATAAACTATAATTATACCTTACAAAATAACTAATAATTTACTTAGTATATAATGTAGTCTCTACTTTTGTAGTAATTAATTAATTTAACTACCAACAAAGACTTCAGGGTGTAAGATGCACATCAGCCCGCCTGCAGAGATTTATTAGATCTTAACTTTGTGAATTGACCCTTAGGGAAGAAGAACACTAGTATTCCTTCATATCTAGATTAAATAGCAGCAATGGGTATTATAAAACTGATGGAATTTAGATTTAAATCTAAAGTTATTGGGATTTGTCTTGTTATTATAGCTTTAATTGAGCAATCTAATGGGATAGTGAGCAAACTACCTTTTGGACCATTTAATATGACAACTAATAAATCAAATATTAATGGGGTTTCTTCAAATAATTCAAATTATATATTGCAAAGTAATGCCATACCACAGTATCTCGATAATTCTGATTTATCAGATAGCAGTAACATAAAGGCTACTAAAGATTTCAACTTTAAAGAAGATGGTTTGCCACCTGAATCAGAAATAGTGAAACCAGAATCTCCAGATAATCAAGATACCTCTGTTTTATATGATATTGGTGAATCAGAAACTCATGGTGTTATGCAGAGTATTGATTTTGATTTAACTACAGGACAACACAAAGGATTGAATGATGAACTTATTAAAATATATAAACAAGATTCTAAGTTAACTGAAGGTGAGGAGCTCAATTATTCATTAAAAGATAAATTAAAACCTATAAACTTTGAGGATAATTTAGAAGAAGCAAATTCTCCTGAAAGTGAAAGAAAGGATGTGGATACACAGGTAGTTATACAGAAAATGGTTGATAAAGTAAAAGATAATAAAGACTCTGAATTTATTAGATCGGACTTGAAGACAGAGAAACATGAATTAAATATTCCTGATAACTCATTTACTTTTGAGGAGAACACGTTAAGTGATAATTCAGGAATACCAGAGTTGAAAAAGCCTGAAAAACCACAAGAAGATGATATGGGGAATTTAGAAAACATTGAATTAGAAAAAATGAAAGATACAGAACTACCTGAGAACAATATACAGAATGAAAATGTTCAGAAAATAGAAGATATTGAGGATTTTGAAGATATTCAAAAAGTAGATAATATTGAGAACTCAAAAAATCAGCAGCAGGGAATTACTCAGTATTCAGCTAATAATAAAATAAATTTAATTGGATTGGATAACAATTCGGAATTTCTTACTGATGAGACTGAGAGTTTGGTTAATGGAAATAATCCAAATATAAGGGAATTATCTGTGATAGATAATAATGAGTCTACTACAGTGATGGATAATAAGGAAACAGAAGACTTAGTAATTTCCAGCAATGGAATTCCTTCTGGTCCTACTGTAGAATTAGATGTTAGTAAAGAATATAAGAATATTAATATAACTAATCCTATAAAGGAGTCTTCATTAATTATTGATCATTCACTACTTCCTATAAGAAAACCAGTGTCTAGATTTAATAGAGATGGTATCATTATTGAAGCTATAAAAGAGAATATTTCATCTAAAGGTTTCCACTCTAGAAAAAGATCCCCAAGTTTAAAATCATCTTTTAAAGCAACAAGGACTTTGCAAAAATTTTTGCTTAATACAAAATCTCAACTTTTAAAGCAACGTGTACTTTTAAGTTTGTTAAGAGGAATGAGATTAGATGACTTAAATCTTTTATTATTTATTACAAAGGAACTTTTAGAGGAAAAGAAGGAAGAAGAAAAGATAATGAAAGCTATGGCTAGTAGTCAAGTCCCTGATAAGCCTCTTCTGGGTAAGTTATGGATTGATAAACAGAAACGAATACGTTCAAGGAGACCGTCTACTTTCTCTGAAAGCAACTAGTCTAATACTTTAGTTAGATACCCCTTACATTATATGGTTAGTGAATTGATAAGAATTCTGGTTGTTAGGTGTGAGTATTTCTAATCTTTTATAATCTGGAAGTTGAATATAAGTGAATACTCAACCTCGTAACCAAATTAAGTTGTATATTAGAAATAAGTTGAAGTAAAATTCCTATATAACATTTTATACATATAGTTAATGAGACTAATAACTTCTAGTACCTTTATCTACTAATTAGCCTCAATTTTCACCTTTGAATGAGATTTCACATCAAAGTGAGGTGAAATACATGAAGAACCATCTAACAAACTACTCATTAATGTCTCGACTTCTTGTATAAGTCCTTGGCGAGCGGATTGATTTGAAAAGTCATTAAACCATATTTCAATTCGAATATTTCCCTTCGTTCCTCCTAATTTATCTACTAATCTTATTCCATTGACTATCGATCCATGTACTAGGCTACCACCTATGAGTGCAAGGACTAGATTATTCCACATAGTATCTAGTTCCCCTGGGTTAACAGAAGTTTGCCAGGCTCTAAAGAACATGTGACCACCATTAGCGTTCATAGGGTCTTCCCACATAGGCTGTATTCCATCCTTAAATAGTATGACAGCATCAACAACACTCCGAGTACCATCAGCAGATTCTCTAATCATCCTTTTCCCTTTGAGTAATTCTGAGGGCTGAGGAATGTGGTGCCAAAGCCACCAAAATTGCTGGACTGATGAAAATCTTGCAACAGGTTTTGTTGCATTAGAGTAATCTGCATCTTTCCTTGTTTCTTGGTTAAGTTGTTCCCATACAACCCATTCGTGAGACAAGGGCAATGGCTTGGTCATCATTTCAGGTGGAATTTCTACATTATTGCAAGCCCTAGGGAGAACCAAATTTGGCTCTATAGACTCATTAAATGACAAGTACTTTGATACAACCTGCCCTTCAGTCATAAATTATTTAGGTTTTGTTTCCTATTAATAGTTTTAGTAAGTTTCAAAGAATTTGCAATTTAATCCCCACGGAGTTACCTGTTAGAGAGGCGCGTCTTGTCCCCGATATCGCGACCACGTGGCAAATAGACTGAAGAGGCGCTCTAAAGACTTGAAACTCTAAGCTCCTGCCTTTTAGGACCTGATAGGGAAGTAATGAGAAGATAAAGTTTGCTCAGCTTAAGCTTAATAAAGATGAAATATTTTATATGTTAAGGTCTAATTTTGGCCCTTAAGTCTCATTAAGTTGATGAATTGGCTTATTGGCTGGGGTGTATCGTGCTCGCAGGGAGGTTGTAAAGAGAATCAAGATGGTTGGTTTGTCACTTCTTTCACAAATAATGAGGTCTTGGCTAACGAGCTTAATGATAGTAGTGATGTTGTGGATTCATTAGATGGATTGAATTCGAGACCAACTAATTTGACTACTTGGGGTGTTTGGGACTGCGATCCTATTCATCCTGGTATTAATGGAAATGCTAATGATCAAAACTCTACTAGTATGAGTGGTACTAGCTCGTTCCCTCCTGTATTTTCGATTTTCCCTCTACCTCCAATGCCTCCAAAACGTTCTGCACCTGGATGGATAACACATACAATTGGTAAACAACTTCAATGTTCAAATACAAAATCCCCCTGCTTCTTTGGTCTTCTTGATGGTCATGGTCACTATGGAAAAACAGCATCTCATATGGCTGCTTATTGTATATCACAAACATTATATGAACGGATGAATTGTTCATCTCTAGATAATAGGATTTACAACTTAGAATATATTCTTGAGGTGCTTGATGAAGGTTTTTCCTATGCTCACAAGAGCATTATTGGAGCGAATGTGTCTAGTGGGAAGGATTTTGGTACTACTTGTATAGTTGTGGGAATTATGGGATCTTATCTAGTAACAGCTAATTGTGGGGACTCTTCAGCTATATGTATTATTCCAAATTCTATTCAAAATAATCAAAAGAAAGCTGAAGTTGATCACATTTCTGATGAAATTTCAAAATCTCTCCCTGAATTACCGACTCCAATTACTTTGAATAATTCTTCAGTAAAAACTTCAAATTATCATGGGATATACTATTTGTCTAATCCTCACTGTCTTTATAGAAAGAGTGAGAGACAGAGAATAGATCAAAGTGGAGTTGGTAAAGTGGCCTTAGGAGATTATGGAATGCTGAGGTTAATTCCAGCTTATTTAACATATTCTCAAGCTAGAGACTTGGGTTTGAGTATATCTATGAGTAGATCTCTAGGTCACATGCATCTTTCTCGCTGTGCTTTGTTACCTATTCCGGATTATCGGGTACTAAATATTAGTGAGTATCCTCCCAAAAAAGAATCTGTTGAATCTTTGAGAGCAACAAATAACAAGGAAAGGCAATTTAAAAAAGAAGATGATAAAATGGTAAGTTTATCTGAAGTCCTCGTTGAGGAGAGTGTCATAGCATTGGGATGGGGATATAAGAATAGCAGAAACTATTACGAACAACTACAAACTGAAGATATAGCACTTGATTGGAGTACTGAAGATGAAAGTTATGACAATGTAGATACTTCCACAGTAACTAATGAGATTCCGAATGATATGTATGTTGTATTGATGTCTGATGGCATTAGTGATATACTAGATGGATTTACAATTGCTGATATTATTGTGAATGCACAGGATAAAGATCTCCAGGATATTGCAGCTGAACTTACAGCAGAGGCTGAACGTAAGAGGAGATTTCACAATATAAGAGCAGATAATTGTACTGCAATAGTAGTTAAACTGAGAAGAAATATGAGTACCGAAAGTATTCCTAATAACGCTTTTTCTAGTAAAGATGAAGTGACAGTGGTTAAAAAACTAATTGATGCAACAAAACCATCTCTTCAATCAGAGTTCTCATTAAACCGTAAAGGAAATCTTAATTTATATGACCCTAAGTCAGTTACTACTTCTAGCTTTGTATCACCGCTGAAATCTTCATCAAACTCATCCATGCTTCAATCTCCTTTTTCTCTTGTGGATCGAAGTGCTCATATATCATCTGCACCACATTCTGCATCTACTTCCTTGAATTCTTCATCTCCAATAAGATCATCGTTCAAGGCTCCAGATACCTCTTTATGTAATTTGCAAGCTCCTACCTTTTCCTTGCATCGTACATTGACCCCTATACATCGTAGACGACGTGTAGTTGCTGCAACCCCTTCACCTCTGCGTGTAAAATCTTGTAAAATGCGTGATACTCCTATTATACCCAGCAGTTAGTTGTATATTTATTTTATACTGATATGTACAGAACTCTTCGATATATAATCCCTTATTATCTATATCAGAAAGTGTCACTGACACATAATAGATTTTATAATATTGGCGCAAATAGCAAGAATTGTACTTGCCTGTTTTCCGAGTATAACTTCGCAAGAATGTAATTAGTTTTCTTTTAAATTATCATTCTGTATAATGTCACTTAATTTCTGTCAAGAGTGTCTGCAAATAAACTCCTTAAATTGGTCTAATGAAAAGGAGGTCCTAGATGAAGATGCCACCTGTTGCAATTTGGAAGGCAATTCTAACTTATTAGGTACTTCTTGGAATAATGCTAAGAAACCTATGCACATTAATGTGGAGTTTTTGCCTAGATATATTGGGGTTGAGAAGGATAGGTTAACTGTTTCTCATAAGGGTAGAGGTTCTCATTTAGAAGTAGGCACAGTTCAATCAGATATGCCAATCCCAACAAATTGCCAAGTATACTATTTTGAAGTATTGATAATAGAGTCTCAGAACCAGGCGAAATGTACAGTAGGAATTGCAGCTAGATATTATTGGACTAATAGAGAACCAGGGGCTGATAAAGCCTCAATAGGGTATAGAGGAGAAGATGGAAAGAAAATAGTGAATGGAAATAGATATGAATCTTTTGGTCCCAGTTTTGGCAAAGGTGATATTATTGGATGTGGAATTGACTTTAATGCTAACAGTGTTTTTTTTACTTTAAACGGAAGGTTTATTGGTATTGCAACTGATGTTTTAGATTGTGTGGACTACTATCCAACAATAAGCCTATACCACTCTCAAGATATAGTTTATGCTAATTTTGGATCTAAGAATTTTGCTTTTCACCTGGAGGAATATATAATGAAGAATTTGATGATTGACTTAAATATCATTTCTCAGGTTAAAGTTGATTCTGGTACACTAAGAGAATTGATTAGAGGTTACTTACTTGTAGAGGGTTTTCAAAGAACACTAAAGATTTTTGATGAAACCAGTAAAGCTACTATTACAGATGAGTTATCGGAAAAAAAATCAGATATAAAAAGTGAGAAGCTATCTATTAATCAAACAAATAACATATATTACTCAGAATTGTTAAATTTATCGCTTATACAAGAGTACTATGAAGAAAATAATGATAGTTCTCAATTACAGATGGAAATACTTGGTTCACTCTTTTCTGAGAAACTTGAAAAAAGTGGTAATGAAGAACAACGTATATGTAAGGGAACAAGAGGAAATTATCTTGTACGTAGAAATACTGAAGAACTGTGCAATATACAACATAAACCAAATATTTCGGCAAATAAAATAAAAAGTGAAGATTTTGGATTTCTAATAGATGTACATTTAGAAGTGTCTTTGAAGATCCGCTCTAGTATAAGAAATTATATTTTAAATGGTGACATCAAAAGTGCTCTGGACTTGATTGAGAATTTTTACCCTGAAATATTGGATAAGAATGAGCCAATGACAGCTTCAATAATTCTCCATATCCAGAGTGCAATAGAAGAATTTGCAGAAGATTTAAATAGAGATCTCAAAACTTTTGATAAAGATCTCTCTGTACTTTTATATTTACAAAACTTCCTAGGTGATATGAACTTTAGAGAAATGTTTGATAAACAAAATATAATCAATAGATCAAATTATAATTTATGTTGTATTGAGAAGATGATTGATGAATGTTGCTTTTTATTTGCTTCAACTGATATTATTGATGAAGATTTTCTTCTTAAGACAAGGAAACGATGTTTAAAGGTTATAATGCAAGCAATGTTCTATCTTATTCTAAGAGATGTATACAATGGAAATATACCACGTCAATTAGCTATAAACAAGAAATTTAGTGGAGTGATTGAAAATAAACTAAATTTTTGCGAAGGCTCATGGAAACCTTGTCCCTGGTCTCCTATTGAGACTTTAGTTAGATATATTGTTGCTACTCGATTAGACATTAAGAATAAGAATTATGGAAGAGGAATAGCCCCAAATCCTACATTACTATGCTTTGCAACTCCAAAGATGGTTAAGGATCATATCTTTAATGAGGAATTTCAAATATTATAGTTGTGTAAATTTTAAGATTGACTAGTCCCAGTAACCGTGCCTGTTTTAACTGTGACTATATTTTCATGTTTAATGAAATTTAAGTGATCTTTTACTTGATTTTCATGTAAACTCTGAAGTTTATTCAACTCCTTTCCATTCAGTACTTCTAAGCCTACTGTTTCATTTAAAGCTGATACATCTCTAGCTATTTGTTCCTTTATTTTATCTGCAAGAAATGCAATTGATTGTATTTGAATAAGCAATTTCTTATCATTTCTAGCCATTTTGTGAAGCTTTTTTAAGTTATTGTCGATTTGATATAGTTGAGCTAGAACATCTGAGTGAAATATTTCAATATTTTGATCAGTTGTATTATCTGTATCACTAGGTTCGTTGTTGGAAATGGAATTTTCAAAGGTTTTTTTGGGAAAATTAGTATTCTTTATATCTCTATTATCTATAATTTTCATTGCTTCATGAGTTTTATTTCTACTATTTTGATTTCCTAAAGTTTGGTTGGTATCTTCACTAAAGTTTCTTGTAGCAGTAGATGCAATAGCTGAACCAGTGTTTTGCTTATGTTCAGGGTATGAGATTGAACCTTGAATATTCATATTTATAGAAGAACCATTGTTCAAACGACTTTCTTTGTCAATATCAATCTTATGATTTGTTGAATTATTTATATAACTATCTGTAGCACTGTTATTTCTCATAATTAACTCCTTTGGGTTCTTAAGTTCAACAGTTTCTGTTGAGACCGCAGAGTTTGTTCGATATAAATAAAAAAGAAATAAAATCAAATTTATCTTTTTCATCCTAAGTACCACTACTTGATGTTTGTAGTTAGATATTAGTATAGGTAGCTTATAGAGGTCTGTTTCAATGCGTGCGTGTGTACTGTGTGTAGATACACTTTATATGATGGGAGCCTGCAACATTATCTAATTGTTCTCTATGACTTTAAGTTACTTTTAAAGCAAATAAATATGTAAATTATAGATGAAATAGTAGAATGAATACTAAGGATAATTTAAGAAATCTAGATAATCCTTTGCTAATTGCCAAACTAGTACGGAACTACACTTTGTCTATATGAAGAAGACCCTCTAGGATATCTATCACGTGTGGAATGACCACGAAAATGCCCTCTATTATTATATGAATGTTGATATTGATCAGAATATTTTTGTTTATCACTTCTGCCAGGCCTTGAGTTTGCTTTATATCGATTCCTATATCCTCCATGTGGCCTTTGTTCTCTTAAATAAGAATCTGAGTTTCTATATGGAGCACAATACGATTGATTAGACTGTCTAGATATTGAATTTTTTTTAGACTTTGCCCAGGTTTCAGAGCCACGTGGTGGCCCCTTACCTCCACCGAGTCTTCTGGGTAGCCAATTTTCAACGGTTCTACCTCTTTCAACATCTACAATGACTTTCCTGCCATCAATAACTTTGTTAGAGTATCTATAAGCCTCTTTAAGAGATGACTCTGATTCATATTCAATAAACGCATAGCCTTTAGATTGACCATTTAAGTCTGTTATCAAACATATTTTTTTAATTGGACCATAAGTCTCAAATTCCTTACGCAAGGTTCTTTCTGTTGTATCATAACTTAGTCTACCAACAAATAAAGTATTATATGGATCATCAGTCATATCTGAGGAGGTATTTCTTGGGTCATATTCCCTTATTTTTATCTGTAGTTCCTCGTTATAAGTAGCTAATTTTATTGCACGCAACTTTTCACGCTTTTCACGTGGACTCTCAAATGGAATTATAATAGGGGGTAATCCCTTGTCAAATATACCTTCTATATTGTGTATTAAATCTGCTATACCTTCGTACTTTCTATGTGGTTTTGTTTTGACATTTGGTATATAAGGCAGAGGTGGTCTAGCTTGAAAGTAGCATAATAGATCTTCTGGAAGTCCCACTGCTGACATCCTAGTAGTTTCAAAAACATAAAGTCCAATAAGTAAGACACCAAAAGTACTAAAATGATCTTTGTAGTCTTTTTACTACTTTTCTTTAGAAATTTTAAGGTAATGCATTTACGTTAGTGCCTTAGCGGTATGTGTCGGTAACTTGTTACTTTGTCAAAATTATGGAAAAAGGATTAAGAGTCGCAAATTTACATAATGTTAGTACAGCAGGATGATTGGTTATCAAAACAAATACAAACTTTATTTAACTTAACTAAGGGTAAAACTACAAGAGAAGACTTAGAGTTGAGCTTAAGGAAATATGAAAATCTAGGTAAACTTGAACTCCGAGCCTATACTTCACCTTATATAAATATGAAGAAGTCTAGAAACTCAATATTCTGGTGTTCTAATTGCTTTATACCTAGAGGTAGTTTACTCTTATCTAATGATCCAATTGGATGGTGTGTCTTTAACAATACTTTATCCAGAAATTGCACGGGAACTTTAGAACTATGGAAATGTATCTTGACGATATCCAATGAAGACTTATTATTATGTAAAAAAATGAAACTACTTTACCCACGCAATAAGAAAGATATAAATGATATTATTAAACATAATAAGAAACTAGGTGTTCCAAAAAGTATGATTGAAAGAGAATGGGAATTAATCAGTAAGAAATTCACATATAAAGACAAGTCCAAAATCTCCTTAAATGAGGCTATCAGGTTATATTTAGTCGTCAAATACAATCAAATGGGTGTCCATATATTACCAGAAGCATGGAATTCGCCATTTAAGTGGTGTAACAGCTTTGGTGTGAATGCATTGTACTTTGATGCATCATTCTTTAATCACTCATGTTGTCCAAATGTTTCAAGACACTATATTGGAACTACAGTGGTATTTTATTCAATGAGAAATATTGAAAAAGGAGAACCTCTTACAATTTCATATATAGAGAATGAGTATTTAAGAGAACCACTTTGGATTCGCCATGAGGAACTCAACTTTAGATGTTTTTGTGAAAAGTGTACTCATGAAGAGAATTTCCAAAGCAATTCAGTGTCGAGAGAAGCTGAAAATTATGAAAATATATTTCATGCATCTAAAAAGAATAATCCTAGAAAGACTTTACTTTCAAAAGATCACTTAGATATTTTAAATCAATTAAGTTGTTTTCAACGTATAAACATTATAAATGATATACTATTGGATAATCATAGGATGAGAAGTAAATTAATTGAGACTGAAAAACAAATACTTATTGATATACTAGTTTTAGATTATATAAAGACAAAAAATTATCATTCTTGTCTATATTGGCTAAAGTACAACATAAATAATAGTGTATGTAAAGATGAAAGTCTAATTCCCTTATATATAATGTATGGAATAATCCAAATTAATACTTTTAAGTCTACTCAATACCTTTATATGGCAATAGAACTTTTCAAATGTTTATTTGGAGGTCATATTAAATTTTTTATGAAGAGGTACTGGGCTGATATAAAGTATATTGTAAAACTCATGTATAGAAATTTTAAGAGAGAAAAAAAAAAGATTGCAATTGCAAAACATTTAAGACAACTATCAAACTATATCAGGATACTATTCTGATTTTATAGTAGTTCTATTGACCTCAACTTTATTTCTAGACTATTTCAAAGTAAATGTAGAAATCCAAGGGTGAGAATAAACTTCTTTGAAACCGTTCACACTACCTAAACGCTTGCTTTCATCAGAAACTAAAAGACTCTTTATAAAATTTTCTGCAAGTATTAAGTCTTTGTTTATATCAGTTTCATTTGAATATTTTAATTCCCATGGAAAAATTATTGAATCAGGAGAATTATTTATCCTATTTAACTGCTGCTCACTTTGCTCTGGATGATATCCGAATGGCGGAACTCTAAGGAAAAAGAAGACAGTTCTTAAATTTTGAAATAAACAAGAAAAGATATATAAGTACTTGCCCAAACAATAATTCATACGTCAGTATTCCTACAGACCACCAGTCAAAAGGAAGCGAATAATTTGGTTTATCTACACATATAATTTCTGGAGGCATTGTATGAAATGATCCACAAAATTGTGTTAACCGTTCATCTTTCTCAATAAAACATGATAAACTCATATCAATAACTTTAATTTGTCCTGTATCTTCGTTAAATATAATATTATTGCATTTAATGTCCCTATGTATAATCCCTATACTATGAAGAATTCCTATTGCTTCCACTAACTATAATAATAAGAGTATAATATTTTTAAATATACCAGGACAGTTCAAAGTATAAAGTAGCATACCTGTTTGATTATACTTTTGATATAAAGAATGTCAATTTCTTTATTTTTAATATAAATATGTAAAGGATCTCCTAATGCATAATCCAATACAAAACAAATGTTGGAATTTCCTTGATCATCTTGCATTATAAATGTATCATAGCTTTAATGAATTGAGTTTATTATTTAAAATATTATCAAGGGAAATTGAAATTTCGATATTAACTTACAGGTAAATTAATTGAGGTGCCGAATTCTTTAATACTACACAGTGATGATAAATACGCTCCAGTACTTTACGTTCATTCCACACATTTCTAGGATTAATGATCATATCTTTCCTATACATTTTGAGTGCAATTTTAATATTTTCTTGACTATCTTTATGTTTCCCACTTGCACAGTAAACTTTTGTTTTCTCGTGTGTATAAATATTTCTTATTAGTTTAATATCGACAATATTCTTTGATGGAATTTTCATCACTAAAGTTTAGGAATTTGGGAGTCAGGTAGATTTTGAACATCTAAGTCATTATACTTAGTTTTAAAAAAGTAAAATTTTCTTTATTTTTCACAATAATCTAATAATTGAGAAGAGTATCCAAGATCTCAATACTAGGCGCCATTTTTAGGAAGACGTGATAGATCTATGGTAAATTTTTATTAGGCAACAAGTTAATTAGTGAAATTTTGAAGTAATTTGTAAATTGAACTGTTTACTTGAAGATGGGAATAGATGCAGCTGAAAAATTACCTGTCTGGATTGCTCCAACTAGATGTTTTTCAATGCCTCTAGCTGAGGATGATGGAAATAAATCTTCTAGATGCTCTTATACAACAGGATTGATTTTGAATAACAGTTTAACAGCAGGGAAAACGGAATTTATTCCGGTTAATGGGAAACGCATAAACTGGTATGCATGTGGACCTACAGTATATGACTCGGCCCATTTGGGTCATGCTAGAACTTATGTAACCTTTGATATAGTGCGTAGAATATTGGAAGATTACTTTGGGTATGATGTATATATGGTCATGAATATAACTGATATAGATGATAAGATTATTAAACGTTCTATTGAACAGAAGAGAGACAACTTCTTAGATTTAGCTCGTGAGTATGAGAAGGAGTTCTTTGATGATATGCATGCTTTAAATGTAAAGCCTCCAGATATTATTACACGGGTTTCAGAATTTATACCGGAGATTTTGGATTATATATCGACAATAATATATAGAGGCTTTGCTTATGAATGTGATGGAAGTGTGTATTTCGATATTAATGCATTTAGATCAAAAGAAGGACACTTTTATGGTAGAATGGAACCAAAGAGTGTGGCAGATGAGAGTAAAGTATTGGAAGGAGAAGGAGATTTGGGAGAACATTCAAAGGATAAAAAAAGTCCTCTGGATTTTGCCTTGTGGAAAAAGGCAAAACCTGGTGAACCATTTTGGGATAGCCCTTGGGGTAAGGGACGACCTGGATGGCATATTGAATGCTCAGCTATGGCTTCAAATACGTTGGGATTTCCAATTGATATTCATAGTGGGGGAATTGATCTAAGATTTCCTCATCATGATAATGAGCTTGCTCAGAGTGAAGCTCATTATGACCAGCCTCAGTGGGTAAATTACTTTTTACATTCAGGTCATCTACATATACATGGAGCTAAAATGTCTAAAAGTCTTAAAAACTTCACAACAATTAGAGATGTTTTGAAGGAATACTCACCAAGACACATCCGTATGTTATTTTTGCTGCATAAATGGGATGGTCCAATCAATTTCTCCCCAGAAACATCTCTCAAAGAAGCAGTAGCTGTAGATAAGGTCTTTATAAACTTTTTTGCTAATGTCAAGGCAAATTTACGAATTTCATTTATAGAAAATCCTCTTAAACATGATATAGAGGAAGAAAAACTTAGACTGGCTACAGAATGTGCTGCAGAGAAGGTAAGTTCTATTAACTAGTAAAATTAACTGATATTTATAGGTGTAATAGACACAAGTATTGCAGTACCTATCACTATCTTGTGTAATAAATTAAATTGCCTACTGATTAACTCATATTGCAAGGTTCCACTCCCAGAGTAATTGATTATGTAGACTCTGAGGCACTAAGAGCTTGCAAAATTCACAATGGAAAATTATATTACATTTTTGGAGCTTGAAGAACTTCATAAATGTGCAGGTATTTCCAGACATCATTAGTTTATAAATGAAATATCATTATTTTTATATACTTTCATTCTATTTTTCTATCGAATTATTTTTGTTTTATTGTCTATTTAGATTGATAAACAATTACGAGATAATTTAAATACTCCAGAAGTAATATCAAGCTTACAATACCTCGTTTCTGTTGCAAATTCATATATGAATTCTAGAGCTAGTAATAAAGTAGTATGCCCAATTTTGAGGCGTTGTGCAAGTTTTGTATACAAAATTCTGAAAATTATGGGTCTGTGTTCAGATGATACTGAGAAGCTCAACTATGGGGATTCAGAAATGTGTAGGGATAATCTAGAGGGAATCTCTTCTGCATACATTGATTTAGTTGGAGATTTTCGTCAAGAAGTCAAAAGTGAAGCCATTAAATTGATTAATCTCTACAGAAATCAAAATAAAGCCATTTCTAACCAGGATGGAGATGGGACATTGCCAATTCTTTATAATACTTTAAATGAGCTAAGTGAATCAGCAAAAAGATTGTTAGCTAATTGTGATGATGTACGAGATATCCGTCTACCAAATTTAAATATAGAAATGGAAGATAGATCTGATGGGACATTTGTATGGAAACCTGTACAAAAAACTCCTAATTTAAATACTAATAGCTGATGAAATTAAAATGTGGTGAATTTTGTCTTTAAGTTTACATAATTCTTAGCTAATATCTAATAAATTTATTTTTAAATCTATACTTTTTTTTTAATCTCAAAGATACTTTTAACCTTTAAGAATCAAATGGAATATATTATTTACTTCTTTGAATATTCAAGGATGAGTATTAATACAGATACATATTGAACTTTGAAATTTAGGATAGGATCTGTAAAACTGAAATAAATTCATTTTTAGCTTACTTTGATATATAGAATTTGTAATTTTTTAGGTGAATTAGGATTTTTTAATTTTAACATTTTTGGTTATATTAGGATATGTCGGTACTGTTATTTATATTAATACATTGATTATCATTCAAAATTTCCATGAAAAACTTGAAATATTAAAGTGGTATAAATTTATAATACACAAAATAGACCCTAAAGAAAAGGAGTTAAATATCTGAAATTTAGGAAAATGTAGACACTAAAAGAATAGATCTCAATTTCAAAAAAAAACAAGAATATCACTTCACCAATTATATATAACTTATAAAAATACATAACTAGAAACCAAAAATTAAGCAAATTCCGAGGGATAAATTTGGAAACACTTTAAAACAAAAATTTTAAGTACAAGGATATGGAAGTATTAGAAAGAGTGGTTATGGGGATATTATATTATGTAATAGTATAAGGAAGATAGAGTTTAAAAGCTTTAAGTGAGTTAACTAAATTCTCCTAGAGATTTTTTCACTGAAGAAATTACAATTTATACCTTAGTAGATGAATAATACATCCAGTAAACAGATAAACACTCAATCTACTGTATCTATTGTAGGTTCTATATCATTAATATTATTCAAGATCACTCAAGCTCAAATTTACTACCTGAATAAATATCAATTTACTAAAAGAAAAGAAAGTGTACCAGTATTATTTATTATTGAATTGTAGATTCATCTAAAACATCAAAGTCGTTTGCACCTTCTATTTCATCTGAAAGCTGGGTATTAGGAGGAATAACATATGGTTCTCCAGGTTGATGCCCTCCATCTTCTATTGGTTCATTTGGATCGATATCTTCATCTTCTAATAATGCGGCTGCAAGGTGGGGAGATGTTGTATTAATAGAGTCCATATTGTTAGGACTAGGAGATGTAGAATGATCTGAAATTACTCCAAAAGGTATAAGGGGCATTGGGTGATCCTCAGAGTAAAAATGATCCTGACAGAATTTACAAAACTCATCAAAGTCTCTAATCTCCTTGTTCCAGTACATATTAGGATCAAATACATAATTGCAACATCCCCCCCATTCAATATCTAAATACTTAGAATCTACAGCTTTTTTGAGAGGCTTAAAACTTTCCATACCATCTGAATCTGGATCTATCAAAACAAATTTCTCTGCTGTATTTCCTGGTATACAAGGGCTAATTAAACCCCAAACAGTCTTAAAGAACCAACCTGGTCTAATTATATACGCACGATGAAGTCTTTCTGGATAATGATCTACCATTGCCTTTGCAAACTTTAGGGACAAAGAAACCGGAGGCTGTTGTGTTGACTTATTTCCTGTAAAGTCCACAATCAAATTTATCTTGTTATCATTATTAGTTAATTGATCAGCATACAAACAAGTCCTCTCCATAGTATACAAGAGAGAATTTAAAACTAAAGAAATATCAACTGATGAGTCACTATACTTAGCCCTCATTATAATACAGGGACGACCATCAATATCTATTCCAAATCTAATCAAACCTTCTACATTATTCCCTCCACTAATACTACGTGGATCAATGAACTGTGGAGCATACTTTCTTCGAAAATGAATAGTTTTAACGAGAGCTTCAAATGACCTTATTACCTTGTAATTATAGCCTCGAAGATATCTTAGTAAACAGCTATCTGTACACCAATCCTTTTCATATGAGTCTAATGGACCCTTCAATAATAAACGAGTCTTAATAATCTTTCCTGGTTTATTAGGAGAAGTGGATGTTGATATTACACATGACTCCCTTCCCTTCCAAGCTGAGGCAGCAAAGCTCTTCAAGCGACCGAAGACTACCTCAGAAGTGCTTTGTTTCTTCAAAAGAGCATCACCTTGTATACTTTGAGCTTTTAATTGTTCCATTTTCTGCTTACTTTCAGCTGCCTTGTTTTGAACTTCTAAAAGCTGACGCAAACTTGTAAGAGCTCGAGATTCCTTTTCAGTTAGAGCACCTAAACCTTGTGGAGTTAATTGCCATTCCGCTAACTCTGGACTAGTTTTAAACTGAACCATTATATTTGTCGTCACAATTTACCAAACGGTAGTTACTTAATTTATTACACTTAATTTGGTCTCTTCTCATTCCCCACCTAATGCCTTAGGTTTCCACCCAAGTAATTTGTTATAGATCCACTCAAGGACCCGCCCCTTTGTACAGATGCTATGTCTACTTACTCGGATTAATATTGGTGGACGAAGACGTCAATTAACTAACAATATAGTATTTAATCTAATTTGTATACTTTTTATAATAATTCTACCTTATTTTATATTGTGTGCATAACATTTGACTATTTACCATTCAAATATATATAGGATTATGTATGAAATATTAGATCATTAGAGAAATATTGACAAGATAAATTATTTAGATACATCTAAATGAGTAGACCATTGTTTAATTACTATCTTTCCTACGACTATGTAACTTCTTAGCTCTTTCTAATTTCAATCTCTTGGTATATTCTATTCTTTCCAAAAGTCTCTTATGTTTCTTAGATAAAAGTGATTTCCTTGATTCCATTTCTTCTTGCATCTTTCTCTTTTTGTATTCTAATTTAGCTATAGATACTAAGTCATTATGTTTATCTTCATTAATATCTCCTGATATATTAGATTTTGTCATCTCTGATTGTAAGCTAGCCAGATACTCCTTTTCTCTAGCCTCAGATATTTGTTCATCATCCAAGTCACTAGAATCACTACAGTGAGTTGTTGCAAAGTCATCTTCAATAGATTTAGTTTTTGTTTTTAACCCTTTGAAATTATCTAATATTTCACGTTGTAATGGGACATAACCTTGTTCTTCATCATTTACAAAAGGTGATAAGTGTGGTGGTAATATTTCACCTGGAGCATATAATCTAGTAGGTAATAATATAAATTCATTTAAACAATCAAATAGCCATTGTGGTTGAATAAATTCTGAATTTGGATATTTTTCTATCTCTTTAATAATAAATTTCATTGGTCTATCGACAATATAATGAGTAATATTTGAATTATCACGTTTAATTGGAGAGGCTTCATTCTCCCATCCTATTTTACCACCCTGACTTATAATTACAAATGCTGCTGGTACTAGAGGTACCTCTCTTGAAATAAAAAAGCATAAATCTTCAAATAATAATTTAGAGCTTGTAGAATTATTTTGAATTGTTAAACTATCAGTAGGTAAACATTGTGTAAGATTTTTTAAGTTATGAGCTTTCAATGATAAAAATCTTCCTCCACTTTTTAATATACTAGAATCAATAGTAGGAGGATAAGTTATATTATTAAGCTGATATAATTTAAAATTAACAAATTTCAATAAAACATGATAAAATTCAAGAAAAGTTGTCATAACCCTAAAATCAACATCATCTGGTAGCTTTTGAGAGAATTGATGGGGTAAAAGCCAGATAATTTTTTCATTTAATATCTCAACTTGAAAATAAAATCCTTTAATTGAAATAAAGGATTTTTTTAAAAAGCCACATTTAGATACTAGGTACATAAATTCATCCATTAACTTTACTGATTGTTCAATAGTACTAGCTGGTATATTATGATTATCATCTGCTCCTAGAGATGCAAATAAAGCACAAGTTGTTAAAGCATCATCTAAGTCTCGTAAAGCATCTATGAAACAAGGATAACGTTGTTTCACAATATGGCTTAGTGGTAGTTCTGGTTTTCTTTGTATTAAAGAACGGATTTTATTACGATCATTTCGTGCCAATGCTTTTTTATATTTCTTTAAGTATACCTTAAAATCCCGAAATTTTGATAGTATAGGATCATATCGTAAAAATAATACATCTTTGCTATGGTAATATGTCTTATCTGCTCCTTTAAGTTTTTTTTTTGGTTCACGTGGATATATACCTTTTAGTATACATAATCTACGGAAATCAGCTAATGAGAGCTGTAAATATTTTAAAGCCTGAGCACGAGTTATATATTCTGCACTTTCGCCTTTTACTCCTTTCTTTACTCTACGTCCACCCATATTATTTTACTAGAGTATTGAAATAGTAAATAATCAGATTCTGACTTATTTATGATGTAGTCAAGTAATTATATACTTGGCTATTGAGACATTACGGGTTATACCCGATACCTTATTACCGGTATAATGGAATTTTAAGTCTTAAAAAAAAAACAAACCGGTATGTTATTAGCGCTAATTGTCTGAAATAAACAAATGTATTTTTTGCTAATGGAGAAATTTTGAATTTCCTAATTTTTAAAATTAATCTTGGAATATTAAAAAGAAAGAAACGAAATAAAAATTATTACAAGTGAAATATTTTAATAAATATATAACAAATTTATTTTAATATTAGATATACTTTCTTTAAGAAATCTTAAAAATTGAGACTTATTTTTAAAATGCCAGTTATTAGAAGGGAATATTTAGTAAAAAATAGACCATGTCCTATTGGGATTGTTAATAAAAAGTTAAGTATGAATTATACAAAATCAATAACTAATAACGGGAAGAAATCTATAAATTATTCTCATAATAGTATAATGAATGTAATGTTAGATAAAAAAAAGGGTCAACATTTACTAAAAAATCCGGGTATATTGGATAAAATAGTTGAGGCTTCTGATATAAAACCTACAGATATAGTATTAGAAATAGGACCAGGAACAGGTAACTTAACTATGAGATTATTACCTTTAGCAAGAAAGGTTATTGCTTTTGATATTGATCCAAGAATGGTTGCTGAAGTTAAAAAAAGATCAATGAATGCCGGATATAATAATTTAGAAGTTAAAGAAGGAGATGCACTTCGTAGTGATTTGGGAAAATTTGATATATGTACTGCTAATTTACCATATCAAATATCTTCACCATTTGTATTTCGAATATTATCACATAAACCTACATTTCGCTGTGCAGTATTAATGTTTCAAGAAGAATTTGCTTTAAGATTATTAGCAGAACCAGGTGATAAACATTACTGTCGTTTAACTTTAAATACTAAATTATTATGTAAAGTTATAAGAGTATGTAAAGTATTACCAGGTAGCTTTAATCCACCTCCAAAAGTAAATTCTATGGTAGTTAAATTTATCCCTAAAACTTGTCCAATTCCTGTTAATTTTAGAGAATGGGATGGTTTAATGAGGATATGTTTTTTACGTAAAAAGAAAACAATAAGGGCTAATTTTAAAGGTAGTTCTACTCTAACTATGTTAGAAAATAATTATAAAACATGGTGCTCTTTAAATAATCAAGTTCCTCAAAACAATGTGCCATTTAAAGAATTTGTATTCAAAATATTAGAAAATACAGGATTAGAATCCAAACGTGCATTTAATATTAGTATAGATGAATACTTCAAACTCTTATTAGAATTTAATAAAAATGGAATTCATTTTGTAAATGTAGCATATAAATTAGATAGTTCTGGTATTTCTGAACAAATGTTTATTGAAGATGAAATAATGAGTGAAAATAGTGAATAGTTATTAATATTAACATAAATTAATAGTATTCAAAATTATATATAATCATTAAATATTAACTGAATATTGTGGAATCTCTTTTTTCTATATATATAATCTAGATGTACTTTAAATTATAATCTCTACTATATTAACATCATTGTAAATATATAATATTAATATCATAAATTCACATTAAATATTATTATTATTATTATTATACTTAATAATTAAGATAACGAAAAAATTACTTCCATAATTTCCTTAGGCTCATATTCCAATCACTATCTTTTTTCATAACTCTTGATACAGCCATATCAAAATCTTCTTGAGTAACATGTCTTCTCCTTTCCCTTAATGCAAACATACCAGCTTCCGTACATACAGCTTTTGATTCAGCACCAGAAGCACCTTGCATTTGTTGAGCTATCTTCCTTAAATCAATTCCACGTACAAGATTCATCTTTCTACTATGAATCTTCAAAATTTCATAACGAGCATCTTCATTTGGATTTGGAAATTCTATTTTCCTATCAATACGACCAGGTCTAAGTAGTGCATCATCTAAAATATCAATACGATTTGTAGCCATAATAACTTTAATATTTTGTGTTGATTCAAAACCATCAAGTTGATTAAGAAGTTCTAACATTGTTCTTTGTACTTCACTATCTCCAGTTTCTCCTTCAGTTCTTTGAGATCCAATAGAATCTATTTCATCCATAAATATTAAAGATGGAGCATGTTCTCTTGCCATTACAAATAATTCACGAACCATACGACTTCCCTCACCAATATATTTTTGAACTAATTCAGACCCAGATACTCGGATAAATGTACAATCTGTATGATGTGCAACAGCTCTTGCTAATAATGTTTTACCTGTACCTGGTGGTCCATATAATAACACACCTTTTGGTTGGGCAATACCTAAACTTTCAAATATTTCGGGATGTTTTATTGGAAGTTCAATAACTTCTTTTATTTCTTTTATTTGTTCATCTAATCCTCCAACAATATCATATGTACTATCTGGCACTTTTTCAACTTTCATTAATGATACTAATGGATCTACTTTACTTGGGAATATTCTGTGAAGTTTAAATGAATCACTTAATAATGCAACCCTACTTATAATTTTACAATTTATATATTTCATTTTTATAAAAGAAAAGTAAAATACTTTAAGTCTTACCTTGTATTTGTAGTACATTGAGATATATCAATATTTTTTGCAATATCAACTAAAAATTTACCTTCTGGATTTAGTTTTACTAAAACTTTATTACGTCCCATAACTTTAATTACTTCTCCAACATAGCTATTAGATTCTAGTAAGTATTGCAATTCTTCACGTAATTCTCTAACTATAAATATTTAGTATATAAATTAAATATATAGTCCAATATATTAAAAATATTTCCTTTGTAATTAATAGATTACTTACCTTTAAAATTTAACTCATTTCTCTGTGCATGTAGACGTCTAATATTTAATTGTTGAGATGAAATAGCAACTTTTAATTGCTCTATACGACTTTTATAATAAGACGTTGCAGGATTTATAATTTCTACCATGGTTTCCATTTATATTAGACCTTATATAAAATATATATTATATATATATGTAAATAAACAGTTATTATCTTATTATATATTAAAAAATAATCCAAAATTTTTTAATATTAAAAAAGTAATTTTAAGAAAACAGGGGGAAGAAAGAAAAACTTTTAACTCTTTCTTAGCCCACAAAATAAATCGGCTATTATAATTTACAGTCGCAAAAATATTTGGCGGTTTAATTTAGATTAGAAATATTTTATGTAGTACCGCTGTAATATTATTAGATAGAAATATTAAAACTATTTAAAAATGATCCTGAATCCTTTAATAATTCATAAAAAAGTTGGAAATAGATAATATTCTGATTTTTTTCTTTATATATTTAGTTTGATATATTTTTCTTATACTGGTTATTATAATATCTTAAATTTACACTTTATTTTATAAATAACATAAAATAATAGTAAAATGAATCATAAAGAAGATGAGATTAAACTAAAAAGTGAACTAGAATTAACTAAACAAAGAATGAGACAAGAAATTGAGCGTTTAAATCATTCAGAACAAGTTATGAGTGAAAGTAATAACGCACTTCAAAGTACAAATTTAATATATAGTATATACAATAATAAAATGAACCTAAATATGTCAAAATTCCATAAAATACGTAAAAGTAGTGAACAAGATACTTATTTACTATGGTTTTCTTTTTTTTTTCTCTTATTTGTTTGTTGTTTTATTATATTAAGAAGGCTGGGATTTATACGATACTTGATTTTTAAACCAATTATTATAATTATGAAATTATTTAAAGATAATGAATTTAATATAAAAGAGGAACTATAAAATTTTTATTTTTTTATGTTAATTAGTAACTTTGTTATTAGTATAGTGAAATATTATTTTATTTTATGTTTTATCTTGATAATAATTTTTATATTTATTAAATGTAATTTTAAGTTAAGGAAAATAAAAGTATTTAATAGTGTATATATAATATCTAATAAAAGTTGTAAATAATCATAATAGCGCTTTGTGAAACCTTAGAAATATAACAAATAAGAATAAATAGGAATAATACCTTCAAAGGATCTATATTTAGTTCTAGATAAGAATATTTAACTTAAAAGATTGAATGATTATTGAACATTAATTTAATCAAATTATATTGAAATTTTAAGTAATAAATGGATGTTGAAAAGGTTGTTTATTTAACTGAAGACGTCAAGAATAAAATAAAAAATATTGATTTAATTTCAGAATGTAATCCAGATAATTTTTATCTATTAATTGGAATAATTATAAATGAAGATAATTATAAAGACTGTGTTATTATAACAGATATATTTCATCATTCTTCTAATATTTGGAATGGAAATATAAATGATTTGATAAAAGATATAAATATATCACTTCCAATAGGTTTTAATATTGTTGGCATTATAAACTATAATGAAAATGTGACATATTGGATTGAAGATTTAATAAATAACAATATGAAATGTTTATATGAAATTAAGGTTAATCCTTTAAAATTAATGATGATTCCAAAATATTCAAAATTAGATTTAATGGATTCTGTAATGACATATGAATTATTACAAAATAGAATGAAGATCGAATTAAATTTATTAAATACTATAATATGTAATAAACATATATTATCAAAATTTGGATATTTTATTGCTTCTGAAATAAATTTTTCATTTGTTATAACAAAATCAGAAGATATAGAAATAATTAAAAAGATAAAGAAGATAATGAATATAATTGAATATAATTCTATATTTATAACAAGAAATTTAATAAATAATGAATATGTTATGAATTTTTTTGTTTCAAAAGGAAATAATATATTAAAAACTGAGAATAAGATAACTTTTCAAGAACAATATAAAAATGGAAATAATATATATGATAAAGATAATTTCAATATACCATATTATATACCAATGTACTTTTTTTTTGGAGATGATTTTAATGAAAATAATATAAATGAATTAGTTAGTTCATATAATGAAGAAGATAATATAATTAAAGATAATGAGACTTATAGTAGATTAAAATTTCATTTTGTAGGATGTACATTTAATTTTAATAATAAAGATAATTGGCAAGAAAATTTACGTCAATCATTTCTTAATCAGTGTGAACATTTTATTTTAAGATTAAAAAATAGGACAGATTTATATAATAAGATAATTTTAAGCTGTAATTTGAATTATGAAAGTTATATTTTTAAAATTAAAGAATTGGTAATTCCTATTATTTTAGCAAATACTGGTTCAATATTTTTAAATGAAGATAATGAAAAGATATTTAATAATGATAATATTAGAAAGGAAATAAGAAAATTATGGTTAGAAATATTTAATATAAATTATAGACCACTTATTTCAAAGGAATTTGCATTGAAATTATCAGTTTCAGATCTTTATAAAAATGATGGGAAATTAATTTCACCACATAATAATATTCTTTTAAAAAGTACGAAGACTATAGGAAAGAAGAATTTAGATTTTGCAATTTCTAAAGAAATACTAGATAATAAGATTTATAAAATTGAAGGAGATTATTGGTACTTTCATTATTTTCAAGATAATATAGATGATATTGGATGGGGTTGTACTTATCGTTCCTTACAAACGGTATTAAGCTGGTATTTACTTAATAATTACAGTATAAAACCAATACTTAATCATTGTGAAATGCAGAAAATATTAAAATATCACGATAATACCCATGAAGGATTGGAAATAGGTTCAAATACATGGATAGGAACAATTGAAGCTTCATATATATTAAGTATTTATTTAGGAATTCGTTGTAAAATAATATATTTCCATAATATAGATGAATTTATTCAAAAATATGATATATTAATAAATCACTTTGAAATTGTTAGTTCACCAATTATTATTAGTATTAGAAATTATTCTTATATATTAGTTGGTATACGCACTTTTCAGAATATTCAGAATAATGTGGAATATCTTATTTTAGATCCCCATTATAAAGGAGATGATAATATAGATATTATAATAAGACGAGGTTGGGTTGGATGGAAAACACCTAATTTTTTTAAATCTAACTCAAAAGATAAGTTTGTAAATATACTTCTACCTACTAATATTGCTGAATTTGACTCTGATATTATTTACTAACTCAATTTTCTTTTATTAGTATTATGGATCCTTCTTTACTTTGAAATATTCATGAGTTTTAAATGGATTAAAATCTGGCTTATCTGTATCCCTTCTTAATTTAACTCTTAATGATGGTACTGAGTATGTTATTTGTCTTGCATTTTCACGCAATGGATATTTTCTACAAATAGGTGTCTCAACCTTTTTTTCATTTTTAGGTTTATGTCTTGGAGATGGTGGTATCATTAATTTTAACAGTGAAATATGTGAAATATCTTCAGTTTGTATTTCTACATCTTTAGTTATTATATTTTTATTATTTTTAATTGCAGTTTCTGATAATGGAGATTGTGGTATTGGTGATAATTTTGGTTGAAATCGAGCTCTATGTCTTTGACTTAATTGTGGAGTTGTTAAAATTCCTAATTCTGAATTTTCTTCTAATGGTTTTGTATATCTATTTCGTAATTTCGCTCTAAGCCTTATATTCTCTTGAAGTAAACTTTGATTCTATTATATTAAAATATACAGATGAATATATATGAAATATTATTTAATTTTATTTTTCAATAGATATAAACTTACTGTTTTCTTTTGACCTTGAATAACTGTTCAATAGTAGATTTTATTTTGGTCAAATTTTTATTTTATTTAGATAGAAACATATTTAAGATAAAAATAAGTAATTTTTTTCTCTTTTAAATATAAAATGAAATTACTCACTTCTTTCATAAAGTCGAATGATTTCTTCGATATCTTCAGTTTTATTCATTCGGAAATCATTCATTTGAAAAAGAAACAAAGTTTTTAATACATAATAATACTAAAAGTTACCTAATACAATAATATTCCTATCCACACTACAATACCGGCATTTACATGCAATGTAAATTGCATATAATGACGTGGCACCATTTCTCTAGATTATTTTTTATTTTGTTTAAATACATATGAAAGAAATTCAAATATGGTACCAATTGACCATGCTTGTGCTGTACAACTATCTTTACAATAACTCCCATTATCATTTGTAAGCTCAGGTAATGATCCCCATGGACTTTTAGCAATATACTCTCTATGATTATTTAAAAATTTCATAGTTTCATATAGAGCTTTTGTTTTGTGAGATTCTAGATTAGAATTTTGTTCTGATTTAGCAGCTGCCAACATCATCATATATTTTGCTTTTAAGAAATATCCAAGTGGCCATATCCATTCAGGCCCTTGATGATAGTTGAAACCATGGGCAATATGAAAATCAGTAGAATCATTAGAATTATCATAATTTGGATAATAATTATAATCTGATGGATCAAGAGTTTTCATTCCTAACATATTGGGTGATAATAATTGTTCTTCTACTATTTTTAAAGCTGAAAGAGCATGTTCTGTAGTAAATAATTCTGGAGCAATACCAATTGCTATAGAAAAATTTGGTCTGAGTTGATAATCAGCCCACCCACTAGATGATCTATGCGTATCTTTATATATAGATACACGATTAATAAGTTTAGTATCTATATCATATTTATCATTTAATCTATCTCTAGGTGGAATATAAAATAAATATTCAAAATTTGATTTGATCTTAGTTATCCAGTCAGAATAAGAAAGAAATGAAAAAGAATTCGAATTTTCTATATTCTTAATGTATACTCCTGTATAAGGGTATTCTTTCGATTTTTTTATTTGTGATAAAAATTGCAATGTATTAAATAATAATGCAACAAGTTCTATATTAGCCCCATCTCTTGGTGTTGCAGGTATCCCTTTGTTTCCAGCTTTTTCGGAGGATCCCATTTTATCCATCCATGTACCACAGTTATGTTTATTTCCACCATAGAATAATCCATTTGATGAGTCCCAAGTAATTGATATATTGAAACCTTCATCTTTCATTTGTTCATCTATTTCTTTTCCTGCATTTTCTTCACGAAAAGAAATTCCTAATACATGCCTAGTCAAGATATATTGTATAATATCACATAGCTTAAGAGACTTAATTTCATCACTTTTACAATCCTGAAGTATCCATTGAAATGCATCTTTTTCTTTTTGTAAAGAAGAAACATTTATAGGACTTTTTAAATTTACTACTTCTTTTAAAATACTACATCCATCTTCAACATTTTTGCAATAATCAACAATTGCTCCAATAAAAAACCATGTTGCATCTCTAGCATTATATCGTGGTCGATTACCAGAATCTAATAAATTTGGTATTAATCCATTTTTCATTAGTCTTGCATATCCCAAAATTTCACATTTTGCCTCCATACTTCTATTAGTAAATAATAGTATTCCATTTATTGATATAAAAGTATCACGCCCCCAATTTCGCATAAATCCTGTTGAGAAATGTGGTAGACCAGCACATAATGATGGTAACTTTGTATCCCATATTAGCGGAGCAGAAGGTACATATGAATAAAATTGATATGTTGCAGCTTTTATTCGTATATAAAATATATCAGTCATGATAAATTTACTACTCATTTCAGCTGAGGTTATGTTACCATTGGTATCTCCAAATAAAATATAATACATAATACATCTATAAATTGCAGAGAATATTTGATCAATATAAGTAATCAGATAATCAATTGGAATTTTTGCAGTTTTTTGAAGTAAAACATATTGGAAGTGGATCCAATCAGCCAATTCTATTAATGGAAAAGTCTCCATATCTTCACAAATTTCTGTCATCTCACCTCCTTTATTCCTATCACATTTATGATATTGTTTATTATTAAATGCTTTGTATTCTCTTAATCTATTAATTGTATAATCAATATACCAAGATCCCTGCTTAAGATGAATAATAAATGGATGACTTTTTCCACCATCATCATTCATGCGAATATTATCAAATATACTGATACAACTATAGATACCACAGTATGGCATATCTCCATAATTAGGTACATTATAAACACTTCTACTTTTCGTACGATCTAGTTCCTCACTAGAACAACTATACATTATATAGTTAATTGCATCTGATGCATTACATTGCTTTAAACAATTTTCAATAATAATAGGTAGTTTAATAGCAATATTATCATAAAATTCTTTAAAGGCACTTTTTGCAATACTTACACCAGTATGACGTATTGTATGTAAAATAATTAGTGATCCAGATGGAAAATTGTGCAGATTTATAGATGTTTCATGTAGATTCTCATTGTAACAAACATTTGCAATATCTTCAAGTTTACTATAAAGTATTAAGTCAGAATCTAATCCATGTATCCTATTAGGATCATTTCTATATGCTGCAAAAAAGTAAGTTGGTACAACTAATGTACCTATAAATAATGTCTCTTTTATTTTACCATCTAAAGTAATATTAATAGGAATATTATTAGGTTTATCATAAGTAAATGATGAATGAGTTATAAAATAGATATTTTCTTGTATATTTGGATTATATCTTTGAATCATCAATATGTCAGATGTTAAATAATGAACATGGGTTTCATTAAATCCTGAGGTAGCCATATTATAGTGTACTTTATTAAGTATCTTGCGTGCCTCCATAATACCAGGTAATCTATCTCCAGATTTCCATTTAGTAGCTAAGGCTAAAGATTTTTGATGTTTTAATAGAGAGATAATATTATTAATATTCCCATTTTTATCCATAGTATATGGAATATTAGGATCATGTACCCAATTTCCATCAACAATATACTTATACTCATATTGCAATTTATTACTTTGTGGATAAATTATATTATCTTTATTATTTGTATTACTAGTAGATTCTGATGAATTTGCAAATTTAACAAGTATTTTAGTACTAAAATGTCCATCCTGTTGTTTTTCAAGAGAGATACTGTTTTTCCAGTTATCCCAATCTCCTCTTATCTCAACATTATTACCATTATATTTCCATTCAATAGTAATATCTGCTACAAAATCAGAATAAGTACCAGATAGATCTCCCGATGTTCTACATATAATAGAATTATCTGTTACTAGACCACTTCCTAATCTTTGAAAGGGTCCAAGACTGTTTGATCTTGACCTTAAATTTAGTTGTGAATTATTAGTTTCAATCCTACCCCTTTCTTCTCTAACTTTCTCTGAGATATTTGTTATGTAATTTTGATAAAGTCTTCTTTCTGATACTACACTAATATTATGTGGCACTAATTCATCAAATCCTCTAGTGGATCCTAATGCACATGCAGCGGAAGCTACTAATGCAGCAGTTGGTAATGTATCTACTGGTGTTCTTATTTCACTTGGAGTTTCATTATCATGGGTACAATCAAAAAATAATGCAGGACATGGTCGTCTTACTAAAGGTTGTGCGCCTTTAAGTTGTGGTAATTCAACATTAGCCTCTCCAGTATTATTATTTAAATCAATGGTTTGATAAAGTGATGGTATACACATCAAACCACCAATACCGCTTGAACTGTATGTACTTACAAGATATCCAAGAGATCCAGGATCATTTGCACGCATTGCTTCACGTATTAAAGCATTTAATCCAAGCTGTCTTTCAAATTCTAAATCTACATCAAAATTCCCAGTAAATAATTCAGCATATACCCAAAGATTAGGCCTAACTTTTCGACTCTTCCTAAGCATATATTTTGCTACATGTGGTGGAGTAGAATGACAATTATCAAGTCTAATACCATGAAAAATAGATGCAACAGTAGTACAATAATCTGACATCCACTTCCATAAAAAAGGTACATCTTCTTCATTCTCACCATATCTTAATTTCACACAATCTGACCAGACAAATAAATCTCTCCTTAAATAAACAAAAGATCCAGAAGCTGCAAAATCTTGTAAAACATTCCATCCCATTACCCAACCATTATTTGCCATATATTGAAGTTTACCAGTTGAATCAACTATTGGAGTAAAATATCTAGGTGTTAATGCTTCCCAATGATTATATCCTAATGAACCCTTCTTACATTGAACTCTTTCCCACATTACAAGACCACGTACTGAATTACTTATAGTTCTTATTATGTCATCAGCAAAATTATATAATCTACTTTGTACAATATGTAATTTATTTCTTAAATCATTAGAATTACATAAACTTAACCTATTCAAAATTGAACCTGGGATAATAATCATTTTACCTCTCTCTGTACAAGATAAATGTAATGCAAATTCATAAAGTTTATCTTCTATAGAGGAAGAGTTTATACCATTTTTCTCCATAACTCTATTAAATAAATCTGTTATATTATCATCATTAACTTTATATTGATATTGATTAATAATTCCTTCTATATCAAGAGTAAAATATTCATTTATATTAAATTTCTTTAAAACTTCTTCATTAAGAGCATGAATAACTCTATCAACATCATTAGAACTATTAATATTTTCACTAATTCCATACTTATTCATATACATTCCCTCTAATATATTCTTTGAAAATTCCTGTAATTTATTATCTAAATCTACAGCAGCAGTTAAATGAGGTGAATTTTCTAAATTATAACCACATTCTGGATGATCAATTAACCAAGGTGAATTATCAGCTGTGTGATTTAAAACAATATCACATGTTGATAATATTCCAAAGTCATTCTCTAGCTCTTTAATCACTTCTTTTAAATATGATACTTTCTCTTCATTTGAAAGCTCCAATTTATTATCTTCTGTACTTTCTTTATCATTTTCACCTTCTTGAAAAAATAAAGATGATATCTCATTCTGATTTGCTAATGAGTAGCATGAACCAGATTGTCCAAAAACTTGAAATGGAGTAAAATGTATCATATTATAATTAAGTTTTGAAATTATTTCTAATCTTCTCTTCCATTCAGTTATATTTCCTAAACATTGGCTTAAAACTGTCTGCATACATATACCTGAACTAGGTATACATTTCTTATTTATAAATAATTGAGGTTCAACTATTAAATTATTACATATTTTATTTTCTACTGGTTCTCCATTCACAGAATTCCATTTCAGTTTAATATTAGTTGAACCTGGAACTTTTAAAACAATACTCCAATAATAATTACCTAATTCATCAATATTAAATGGATCAACTAATTCGATATCTCCATGAAAATCTTCAACATATAATTGAAATTTATTTCCTTCTATTCTACCATTATATAAAGTTATAATTAAACAGTCATTACAAAGTACACGTATATTACCAACACTTCCAGCAAAACTTAATCTACTTAAATTATCAAATTCAGAAAACCATATATTCTTACTGTTTATATTATCTAACAATAAATTTGGTATTTCTTTCTTTGTATGGATTTCTGTAGTTGTTTTATTAGATACTTGTATCTCTTCACTATTTATATGGTCATTTTTTTCACTTGATGTATTTGGAGATGTATATGTTGTTGTATTACCTTCAGATGTATTTGGTGGTGATATATCAGGAATAACAGCCTTAGCTGGCAATGTTTCACTTCTACTAGAATTACCACTTCTAATATTGTTACTGTCACTTTTTGTTTGATTACGAAAGTTTAGGGATTTTAACATTTTTAATCTTAGTATATTTATTAAGTAGTATAAATGTTACCTAATGATAAAAGTGCACAATATAATTGCGTGCCATGCCTTGTTGCAACTACGAGCGTAAGAATAACGGATTAAAGCGAGGGAAACTTGAGATTCAAAGACTAGAAGAAATTACAATAATGTTTTAGCGCCAAATCTTACTATTTTTTGCTTTATTGTTAGATTTAATGTTAAGAACTTAAATTCTAAATTTTCCATCTTTAAATTTTACTTCTATTCTAATATTTAGTGATATGTATTAGATTTAATTTGACAAGATTAATTTCTATAGATAATGATAAATTTATCAATAACTAATTTAAATAAGTAAAGATATATAGACGAAATCTCGATCATAAAAAAAAGTATTAGAGATAAAACAAAAAAATTTTGGTTATATTATAAGTTATCTTTCTTTCTTTATCTTAAATAAATAATATTACTAATATATATAAACTAGTTACTTCTTAGATAGTGTTATTACTGCCTATTATTATATTATTGCAATATATCTTATTTATTATAAAAAAAAGAGTAAAATAAAGATATCTGAGAAAAGTAAATATTAATATATAAATTAGGAATTTTAAAAATTAGTATTATAAATATATATCAAATCTATTAGATACTATCCAGTAAGCAGCGGGTTTGGTCTAGTGGCTATGACGCTCGCCTAACACGCGAGAGATCACGAGTTCGATCCTCGTAACCCGTACTTTTTTAAACTATTTCCTAGATAGACACTTTATGATTACATTAAGAGTATTGTTATTTAATTTAGGAAGCGGTTAAACTAGTAATAATGAAGACGTATACTTGATTAATTTTATATTATTGACAGTATCTTTAATTAAAGGTACCTCCCAAGAACATCCTTTTTCTTCTCTTAGGGATACTACAATAAAGTAAATATATAATGCTCTATAATGTAACAAGACAATGAGGATTAATAATATCCAGTAGTTTATCTTCTTTAAAAAAAGAAACAGAAGGAAAGAGGACATAAGATTAATAATAATTTCAGACTTAATAGAGATATAAATGAACTGCTTTATATCTTCATTATAAATATTCCTACATAATACATAGTAAATTGTATCTCTTTGATGAAGATATATCTGTAAACCTATTTTCTATTATTAGTGCTTATAATGATGTAAGCTTGTTTAAACAAGCATTGGGCTCTTATTCTATAAATGAAGAGTAAAAATTATACTGAATATTTTAAATAATATTAGGTGGTGATATAGATAGTATTTACTTATATTTAAGTCCATACTCCACTTATCTATATTATAAATAATATAAAATAAAATGTAAAGAAAATACTTTAATGATGATATTCAGATCGCTAAGAAGCCAGTTCTGCTTCTGATACCAATTACTGGTTATGATTATGAGCGGTCTATTTACTGAAAACAAAAAGTACTTGTACTTATTTTTGTGTCTTTTTTTTTCTAATATTTAGATACATCTATCTATTTAGACTCTGTTGTTCCATTAGAAAACATAGAAAGGAGATTAGTAAGTATACCTCTTGTTTGGTTGGAAACTTTCCCAAGAATATTTTGTTCAATTTTCTCAATTAACTTATTGAAAAGTGGATCTCTTCTTAAAATTAATGCATATTTCCTTTTGATTATATCCATAAAGTCTAGTCCCAAATATTTATCTGATAATTCACATGTAGAAACAATTAGGAAAGCTAATTGGATAGGACTAGGTGGTTTCTTATTAATTATTTTATTAATATTGTTTTGTTCAAGATTATTTATATTAATTAAATAACCATTAATTAAACAATATTTATCAAGTAATTCCCTTGCATAATTTAATTTAGGTAATGAGAGTAGAATTAATACAGCTCTAAGTACAAATAATTCCTTTTCTGATTTATAACCCATTTCTTGCCACTTAAGTAATATATCTACATATAAATCAGCATCATCTATAAATATTACATGACCTTGAGCTTTGTGATAAATTCCTTCTTTATAGTAAATATTAGATGCCCATTTATGTAATATATCCTCACCTTCATTCATATTACTAACTTTACACCATAATAATGCTTCATTTAAAAGTTTAGAACGTTCAGGACTAGATTTACAAAGTTTTAAGATATCCATAATATTATCAATCCCCTTTATATCAGACTTAATACCATTTTCCCTAGCCACTTTTATTACATGACAGCAGATATAGCATGCTACATCAGAGCTTCCATATTCTGCAAATATTTTTGCTTTTTCTAAACCTATATTAAGGGATTCACTAGGAGGTAGGCGAGATATACGGCTTAATAAAAGTTGATAGGCATCATAGTAATCACCTTTATCAAGCTTGGTCTTTATACTTTTCCATGCTCTTTCCATCAATAAATTATGCTGGTAGTATATAACTTTGATATAACAAAAAAATTAAATGAAGAGCTTAAGAAATTTTTAACAACTGTGGGGATAATGAGGCGCTATCAATATTTATATAATAGCGCCATTTAATTTATTAGGTTTGGATTGTAACAGTGTATAAGAAACCTAATTTGTAGGAATAGGAATCCTAACAAATATTGGACATTTAAGAAAGTAGATATGTTTTATATTCACTATGTAATAAATCGTACACTTGAGATTATTTGGTCTAGTTATATAAATAAGATATATTGTAAAATAATTGTTCAAAGATAAATTGATATATTACCTTTGATTATAAAAATTTTTTATAATAATAAGGATAGCTTCTACAGCAAGTATTTCATCAACAGGTAATCTATAGGTGATACTTTCCAAGTATCTCTTAATTTTTTGCATATTAAATGTTACTTGTGAATGATAAGAATCAACTTCATGTATAGCTGCTAAGCATGTAAATATCCAAGATAAGATATTCCAATTTACTATAAAGTGATCTATATTCTCAATATCTTGTAGTATTATTTCTAGTAAGTTACACCAATTATGTGAATTCCACTTTCCAAGTGATAATTTCGATTTCTTATTTTGATTATAGATGGAACGCCATTCTTCTTCATCAATGATATCATCTCGGGAATTTATAGTATATAATTCTTGGATATAAGACTTTATATATTCGAATTGTTTGATTGTATTATATTTCCATTGTAAATAATTATTAGAATTTCTGATATCTAAAAGTTGTTCGCTAATTGTATAATTCATGATATCTTCAAATTCTCTAAAGTAATTTAAACTAGCATTATCACTAATATTATCATTAATATTTGATTCAGTAATTTTACTATTCCTATTACTTGAGATAAGTTTTGCTTCATTTCTTACATTAATTAAATATTTCATAACATCTTCATCTTCATATTCTGGATCATAAAGTGAGGATTCTTCTTGTAATCCTTGTTCATTTAACATTACAGATTACTATTCCCTTAAAAAACTGGATAAGAATCAATCGAATCAAAAAATTAGCGTTCTTTCTTAGTTTCATTCTCAGACTTTTCTTCATCTATTGGCGCTGGCATATTGTCTTGTAATTCAATATTTTGTATATGTTCATCTTGAAGAAAATAGGATTCTGCAATATCTCCAAATAATAATAAGCAAGTACATAATGTACACCCAGATAATATAACACAAATAACAATAGTTACTAATATAGCATGGTACCATGATTTGTAAAATACACTACTTATAGCAACATTAAGATCATAGAAAAATCTTCTAATAGAGTTTATACTGAAAATTGAATAAGCCTTTTTCTTAGATATTTGAGGATCTTCTTTAAGTATAAGTTTAATAGTATTATATAGATGTTTTATAGTAATGTCTTTAGGTAGATTATAATAATATTTAAGTCCATCTGAGATAACTATACTATAACCTTGAGTATAATTTAGATTATTAATTCCAAATTCTCTAAATAAGGATGAATATGTAAAAAAATCAACAATTAGAAAAATAATACCACGTGGATGTGCTGAATTACTAAATTTGACTGGAAGAACATTTTCTTTTCTAATTTGAACAGCAAGTTTCTCAAATTCTTTTAAATATTCAGGATAATTTTGACCCAATAATTTAACATCTATTCCCATTATAACTAATAGATTTCCACTATGTAAAGAATCAATAAATTCATCTTGACGTGGAAAGAAAACACTAGGGAATTTATATTGATTAATAAAATTAATAATAAATTCCATTGAATGATTAAAAGGTAATGTTGGAGATTCATTATTAGAAGCTAGAACCATTATACATGGAGGATCACAACTTTCTGATATACTTAGTTTAATTATATTAGATACAAGTTTTGGATCTGTCACTGTAATTATTGAGATTTCATTTCCAATATGATTGGATAAAGTTAAGAGGAATTCTTCGTATTTTGAAATATCATCATTACTTTGTAATAGAAGAGCAAAAGTTGGGAAATTTCTTATTTCAGCCTTAATTTCATCTAGTTGCTGTTGTGATGTAATATGTGTATATTGAGGATTTTTACTACTTTCTATAAATCTAATGAAATCTTTTACAGTTCTTTTTGGTTTCTCATACTTCTTAACATATGATTCATTTAAAAATAACTTAAAAGTTGGATAAGCTTGAATTTTTTCTTTTTTGCAAATTTCTGTTTGTATAGTACAATCAACCTTTCCAATTTGTATGTTATTATTATTTAGAATGAAATATTCTGCTGTTTTCACAACTTCAGGGTATATCCGTTGACAATATCCACACCAAGGAGCAAAGAAGTATATAAACCATGTAATATTTTCATTTTTTCTAAGTACTTTTTCTTCAAAATCTTTTTGTTGCAAATCCGTGATATGATCTTTAAAGTCTCCTAATGAATATATTGAGCCAATATACAATAAGAAGTTAAAAAATAATGCAACAAGTATCTTACATAAGACATTCATAATTTAGTAGGAATAATAACAAAGAAAAAAAAAAGAATATAAAACCCTAATATCTATAGTAGCGGTTATCATTTGTGTGTTGTGTGGTTACCATAAAAGGCTAAGATTTTCTTTTTTTTTTCATTTATTTTAATAAAGAATACAAAAAGATTAATTTGAAATAAAATAAATACCTTTAAATAAGATATAAGTGACATTTTAGTAATTTTCATTGTGACAAATTAATAAGAAATTCAGTATTGAATACCTAATTTACTAATTTTCTTTTTTCTTTTGAGAATTAACTTCAGATTCTTTATTTTATTTATTCAAATATTCAGTTCCTTCACAATAATTCCATGCATCTATAAACTGATTTCTATGATATAAAGATGCAAAAAATGATAGTATGCAGAATGGTACCAAATATAGTAGCGCAGGTTGAGCTGCCTTAAAGTAAAACATTACACATGCTGTAATTAAAAGGCCAAGTTGATAAGCTATTAAGACTGAAATAAATGTTTTAGTAGGATAGTTGTTCAAAATAATCTCTTTAATTTGAATATGTTTACTTACAATATCTTTCAAGTCAAATCTCAAACATAAAGCAATAAATAAACCAGGTATTACAATATCTCCAAGTCCTAAAATACTCTGTTTCCATGGATCATAAGATATAGGAAAAATGATTTTAGCAGGTCCTTGAAAGGATTTAGCAACAGTAATCATAACATTTGTTCCAAAAACCCAAAATATATCATATACAAATAATCCACTTAACAAAATTATACCAATTTTAAAATCTCCAAGGGAAATAAGAGATATTGCCTGTATACAAAATGAAATTGCCAAAATATTATGAATAATCCAAGAATCAGTTAATAACCAAGTAATCCCTAAAATTAAACTAATTGTAAAACTCCATAACTCATGAATTGTTATCTTTATTTGATACCCACGTTCATTCTGAGAATTTTTATATAATCCAAAAAAATTGCAATATTTTTCTATTATTACTCCACTCTTTGTATCTGTGATGAGAGAAGAGAATTGTAAAACAGTTTCAGACAATGTAAATATACCTATTATAGCTAAATATAATGTTAATAACAAATTCACCCAATATTCTGGTAAATATTTGTAAGCTAAATATAATGAGAGTAAAGCTCCAGATCCTATTAATGGAAACAAGACAGCATCTTTACGAGTTAAAAATTCAGCTCTCTGTTCTCTTTCACCTGTAATAGGATTGACTAAAATCTGATTTAGAGATAAATAAGATCCAATATATATAGTAGGGAATGTATACATAACCATTTGTACAACTACAGGTAAAGGCTTGAACCATGTTAAAAATATGACCAATAATAGGTTTAAATAACTCCCAATGTAAATATAATCACTTCTTAATTTCAAACTCATTGTATTTCTACTTAATAAAGTCTTTACTACTGCAATATAAGATTATTTAACTTTAACACTTAGTATTGATATTTTCTAATGATCATAAAACAACCGCCTTATATTCAATTGCGCCATTTTTTTAACCGCTTTTTTAATTGTTGGGAATGCCGGTATATATGTGCTATAAAATAATAATTGGTATAATTTGGATATATTTTTTCTAAAAAAGTTATCAAGTTTATTAAATTTGGGATTACTATATATAGTCGATTTGATTTCACCTTGGATTTTTTTGAATTTATTTATAGTTACTAGCTTTGTGAATCCTAAGATGGCTTAGTACTAAATATAAACATAACTAAGAAAGTAATACAATCAAAAGTTAGCATATTTTTTGATATTTATTAATATTAATTATGAAGATTCAAGGTGAGACTCCAAAAAATAGTGAAGTGAGTTCGAAGGTGATAGATATAGGAAATATTGAAGATTCTATAAGTGCTTCATGTGCTACTGACACAATACAGGATACCTCTTTAGGCACGCCAGAGAATGTTGCTGACTATTGTACTGCAAATGATGCTGTTAGTGGTGGATGTTCATCCATAAATGCTTGCTTTAATGCTTCTTCATCACCTCTAGTAGACTCCTTTACGCTTCCCTCATCCTCAAGATTAAATCCGATTATAGGAGGATATTTAGATAAGCTAAGTCCCACAGCATTTAAAGGATTTCAGAAGAGATATTTTCGTTTAAATGTTGTTGATAGTGCACTTTTATATTGGAGGGAGGAACCAACATATAGTGACCAGCAACCTCAAGGATGTATTAATTTATCAAGTGTAAAGGCTATTCATATAGAAGATGCACTGCACTTTGTAATTAGGACTCAAGGTAGAGATTACTGCCTTCGTGCCTTAGCTCCTGGAGATAAAGATATTTGGCTTGAATCTATATGTACCATAGTGAATGTTGTGGCTCATAGAGAAGCACTAAAAGAAGCTAAAGCTCAATATGATTTTAGTCGTCTTTTACTAGATAATTCGAGTGGTTTACAAACAAGTTTAATTGAGGCATTTAAGACACAAAGGAAGATAAAGTGGGTAAAGGAAGATAGAGTACCATTGACTTTTTCTGTTAGAGGAAAGAAGTTATTTCTTCACGTAAAAAATATTCAGAAACCTTTATCACAATTATGGTTTGATTATGTTTTCCGTATTAGATATACAAATAAGGCATATGAGACTATTTCAAAGCCAATACAGAGAAGTTCTTCATTTTGCTTATCATCATCTAGTTTATCTTTAGATGAGATTTTGTCATCCCAAAGGCAATCTAGACAAGCATATTTTTATGGTACATATCGTGGTCAGCAGATACGCCTGAGGACAGAGAAGATGTATAATAACTTTGGCAGTAATAGTAATAAGAATGTTTCAAATAATAACAGTGTCAATGGTGATACTACTCTAATATCTAATAATTTAACATCACCTATTCCAGAATATTTCCAATCAATAGATTTGAGAGCTTTAAACTTTTTGCGGGCTCGCACTTATCTAGATAATGTACTTTTTGGAGCACTTGATATTGAAGTTGGACCAATTCCAGTTGAATCTGTGAATAATACAGATAACTATAATAATGGTCTGAGTAGTTGTTCTTCTGTTCCACTAGTGCCAATGCAGAAATATTTTGCACTACTCATTTCTTCAAGACCAATAGCAAATAATGAAGCATTTTTCCCTTTACCTAACAATTTCATTATTCAATCGGGTAATAAATTAGCTGATGAAACAATAAATAATAGCCAAATTGGCAGTGAAGAGTTACCATTTGGAATGCAATTGGACTGTTTATATTTATTTTCTCCTGAATATGATGATAATCCTCCATTATATGTTATTGAATTAGATAATATACAATTATCTAGTAAGATACGTGAAATACAATCTGGATTTCAATTTAGGTTACAGGTTCCTTTACAAAATATTCTAGTATTTTTACCAGCCAAGCAAGAATTACATTTTGGTAGTGTTAGTACGAATACTGAGTGTGTCGGTTCATTAACACCAGCAGATAACTTAAACAATGAAGTAGTTTTATCAAATGAATCGGAATCCAATGATGGTAGCCACTCATCAAGTGTTACTGTAAATCATATGAATAATAATAATAAATCTAGTCATTTAAATACACCTGTGATATCTACAACTAAATTATCACCACCTATTGCTACTGGAGCATCTCATCAAGCTATTCTCCCAATTTCCTCAATTTGCAACTTAACATCAAATTTACCTACTTCAGCTACAAGCAATATTACGACAAATAATCCAAGTATATTAAACCAATCGAATGAGAAGATTTCTATTCGTATTATTTCAATATTTGGACCTGATGCAGAAATTTGGAGAGAATCATTAGTTGCAAGTTGCAGAGCTCGTCATGCTATTAGAGAACAGCGAATGAGAACTCTATATGACGAATTAAGAGCTTATGATAGTATCCCTAAAGAAATACTTGAACAGAATATAGAACAACTTTTATATCGCACAATGTTGTATATTTATAACAATACCTCGAATTTAGATAAAGAAATGGGTTTTAAAAGAGTCTCATCTTTTATTGGGATACTTAATGACAACTTCATAAGAAATGCTGACAATATTTCTTTGATGAAACTTACTAATCTTGTTGCATGTAGTTTTGCCACAATACCAATTGCAAAGGTACTACAAGGATTAGATGTATTTAATACAACTAGTATTGATTTGTTACAAGCATCTCATAGATCTTTAGGAACTCCTAGAGTTGATATTCTACGATTTATCCGTGAAAAGTACTTATTACCTATATTTGAAATGTTATACAAGTGTTACAAGGAGCGCTATGAAATTTTCAGCGAACTAGATATACTATTGATTTTGGAATTTTTGGCTGATATGCAATTTTCTTATGAATCTTATGGAATCTTTGATTCTTTATTTCAATATTATATTATTTCATTCTCTGATATATATATTAGGAAAATCATTAAACAATATTATTGTACACTCTTTCATATAATTGATGATACTTGCTCTCTAGGGAAGACAAATAGAGATAAGGATACTGGGACTTTATCAATATCTTTATTCAGTGATCTTTTCAGTATTTTGATTTGTATGGCAAATTCATTTTCAACATTACAAATGTATTATAATTCTTCATATATTCGTAATATGGTATTTTCTATTATTCAACAAACATTATTATTATATCAGCTTGCTATGAGGGATGTTGTATTACTTAATATATGTACATTAACTGAATTTGATATTAGTAATCGGAATTTTTATTTTTTAATGAAGTCAATATGCAAAATACGAGTAATACTGATAAATTCAACCTATCAAGTACCACTTGTACTTGGAACGAACTTGATTTCGATAATTATCCTTGCTTCAATTTCCATATTCAAGATTACTTAAATATAGAAACTGAAAGTAGTAATTTTAAGGCAAATTGTGAAGGTATTGGAATTACTACTGAAGTTCTTTGTGGCCTTTTGAATGGAATTGAGGATTATATACACAGGTGCGATGAATTAGATCAAATATTGGAACGTTGGATGCCTTTTTTGCTTTATAAATATGAGTGTGAGTATATGAGGGAATATAATTTGCAATCATCCCACATTGTAGCAAATTACAGCTATACACAATCAATTGATAATGAGTCTATAGTGAATAACAATCAAAACAATTCTGTAAGCAGTGTTACAAATAGTGGTATAAACAATGCTATATTAAATAACTCTATTGGGATTAACAATGATATATATAGGAATTTAGACTTGATAATTCCGAGAAATTTAAGAAATGAAGCGAAAAGATTTACCTTATTGCACAGTTTATCAAAAATACTTCTTACTATAAGAGTTTGTAAAGATTGGAATAATAAATTTCAGAATATATTTATATCAGCAATACAACAAAAACAAGAGACACTTCTTAATCCCAATATTTCCGATAGTACTATTAACAAAGATGATAATTTGTGTAACTCAAGTACTCAAAGTAATTTATCCTGGCTCTCTTTAATTTTATCTTTTGATATGGACAATTTACTGAAGGAAGCTGTTAGACCACAATTACGTGTATTGAAAATGTCTCTAAAAAAAAGTATTTTTAGTAGAGTATCTAAGATGATACTGGAATATACTATCCATAGATATATAAAGTTAATTATGTATTTTGCTTACTATTACTCATCAATTGATAATAAAAATCCTAGCATTGAAACTGGTTCTTCTATATCTCAAGATGATGATACTACTGAAAACAATAGTTGCGACTTGATAGCCTCTAAGCTATTAGAGGATTGGGATATATTTGGAAGATTTTTCCAGGATTGTATGTTAGAGGAAGATATTCGTGAATGTTTAATTATTTTGGCTGATCTACATGATATTTTAATTGCACCATTACCTACAGTCAACCAAAAATGTGTTGAATTTCAAGAAAAATATCGTATATTTGATGTAAATATTTTTATGAGATCTGTTATGAGAATGCGTTGTGAGCCTAATATAGAGCTATTTCGTCATTCATGCTCAGTATCATCTATTGATTTAGACAATTCACTTAATAACTCAATAAGTACAGATGAAGTAACACAACTTTTAAATGTAAATGCTATTAATACTGATGGAAATGTTGCTACATCATCAGAAGTGGTTGATACAATGGTTAATTATGACAAATTTTCATCTATATCATGGGCTAAGTTGAATCCGTGTATGTGTAATAAGCAAATGAATTCTTTGAGGAATATAGGTAATTCTATTATTCAAAATATTTCCACTGTTTGTAATATATCTGAGAATGCAGACCCAACTACAAATTTGTGTGCTAATATCACAACAAATTCTGGTCTTCTTGTAGGTAATACTAATATAAACTCAACAGCTATTTCAAATATTTTAACAAATTTAAATTTTCCTAAGAAGAAATTAATTAATATGAATCCAGAAGAGCGTAGGATTTACTACTTGACTAATCCATTAAATAATAATACTAATAGTGGGTATCTAAACCAGTTAAATCTAGGTACTTTAAAGAGGTCATTTTCAATGGAGTACCCTTCAATAGTAAATACTGATGACAATAGGGAACGAAATACAATAACGTCATTTTTGCTTGGGAAACTCTCTACTAGCTCACCATCTTCAATAATATTATTGCAACAATCTGTTTCTTTACTAACTCAGTTTCCAATTCTTGCTGCACTTATGGAAAAAGATGATCTTTGGTGGAAACATGTATCTAATATTTATTCACAAATCTTCATTCCTAAAGATTTATTTAGTATACCACCTAAATCAGTTGAATATGTGCTTAGTAACAATGCAGGTATTTCAATGAATAACGCAACAAATAGTAATGACTTATTACAATGCCCATTGCTGCAATTCAAGAAGGATATTGATATATGCAATTTATTGTCGAATTCAATGTGTGGTAAATATATAATGGATAAGTTGTACTTTTTATATCCCCCTACTACTGAAGCTTGTGCTTTGTATCATATATTGGGACATGAAAATGAAAAGGGTGATGATACTGGAATGTCAATACGTTACCAATATTCAACTCAACTTGCTGGCTCATTGATGCTTTATTACTCAGAAGATAATAGTCATCCTAGTACTGAAAATGTTTATATTAGTTGGCTCCCTTGCTATGCATTTGTCGAAGATATGACTCTTTATATATATGATAATACTTATAGATTTAAGCTTTATGAAATTCTCAATATACGCCCATTACCCTGTGGCAGGGTAACAAGTGTATGTATTGATCCTCAAGACCTCTCTAGGACTAGTTTTATTATTTTCTGGGGAGATAGAGAGTCCACAGTTTCAGCTACTTCCAGCTTATCTTCTCCTCTACCATCTGGATCATGCTTAACTCAACAATCTTCCAATATATTGACAAATAATCCATCGAATTTTCTTAATGGAAATGAATGTTACATGGAAACAAAGAATTTGTCAATATATTTTCGTGCTCCAACACCACACTTGGCCTCTATGTGGGTTTTTGAGATTGATTCATTAATCCAAAAATCAAAGAGTATCTGGGATATGAATTTTATTGAGAAACAAGAAAAGAAGAGAGCTTGTCAATTTCTTCGTAAACCGAGTTCAATAATGCTACATAGGTAAAATTACATATTAATATTTAGATTTTATTCTTATGATGGCATCTGTGTATATATAGGCTATTTGATCTTCCTTTCAAGTTTAGCTAAAGTATTATCCAATACAACTATTTCCTCTGCTAAATAATTCATTTGTTGATTAAGTAGCTTAATTTCTAATGTAACGACATCTGAAGGAGTCTCAGCGAGTTCAATTTCAGCTCTTCGTAATTTATTCCTCATATCTGTCATTGCATCATCTTTTTCCTCTAGGAGCTGCGTAATTTCTTGTATTTGATCTTTTATTTGTTGTTTATGCTTACCATTAAAATCCTTATACTCCTTCATTCTTTTTTTATGTTGTTGAGCTGTACTCCAGTTAGACCCACCTTGGCATCTCATTATCTCACTTATAGATATTAATTCACTGGGTGTAGTTTCTGGTGCTTGTATTACTATTATTGGTGCAGTATAATCAGAAACAATAGATGAAGGTTTCGTTAAAGATTCTAAAAATTCTTTCGGATGGATTTTTTTTTGTTCTTTCTCTACTGTTTTTAATGTATTTAAGGGTGTTACTGGGCCCTCTGTATTTGGTTTTAGTACAGTTTGTTCTATATTAAGACCTTTTGCTGCATTAATACTTGCCCCAACTGTCAGTTCATTAACAACATTTTGAATAGCAGTTATATCTGATTCAATCGCTGGTATAGAATCTCTTAATTTTTCTTGTTCAGCAGCTATTTCTTGTATATTATGCTGAGGTTCTACATCTTCTGTTTTTGGTGTCAAATCATCTATTACCGTATCAAAAGCTTCTTGAATATCTCTTCCAATACCTCCAAAAACTCCCTTTAACCCACTAAAAATAGTGTTTCCTACAGATTCAAATCCACTTCCAATAACATCAAGTGGATCAAATTTATTGTCAACTTTTAATCCATATACAGTTTTACTTAGGAGTGCTCCAATGAATAAAAATTTTATCTTCTTCATTTTTCTTTTATTACTAAATTATTTTAATTTAATAATTAATTTTTTTTTTATATCTGATTGTAGCTTAAATCTCTAACAGCTGCAGTTGCACAGTACATGCAAATACCGGTATCAGTATCCACATGTTAAAGTGCATGCAAATAAAGTTAAATCTATAAATAAATATATATAGTTCTATACTGTATTAAATAAAATGAAATTATTGATCTAACAAATTATAAGTAATTTAAACTATATCTTCAAGTCTTTTACTATTAAAATATGCCAGTTAATAATACTAGTATTTTAATTAGTTCTAAAAATAGCATATAAATTTTATTATTAAACATTTCTAAAAAAATATTTTAAAATCAATTAAGGACATATGAAATAAAGTCTATCTCTTGTTTGAGTATGCCATTAAGGATAATATCAATGGAATGTACAGTATAAGGCCTAAAATTAAAGATCAATAAATAAATTTCAAAATTATAGCTCTATTGTTAACTTACTTATGAATTTTAATATCAGAAGCATTGCCTATAATAATTAATTTTGATTGTGGTATATTTTTGAATTCACTGGTAGATGTTATTATTCTTGCTTGTGCAGATTTACATAACCAGGTAAGCTCACTAGGAGATGGAGATTTAATTGAAGAACAAATGAAAATATAAAATCCTTCAAACAGTGGTTTTTTACGTGCTTTATTAATAGAATTTGATAATTGAAAGCCAAATTTGCGTTCCCCTGCAGAATCATATAATAAAGGAGCTTTATTTATAGCAGTAATTATTGAATCATATGATTTCAAAGCTAAAGCAGCCTTTAAGGTCTGAGGTGTTATAATTGATATACCTTTACAAACAGCCCATAAAAATTTTAAAGTTCTTTTAATAGAGGGAGCAATTAAATGAGTTACGGAATTATACATCAATTCAAAATCCTCTTGTTCAATTGTTTGAATATTATATCTCTCTAAAATATCAGTATCTTTGTTTGTTGGTGAGCAACCAGTCCATATTATTGTTATTTGATTTGAATATTCCCTTGTATTAATTACTTCATCAGATGAATTTTCTTTAACAAAAGAGCAAACATTAGCTAATTTATTATTAACAGGTTTAAAAACTGAGTCAGTTTCTTTTTTCTTCTTTTTTTTATCTGGAAGAACATTTGGGTAAGTTTCGTTATTCCGACACTTTTTTAGCTTTTGAGTTTCATCTATATGCTTATCTTTTATTAATTCATCCGATATTTTCATCTTTTCAGAAAATTTATTGTTATTACTTTCTTTATTATGCTTGGTATTTTCCTTAAAATTAAAATTCTCTTCACTAATTTGTGTTTGTTCTAGATTAATATCTCTATTCCATATTGGTGTAGATATTCCTTCAGAACATTCACCATATTTAATTAGTTTTACTTTAACATTACCAAAATAGAGTATAGAACCCGGGATAACTTCATATTTACAAAAAGGAAGAATTTTATTATTTTGTTTATTTCTGTATGTTCCATTTTTAATACCCCGATCTTCAACAAAAAACTCACCATTTTCGCAATATATCACTGCACATTCAGATGATGATGAATTATGATGAATTGAGATATCACCCATACCACTTTGATTACCAACATTATCAATCATATTCTCTCCGTTGTAAAGTGGGAAAGAATCTACTATTGATTCACCACTTGAACTATTACCAAATATTAGTAAACAACCAACATCCTTATAAGCATCAATATTTATATTTTCTTCATTATTTAAAATCTCCATTATTAAAGAAAATTATATTTCAGAATTTACAAAAAACAAAGAAACTCAGTGGGGTATCGTCTCCATTATTTTTAGGGCGGGTATATTGTGCATGTAAATAATAAATAGATTAAACGAAATTAACAAAATTCAGATAAGTACATAATAATGTTATAATACTAACTTCTATAAAAAATTCTATTAAACAGATCTTTATCAATTATATATATGTATTCTTTCTATAATTAATTCTCTAAATAATTCTACTAGTATCTGCGTTATAGTTAAATGTTTCATTATTAACTTCTGCATTATCATGTATATACTGATAGGGAGTATCACTTATACTGTATGATGGAGGGTTTAATATTGTAAGCTTAATAATTCCAACAATTATAACTTCCGTTGCAATAATAACTAAAAAATATACCCACCATTTATACTTTTCATATTCACATGTTTGACCATAATAATTGTGAGTACAATTACAAGCAAAGTCATCATCAGGTAAATCAATACAAGTAGCTCCATTTTTACATATACCTTTGATATCACACATTTTAAAACATTCTCTAACAGTACAGGGTACAGTATCTATTAATTCTGAACTACTAGGACATGATAATCCTCCTAGTTGTGCATTTTGAAGAATTAATTTAGATCTAGTTCTTTCACCAGTTCCACAAGTAGTTGAACACAAACTCCAAGATAGCCATTCAGATACTAGACAGTTTATAGGGCAATCTTGAGTATTACAAACTTGTGTTTCTGAACTAGATAAGTCACAAGGTGCTGTTATATCAGATTGCCAAATAAGTTTTCTAGTTCTACTTTGATATCCACCTGAACAAGTGTTGCTACATAATGACCATTCAGACCACATTGAATAAGTGCAATCATTACATAAAATATTCAAATTGCAACCTTGAGTATCAATTAAAGGTGGACAGGGTGCACCTGTAAAAGTTTGAGGTCTTATTACCAACCTTATTCTGTATTTACTTCCAATATAACAAGTAGAGCTACATGGTGACCAGGCACTCCATTCTGAAACCACACAATCAACAGCATCTGCAGAAATAAATGAACCAGGTGATATAACTTTTACAGCAACTACAGGTTCATTAAGACATCTTCTCCAAAATAGTTGTTCAGAATAACCAAATTGGGTAGCTATAGCAAAACCATATTCTTGTCTTTGAATATAAAGTTGCCAAGAATTAATAAATGGCCATTTATATATCCTAGGTTGAAGTATAGATCCAACAGTTAAAAGTCTTAAGCGATAATTATTATAAAAGCATGAGCGATATATTTGTTTATTGAATAAATTTCCTTCTATATACAACTCTATTGCATTTGGATTTGCAGTATATAGTATAACTGAGAAACCATCTGAGGTAATATTACCTCCAACAGAAACAATATGATTCATAGGCCAAATATCTCCATCTATAAGAGGATAATATTCACCTTCTGTATAATTAAGTCCAAAACTAAAAAGAGATATTTAATTAAGACAAAGAAAAATATTAGAACAAGTAATAACTAATAAAATTGATTTTTTTACGTGGCATCATTCCACAGCAAATGTGTGCATACCTGTAAGGATTAGTAACTCCAATATTTGCAGAGCCTTGTATTGTTGCTATCTGAGCTAGAGAATATTCTCTTCTTGTAATTACTAAGAATATGTATATAAAGTAAATCAATAAGAATTTCTTTATGTTCATTTAATAAAATGCTGCAGAATAAACTATGAGACCTGTTAATATTACAAAATGTTTAAGCCGCTAACGTCAATATTTAGTTACCTAAATTATATTAGCGGATTATGCAAGGTATACCATTTAATTAACTAACCGAATAATTTAAAAAAGAAAGACAAGTTTTATGTAAAGTAATAGACTAGAATAATATTTAAGTGTATATATATAAAACTGGAATATATAAGCCTTATTTTAATTAAGTCCTTGAATTAAGGAATAGATGACGATAAATTGTTAATTATTGGATAAATGTTATATACTATTATTAATATGTTATCTACACTTTTAAAAAATTATTATTTAAGATCTTGGTTATTTTTATTATATTTGACTTTTTTTTTAATATCTTCTAAATTTATTTATTCATTACCCCCAAGTTATCAATGGACTAATGCATGGACAGATGTTACAGATCAAGGAGCTGAGTATATATTTACTAATACAACTCAACCTTGGTTTGATGGAATATCTTTTAGAGTAAGTTGGATTTAATTTTATATTTATCATTTTAGTGGAATCTACTTACAATATTTTTCTTTTTAATAATAAAATTTTATTAGTTCATAGGTGAATTTATATTTACTAAAGATAAAGATACTATAGTTACAATATATAATGGAAATAATATTCATTGTAAATTATCTGTTAGTTGACGAAATTTACCTTTTTTGTCATTTAAATATATTATTTTCTTCCTGTCTATAATTTTTTTTTTGTTTTATACAGATTGATTATAAATCTCAGCTTGTTATAGCTGAATCTTCATCAGAAAGTGGAGAGTACAATATAAATCAATATACTTTTTTTCCTTTTACTTATGAACCTCAAAATATTAAAATAGATATTGCTGTTGAAAAGTTAATATGGCCAGGAGGATTTTATTTTTATATAGTAGGCAATGGTCCTTATTATTACTGCCGTTCTGTAACTTATGTACCTATTACCAATATCAAGTGGGGATCAGATCAATTACGAAATTATACTGTAAAAAGAAATATTCCTTTAGGCGATCCCTATAGACGTATTTATATTGCTGATGGATGGCCAAGAATGATGGATTTTGTAAATAATAATTTATACTATGTAAATAATACTGTAGTTGATAAAACAACAGGAACACCTACCTCGGATAGAATTCCAACTGAATATAAATCTTGGCCTTATGGAATGGATGCACATATTTTTGGATCTGGAATGTGGCCTACTAATCAGTATTCATATAGATGGAATTTGACAATAGCTGTTATGGCATCAACCGATAATACAGATTACTACTATAGGCTAGATAATTACTTTACACACTTTGGATATAATAAAATGTGTACTATTAATAGAAATACAATATATAATAACCATAATTTAACAAATGATAGACCTTATGCGTTTGATACAGATTTTGGTGCCCAACCTTTTACTGTAAGTCTCCTGAAACTTTATAATCAAATATAAAATATTTAAAACATTCCTTTATACTATATTTAATAAAAATATTACTATATAGATATTAAGTCAATATTGATTTTTATTTTATTTTTAGGTTGTATTAATAAATCAACCATTTGGTGTTGAACTTTTTGCAAGAGAAATGCTTTGGACACCAGGTGGAGGTTATACATGTGGTCGTTACAATTATAATGCTCAAAGCTTTGGTATTTATACAACTCAGCAAGAATATTTTCGTAGAGTAGCTCCGAGATATGGAATAACACCAGTTAATTGTGAGTATTCACAATGGTCTGCATGGATGCCATGTAGTAGCACATGTAAAGGAGGTACAACATATAGATGGCGTTATCCATTAAGTGAAGTAATGGCAGGTGGTTTAGAATGTCCTAATACAATGCAAGAATCTCTATGTAATGTAAATATAACTTGTAGTCCCTGTGAATTTGGAGAATGGTCTGTATGGAGTGAATGTTCTGCATCTTGTCGAGGAGGTATATCAACAAGAACTAGAACTTTAATCAATAATATTACTGATTGTATGAATATGGTATTACAATCAATGAGTTGTAATAATATTCCATGCCCTATAAACTGTATTCTTTCTGAATGGAGTTCTTGGACTCCTTGTCCTAGTAATTCTTGTTCTGCAACTAAATCACGATATAGAGTAACTGTAACTGAATCTCAATATGGTGGTATTCCTTGTCCACCAGAAGAACAACTTACTCAAATTACTTTTTGTCTTGAAAATTGTACTAATATTTGTGAAGAAGGAACTACTGGGTCTGAAATATGTAAAAATGGTGGTAAATGTATTAATTATGGAATTGGTCAATACATATGCAAATGTAAACCTGGATATTTTGGAGTAAATTGTGAAATTTCATCAGAAAATACTGCAAATATAGTAGTTGGAATATCAATAGCTGGTGTAGTTACCTTAATAGGTATTTCCATTTGGTATTTTGCTAATAGAACATAATTAATAATAATATAAAATTAAATTAATAAAATAATTATAATTTGTAATTACAATTATTGTTATATAGATATAAAATATCATTGTTTATTAACTTAGTTTACCTTTTCTAAATTTTATTCTTTTATAAGATATACAAATCAACATTTAAATCTTATATAATTTAATTAACTAAAATTTTAATTATTGACTATAAATACAATATTGTGAAGATATTCTTTTCAATTTTCTATTTTTCTAATAGTTATATTACTATAACAAATATTTTATAGTCAGGGTCTCTTATTATATCAATAAATGAAACTTAAAATTTTAAAGTATATAATTTTTAGATTACTCAATAGAAAATATCTTATTAAGATGAATATTATATAAATTACAATATAAATATTAATATATAATAGATTCGAGTTATATTAATAAGCCTTCTAATTTTATGTAGACCCATACTTAAATTATCATCTAGTATCGTTATCTATATCAAAATTTAATATTGAAATTTATTAGTAATATAAAAATGAGCTTCTGCTATTATACAAATAATTGTTGTTGTCATAAGTGTTATAATTATTGTAAGTGTCATATTGTAGGTCATTGGCTACCTAACTTTAATCAAATATATCAAATAAAAAATCCATGTATTTCTGAATTTACTGATGAAGTAAAATTTCAAGACAATAAAACTATTTGTAATAATTGTACTTGTGATCCAAAAAAACAGCATCTAAATATTTGTTTTAGTCCTTGTATAGATTCTGGTAATTTTGAACACTATAATCAGCATCATTGCAATAGTTGTATACATTATCAGTGTGAAAATATTGAAAATAAGAATAATAATGAATATAAAGCTCATTATTTAGCAAATAATTCAGATACTTTAAATCTTAATTTTAATGGTAAATTACCTAATAGTTTATCTATATCTGTTGACTCAAAGGGAATTGTGACATTAGGAGTTAGTAATAATATAGAAGATAATAATAAAGATTAGAAAATTACGAACTCATAGTATTTTAAGTTATTTTATTAATTTTAAATAATTTATTATTTTCATTTATATATTGACTTATTAAATCTACAACTTAAATTTATGTTGGCTCCTACTATTTTGGCACCAATATCACTCTAATAATTTAATTATTTCCAATAAAATATTTGTTTACAACATTTCATTATTTAATTAACATGATAACTCGTCCTGGGAGTCTTATTGAACTAAGAATTCAAGATATTAATGAATTGAAAGAACGTATACAAAGTAAACAGAATATGACAGGAGAAGTGTCAGCTACTACCTTTATTATTAATGATAAACAATCAAATAATAATAATTCCAGAGCTCTAAATATACAATATTCTAGTGATGTTAGTAATAATAATAGAACATAGTTGGATAATTTAAAATCACTAGTATTTACTTAATTACTTCCATCTCCTTTTCTTCTCTTACTTATGAATAGACATCCCTCCCCCCTTTTAATTGAAGAAAAAAAGAATAGAGAAATAATATTCAAAATAAATATGAAAATACATAATATCAAATAATATAAGATCCTATACCCTATGTTATAAACTACAATGTCACCTTAGACTTGTTTTATAATAATAATAATAATAATAAAAATTAAAGGCCTTAATTCTATAAAAACACACACATTACCGCCTCGCTATAACCCGTATGTGTTACACACGTCTATAGGGTGTGTTGTATTATTGGAAATTTCTAATGATCCTAAATGTAGATTCAACTATAATTTACAAAGATAAAGAAAATCCACAAGATTAAAAAAGCATTCTAAACTTTACAAGATGGAATATAAATCTGAATTTGCATTTAGAGAAGGAGGAAAACGGCCAATTGTAAAACCAATTGCTGGATCTGCTGCATTCGGTGTACAACTAAACATGCCAAGAGCACCTACTCCAAATTATGAAATATATTCCACATCTAAAAATAATTTTGAAAGATCAAGTATAATCTCTACTCCAATGAAATCTCAAGAAATTACATTTAATAATGGATATCCAATAACTAAAAATTCAATGTCACAAACTCATAGAATGTCACAACCGCAAATTACAAATCAAAGAAATAAATCTGTAGTTAAACCATATATAAGAGCATTGTCAAATGATAATATAACTCCAATTTCTAATACTTCATCTATACAACCTAATATAGTGAAATGTCAATCTTCAGCAATTGACTATCCAGTTATTACACCTTTAGATGAAAAATCAAGTAATGTAAATTTAATTAATAATCCAACAATAAAAGAAAATTCAACCTCTTCAATATATAATGAAGGATCGCGTAGATCAGTAAAGCGTCAATCAGATGATAGTACCATTGGAACACCAAAAATTGAAGATAATAATTTCTCAAGATTACCAACTAAGGATGAACTACGTTTATTTAGTGTACCACAAGCTTCACCTCCTGATGGAAAACAAACAATTTCTAGAGAAAACTCTATAGATATTACACAAAAAAATTTGAAATCAGATATTAATATTGCAGCTAAAGAACCAGATAAATTAAATAGTAGTCAATCTTTAAAAGCTGTTCCAGGATATCCCAATAATGTTGAGTTACAATATGTTGATGATATGGTTATTTTGGCTCCACAAAAGAATGAAATATTACATCCAAAATTAATGAATTCAAATGAGGATTTATCAACTGGAATTTCAATGAAAACTGCACAAAACATTCGTAACAAACCATCGGCTAATTTGTTCACAAAACAAACATTAGATAATGCTCCAATGTCGGAAGCAGCAAATGTGATGTTAGAAAGTGCCAATAATAATGAAAAGGCACAAAGTTCCAATGTGAATAAAGTAAAAAGCTTCCCTATAGAAATGAGTGTTGATAATCCAATTTCAGTAGAAACTCAAACAAGTAATGTTGAAGATATATCAGTAAGAAATATAGATAAAGAATCACAAAAAAATGTATCTGAAGGGGATATTCGAGGCAATCAAGATTCTATTAGCCAAAATGCACCACCAATTAGTTTAGATGATCAGGGATTAGAAGGTCATTTGAAGTGGTTATATGGTGAAGATACTAAAATTAGTGTAGGATTAGGTCCTAATATTCATGATATGAAACTAAATTCCATAAAATTGAATGATGAGTATGCAGTACATAGTTTTAATCCGTTAACTCAGATGGAAATCAGTAATAAGATCAAAAAGTGGATAAACCCAGTTCATGGACGTTTATTTGTTGTGTTGACTACTTCATTTGCTCTAACTGGTGTATTTCTGCAATCCCTTGTTTTCAATAGATTGAATAAATGGGGTAGTCCAAATAATTGTGGAGGAGTATTTGTAGAACCTTTTAAAACAAATCCTATGTTAGGTGCTTGCCCAGAAGCATTGAACGTCTTGGGTGGATTAGTAGTTAATGAACTTCGTAATGGAGGAGTTATCCGTTTATTTTGGGCTATGTGGATGCATGCCGGTTTTATTCATATAGGATTCAATGTATTATCACAAGCACAGCTTGGTTATATGATGGAACCAGATTGGGGAATGACAAGATTCTTTTTTTTGTTTTTCCTTTCGGCAATTGGAGGAAATTTAACTGTTTCAGTTATATCACCATGTTCATTAACTGTTGGAAGTTCAGGTGGACTTTTCGGTATAACAGCTGCTGGTTTGGTATATACATTTGAACACTGGAAAAATTTACCTAATCCATTGTTTTTGTTTGTATTTGATATATTTTCAGTTATTATAGGAATGGTATTATCATTTACAGGTGTGACAAATCCTTGGGCTCATGTTGGGGGTTTTTCTGTAGGATTATTATATACACTTGCTACTTTTAGAGGTTGTGGTGCTTGTAGTCCAGAAGATAGACTGGCACGCTATAATAGAATGGCTGCATTGCCAATATTTAGATTATTTATGAAACAAGATATGGAATGGGTAAAAAGACAAATAGAAGAAAAGAAGAAGAAGAAGATTGAGAGGCGTAATAAGAAGAAAGCTGAGCAATGGAGGAAAAATCAAAAAATGAAAAAAAACCTTCCTAATAGTAATACTGATGAAATTAATGATGGATCTGGTATAACTGTTGATGAATTTGGAATAAAAAGACATGCTGAGTTAATCATTGTTCTTGATAAAACCCCAGTAGGCAAAGTAACTATATTTAAGAAAATAAAGATTTGGTTTAAAAAGTTAGGTAGAAGCTTATGCCAGAAAAAAGGTTTATGGTCATTTAGAATAATTTCTGGATTACTGCTAATAATTTATTTTGTTATTGCTGCATTAGGAGTATTTTACCCTCCATTATACTGGCCAAATCCAGTGGGTATTGTATCTTTTGAGGCAGGAGTCGTGAAATGTGGTTGTTGCTATGTCAATAATGTATATACATGTGGCAGTAATCCTCAATTTATTGAGTGGTGTGAGCAGCAAGGTCCAAGTGCTCAACCAGATAGAACAGTTTTAGGAATTGATAAAAATTAAGGGTAGGAAGCATTAAGAATAAACCAATAAAAAAGTTAGAGTTCTTAGATGTATAATTATTATTAATATTAAAAACTAGTACTTTTTTTAAAAAATAATTTCCCATTATATTATTTCAACGAATAAATTCCTATATCTCACCTTTTTTCTTAAAAAACAAATTTACATAGATATTGTATTGTTTTTAATCGCTAGTCAAATATATATTACTATTTATAGATAACGCATCCAATTGACTTATCCATGGTAATATTTCTAAGATTTTCATTCTATATGCTGGTCCTAAGTTTAGTTGTAAGGGATTTCTTTCAATATAAAGTGTCTTCATATTTTTTAATTTCTTAAGAAGTTCAATTTGATCAAGACTATCTATACAATTATCATTTAGCCATAATTCTTCCAAACTCATTATATTTGAAATCTCTTCTAAATTGCTTATTTCATTTCCAGCTAAATCTAGGGTATGAAGCTGCTTAAAGTTTTTAAAGTATCCAATTGGGGGGCTAGGTAGTTTGTTATGGCTTAAGTATAACTCTTTTAAGTTACAGCACTTATGCTGAAATGATAGGGCCCATTCTGATAGACGATTACTTTGTAAGCTCAAAGATTTTAATTTCACAAGATTTGGTAAGCTTTCAAAGTTTGTTATTTTATTTCTACCTAGCCATAGCTCTTCAAGTTGTATCAGATGTTCAATGTTCCCAATATGTCTTATTCTATTTCCTCCAAGCTCTAGGAGTGTTAATTTAGTATTACTATTTAGCCCCTCGATTATACTTATTCTATTACTTGATAAGAATAATTTCCGCAAATTTCTAAGATTACCAAGATTCTCAACTTTTCGTATTTTGTTAAAAGATAAATCCAATACTTCAAGATTAATTAGCTCATCCAAATCTTCAATTTTTCTAATAGAATTTTGATACAACTCTAAGATATTCAAACTTTTAAGCTCATTAAGATTTTCAATTTTCTCAATATGATTTGATATTAATATTAAAGCTTTTAAATTCTTACATTTGTACAAATTTTCTATCTTCCCTATTCTGCCACATTGAATGTTAATTATTTCATCATCTTCAGAAACTAAGTGATCAATACCCAAACGCAGTAAACTAATCCTGTTAGATTTATTACTATTTGTACTTCTTTCTTCAATTGTATCCATTATTACTTAGTAACTTTACTCAGTTAAGCAAAAAATTGGTTAGGCGGTACTGGGGCTATTAAATGTCTGACTTTATATTTCTATAACATATAATTAGTAATTATTTATTATTAGCCAAAAGATCTTCCACTTCTCTATCTTGTTTACTCCAAGCATTATTTGTTCCAATCCAAAGTAATGAATCGGCACTATTTTGAGAATTGATTATATTCGTCCCACTATTAACTCTAGTAAAATTGGTAGTATCACATACTGATGACCATATATTCATTGTTGGATAGTCATCAAGTGCAATAAATTCAAGGTCACAGTCCAATCCTTGACTTTTATTGCATATTACATCAGCTTTGGATTTGTTGTTATTTAAACTTCCAGAAAAATATGATATTTGTCTAAAATTATTTTTTAAATGTAGGATAATTGCTTCATGCTCGGCTATTGTTATTGTTTTTGATTTAAGGTCTTGTAACTCATTACTTAATGCTACCACCTTTGCATGTAGTGCAATATTTTCATCTCTCAGTTGTTGCCTCTCTATTTTCTGCTTATCACGATGCTTTTGAGCTGATTGTCTGTTTCTTAACATTTGTAGGAACTTCCTTTGCATTGCAGTTGGCATATCACGGAATTCTTTAGAATTCAAGTCTATTGCTGTGGAATAACTACCTGCTTTATTGTTATTACTAACATGTGGTGTTGTAATTGTATTTAATTGCAGATCTTTTTTTTTTCTTTTCTTCTTATACTTTGAATTTAATGTCTGAATCCTTAAGTTCTCCTTTCTGTTATCCAATTTGAATGCTTCACTTGATGCTGTAGAGCCAGAGTTACTGTTTGGAGATGTAATTGTGTAATTTGTTGATAATGACGCTCTTTTAGCACAGTCAGAATCACCTTTTGTATATGGTAAGTCAATGTAATCTAATATACTATTAAATTCTTCTATAGTATTAGTTTGGTTACTGTTTACTCCCTTTATGTCAGTGTTGTTTAAAGGATTTAAGATCTCACTACAAGTAGGCTCACAGATATTCCTTACCATATAATTTGAAAACCCTCCATAGATAGCTCCAGATATTTCCTCATTAAAAGTTGTTTGTTTTTCTTTTATCATATATTCAACTAAATAGTTTTATTGCATCGTGATGTTTTGTAGTCCTACACGTGTAGTGCATGTAGATACCGGTATGAATGTCCACTTGACACTAGTCTATATATACCGGCTCCTGCATGTACTTTCTAATAGTAAGAAAGTGCAATAACTTATCATTTCTTTTCAAGAAAGATATAATTTTAAAGGAACTTTACTCATCTCTTATCACGTAGATCTGAACAGAAATGGCGCATTGGTTATAAGATACTGGAAAAGTGGAACCCCACAATAAAGTACATGCATATAGAAGGTAAAGTAGTAAATTTCTAGAATATTTAAATTAAATAAAACAAGTTTAAAGTTAATAAGTTACAATAAATAGCTTATTAAGGTCATTTATAATGTTAAGTTATGTATCAAGAACAGAAAATTTAGAATCAATGAACCTGGAATCTTGTGATATAAGCACTGAATCAAAGTATTTAACAACTGCAAGAAGGAATAGACTATCACTTAGCAGCTCAAGGTATGGAAATAACCTACGTAGATCTTCGGTGTACAAGTGGAGTGGGGTATTTAGCGATTTTAATATTGAAAATATACCAAGTGATGCTTGGGAGTACTATATCAATATTGAACAGGATGAAGCTAAAAATACTCACTATGATGACAATGGTCAAGTTAAGTTATTAAGTAACTGTTTTACTCTTGAGCAGAGTATCAAACTTTATAAAAAGATACTGCATAGTTTTTTTTTTGGGAATGATTATTTGAATGATACTCAATTTTGGAATGATTTAGTGAAACGTTTTAACAATAACCCATTTGAGCTTGATAGTGACGAAGGTAGAGAGAACGTCCTAAAAATATTTTTGAGTATAATTTGTTCTAGTATTATCAATAGAGATGCTAAGGGTTATTATTGTGCAATGATATACTGCTTAATGGTATCATTACCAAATAAACCACAAGTATTTGGGATACTAAGGCCATTTATAATAAGAAAGATATTATCACTAATCAATGACAAATATATTACATATTCAAGTTCTAACAATAATACAAGGAAAAAGGGTAGGGCTAGGAAAAAAAAGTTTAACAGAAATATTGATGAAAATGTTGAGAGCGAAAATAGCTTGAACAATGCAATAGCAAGTGATTCAGAAAAGGAAAATGATATTTCGTCTTTAGAAAATCCAAGTTCATGTTCTAATGAGGTAGTAAATAATAATGTTTATGTGAAGATGCAAATTGAATTAATTGCATGTTTAGTTATTTTGTGTCAAAATATTGATTTTACATGCAATATATCAAGTAAAATTGGAATGGAGGGACTACAAGAGTTATTAGAAGGTCTTTTACACATTTCAGTTTATACATGTGATATTTCATATTTTAAAAATGAAGTAGACCAGCTGAAATCTTGCTGCTTACTTCAATCAAATATCCCAAATAATAGAGATCATATTCAAAATGCTATAGATGAGATTGGAGATGTATGGAATTTCAGTAAAGCATCCTCAATTGTATTACTATGTTTTTTTTTGAATCTCGGGAAAAGTCGATTTATTACTTATCTGCAAGATGGTAATATATTCAAGAGGTTTCGTACTGTAGAATTTGATTCAATTCAAATTGAAATAATTAAATATTATGTGATATTATTACTTCGTTCTTCAATTCCAATTATAATTGGTAATGTTACATCAAACTCATCTATAATAACTGTCAGAAGCAAAAGTACTCAGAATTCAACTCTTATAACAGTATTTAATATTATAAAAAATATTATTAAGCTTTATCCTGAATTGATATTTCCCAATATCATATATATTATTGATCAAATTGTAATTCTACAGGAAAATTTAACAATTTACTCTTTTTTAGGGACAAACTTTGAAGATGATGAATTAATATTAAATTGCGAAAATTTAGAAGACCATAATGGGAATTTAATTAATTTACAGCCTAATTATCGGAAGTCTGGAAGAGATATTAAAGAAATTAAGAGATTTGTAAATGGAATTGAACTTCTTAGAGAATTAAGAAGGTTAATGGCTCAGTATGAAATAGAAGGTCCCTACGATATAGAGGATGAAATTTACGAGTGTATTATGAACAATAAAAATAAACTTTTTTATTATGATCCTATAGTAGCATTTATAATATCTTTATACTTATTAATGAGTGAGCGTTCAGAAACTAGGCAAAGTATTTTAGATATTATTTATATGAAATTTATACCTACCATAATTGACCTTTGTGAAACACAAAATTCAAGCAAAATGTTACTTTTTCATATAATTCAGACATGTTTTGGATTAAATGAAGGACAAAATTCTACTGAAAGTATCAAGGAAATTAATTCTTTTATATCATTTTTGTCATCATATAAACCTCAAAAAAAAAACAAAGAAAACAAAAATAATTTACTTTCTTGTTTAACATCATTCAAATATCCTGCATTGTTACATCGTAGATTGATTGCCATATTACCATATTTTTACCAATCAGCACGCCCTGGCTATCGCACAATGGCACTGGAAATTACTTCATATGTACTTCAAATAAAATCCTCTTTAGAGATATTGGCTACTTTCATATATAACTCAAGTAGTAAAAGAAACATTACAATATCATCTTCCACCTCCGTTACAAACAATATAGAGAAGAAGTACATTGAACTTTCTGATTTCTTACAAAATAATATTATGGATGCTGTATTTATGGATTGCAATGAGTCATCTCCGTCTGTTGCAATACAGAATTCTAAAATTAGGTCTCAAAGAAGCATTAATAGCAGTCCTGTTTCGGATAATTACTCTTCAAACAGAAATAGTAGCGCAAGACAAAGTATTGAATGGATTGGTATCACTATTGATTCGAAAATAAGCATTTCCAATATGTCTAGTATTGTTCAGGGTGAAATGGCTTTAAAATTATTTTATTTAATTTTATTATGCGTCCAAAGAAGTGAAGATATTTCTCCAAATATTAGAATAAAGTCAGCAATAATATTATCCAACATAATTAACTCGTTATATGATCTCTATAACACTTATATAGAAGCTAATGATGAAGAAATATTATGTTTAAAGAACGAGATAATTGGTGGTATTAAAATGCTAATATTTTCGTGTAGTAACACACATATTAATGCAGTAATTCCAGTTGTTGATATGATAAGAGGGTTTTCCAATGATGAAAAGGCAATTTGTAGAAAAGGAAGCTTGTTATTATGGGATAGTTATTTTCCATTTATCTATCTTGATAAAAAGGCAGACATTAATAGTGAGAAGGATTTTATACTAAATATATTTAAGTCAGCTTTAAGCGATTCTTCAATATTAGTGAGACGTCATGGATTGCAGAGCCTTTATACCTTGTATCATACATTTCCTCTTAACAAGTGGATCTGTAATCTATGGTCAATACATGGTTTACCATTTATTTTAGATACAGAAAATATAATTATAGATAAAATAACAGAAATAAGCTACAATATTCTCACTGAGCAAATATCTAAGACATCGGAGTTAATTCAAAGTCTTTGGTTAAAAATATCACATAATGAAGGAAATAAATTCTCCAATTTCATTTCGAATATCAATAAAGAATATGAATTTGCATGGAATTCCTTGTTTTTACAAAAGGAGAATCAATTAAGTGTTATTAGATTATATAAATTATGCATACGGAGTGTCTTTAAAAAATATCCATTAGTAATTAACTCCTCTTTACAATTCCTAAATATTATAATTGACCTCTTTATAGAAATATTGGGATTTGATACCAATGATAATCCAGTAGATTTTCCAGACTTGCCCTTTGTATTATTAGAAGAGGTATATAGCTATTTCCACCAAAATAAAAGATGCATACATAGTAAAGAAGATTTGTCATATAAAACAATTAGTAAGATTTATTATTTATTAACTAATGGAATTTTACCATTATCTTCAGATATGCAAATAAAGACTATGAAGTTGATATCTATGCACAGCTTATTGAGGATTTCTAACTCAATAGTAGAAACATTTAAACTGATGATGTGTTCATTATACATTTTTATTAATGATGCTACGGAGGAGACAAGTTGCACATCCTTAATGGATGCATACTTTAATATTATATTTATGGAACCTGAATTCTATACACATATTACAAAATTTATAATAGAAAGTATAAATATTAATGATGATCATCATGAACTTAGGAGTTATATGAATACCAATTCATTAGTTTTATCGATATGTTTGCCTTCAATTTTATGTATTTTGTATATTTGGGAAGAAATCAATATCATATATAGGAATAAGCATCATATTACTAAATTTATGAATGCAAAGAATTTAAAAGAAAAATATAAGAACTTTAGTAAAAATACATTACATCTACTAGGGTCTACATACAATGCTAAAGTAAAGAAAGAAATTGAATCAAATTATTCATTGAGTTGTCCAGATTTGGATACCAGTAATACTATAGAAATAATCTATATATCTTGCCTGATGAAGTTGATAGAACAAAATGATGAAATAAAGAACTTAGACTATAGTAGATTTGGGAATGAAAATTTGTATAATTACGTGAATATACGAATATTGGGTGAATTGTCCCTTCTTGGTTATCAACTAATTAATAGAAATATAAATAGCTTATTGATATCTTCACTACTACCTATATTACAGCCATTTAATTTAGAAAGAATATTTATACTTATAGAATCTCTATATAAAAAATATCAAAGTATGAGAATACTAGATAAAACAAAATCTAACGAAAAAAAGATAATATCAAATGTTAATTTGCTTATATTGACTATGGGACAAATATGTTATAGCAGTAATAATAGTTTAACAAAAAATATAATTCAAAATTATTTTATCCCATTGTTGGTTGATAAAACTGTACCCATTGAAATAAGAAACAATGTTTTGGTAATTTTGCATGATATGTATATTTTATATACATCACTAGTTGATCCTCATTTAATATGTATATTTAACATTTTGCATGAAGGACTTGAAAAGAGATCTGAAACTCAGATAGATCAAAATGCTTTATTAAGAAAACAATCTCTTTTACTATTATCAGACCTGATAAGTCAAGGTTATATAAAATTAAGAGGATCCTACATGCTAAAATTTTTATGTCCACTTATTGACCCTTTAAACTCAATTAGAATGATTGGACGTGGTCTATTTGAAAAAGTATTACTTAGGTTGAACCCATCATTAATAGTTCAAAATTTTGTTGAAACGATGTGTTTTATTAATGGCTGGTTAACTCATCCTTGTATAAAATCATGGGATGTAGGATACAACAAGTCTTTGGGAAATAAATACTATAACTCTGAAATATTGAACTTTGATTGTGACGAAAAAGAGTACATTTATGACTTTTTTATTAATAATTTGAGTGATAAACAAAAATTTGAGGTATTATGTCGCATAGTTCATGACTTTCTTGCACTATTTGTTGATCAAAGTAATATAATTAAACTACCAGAATCATATCAACATAATGATGGGAAAACACTTAAAGATGCATTAAGATTAATTTCATCTTCGAGCCTTTGTATATATCATAAGTATTCAAGAAAAGTTAGTAAGATATCTGGGAAACTTGACTTGTATGAGAAATTAGATAATGAAAGTGAAGATACTAATTTAGGAGATTCAAACGGAAGCTGCAATATAATCTTAAAGGAACTAATTCAAGCAAGCCTTGCTATAGATATAATCCCTACATTACTATCATTGAAACATTTAATGAAGCAATCTTGCTCATCATTTATTAAAGATATTCACAAATGTATTGGTGAATTATTAAAAGATTATAGAAATAATCTCACTAGTATTATACAAGATAACACTCTAATCAAAGAATTAGAATATGATTTCAAAATGGGAATTTTCAACTAGATAATTAAGATTAAGAGCTAGTAAAGATCTAGACTTGATATTAAAGAGTAGTTTATTAGAAAATAGAATATTAGTCATTTATTCCTAAATTTCCTCGAATGAAGTTTCTCTAGAATAAAATTAATTGCAAAAGTGCCAATAATATCAATAGTTATAAGGCCAAGAATTATTAGTTTTAAATCAAATGAATTGTATTGTTCCAAAGAGAACAAATTATTAAGCAAGGGTAAAGTCCCAAGTATTGATATTGTTAAGAATGAAATTACAACTCCAGATATAAACAGGAGTGGTTTGTTATCTTTTAATGGCATTGTGAAAGGATATCCTTCCGCATTAGAGAGAAATGTTGCAAGATGAGCTGCTGTATGTAGATAGAACATAGTGGTATTTACTATATTCGGTTCAAACGAATCATCAACTGATGCTTTATAGTCGCTAGGTCTCAAATTTATAGTTAATATCCATCCAGTATAAATAACTAAAAGATGGATAAGAGCCTGAACTAAAAATGAGGCTAATACAAAGATGTTAAATATGCTGGAAGGTGGTCGCTGTGGGGCTATTTCTCTTAATGGTTTATTTCTTATAACAAGAAAGAAGAGAGAGCTCATTATTATGGATTCAACAGTAGTTTGGAAATCTCCAAATTTAACACCATCATATGCTAGTACACTCAACGCAAATGCAGAAATAATGCTATTTAAACCCATCAATTTGTACATTAGTATAACAGAGTCAAAGTAGAACGGCCATAACGAATAATATTCAATATACATTTTGGTGAGTCACCTTTATAAGTAAATGGAGAAGCAATTGAAGCATCACCAAGCTTAACTTTAGGAATAGAGTCCATATCTTGTATATCCTTCCATAATTCTTTCTTTAAATTCCCTCTATCTACTTTACTCATATTCTAAATTTTATTTGGTCCTTGATTTGTTGTATATTAGGACAATCTGGTTTCCGATTTTCCAGTGAACCTTGCTCTTTCTTTATTGCTTCGGTATCTCCAGATAATAGTGAGATACCAACGTGAGAACTTTTCAGTGCCCCTACATCATTTGTACCATCACCACACATCAAAGTAATATTTCCTATACTATTTAAAAGTGAAATTATATCTTGTTTATCTTTTGGTGACATTCTTCCATAAATAGTACAGTACCTTATTGTATTTATAACTTGTTTCTTATTATATATAGCTAACATATATTGAAGACTATTTCCAAGGATACACAAACAATATTTGGTTGAAACTGATTCTAATGATTTATTCGGATCATAATTTGAATGGAAACTTCCATCATGATTTCTCCATTTAAGTAAAAATCTTTTTTTATATTTATCTGAATATTCACTTTGCTTATCATCTTCCTCATAGTCAGTTGGAAGCATTACATTCTCTCTTGAGATCTCTTGCATATTATTTTCAATATTTCCGATATTATTCATATATTCACTATGCGAATCTTTCTCTATAGTCAAAATCAATGGTGATTCTAGTGAAGTCATTGTTATTGTTTGAGCAACATGAAATCCAGTAAGGATATTATCACCAGTTATCATTATTGTCCTATGGCCACTGTAATGTAACTTCTCAATGACATCTCTAGAATACTTCTTAATTGGACAATATAAAGCTAAGAAACCACAAAATACCAGGTTATTTTCAAAAAAATCTCGGTTTCTATTATCTATTTTATCTAATGAGCAATATTTAGCACCAAGAGCTAAGATCCTATACCCCTTCTTCGTACAATTTAAAACTACTTCGTTATATATCTCAGGTTTTATATTTTTAAAATACTTTAACATAACTTCAGGACTACCTTTGCATAAAACCATTCCTGTTGATTTATTTTCAGGCATAGTATCAATAGATTCTGCATATTTCATAGATTCCACAATAGAAGATGATTTCTTCAGTATATTCCTTGATTCACTTATTATACGACCTACAATAGTCATTCTCTGTAACTCAGGGGAAAATGGATACCGTTTAATTACTAAATATTTAAAATTGAGTTTTGGGTTTGATAAGCATTCTGAAGTTCCAATAAGCCATTCAGATGCTTTATTAATTATTTTATCCATTGGATCACCTATAATCTTACCATTTACTATAGTTAAATTTGTGCAACATCCCATTATAGTATTTGTTAAAAATGGTATATAAGGGTATTCAGTGTCTTGAAAAGTATCACATTTAAGTACAATTGATGATTCCTTGTCATCATTCTCAATATTTATACCAAAAATTCCATATACATCCATTTTATCTGAAGTAAGTGTCCCAGTTTTATCAAATGCACAAATGTCAACTTTCCCACCAAAAGGAATCCTAAATGGTTCAGTACAAAAAATATTCTTTTTCGTCAATTGCACAAATGTTGTTGTAACTGCAATAGAAAGTGTTATTGGAAACTCTGGAGGCACTACAGAAGTTATAATATGAATACAAGATAAAAGAAGTTTAAATCTGTTTCTAAATGGATCTTGAAGTCCAATATATAAAACATAGCCAGAAGCAATAAGTGCGCTAATTATCAATAAGAATAAAAATAACAAAGATTCAAATCCATTAACAGTAACTCGTTCATTTGAAGATGAGATTGTACGTATGAGTTTTCCTTGATAGGTATTAAATCCAGTTCTAATTACATATCCAAGACAAATAGTTCTATTATCTTCATATTTCATATGTAATAGTTGTTTATTTAAACTTGGAGCTATTTTAGAAGTTTCAAGATTACATCTCTTAATAATACTTCCAACTACACCATTTATATTATTCTCTCGATTATCAGATACCTTATCTCCTAAATTATATCTTGAATCTAGTAGAGAATTTGAGACAATAATTTTTGTGCCAGCAAATATAGTGTGATTTTTCAAATTATTCATATTCATATCAGCTGTAAACAATTTGCTAGATACTTCATTATCTTCTTGTAAATTCATTAATGGAACTTTCATTTTAGGTACATATTCACCAGTTAACATTGCTTCATTAACAACTATATTTCCAGATAACAAAATAAAATCACATGGACAAATAGATCTTGTATCATTCCAATCTTCTTCATTGTTAAAACTAGATTTTTTATCACTTGTGTAAGTAGAAATAGCAATAATATCACCAGGAAGGATGTAATCAGTTAAAATATATTTCCATTTATTATTTCTAAATACAGAAATAAAACAAGAAGGCCGTCTCATTTGTCTTAGTTCATCTAATTCTCTTAAACGTCTAAATGTCATTTGAGCCTCCAAAGTGCATAACATTAATAAAGTAAATACCCCCATTTGCCAATATTCATCAAGAAACCATAGTAATACACAAAATAACTGAAATAAAAAGAATGGTGACAATATTTGTTCAGTAAATAGTCTCAAAAACTTCTCATTGGGAATGTCATAATTGTTAATTCCATATATAGTATTATATTCAGGAATATACTTTGATGATAATCCCAATTCTTCAGTAAGTCTATTCAAGTATGAACTTATTGGTAGGTTAATAGGACAATTCAATTTTGTAAAACTCGATACTTCTTCATTGTATATAAATTGTCGCTTTTCATAAAATATACTTCGGATCCAAGTTAGTGGCTTATCTGATTCTGACAGTAATTTATCCAATATATATCTATACCTAATAAAATCTGTTGAATTCACTCTAATAATGAAATAATCATTCATTGGAACAATTTCTACCTTATTCTTCCAGTATATATCCCTTAATGAATTTTTATTTTTATTACTAGGAGTATTTAATTTATCAATATTTGACACGCATACTGAATATTTTACTTCACAAAGACATGCTGAATATTTTGGGTTTTTAACTAATACATGTGTTATACTATTTATATTTTCTCTAATATTGGAAATTTTATCAAAGCATATAAAACACTTCATTCTTTTACTCCAATGAGTTGATAAATGACAAATAATATGAATAATAAATAACAATGAAAAGTAAAATATATAAGGTAAAAGGAATCCTTCAACAATATGCTGCAAATCTATAGTAGATAACTTTGTTGAATTATTTACTTCTATATTTAATCTATCATACCACTCTAAAGTATCGTTTAACCCTGATACTAAATTATCTCGAGTTTCTGGTAGAGAAAACAAATATCCAACATAATTTAGACTACCCCAAATATGATCAATTGAAATATCCGGTTTAATAGAAGATATATGTTGGAATACAATGCTTAAAAGAAATATATATAATATAAGGAATGGAAATACATCAAATCTAAATAAAAAAGATTTTCTCTTCCGATAATATATAAAAGTATATTTTTTATTAGGCTTGAGATATTTGTTCATTAGTTCCCAATTTGTCATATTTAATAAAGAATATCAATAATTAAAAGAGAAATAACAAAAGGATTAATATTAATGGTTATAGTGCTACCCAAACACGCCGCTAAATATAAAAATTATTACCTGAGGGATTTATCGAAAAGTTAACTTAGTATATTAAAGATTAACTTTTAATCAAGGGTGCACAATTTCTAAATTGGAATATATACGTTGACATTAATTAATATTTAATTTTATTGCGAAGGAAATTTACAAATTGTATCATTAAACTTTATTAAAATTTAAAATATTAAGTTATCTGTATATATATTTAATCTTAAAATATGACAGAATAAATCCACAAGATAATAAAAAATAATATATAGATACACTTGTATACGGTTATTTTTTAAGGATACACTATTCTATAACGAGTTAAAATAACATTCTGAAACCTATGTAACGAGGTTCAAACTCGTTTTAGTGATTAGACACAACTATTCCTTAGCAATGATACTAAAACAATTGTCAGACCTGACAATTGTTTACTATTATATTACATTTGATTAGAAATATAATATCATTAAAATGGGCATAATAAGAAAGTTGACTTTAATTGGATTGGTACACCTATTATTAGGAACAATAAATGCTACACCTACATTTGAAAATACTGCTGCAAGTGATGTTGATGTTGTAAAATCAACAAGCCAAATATCATCAAGAATACTTTCTACTCATACAAATGTAAATAGTAATGATCAAGATACTACCTTTAAACAACAAGAAGTAAATTCTGATCATGAATATGCTGAAAAAAAATCACTTTACATACCTAATTTACCAAAATTAGGTGGAATATCAGATAAAAGGTATTATTCATCATTACCCTTTACTAGGCATGGACATTGTGAAAAAGGCACAATTTATACTATTAAATCTTTCGATGATCTTAGAAGATATAAAGATGAATTGATGTGTGTTATGGAAACTGGTATTAATATAGTAGTTCCACCAAGTGGTAATTCATATGGTACAGTTTTAGATTACTTATCTGATCGTAGTGATGCAGATACAGAAATGATTAACCGTATATGGAATGGTAAATTTTCAGGTGCTGCACTTTGTAATAAACCCATAAATACTCTTCAACCTGTATTTTTTGGCTTTAATTTGGTAAATGGACAGTTTAGATTCCCTTCATTTTGGAATATTACGTCATTACCACCTAATTGTCATATGGCATCTTCAGAACACCCAGATGATTCGACAACATTGATTTTAGATTATATGACTAATTTCAATGAAGTTTGTCCACCTCAGATGCCATTAAATAGGCCATTCTTTTCTACAAGTGAAACTTCAAATGTATGCGCTATAGTAAAATTAGTTGGCCAAACTTCAGATGGTGGTTTCATTTTATTAGGAAGAGGTCTCAGTATGCCATCTTTTGTATCAAATTTTTCTCCCGTTGGTCTCTTCACTTTCATCTTCTTTGGTTTAATTACATATGATCCTGCAGTATACAATTTATCTTCTGGAGGAACAATTACACTACCTCCAGTACCCTACTCTTTTGATTACAATCTAGTTGGGATTGATTCATCTAGTAAAACTTTCCGATCTCCTTATCCATTAGTTCTTGATAAATTAGTGCCATTTGAGACTAAAGTATTTAGTTACAGTGAAATAAACTCCACAGATTCAAGTAACTCTACAAGTACTACAACTAGACGACCAAGGAATAATCATAAGATTAAGTATTCTACAAACATCACTGAACTAATTCCAAAGTTTAGAACTACAAACCAGATACGTAACTAATGTTTATGATTTAAAGTTAGAGTAGGGCATTTATGGCTACAACATTTAACAATAAGATGTAATTTTGAATATTCACTCTTTAAAATCAATAATATTTTACTTTATGGAAATTGTACTTTTAATAATTTATTCATTTGGTTTATAATGCTAGAGCTAAGTAATAGTAATAAAGAGCAAAATCACTTGAAATATAAATAGTATAGAATGTCAGTATGAATAAACGAAGGATTTGAAGACTAAATACCGAAGATATTACATAAATATTTGTATTCTATCCAACTGTGTTGGTTATAGTAGCAAATTTGTGAATTTTAAACTACGCTATGCAAGAATAATTGAACTGATTAGTAGTTGTATAAAAGATAAATGGAATTTTAAATGAGTAAATATGTGTTCAAATGTTTACATTATTTTTAGATATCTCCAATATGCCTAAATTACTTGTAGAAATATTGAATAACATTACTAGTTTAAAAGGCACTTCTAAGAAATATAATACTAGTAACCAATTTGAAAATAGTGATAGTTAGAAATCTTGTGATGTTGAGAATTGAAGAGCATCAGTAATTTCTTGATATGTCTTACAATGAATAACTTTTAATGTTTGTGTAAGCGTTTGCCTTGCAGCAGCCTCTTCCTGAGATGGAGCAGGTAAATCAGATATTAATTCACTGAATGGGTTAGATACATTAAAATGTCTTGGATATTTTAATTCAACTAGGATCTCATCAGCTGAAAACAATAAATAAGCAACGATATCTTCCCTTGGAATTTCAAGAATCTCTAGATTAAATATAGAAAAAATAAAACCTTTCTCAATCGTGATAGCATTTTCAAGCATAGATATTATATATTCATTACTAGGTTTTGTTTTCATGGATCTTGCTATGCTCAAACAAAACTCAGCTTGGAATAATTCATCACGTCTTATTCGATCTAATGCATCACATAATTGTTCTAAAACTGGACCTTCTTTATTAAAGAATGATTGTCTAATCAGATGAATACCTGATGAAAAAACCCTTTTAATTATGGTATATATTATTAACTTTTCAGAGAATGGGACACTAGAGTCAAGAAGCTGATTAGCAAATTCAATTTTCCTTTGATAATGTTGATTATCGGTAATTATATCTTTCAATTTTAAATGATATCTCATTTTTGCTTCTTTATGGTCATATTCCTTTATATTTTCGGATTTATATTTCCTAATAACATCTATGTAATTCATAAATACTTCCTTATATATATTCTCCATACAGATAGTAAATGAGAAATATCCTCTAGCTTCTGGTACTTGAATTTGGCTTAGAAATTCACATGCTACTAGTACAGAATCTAAGCCAGTGTTAGAAATAAAAACTCTACTAGAAAATAGTAATTCAATTGAATCTACAAATCTTCTATCAACTTCAGATATTATCCCTAAGTCCTTTATATAGGAAATAACTTCAGCAGTCCAAAAGACCACTTCATATTTTTTATAAAAATTCCAAAGTCTATTATACTTTATTGGAAATAATACCCATCTAAATGGATTATCTAGGAGTATAGTTTCTTGCTTCTGTTTCTCTAATAGCTCTCTTCTATTATCAATCATCACTCAAACATTTAGCAAATTCTACAAAATATATTATATAGAATTTTATATATTTCTCTTAAATTATGACTAAACAGATTCATATTAAAGAATACACACAGCGGGACAAGTTATTACTAGATACTCTTTTATCCCCACACAAACTATAGCGCCGTCTCAATAAGACTTCCTGATACCTTGCAATATAAATATTATTGAACTATAATATTTTCTGACTTGTATTACGAATTAATAATAATATAACCGGAATAGTTATTAATGTTATTATAAAGACCAGTTAATATATTTTTTTAATAAGAAATTATTATCTTTTTTTCTGAAGGTTACTATTGTAGCAAAATATTAAAAACATGGGAAGATTACTGAATATACATATAGCGGGTATTTTGTTACTTGAGACAACACAAAAATAATCTAGATAGTAATTTCATGTAATATAAAGGATTAAGTTATTTCGGATTATTATTTACACAATTAAATTAATATCTTAGAAATTAGAAGATGTTGAAGTCATTTCTATCGGCAGAGACTTCAAGGGAAATAGATCAAGCTGTTGAGAAGATTAAAGCTATGCAGCATGAAGAACCCGTACTATCAAGTGATACTAGATTGCACCAAATAATAAAGAGTGAAATAGAAGTAATGTGGTCAATGTACAAAAAAGAAGAAGCCTCATTTTGGACTGCAGAAGAGATAGACTTGGGTCAGGATATGAGAGATTGGGAAAGTTTAAAGGAACCAGAAAAACATTTTATTAAATATGTCTTAGCATTTTTTGCAGCTAGTGATGGAATTGTAATGGAGAACTTAGCTGTAAATTTTTTAAAGGAAATTCAAATAGAAGAAGCTAGAATGTATTATGGATTTCAAATTGCTATGGAGCAGATTCACAGTGAAACTTATTCCCTTTTAATTGATCAATATATATCAGATGTAAAAGATCGCCAAATGCTTTTTGAAGCAATATCACATTTACCAGCAGTTAAAACTAAGGCAAAGTGGGCAACAAAGTGGATGAATAATAATCGGTCATTTGCAGAAAGAATAATTGGCTTTTGTGCAGTTGAAGGTATCTTGTTTTCTGGTAGCTTTTGTGCTATATTTTGGCTTAAGAAACGTGGACTAATGCCTGGATTGACATTTTCTAATGAACTAATATCTAGAGATGAAGGTATTCATGCGGACTTTGGATGTCTACTTTATAAAACATTAAATAATCGTCTTCCATATGGAAGAGTTCAAGAAATCATAGCAGAAGCTGTTGAAGTCGAACGTGCATTTTTATGTGATTCATTACCTGTAGATCTCATTGGGATGAACTCTAGATTAATGGCCCAATATATTGAATTTGTTGCTGATCGTTTACTGTTTGCTCTAGATGTTCCAAAGATATACAATGTCACGAATCCATTTGATTGGATGGATCTTATTTCATTACAAGGTAAAACTAATTTCTTTGAGAAACGAGTAGCTGAATACCAAATGGCAGGAGTTATGGCTCATCAGAAAGACCAAATTTTCAATCTAGATGCTGAATTTTAACTAACCAGCTTCATAGAATACTTTTAATATAATAAAATATATTTACTTTATATAATTATGTAGTGATAATTTTTTTAGAAATAGAAAAAAGGAATTGCATAATATACAGTATTTTATTAAAATAAGAAGATTTATATATATTAACTTTAAAATTATTACCTCTTTTTATTTGGACTTGTAAGATTTCAGTTCTTCTTTTCCTTGTGATAAAGCAAAGATCAAAACAAACCTTTCTTTATAAAAGATATTTTGTAAGTATATTAAGGTGTAATAAACTATAACAAAATATTTGATTCATCTATTGAAGGGAAATCTTTAATTATTTATTCCGCATGATATATTCGAGTGATATTCACTTTTTCCTTTGGATTTACTATTTTTTTTGAAACTAATTTTCATCTGCTGAATATTTAAGTAGTGAGAAATCAATATTTTGTGAAGTTTTAAAGTATTTACAGAATTTCCAAGATTAATAATAAATTAAAGGATATTTGAATGGATTATATCACAAAAAGTACTCAATATGTTAACAACGGTATCTATAAACAATTTATATGCAGGTACAAATATTCAACTTTCATCAGAAATTACAGCGGAAATCCAAACTCATTTAGCAAGAAATTATCATTTAATATTATCCAACAAAGATTTCTTGGAAATAAAGTGAGTGGTCCTGCTGCTTCTTATAATGTAATAAAACATCTAAAAATTATTTCGAGACTTAATCCTTCATTAACATATACAGAATTTAAACAACGTTGTGAATCACTAAGAATATTTATCTATTTTGGGATGTGTATATATCTTACGGGTGAACTTGTTAATAATCCATTAAAATCATCATATTGGTACAGATATACTCCAATAAATTTCTTCAAGTATGTTTTACCAAATTATATGTATCCTATTGACAAGAAATATTGATTCCTTTTAATGAATATTGTAAAGTTAAATATTTATGATAACAAACTCTTAAATTTAAACATATAACTCCTTAATTATGTTGAAAGAAGTAATTTATTTTCAAGATTTAAAATATTTTAATAGGATAATAAACTAAATTCGAAAATTTTTTAATTTTTAATTTTTACAAAGTAGTTATAAATAATGTGATTTGGTTAATTAATCTATTAATAATGAATAACTTAAATTGACATTATTTTAGTTTAATAGAGGTAATCGTAAGTTAAAATTTATGTAAATGTTGATGACTATATTAAAAGGTACATTATTATGAATTTTATTAAAATTTATAAAATGATTTTTATAAACCATAAATCATAAAATGACTTTTTATAATAGTAAGGATTGAATGAGTTTTTCTTTATAATAAAATATAATGAAGTATTAAAGGACTTCGATAAATGTTATCTATGTTTGGTGATTTAGCAATAATATGATTACTAGTTTACATTTACTCATCAAAATTTGGTTCATAGAAAATAATTTAATAGTCTTTAACTATTATACTGATTTGATATTAAAATTTTTTTGATAGAACTCAAAATAAGAAATCAGTTTATGTATTATCTATTTATATTATTCCAATTTCAATATTAGTAATGTTATATTTATAAAAAGTTGTATTTTACCTTTATGAATTATATCATATTTTAGTAAGCTTTATTATATAATCAAATTAGGTATTAAATTTATTGAATACAATATATCGAATAACAATTAAATAATTTGATTTTATAGTTCTAGTTCAGTTTTTTTTTTTCTTTTTTTTAAAAAAAAAAAAACTAAAAAAGTAATAATAATTTTATTATAATCGAATTTATGAATATTAAGGTTTTAATACTTTAAATTCCGGTTCATCTTCAGAGAATAACTGTGATGATGACCTACTCTGATTATTGGATTTTTTGTTCTCTCCAATATTTCCATTATTTAAATTATATTGTTTATTTACACTATTACTTAGACCCTCATCTTGATCTAATGTCAACGTCTGAGATACTTCACTAACATTTTTTTCTTCATCTTTAGAGTCAATAATTACAGATGATGGAAATGGTGGTAATATATCATGATCAGTAATATTACCACCATCTTGATCTTCTCTTATTATTTTACTTTTATTTAATAAAACTTTATTATCTGAAGTTGTTTCTAGCTTGGTATTTCTTAAAACTGCAGTTTCATTAATAACTCTAATTTTATAATCTTCAACTAATTTCAATTTACGTAGTTGAGCCTGTTTTAGTGGATGTATTACAAGAATAATAATATGTATAGATTTTATATTATTAGGCCAGGAAATTACATTAATAGCCAATGAAAAAAAGCTTCTCTTATCAGTTTCATTTGATAAAAATGGGCACTTTAGCCATATTTGTTGAGCTATCCATCTTGGTATGCTACAAGGGAATGTTAGAATAGCATATTTCATACGACACTTTTTTGGTAATGTTGATAATAAAGAATCTCTCCAATTCAAAAAATCTTCCCTATTTTTGTAGTAATCTGTAGTATATGGGTCTGATGTTTCCCATTTGTGAAGTAAATTTAAGCCCAGCTTCAAATATCCAACAGTTGCACTATCATTTTTCCATCTAGTTCCGATTGTTCGTGATTTCTGAAATCTTTGTACCTGTACATATTTCATTATTTCATCTATAATATCTCTACAATACATATCAATCTCATTACTATTACCATTATTTATATCTTGATTAATATCGTTTACTGCATGAATTTCTCCATCAATGTTCTGTAAATTTATCTCATGATTATAACCTAGGCTAATTTCTGGCCACGTAAAGTTAGGTGAAATATGTGAATTTAACTGAGTTATAGGTTTAATTAACTTTTTTTCTAGAGAATTTGTATTTGGAAGTTGTAAAGTTGATTGATTAGATGAAGAGTATACTGGAATAGATTCATTAATTAAAGATTTGTAGTCAAGATTTTTCTTTGGGAAAAAAGGGAACCATGAATTTATATCAGCTATATTATATGATATTCTATTTGGATCACCATTTGACTGAATATTTGCAAATATATTTTTATTATTAAAAATAATATCTAAGGTGCGATATGGCAATCTATTAGTTACTTTTAAGCAAAAATTAGGTTTATAATTTATAGGATTGCCTTCGTTCTTTAATTTTTCTGCTAACAAAAATTCTTCAGCTGATAAGGATAATAGTGAAAGATCATATTCTTCTTCTCTTAACCATTTTAAGAAGTTATTTGCCTCTGTATCTTTTATAATATTATCTAATCTATATACAACATGTTTAACTGTATCCCAAAACAAAGCATAAAATTTTAATCCCCTTTGAGAAATGCTATTTGAAGAAGTTTTTGGTGACTTTTTTGCTGAATTTGTTGTTTTTTTTAAATTTTTAAGATTTTCATTTATTTCCCCAGTTGGGGACCCCACATTTGATTTTGTTTCATTATACTCATAGTGCATAGTTATAACCCATGTATACTTATCTCTATTCCATAGGGTTCCACAGGCTAAAAATGCTACCTTATTTAATCCAATTAAAAGACAAACATGCAATAATGCATGATCAAACTGTGTTCCCTGTCTTGATAACAGAAATAAATCTGGTGTTCTCCATACTGAATTATTGCTACTTGGTAGAAATGGAAATGCATGAATAAAATGATGTACTTTTGATGCATTTGTAATACCAGGCAATGGTTTTAGTGGTTGAATAAATGATGGTAATAAATGCTTAACCCCTCTTGAATCAATTCCATAATATGAAAATTGGCGACCCCATGCTTCTAAACGCTTTGTTAGACTTTCCCAATAATAAATATTGGATCTTATTTGCAATTGTTGCCTTAATGATATTCCAATATCTGACAATTCTACGATTTGCTTTAATCTATTCTGCAGATTTTGTGATACAGTCCCATCCAATGATATTTGTATACAAGGTAAAATACTGAAGTCTGGCTTAGTCCATATTTCAACGTATACTTTTGGCACTGCAGGTGAAGTTAGCAGTAAATGACGATATGAACTAAAGTCTGACTCTGCTGGTCTTGTACCAAGATTATATAATTCTGAACAGCCCTGATATACCCTTGTTTCATAAACTACTTCCTTACCTAGAGTTCGATCATAAAATTTGCGATATTCAAGTCTTCTGAAAGTAGAAGAAGTGTTAATCATATTGTATTCTGAAGGCTCTTTAACTGATAAATTCTGGTATTTTGACTCTATTAGGTATTCTGTAGTCTTATTTTTCATCAATATATCCTTCCAATTGATTTCTGCCCAGCCTAAATGTTCATTGATTACAGATTTCGTTTTTCTCCATACATCCAACAAAATTGGCCCCTTACTTTCAAGTAGCTTTATTAAGTCATCTTCACTCATTTTAGACAACTGAGGAGTTGGAGAAATTACATCTAAAACAAAAGTGAGCTCACTTTGAAATAAAGGATGTAGTGAACCTGAAATAATTGGTGTTTCCTTTTTATTTCCGTCAAATGTTACTTGTACATATACATCTATACTTTCTTCTTCTTTATCCTGTAATATATAACTATCAGACAAACTACTCATTAAATTATCTATTCGTAGTATCTTTACAATTAAATATAATTTGGATTCATCGTCAATCTCTAAGATATTCCCAAGCTGTTGATATTTTGGAATATTTCCAAATTCTATCTTACCCTCTAATATACCAACTTCACCATCTAAAAAATCAATTTTAGCCTGTACATATGGATAATGTATAATATTTTTCAAGTTTAGTACTCCACTATAGCTACTTGGTGACTTTAGAGTGATGAATTTACTTTTATCTGGGTTCACTTGTAATGTGAAATGTAACTGGTTCCTTTCTAGTTCATGTATTGTTCCTCTAAATGGGATCATTCCAATGTTTTCCCATTTAAGTATCTTCAGATTTTTCCTTCCACAGGTAGACCACTGAGATTGGCACTTAGATGGAAAAGGGTTATCAGTACCATAAGAGGGTAGATAAAAGTTTAATCGGCATTCACGCATATTTGAATAAACTAAGTCATTCTCTGAACTACTCTCAGTTTCGTTAGCTTTACCCAATTCATACTTTGATATTAAGTTATTTACACTATGGTGTTTTTCACAAATTTCATGGCCATTCTCAGTATTCATAATTTCATTATCTTCATCATTTAACACCCTTAATGAAAATTGTGCCAAATTTATCTGAAAGTCATATATTTCCTGAAATACAATTTGTAAAGAAACTCTAAATATAGATAAAACTCCATTAGATGAATGCTTAGATAGGGTTAACATCTGACTTACACTTCCAGTTGCATAATTTTTTAAAGTATCCTCATGATATGCCAATAGCTCATTGACTGTCATTGAATGATTTTTCCAAGCTATAATACGAAATAACTCCCTTTCTAAATGTATATAACTCCCACGCCATTCAAATGTTTCATTTACACCAATATCTACAGAATTATTCCCAATAATATCATCTTCTTCTATCTCTAAATTATGAACTCTAGTAGGTTTAATATTGACTGAATGTGTATAAAATTGATAGCAAGGAGGATAACCTAATAATCTTGGTACTTCAGTATTTTTTTCTGTATCTATTAATCTAACTTCAGTTAATGTTCCACCAAATTGAAATTCCAAAAAAATATTTTCAAAGATATTTTCAGTTAAATTATCTATCTGAACAGATCTTATTGTAGTTCTAAATCGTCGAGGAGTTAGCCAAATCTGTTTTTCTAATGATGTATTTAGTCTATTTGCAAGTGTTATATTCCTACTTAACAGCCGAGAAAGTTTATTAAATTCCTGCTCAGAAACTACTCTATCTCTAAAATCAAATATTAAGTCTTCATTTTTCTCAAGTTTCTTTGATTCATTCTCATATAAAGACTCATTTTCTTCCTTGTATTGTTGTTTGGAGCTTTCCAAATCATCAGCTTCACTTAAAAATGGTTGTATTCCATCATTCGAATCTTTGTGATAACTTTTTTCTGTATTTAAAGCTATTCCTGTCTTTTGACGAAACTTATCAACTACATGTTTCGTAGCATCTTTAGCTGAACTAACGATATTAGATCCAACAGCTCCTACAACAGCCTTCATAGCTCCTACAGTATCCATTGAAGTTATATAATTGATAAATCAGTATTATCTCCTAGTAAATTTCACATTTAACTATTTTCCAAATAAAAATTTTTAATTTGTAGTATTTTGCCAGGATTACCTATAGTTGAATACTTTTTTAGCCACGTAAGTGGTAATGGCGCCATATAATAGCGGCGGTTATTGCATGCAAAGTTTGTAATCGGCTGACCTTGAATATTATAACGATTTGCATGCAAGAGGATATTTTACAAGGAATTACTATAAACATGGAGCTAATTTTAAGGTAAACAAATCCTTTATTTATTCTATTTAATAAGTTAACTAATAAGAGTTCGTATTCTTAATGCCTTCAAATTATTCATAGGAAGTGTTGAATATCTCCAAGATGGTAACACATCAACACTATAATTATCAATATCAGCACTTATACTGGTTTATTTTTTTACTAATATTTTTTAGACATATTAACATAACTAACAGTGAAAATTACTCGAAAGAATTGTCACTATCTTTAGAAAGTACAGTAAACTCGTATAATGAGAGTAAGTTCACAATTAAAAGAACTCAGTTATCCTCTCAAGTTTATACAAGCAATAATACTAACATTTATAACAAATTAACACCTAGAAATAATAGGAAAACTCAACAGAGGCATGCTAGTGAGTCAATATCAATAGAGGAATCTCAATATAGTGAGATATGTTCTAGTTTACCCAAAAATATAAATGAAATAGAAGAGAGATTTTGGACACACCTAGTATTTATGCATGCTGATAATAATCTTGAATCAATGGCTTTAGTTGATTTAGCTGAAATGTCATCTCCATTGCATCCAGAGACAGTAAACTACGTGCATTTAGTAGTATACATTGATAGATGTAAAGATTATACAAACAAAGATGTTATGGTTCCAATTATCTCTTGTCCAAAAAGTGGGCTAAGTAAGATAAATATAAAACAAGAACAAGTTAACCAAAATTTTACAGGGGCATATATTTTATATAGGTGGAAGCTAAATAAAGAACTTGAAGAAAAATTGGGAATTACATTTGTATGGATATTAATAGACGATTTAGAAGAAGTAGATTCAAATTCACCTACTGTACTCTCGAATTTTATCACCAATTCACTTGACATGTTTCCATCTTTACATCTAGCACTAACTCTATGGAATCATGGATCTGGATGGGTTGGATTTGGTGATGACCATGATAATGCAGATGGATCTGGTATGCATTTGGATCAAATGTATAGAGGAATAAAAGATGGAATTAATAATAGTCTTAGGGGATCAAAAAACGGAATGGGAGCAACAAATCAGCTTGTATTTGATGTGTTAGGTTTTGATGCTTGTTTAATGATGCAATATGATGTATTAGAAATAATGAGACCATTAGCAGCTTATATTTTAGCAAGTGAAGATAATGAACCAGGACATGGTTGGAATTTTAGGACTATAAATCCAGCAACAAAAATATCATATTCTACTAATGCAATAGGTAAGAACTCAGAATTAAAAGATAGAAATAATAATAATTCACAAGTTTTCTCATACAGAGCAGCTACTCCACTAGAATATGTTTCAAGAATTGTATATGGGTATTCTTTACATGCTAAGAGTTATCCACTAACTTTATCAGCAATAAACACGGATTTACTAGATATATTTATGAACCATTTATATAACTTGATAGTTCTACTATACCGTTGTGGTGGTGATTATATTAGTGTAATAATAAAAAAATCTATTTTAAATTCTCGTAAAATTGAAAATTGCGACATAATAAATCTTTGTAGCTGCTTTGACTTGGGTGATATGCTAGAGCAATTGCGAGGCTATCTAGCAGAAGAGATTGCTTTAGATACTACTATACAGGAGTTACTAGCTTTAACACTGAATTCATATTATAATATGCAAGTTGTAAGTGTTAATATTCAAAGGGACAAAACTAGTTTATCGATAGATGAATCATTAGGTAACGATAGTCTTTGGACAGGTATATCATTGTACTTCCCTAATGTCCTCCAATCTATTAGTTGTAGTAATACAAGAGTTGCAAAACAATTATCTCTTATATATATGAGACAATCAAAATCTGAATGGGGACAGTATATTAATGATATTTCAAGGGATAGACCTGGCCAGTACTGCAATCTCTTTAGTAGTAAATTTGGGGAAGAAAAGAAACCAAAATTTACTGATTTGAAAACAAGCGTGAAATTAATTGAAGATAACAACTCAAATTCAAAATATATTGTGATGAAGATGAGTAATAACACTATTATGTCTCAATCAATTATATCATATCCTCTACTCGGTACTCTAAATAAAACTATTCCTGTCTCTTCCATAATACTTAATAAAGTTGAGTCTAAAGGTATCATTAATATTAAATGGAGAACATTTGCTTATGAGATTAAACAGAAAATTTTAGTGCATAAAGAACCTTATAATGAATATCAAGATCCACGAGTTAAGATCTTCAAACCATCATCTTGTGATCATTTAAATTGTTGGTATAGATCCAATATAACAATAATGTCTAATTATAATAATGATTATATGATTGGCCACTTTATGTTATATGAAACTTTAAAAGATCTAGAATTGAAAAATGGATATATGGCATACTTAACAATTTCAAACAAAGATACAAGTAATTTGAAAAAATCTCAAACTTTGTATATATCGACTCCAGGTGGAGTAATTGAACGTCCTGAAAATGAACCATGCTTTTTAATTCCAATAGTTTATCATATTGAACCTATATCAAGTACTAGTTCAATTTATATTAATGAAATGATACAAAAAATTCAAGAAGTGTATAATATAATATCAGATATATTAAATAGTATGACTGCACCATCATTTGGAATAAAAGTGTTATCAAGATATGATACTGATTCTATTAAATCTAGAAAAGTCAAATTAATAACATATATTCAGAATCATGCTATATTTATTTGGGGTAATGAAAGTACTAATATTAAAAATAATAGCCTTAATTTCATTAGTCCTATAAAATTAAATATAATGGATATTGAACCTAGTTTAAATAGTTATAGTAGAATACTTGTTAGTAGCTATAGTGAATACTCAAATGGACTTGATAATTTACTTACATTAGGAATATCAATTAATGGAAAAAACTTTACTAGAGAATGCTTGGATGAATGGATAAATGATGGAATATGTGATATTTTCTGCATAAAAGATATAAATGATTGTGGTAATATAAAAGATGAGTTTCCAAAGTTTGAAATCGAATATCCTCTTTCTAATAAACAGAAATATATAATAAATCCAAATTCACATGTTCAATGTACTCCAAACAATTTAGATTTATCGGAACAATGTTGGGAGGATTCAGTTTGTAGACGCTCAAGTTATTCTAATAAATACTATTGTATATGCCCACTAGGGTATCGTCATCAAATTATAAAGTTAATAAATAGATCTACAGGTGAGATATTATATCGACATAATTGTGAAGATATTGATGAATGTTCTGAACACTCAAGACAATGGATAATTGAAGAGAATGAACAAACTGAAGGTGACTTATATAATGGATATAATTTTAATGAAGCAGTTTATCCTAGTATTGAAAGAGGTGAAGAAATTTCAGATATATTAAATTCACCTTTTTCATTTATTAAAAGACATGTTGTAACCCCATCAGGCTTAAAAAGACCATGTCACCCAAATGCAGTTTGTATTAACAAAAAAGGTAGTTTTGATTGTAAATGTAAGCAAGGTTTTCATGGAGATGGAAAATTACTATGTATTAAAGATAATTTATGCTCAGATTATGAAAATAGTTATTCACAAGCTTATTCTTGTCCTGAAGGATTACATTGTTTAAGCAACTATAGTCAAAATAATGATTTATATAATGATTTATATAATAGAAATATTACACTAAAAAATATTTGTGGTTGTAAAACGGGATATAAAATGGCTCTATCATTAAGTTCAAAACCAATCTGTGTTGACATAGATGAATGTAAAATTGACAGTGATAGTCGGATTGGTATAATAAAATCTCATCAATGTAGCTTAAATTCAATATGTACAAATACTATTGGCTCATTTATCTGCTCCTGTCCAGTCGGTTGGATTGGAAATGGATATATTTGTTCACCAAAAACAGGAGGAGATATAGCAATTCAGGTTGAACTATCTGCTTCTTTTGAAAAGTTAAAAGTGCTTGGTTATGCTTCAATAAAAAACATATTTAAACAATCTATTATAGAAGTATTAGATATACCAAATGAACTTATTGAAATAACTAGTTTATGGATTAATCCAATAAATGAGACTATAAAAATATATATACATCTACTTGAAAATTCAGGTTATAAAAATAAAAACATATTCCCATCATTCTACAAAAATAAAAAATCTGTAAATAATATAACAGAAAACAGTTCATTTAATAATGTAAATAATGGAATTAAATTACTTGATTTATTTACTACTAGTTCTTCAAAATGGTATTCATCAACTTACTTCGGACATATTTTTGGTTCTACAGTAAATCCTACAAAAATTATATCTGGTTTGGTAGAACAAAAATCTGTAAATATTATTGATAAAATTCTATTATCATTATTTCCTGAAAGTACATATAATGATCTAAAAATATCACCATATGGGAATCCAATTGGAATTTTAATCTTTACTACTATTTCTGTTTGGTGTATATCATTATTTCTAATAATTCTCACCGTAATTCTCCATATTATTTTATTAAGTTGTCTTAGAAATCAAAATCGCAATGAAATAGAAAAAAGTGATTTAAATCATTATAAAGAAAGTATAAGTAATGACCTAAATCCATTTAAATCACAAATATTTTCATTAGAACTTTCAAGTATGTCAGGAAGTCATTAAAATTTACTATAAAGTAAATTACACATATATATTTTAATAAAATATTAATTAAATTAGATAAACTAAAAATATCAATGACATAAATAAGATCTTAACCTTATAATTTATTCAAAGAAATTCAATATATCTTCAAATTTCCAAGTCTCAGCTAATCTACCATTACGCTTAATCCAATATTCTTCAACTTCATCATCATCAGGAATAACAAATGTCTGATTTTGGGATGCTAATCTAGAAAAAATATATTTACGTGTTTCTTTATTATGAATAGCTTTAGCAATTCCAACAGCTGATCCAATATTTGGAATATTCTTTGCATATACAGTGAAATAAGATCTCATGAAAAGGGAACCTAAAATGTATGCATGCCCATATTCACCAGGAATGTCTATTTGCATAAAACCAGGTTTACATTTACCATTTTCATCCGGAATCAAATATATTTCTGGAGTTATTACTATTTTTGTATTATTTATAAATTCATATGTTATTGAAGGAAAGTAATCATAAAGTTTACTACTTAATTTTTTGCCATCTAAGTGAAGTTGGGAACAATCACCAAATGGTGGATATTTCTTAATAAAATAATGATATTCATAATTAGGCAAAGTGAAAAGTGATGTACCAGAATCAAATATTACATACCCAGTCATTGATTTCTTATCTTTTGTTTTATTACCCACAAAATAATCCATTGATAAATCCTCATATAGTCCATATTTCTTAAATAAATATTCATCCTGATCTTTTTGCCATTCATAAGCTAAAGAACCATAATCACAACAATATTTAGTATCTCCAATATATAAAGATACTAATTCAACTTCCCAATAATGTTCACGAACAACAGGAAGCATTCTAAGAGGTTTATTATAAAGTCTTTCATCAACTCCACCAAGTAATAATAATGCAGAAGGATTTGACAATGCATCTGATTCAGAAACTAAAGGTTTTAATCTATAATCATTTATATAAAAAGCAAAAATATTTTGATTTATAACTCCTTCTTCTTCTAATCTCTCCATTAAAGGTGGTTGTAAATTTGGTGTTGCAGACATATGAGAAAATCCAAGACCAATAATACCTTCAAATAATATTGTATCAAAGATATCAATACTTTCAGTATTCTTTTCTTCTTCAACCATACCAAATATCTGATTTTTTAGTTTAAAATTACCAAATATAATATCTTCATATGCTAATCTACCATATATCTTGCCAGTACCAAACATTACTGATAATCTTCTAGATGGTTCAAATAGTCTAAATGTACTAGAAGTAAATGGTAAATAACGTCTAGCTTTTTGACAACTTGGTTGATTGCAATTATCACCAATAATCCATAAATTACTACTTCCTGTATCAATTATTGGCCAAAAATATTGAGGTGGTGTACCAATTCCAATACGTCCAACAAATAATGAGTTTTTAATTTCAAATATTGGAATAATTGTATTTGTTTTATATAATGGATATTTACTACTTAAAGTTTCATTAACAGATGATATATTTGCTACTTCAACAACTTCAAATTTTACATTGTATCTAGTTAATTTCGGTTTTAAAATCTCACCCTTATTTGATTTAAATGGAAAATTATCTATGGAAATTCTTGATAATTCCATATCTTCTAATATATCTTCAGATAAACTTTCTGATGTAAAATCACTCACTTCATTATCTGACTTACTTAAGTCTATATAATTATTATATTCAATAAAAGAAAAACATATATTTGATATATCATCATATCCTAATAAATTACATAAATATATATGTGGTCTTTTTATTAAAATATCTTCATCTGAAAGAAAACAAGAATATTTATATTTTCAATTTTAATTTTAATAAAAATAACTCACCATTATTAGGTAACAATTTATTAAAATACTTTATTATTATAAAGTCCTATAATAAATGAACAGTTATATATTTCTATTTCAAAAATATATATTACAAAAAGTCATCAACATTATATTAAATCAGTTATATTATTTATTATAAAGTCCATATTACTTTATATTGGTTAAATGTACTATATATTTAATATATACTGAAGACTAAGTAAATTCAAATTATTGAAATTACAATTATGCATTAAAAAAAAATAAAAAAAAAGTGAAATATATCCCAAGTCCTCAGAATATTTTATCTAAGTTCTCATTATTATTATTAATTATATATATTCCAATTATATTAACTTCATAATAAAGTAAGGGAAGAAGAAAATTACCTTACCTTTAAATAGATATTAAAGGAAATATCCCTCAATCTTATAGATGATATAATTAATATTAATAATAAAATAAAAATCTTGGACTGCACTTTATTTAATATGCATTCCATATATAATAAAAAGTATGTTATATTAAATGAAATAAGCAACATATTATTACGAAAGCGGCTCCATTTGTTGTGGGAAGAGTTTTAATGCGAATAAGGATGCACCACTACCGCTACAGATTTTTACCTTTAATGGATTATTAATGGATTAATATTAAAATATTCTTGATATTGACTAGTTATAATGGTCTTAATCTTATATATGTATATTTACTGATAAATTATTGGTATATTAAATTTTGTGGTATCTAAATAGACAATTGTATAAATAAATCATTAAAAATAGATTTGAAACATATGTAATAAAGTTGCATATTTTCTTATGCAACTTATTTTATTTTTTTTTTTTTTAAAATAAGAAGAATAATAAATTATCTTATATATATAATCTTTCATAATTCAAATAATTATTTAATAAAGAAGTCAAATTGATGCTAATAATATTATTATACAAATCATTCAAATAATTTAAAAAGGACAATAATAAGTAATAAGTAATATAATATTAAGAAATAGAAAAAAGAAATAATATAGTAAATATTATAAAATTGCATCATCTTTATCTGAAGAAATATATATTTGTAAAGCTAATTTTTTAAAATAATGACAAGAGAATTATTAACTTCTCCAAATAAATCCTCTTCATCAACAATATATTCATATAAATTAGGATCATATATAATGGGACCAACTTTAGGGATAGGATCATTCGGTAAAGTAAAATTAGCAAAACATGAACCAACAGGATATAATGTTGCAATAAAAATTATGAACAAGGCAAAAATTAATTCTATTGATATGTATGATAAAGCTAGACGTGAGATTAGTATACTACAAAGCATTGACCACCCTCATATTATACGATTGTATGAGGTTATTGATACACCTTCAGATATATTTATGGTAATGGAATATATTAATGGTGGTGAATTATTTGATTATATTGTACAAAAAGGTCGTCTAAATGAAAATGAATCAAGAAGATTATTTCAACAATTAATATCTGGAATTGAGTATTGTTATATAAATAGAATATGTCATCGTGATTTAAAACCTGAAAATATTTTATTAGATAAACAATGTAATATAAAAATAGGTGATTTTGGATTATCTAGTTATATTTATGATGGTAACTTTTTAAGAACATCATGTGGTTCACCAAATTATGCAGCACCAGAAGTAGTATCTGGGAAGGCTTATTCTGGTCCAGAGATTGATATATGGTCATGTGGTGTAATTTTATATGCATTATTATGTGGTTCATTACCGTTTGATGATGAAAATGTTAGTAATTTATTTCGTAAAATAAGAAATGGTATTTTTAATATGCCTGGTCATATATCAGATGCTGGTAAATCATTAATTGCTAAAATGTTAACAGTAGATCCATCTCAAAGAATTAATTATAAGGAAATAAGACGTCATCCATGGTTTAGAAAAAATTTACCATTTTATTTAGAACCACAATATTATCATTTATTTTTGCCTAAAATATTTTCAAAAAATTTATTCAAAATAGATTCATATAATCAATTAAACAATAATGATGTGACATCTTGTTTACTTTTTGATAAAATTAAGCAAGAAAATGGTGCAATGTGGGCACAAATACAAAGAAAACATCATCGTCAACATTCAATTTTTCCAAGAGAAATTCAAAAAAAAGTAATATCACGTATTCCAATATTTGCAAATACACATATTAATAGTAAATATCTTTTAAAAAAATCTCCAAATTATATTAAATATGATATTAATAATAATAATCAAAAAAGTATTTTTCAATTATTATTATCTAAAATGACAGAAGCTATAGATAATATTAAAATGCAATCTGAATTAGAGAAAAGTCATATTAAAAAACAATTATTTGATTCTTCAAAAAATATTATTTCTGATCCTAATATAAAAGAACAAATTGAACAATCCGAAATAAAATCAATTAATTTAGAATCAGAAATAAATATCCATTTAGATAAAGACAATATATTAAATAATCAAGATTCTTTTAATAATAAAAGTGATCAGAATAATATGAAAAATCATCTTTATTCTCCAACATCACATATACAAATTTCTACTATACCTACTTTATCTATTAATTTATCTACAGAATCTAATTTACTAACAAGTTTAGAAAATCGTTGGTTATTAGGTTTTGAAATTACTGGAAAATTAGATAATATTATATTTAATATATTGAAAACTCTTAAAGAATCTAATTTTGAATGGAGATTTCAATCATTACATAAGCTAAGTTGCAGACCAATTATTTTATCAGAAGAAAAACCTCAATGTAAATTAAGTGATCAGAAAAATTATGGAGATAATATTAAGTTATCTATAATGACAAGTCCATACATAACAATACAATTATTTAAAATATGTTCATTTAAGTATTTACTAGATATTCAAGTAATTGATGGTCCCTTATTAACTACAGCATATTTAGCATTTAAATTAACTACTAAAATATATACAAATTTAAAGTATAATCATGATCACATTAATACAAGATAATAAGATATTATAGTTAGGATATTATCCTAGTCAATATAAAGGCATATATATATATATATATATTAAAATGATCAAATTATACTTATTCTATATTCCTCTTTATTTTAAATGAGAGGGGAACGAGAAAAGAAGAAGAGGGGATATAATTGTTAATGTTACAGAATTTTTGTAATATTTAATTCAAGGAATTATCTAAAAGTATATCTATTAGTCAGAATTTCCCGCTATAAATAGTATCAGGCGGTATTTAATTATTTTTATTTTTTATTTTTTATTTTTTGCGGTATAGTCCTTAAATTATTTTATAATATTAGAAACGTATGCAAAATCACACATTAATATTATTTCTGGTTTTGTAGAAACCTTTAGCAAAAAAAAAGTAGATATTATTCTTATTAATATCATCCCTTTTTTCTTGTAATGATACCTTATATTGCAATAGTTTTGGGAAATCATAATATATAATGTATTTAGACAAACTGGAAGATTTTAAAATACAAAAGATCAAGTTTTTAACTATAAATGAATTGTTACAAATATCTAATTTAGATGATAAAAATATTATAGGGGATATTTTCTTAAGAGAAGATTTAAATGAATATACTGGATTTTATGCAGATTCAAATAATAATTTACTTATATATAATCATTCTAATAAAGAATTATTTAAAATAACTAATACAGAGATTATAAAATATGAACTAGATATTCCCTTATTACAATATATCCCCGAATACATGATATTATATGAAAAAAGAACAAAAAGTGGATTATCAACAAATTTTGAAAATATGAATGAAGATGAAGTGATTAAATATGTTGCATTCATTAAAAATAAAGTAAATCTATGCTTATATTGCTTAAATGGATCTTCTAATACATTTTCACTTGTATATGAAAAACTAATTATTGATCCAAATAATACAAATATAAGGATTTTTGGTTTATTATGGTGGGATACCCCAAATAATACTAATATATTATTAATGGTAATAACAAGTATTGGTTTATATTTATATGAATATAATGATGATAATTTAATAATAAAATGGCAAGAAGAATTTTTATGTCATAATGCATGGTATGAATTAGATAGTAAGACAATTGTCCTACAAGTAGGTCCAAATACATTAACTCCTCTATTATATTTAAGAACTGAAAGTAATAATATTGGAATTCAGAAATCACAAAATTTAGATTTATTATTAAATAGAGAAATTGAAAGTGATGAAGTAATTATTTTAAATTTATATGGTGACATTTTTTGTACTCATTTAGACTATTTTAATGGTAGGGTATCATTAAGAGATTTATATAATCAAGATAACATTGATTTAGTTTTAGATATTGATAATAAATTTAAAAAATTTTCATTATTTTTATTGGATAATATTTTAGTTATTATAAGTTTAGAAGGCAATAAAAATGATTCTATAAAATCAAACAATGATAATTTATTTAATATTATAGGATTTTATGATATAAAATTATTACCAAATATAAAGAATAATAAATATAAAAGTTTAGAAAGTGACTCAAATATAGATAATTTAGAACAATATTATTATATTATACCTTGCTTATATGAAGATAATTGCTCTGATAATATTTTTATTAATATCAAGAATAAATCAGATTTAATGAATTTAGATTCATTTATAGATAAAGATGAATGTGATGATACTAAATCTATAAGATACTTAAATAAATATTCAGAATTGCCAGATGTTAATAATATTTATTTAATATTAAGAAATGGTTGTAATCTATTAATTTTTATTTCAAAAAAAGATTTTAATTCTTCAAACAATAAATATGATATAAGTTTTAATAAGATTCATTTGTCTAATAGAAAAATAATGGAGAAAATAATTTTACCACTTAATAATATTGATAATAAAGAAATTAATTTAAAAGTACTTCCACTTATATTTAATCGTAAAAATTGGAATAATGATTTTTATAATTATATTCAAGAATTTGTAGAATTTGAAAAATCAAATAATAAAGTATTAAATAATAATCTTTGTAATTCATATCCTAGATCAATAAATATTTTATTAGAGATATTACAAGTAATGTATGAAGTGAATATAACTCCTGAGTTTCAATTTTATAAATTAATAATTGAACTAATATTATTTTATAAAATTCCATTGTTATTACGACAATTACTACAATATCATATTATAGAAGATTCTAATCAATTATTATTATTATTACTTAATTTTTATACTGAATATAATAAAATAAAGAAAACAAATTTAATTAGATACCATTTAGATGATAATTTAAATAATATAAATAAATTATCCAAATCAGATCCCATAAATGAAATAAAAGATAATAATCAATTTAATATTAATGAAGAAAAATATTTAGATGAAATAAATTTAAATTCTCAAATTAGTTCTACAAAGTCATTAAATTATTTAAATTTAGAATGGTTAGGACAAATATGTTTAGATATGGCTAATCGTCTACAAAATATTTATATTATAATAGAAATACTTATAATTAATAAACAATATAGAAGAATAATTCCAATTCTTAAAGATAAATCAAAAAAAAGTCTTTATGGATATAAACAAGTATCTTCATATCCTCTTCACAAGATTTTAAAAATTGTAGGTATGGATATAATTCAACAACAAAAAGATCCTCTTCTATTGAAAACAATAATCACACAAATTAAAGAATGGTTTGATGAATATAATATAAATAATCAGACTGTTTGTAAACCTAATATTAAGAAGTGTCAAAGATGGTTACCATTACTTTATGAAGATGAAGTAGGTATTGAAGCTGATTATGAAGATAATAATGTTGTAAGTGAATTAGAACCAGATCAAATATTGTCAAATAAAGATATGATTAATAAGAATGAATCAAATTGTACAGTTCTCAATAATTTAAGTAATAATAATGGAATTCTTAAAATAACTCCATTTATCAAATTACCATTTGTACCATTGAATAATCAAGATTTAAGATTATATTCTGATAATTCTCTATCTGTAACATCTTCTAGTTTTGATAGCAATGATAATTTATAGGAATATAACTTAATTTCTTCTTTATTAAAAAAATTGTCCACTTCTATTCTTATTAAGTATATTGTAATTAATATATTTATTAAGTTAAGTTAATTAATGAAAAAAAAAAAAAAAGAGAAATTCTCGGAAATGAAATTTCCAGTGAAATATTAATATTATTATCTAATAGTAATAGTAATCTAATATTCATCAAATTTACAATTTATAGATTCATCCATAATAATCTTATAAATAATCTTTTTAAATTGGAAGTGGTAAATCTTTTTGGAAAGATAACTTTTGTTTTATATTACCTAGTATATTGTTACCAATATAAGTCATCATAGAAGAACCACCTGGAAAATTTGTTGCTAAGAAAGAAGCTAATGCAATAATCTGAATTAATGAAAATAATGAAGTTAGCAAATAGCTCTTTATAACTAATGTACCATAAAGAGTTAATGCTAAACTTGCACAATAAATAAATGAAAATGGTAGTCTTTCACGTTGTGTTAAATATTTCATAAAGCCAAGAAAACCCTTCATAACTACAAAACTAGCCATGAAGAAGATAGACCCAAGAGTAAACAGAACAGCGAATTTATGAGGTGAGACTACAACCATCGGCAAAAATAAAAATGATAAAAATAAAAATAAGAATGACGTGGTAATACAAATAAAGAAGCTGAACCAACGTTGTGGACTAAAAGATTCTGTAGTCTCTTGTACTTTTTGTTGAGCTCTATATAAAATATTACGAGCTGAATCTGCTGCTCCAGTTAACATTTTTGTTCCAAATATTCAAAATAATATAGAAAAAATTTATATAAAAAATTATCACAAGAAAATTGATCAAGATAACTTTTTGGTTATTTTTTCTATTTCTTTTGTATTGCAACATGAGTAAAAACGTAATCGTGCATTTCATGGCGCCATAGTTCCTAACTTTTCCTGGATTTTATTGATAATAAATTAATATTGGAATTCTTCCTTTTCTCTTTTTTTTCACTTTTTTTTCTTCCCCTTCTATTTATTCCCTCTTATTTAAATAATGTCTCTAAATAAATAGAGATAAAGATATGTAAGTAATGATTCTACAGTGAAGTTGGGGTGGAGTGACTAGAAGTTCTTAGGATATATATTTTTGTTTTGATCAAGTTGTCTATTTCTAAAATTTACACTATTTTATAAGTAAACATAAATAAAAAGAAAAGGAAGACGTAATAATTCAGAAAAAAAATGGGACCATTCAAATTACATATTTAATTTTTAAAAGTAGATGTCTAATACTTAAAATATTTATTGTATATATTGACTTGTAGAGCCTGCAGTGACTTTTTCCGAGGTTTGCATTTAATATACTGATGTAAGACGGTTGACAATGAGCGCTAACTATTCTTTGACAAGATTAAATTTTCTTAATCCTAATATTAGATAGAAAATATAGAATTTTTGAGAATTCTCCTCTTTTTTTTTTCAAAAAAAAATTATTAAGAGTCAAGATTTTGAGCTCTAACAATTAATTGAATTTGTTAATGAGCAGCTCAAATAGATGGCCTCTCCCTCGTCTATACTCAGACGTAAATGTATATAGGCCTCGTGAATACTGGGACTATGAAAGTTTACAAATTGAGTATAGTTTCCCTGACAATTATGAAATTGTGAAAAAAATTGGCAGAGGTAAATATAGTGAGGTGTTTGAAGGTATAAATATTCAAACTAATGAAAAAGTGGTAATAAAAGTGCTAAGACCTGTTAAAAGAAAGAAAATTAAACGTGAAATAAAGATTTTATATAATCTACATGGAGGCCCTAATATAATAAGACTGTTGGACATAATAAAGGATCCAGGCAGTGGCACTATTAGTTTGATATTTGAACATCTACAAAATATTGACTTTAAAAGTTTATTTCCAACTTTTTCCGATTATGATATACGCTATTATATATTTCAAATATTAAAAGCTCTTGATTATTGCCACTCTCAAGGTATTATGCATAGAGATGTTAAACCTCATAATGTTATTATTGATCCAAATAAGAAAGAATTAAGACTTATTGATTGGGGATTAGCTGAATTTTATCATCCAAGACAAGATTACAATGTACGGGTTGCTAGTAGATATTATAAAGGTCCTGAACTTTTAATTGATTTTCAATATTATGATTATTCACTGGATATTTGGAGTCTTGGCTGTGTTTTAGCTGGACTTGTTTTTAAAAGAGATCCATTTTTTTGTGGGGTAGATAATAATGATCAACTTGTCAAAATTGCTCGTGTACTTGGAACTGATGGTTTATTTGAATATCTTGCAAAATATAAAAAACAATTAGAACCATATTTTGATGATTTACTTGGTAGACATACAAGAAAGCCTTGGAGTAAATTTTTAACTAATGAGAATCAACATTTTGTAAATCCTTCAGTTCTTGATTTATTAGATAAAATGTTGGTATATGATCATGCAGAAAGAATTTTACCTAAAGAAGCTATGCTTCACCCTTATTTTGATCAAGTTCGTTTAGAAGATGAAGCTAAAAATAAAGTTAAGAATAATTCTATAATGAAATCTTAATAGAATAAATATGAATATTCGAATATTGAAACTATTAAAAACTTGTAAAGTGATATGTTTGTATAAGTATATATTTGAAAGGAATATATTTATTCAAAATATGGAAATTATTATTATATTATAGTTTAGATATGTTAAAATATCTAAAGGTTATTTATTTTCTATAAATACTATTTTAATGGAATATGATAGATAAGACTTTAATTAGGATCATCTTTAGTAACTACACATCTTCTGGATATTTAAATGATTTATTATTATTAATAAAGATATATTTGTATAATTTCACTACTTTATTAATATATTTATTTAAATAAAAAAAATACTAATTTTTTTTTTTTTAAATATGGGAATATCTTTATAACTTAAAATGTTTTGAAGATTAATTTGAATAAGAAAGGGTAAATTTGTAATTTGTTTACAAAATATTTATATTAATATAATTTAGTAAATATAAGAGGTTAATATTTTAAAATAAATAATTGGATATATATATTAGTATAAAAATACATCACTTTTTTTTCTTTTTTTTACTTCAAAATTGCAAAGAGCTAGTTAAATATAAAACATTGGAAATATTAAAATAGATAATTCTTTAACTTAGCTAATAAATACTATATTAATGATAAAAAGTATGAGTAAATTGATTGGTTATTTCACTTCATTTATTAAATAACAGAATATATTTTTATTTATCATATATTGATAGTATTTAAATATAAACCATATTCTAATAAGGGATTATATATTCTCATTTACAATATTTTTGATAATATACTATTTAAATATTATATTGAATGAATAAACAATTAGTATTATCTAACAGTTCAATTATTTCTTTTTTTTCTAAATTATTTTAAGAAATTGAATTAATAAGATAATTGTTACTTTTGGAATATTATATTGGAGTTTTAAGTTCATTATATAATATTACTTAAGTTGCTAAATCTTCTACCTTACCATATAATCAATAAATAATATATTTATTAATATAGTTTGATTTAATTGGATTATTTTAAATTGTTTAATTTTAGTTCAACTTTATTTGTAATCTAAACATTCTTATTTGTATAACTAGAACAATTACATAATATAAAGAAGTATTAAAATAAAATTTACAGATGTATACTTATATATATATATATTTAGATGATAAGAAATATAAATTTTATTTTGAATATATTAACAAATAAATATAATAATAAAAACTTCATATTTACTAATAGTAATTTTATCAAATTTATTAAGAATATTGCAGTCTAAGAAAAATATTAATTTATAATAAAGTATTATTTAATTGGTAGTTTAATTAGTTACATTAAATAATAAGAAATCTCAAACTCAGATAACTTTATATTTAAAATTAACTTTAAATATATATCTCTATTATATTAATTTTTATTAAGTATTATAATTAATTAATATTTTCTGAATTATTAGATAAGTATCTATAGTATAGTAGAATAAACCCAAAAGAAAAAGAAAAAGAAAAGGAAAAAGAAAAAAAAGGTATTATTTGTTTATGTAACATTATTTAATAATTTAATAATTATATATAATAGATCCTATTTCTTTATAAAATATATTGGAAGATTTATATAGACATATATTTCTGTTAATAGATTCCTAATTAATATATATCATTCCTTCTAAAATATTATAATAAATAATAAAATATAGAATTTAAATATTACTCTAATCAATATATAATAGTGTAATGATTATTTTTGTTCCATTTTCTTTACTAAATATCTGATTTATAAATTTTCTCATTTTAACTTTATCAGATCCAAATAATGTAGCTGATGCATATAAACAAAAACAAGTATAACACTACACCCAACACATAATAAAATTTTAAAGATAATTTAATAATTACAATTAACTATGGAGACAAGTCTTTTATTATATATATAACGAAATAAATACTACATAATGATATTTTTTTATTATTAAAAATTTTATAATAAACACTATTAAGCGGGTTTATTTGCAACCTCATTTTTTGGATTATTGGTATAAGTCTTTGACATTTTAATTATTATAACAAGATCTTTAATTGTGTATTAATGCCATTACAACTATTTATATAATAATTTTATATCAGAAAGAATAAAATCTTTCAATATATGATATAGAATATATTGTAAAGAGTTAATCAAGAGTACTCAGACTAAAAATATTGGGATCCTAACTCAGATAAATATCTATATATTAATATAAAACACTTGAGATAATTTTGGATACTTAATTAGAATGAATAGCAGATATTATTTTTCACTTAGCTCTAGACTAGCTCCAATTTTATTTAAAACCTTTGTTCATAAAAATTTAAATGGATATAAAAAGTTATATATGTATTCAATTTATAAACTTATTTCTTCAATACGTATTCCTGAATTAAATAAAATTTTGGAAGAAAAAATAAGTGGTTTAAAATTAGACCTGTCAATAAGTGAAATAGGCCATGTAATATCTGTAGGAGATGGTATTGTAAGAGTGTATGGCTTACAAAATGTTCAATATGGTGAGATGTTAGAATTTTCTTCAGGGGTTAAGGGTATGGCACTAAATTTAGAATCCGATAATGTTGGTGTAGTTATTTTTGGTGAGGATAGAGGTATTAAAGAAGGAGATATTGTTAAAAGAACAAAAACTATTGTTAATACTCCAGTAGGAACAGGATTATTGGGACGTGTAGTAGATGCTCTTGGTAATGCAATAGATGGAAAAGGAGATATCATTTATTCTGAAAGACGTTTTGTTGAAGTTAAAGCTCCAGGAATAATACCCAGGAAATCTGTTCATGAACCAGTACAAACAGGTATAAAATGTATAGATAGCTTAGTCCCAATAGGACGAGGTCAAAGAGAGGTTATAATTGGAGATAGGCAAACTGGAAAAACAGCCTTAATTATAGATACAATTTTAAACCAAAAATATAGCTATTATAACTCTAAAATAGAAGATAAAGATAAGATGTATTGTATATATGTTGCTATTGGTCAGAAACGGTCTACTGTTGCACAAATAGTTAAACTTTTAGAAAAAAATGGTAAGTAAATTAAGAAAATCGAATATATTCAGGCATAAAAAAAAGTCAATATTATTGAATTTTAATATATTTTAATAGTATATTATTATTACTTTTTTTTTTCTTTTGAAGACAGCAAAAGCTTTTGCCAATTTATATTTTATATATTTTTAATTTAATAAAATAATTTTAATTTTTTTTTCTTTTTTAGATGCTTTAAATTATACAATAATTGTAGCTGCAACAGCTTCTGATCCTGCTCCTTTACAATTTTTAGCTCCATACACAGGTTGTGCTATGGGTGAATGGTTTCGTGATAATGGTAAACATTGTATTATTTTTTATGATGATCTTTCTAAACAGGCAGTTGCATACCGTCAGATGAGTTTATTATTGCGACGTCCACCAGGTAGAGAAGCTTATCCAGGAGATATTTTCTATATACATAGCCGTTTATTAGAAAGAGCAGCTAAAATGAGTGATGAACGTGGAGGAGGATCACTTACTGCTATTCCAGTAATTGAAACACAAGCTGGAGATATGTCTTCATATATTCCAACAAATATAATATCAATAACAGATGGTCAGATAATGTTAGATAGTGAATTATTTTATAAGGGAATAAGACCAGCTATTAATGTTGGATTATCTGTTAGTAGAGTTGGATCTGCAGCTCAGTTGAAATCTGTTAAACAAGTTAGTAATAGCCTAAAATTAAATTTAGCTCAATATCGTGAAGTTGCAGCATTTTCACAATTTGGATCTGATTTAGATGAATCTACAAAAAAGTTACTTACTAGAGGATCCACATTAACTGAAATTTTAAAACAAAAACAATATTCTCCATTAGAAACAAGTTTACAAGTTGTTATAATATATATTGGTATCAATGGATATATAGATAATATTAAACTCACTGAAATCCCAAAATTTGAAAATTTATTTTTTAAATTTTTAAAAGATAATTATCAAAAAGATATATTAAGTCCTATAGAAGAAGATAAAGAACTTTCAAAAGAAGTAGAAGAAAAACTTAAGGAAGCAATCAATCACTTTTTTGAGCAACATAAATTTGAAGAAAGGAATAAAAAGTAAAACATTAATATTATAATAAATAATACAAATATAAAATTACTTTCAATAAAATAATGAAAATATAAATATTAATAAGATTATTTATTATTTATATCTTAATTTAATATAAATAACAGATCTATATTTACATTAGTTTATTATTATTGAATTAAAATCTTTAATAAGAAAATTATTAAATTAACTTATATATTATCTAAATATTAATATATAAAATAATACTATTATCTAAATATATATTTCCATTTTTTTTTAAATATAAGAAATTTTACAATATATTAACTTTAATTTTTGTAAAATATAACTTCTTATAGATACTTGATACTTATATATCCCTATTATGATTATCTAAATTAATTTAATTATAATAATTATATATTAAAATTCAAAAATTACATTAATATTGATTATAATAATCTTATATTTATTATATAATTCTATTAAAAAGTATAATTTTAATTATCTCGTAACTTTATTAGACTGATAATCTTTAAGATAAATATAAATAAATTATAATTCTTATCCAATAATTGAGTATTAAAATATGTATTTGAATCATCTAATAAAGCATTCACTATGTCATTAGTGAAAACCTTCTTTAATATATTTAAAGCTTGAATAAAGTCCATCTTCATTATATCTGGATGACAGTATAAAGGATAATTATCAACAAAACAAAAAGAACATTGAATTTTTAGTTTTATTGGTAAAGATAGTTGAAATATCTTACATAATATATCTAAATAGTGTAAACAATAACCAAGACCTATTGATATTCCTGGTTGTTCTTTAGTATCTAAATTATTTAATACATTTATTGGAGGTAATGGTACATCCCTAATCATAAGCCATCCTGTTTTATATTGTACTTTAATTGGATAAATTTGATTATATAAAATATTAATAAAAGATTTTATATGTAATGATATAAAACGTCTTAACTTTGTACATTCCATTATCTTCATTTTCCATACTTCTTCTAACTCTTTAATATTTGACAATATTTCATCATGTATTAGTGGACTAAATAATATTGGTTTATATATAGTTGGATAACTAGAATTTTCTTGATATTCTTCAATATTTGTATCTTTAGAAAAGTTATTATCATTTGTACTCTTTTTACTTATTTTTTTATTATGATCATGTTTAATAAGAGTCATATTATCTAAATTATCTACAAAATTATCTAATTTCTTATTAAATTTCTCTTTATTTTCTCTAATATTTATTAATTCATTTCTATAAGATTTTAATATTTTGTGGAGTTTTAAGCTTTTTTCGATCAAAATTTTACTTGAAAATTTCCTTTTATCCAAAATCTTTTCATTATTACCATTCAAATTATTATCATTAATATTACTGTCATTTAAAGATAAATAATATATAGATTTATTACTAGTAGTTACTAATACTTTATATTTATTATTATAAATATAATCTTCAATATTATTGTTTAGTTTATCTATATCATTAACTTTACTAAGTTGATCTATTGTAAATTGTTCTGAATTCCAAATATTATGACCATTTGTTGCATTTAATATAAGTATCATATATTTTACATTTGATAATTTAAAAATAGAAGATGGAAATATAAAACTTGAAAATGTACTACGTGATAATATACCAATAGATTTACAATGGATTTCTTCAGATTTAATATCCCAAATTAGTTTAATATTATCGCCTAATTTATATTCTTTATAATTATTCAAAAAATATTTTGAACTTGTCCCTAATGTTAATGAATATCTCTTTTCGTTTATATCTTCATCTAAAAATTCATTTTTAATCAATTTACATATAGTACAATCAATCTTTTTATTACAAACTTTTCCATTTAGAAGATGGAGATAATCCAATATTAGAGAATATATTTTCTCTTCAGTTTTAGAAAATATTAATCTAAGTTGCACAATAACTGGTATGTTAACTTCTGATATATTCCATTTTATAATAATTCGTTCAATACTTCCAAGTGTTATCCCATTATTTATATACATTTTCAGGTTAAAATGGGATTATTTCTGTAATAAGTAACTTATATCAATAATTCTATATCTATTCAATAATTAATTCCTATAGAAGTACTATAAATATCTGATTGAACCATATATATTCCATATTATATTAGGGATCTTAATATAATCTTATATTTAATTTTATTCCCTATTTTGATACTTTAATTTTTAGTTTATTCACAAATATTAAAATATAAAATGGCGCTAAAAGGCGCTATTTTATAACAAAAAAATATATGTAGCTAATTTCTGTTTATTATTAAGATATTTAAATATAATCAAATTTATATATTTTAATTATTTTATAATCTTAGATAAATTCTCATTATAAATTTAGTAGTGTAGATTAAATTAGAATATTTCTAATAATTCTAATAGAATCTCGAAGTAATTTACTTCTCAATGATTCATCTAAAATAGAATTACCACATGTACAACTTAATATAGGTGATGAGTCATGATATATAAGATGTTTCCAGAAGGATTGTTTATAGTTTGGACGTATTATTACCCATTTGTTATTATATTCTAGACTATATAGTCCATGAGGATCTATAAGAAAAATTCTGAGTTGATCTTTATTTATAGTATAATGTACAAGTTGAAGTGATAATGGAGGTAAAATAAAATTTTTAAGGTGATTTTGCATTTTATTATATAAATTATGTTGATTATCTTCTGATATATCAAATATAATTGGATAATTGAATGGTAGTGATTGAAGGATTAATAAATTATTTAACTCTGGTAATTCAGGTAAACAATATATTTGGGATGCAGGTATTTGGATAAGATTAAATCTATACTGAATAATAAATGATCTGATTTTCTTAATTATACGTGAAATGGCTGCAGCAGGACAAGATACCCACCCAATTGAAAATTTAAATGGTAATGGTGGATACCATAATGAATCATAATATAATACAAACCAATGAACTGGATGAACTGATGGTAAATTAAGTAGTGGATTATTTGACATAGAATTTGATGTAATATTTGCATGATTATTCCATAATGAATGATCACACCAAGAAGTTAATATCCTCATAGATTTCATATTTGATGGTAAATCTGAATGTTTTTTATGACTTTCTAAGGAATTTGGATTAAGATTTTTATATTTTACATTATAATCAAATGAGTTATCTAAATTTTGTCTCTTTCGATAGAATTTATGCCTAGATCTATTTTTATGTACAGATTTTAATTTGAATTGAATTTCTTGGTCAGATTGTTCATCAAATTGTTGATTTTTAAAGGTTGCATCTTGAATAATATTAATATCTAATATTTTTGGATGATCAGGAGGAGCATTTACAAAAAGAAGTTTTTCTAAGCAACTTTTAAGACGTACAGCTCTAGGATAGATTCTTCTATTAATAGATATAACATAATTACAAGTTAAGTCTATACTAGATTTTAAATGATTTGAAGTTGTATTGTCAAGTATTTCTCCATTTGATTTAATAGATTCTCTATGATTAAATTTACTAGGTTTAAAATAAGAATAGAATTGATTAAGATCTTTACCAATAGATATAATATCTAACCATCTAGATACTATATGATGACCACAACATTCTTCAAATTCACTAGAATAACAAGCTGAACGGGTTTGATTTTCTAAATGAGAATAATTTTTATTTGAATTATTAGAATTTGATGAATTATATTTATGGAGATTTTGTGAATGTATGTTTCCTTCTTTTGAGATATCTGTATTTAAATTCATATTTTTTACGTTGTTAGTTCCATGTATGATGGGATTTATAGATGAACTTTTCCAGTGAGCAATAACTGCAAAGTGTATATAATTAATAGCAAGATCTACTGTTTGTATAATTGAATAAGTTGAAAGATTTGAATATTGTTGAAGAAAAGATAATTCTTTAAAAGATTCTTGTGTAAATTGAGTAACAAAAGGAATATCTCTTTGCCAAACAAGTAATTCATCTACAAAGTTGTAATTTACTGGTGAAGGGTCACAAAAATATGACAAACTTTTATAAGAATATGTATTATGTAGTTCCAATTGATTATATTGTTTATTTATTATATTATATTCATATTTTATTATAGATGGTAGAGAAAATATTATATTCAATTGTGAATTTGAATTGTAATTTTGTATTTGTAAATCAGAATTGTTAGTTATAACATTATATTTATTTAATTCGTCCTCAACTTTATCTGTATTTGCAAGATCTGTTTCTAGTGATTTTAGTATATTATCTGTTAAATTCATAACTTCTACCATAATATTATTATCATCTAAAAGTAAAAGTTGATGTACATTATCACTATTTACAAAGGATGAGTTAAAGCTGCTACAACAAGTCCACATTTGAACTGTATTATGATTAATTACATGTTTAATTCCTGTACTATATTTTGGAGATATAAGTTGAAATGCCATACATAATCTATGAGCTATAATATCATTAAATATAGATCTAAGAATTTCAGAATCCTGATTTGATAATTTGTAGATAGGTGATGAAATACTTATATTAGATGAATTAATACCCTTATTTTGAATTTCTGTAGTTAATAATGATGTATTAGGTAATAAAAAAGTAGATACAGGTATATTAAAAGTTGTTTTTTGAGTTTCATCTATAAATTGAGTATATCTTGAGTTATATATTTTCTCTTTTTTATATAGAAAGTGTTCTGATTTATTAAATTCATCTTCTTTCCATGAACTAGATATTTCGTCATTTGAAGCATTCTTTGTTTGTATCTCCGACTTTTGATTCATAGACTTTTGAATTAAATGATTAGACCAATAATAGGCTATAAAAAGTTCTCTTCTAGGTGTAATTGTCCAATTAGATATTCTAGGCATTTTACGAGTAATTTTAAAGTTAAAATTAGTAATTAAAGGTAGTAAAACTGGTCGAAGTATTGAGGACATAAATACTCCCCCATATTTTATATCAAACATTGAACATGATATAAATGTATTATGCCATTTAATATACCTCCTGTCAATTGGATTTAAAGGATTTATTGAGATAATTGGTAGAAATTGATCAAAGTGACTTTTTATAGTATCAAATTTAGAAAATAAATTGGAAGATAGCTCATTTTGGTAAAAATTAAATATCCGCAACTCTTTCAATGATATATTATGGTCTTGAGTTTTATTATTAAAATTAGGATCAGAAAGAAATGGTTGAATGTATTTAGGTTTTTGTATTGGAGGTATTAAATTTAAAGATTCTGGCATATGGATTTCGGAATCACTTTTCGTATTAGTATTTAACTTATTTTTAATATCATTATGTTCAAAACTAGATTCGTTTTTCTTAGTTCTAGATTTTATAGTTTTGGTTGAATTTTGTAAATTAAAAATTGCATTGAGTTCTTTTCCAGAAACTATTATTTGTTGACCTGTTGAAAAATTAGGATTATAATTTCTACTTGTTTTCAGACCAAGATTATGATTTAAAGAGTTGAATTTAATATCAGTATCTTCATCCATAATATATTGATCTAGAACAGCAATAGTAGATTCAATGTTAAGTAAATTTGGATCTTCATATTTTCCAAATTCATATATAAAGTAGTGTATCAACATTGGTAACTTCAATGGAATTGTTTCGACAATTTTTTTAACTCTTTGAGTACTTGAGAATTCTACAACATATAAAAATGGTGAGTAATACCACTTAAGTTGAGATAAAGAAATAAAATCTGTAGATACTGAATATCTTAGAAATCGTTTCTCAGTTATATTAGCTAAATGCAAGATATCTTTGTAATTATTTACATCAACTATTAATAATGGAGGACCAACACTTAAAATCTTTATATTTTTACCTGTCCATATTAGTGACCTATCTACAAAGTCATTATCTAATTGGTTTAAAGCTAAATTTATGGATTCAAGGACATTTGATTCAGAATAAGAGCAAATATCTAAGGATGATATTATCCGTTTTTCAAATGTATTAAGCTCAACACGTAACATATTTAAAAAATCATTAATTCCATTATTTGACTTTGTTAAATGAGACATAAGACCTTCCCAGAAAACTTCATAATAATCAGATTTATCTACTTTTTTTCTATATGTTAATACAATAGACATAAAATGTGATTCGCCTCCAGATTTACTAGTTGATAAGTATTCTTGAAAAAACAATAATATACTTCTCCATGAAGGAAACCCATTATTTGAAAAAGTCCAAAGTTCTGTAGAAAGTAATATTATTATTATTATTCGTTGAGACTTTGGTCTTATTAAAAATTTTGTTTCTTCAGTAACTAATCCAGAAGAAAATGACATATTTTCTGTTACTCTATAAGAATTGTTCAATGACATATCTGTATTTCTTAGTAATCTTGTAATAGTTAATGGAGGGTAGTATGAAGGTGAAAGTTGAGATGTTAGTGGTGGAACTCCAGTATACAAAATACTACCTATTAAAGATCTTTCATAAAACCATAAATCTCTTGGTGAGATATGAACCTCAGGTAAAGTCATTTCTACATAATCAACTGCAATTTCCTCATCTTTTTTAATTATTTTAATAAGTACATCTTGGCGAATTAGAGACCAACCAGATACCTTAACTAGAGAATCAAGTATTGATATTCCACCAGAGTAAACTGATTCACCCAAGAGATCATATGTAACATAAAAATATATTGGTTGTATATCTGGAATTAACATATTAGATACTTCTATTGATGTTGCCTCTTGATCTCTATATAATAAATTTGCTAACACTTCAGGAGATACGAGAAGTGGTACTCGTCTATAAAGTTATGGAAAAGAGGTGATTATTCATGTATACAGCTAATAAAGGGGTATAGAAATATTATAATATATAAAAATAGATTAATTATACACAATTTACTACTTTTATTAACATACCCATATTTTTTTTCGTCATGGAATGACAAAGGAACAATAAATTTTTCATCTCTACTTATTTCATTGGTTCCTGAATTAATATATGTGGAACCTAGTAATCTCTTCTGATCATACATAAAATATTAGGATTTATAGCTTGTTATATTAACCTTTATAGTTCTAACCAGTTAAAGGTAATACTTGAATTTTCGGTACCTTAGTAACGAACATAGGTACTGGGCGGTATAACGCGTTACTATATCACTGAGATCTAAATATTTATGATTGGCAAATAGCCATATTACACAAATTTGGGTAATTTGTGACATTGTGAAATCAAAATAAAGTAAGATTTTAATCTATAACCATGGAATCTAAAGATTCTATCATAAATATAAAGTATAATTTAAAGTTAAATAGAAGGTTTAATACAAAGCTCGTTTGTATATAAAATCATTAGTATCTTTAAAAGTAAATTATAAGAACAAATTATATAAAAAAAATATATAAAATAAGCTGCTAATATTTAATAATATATCTGTCCAAAATATATTTAAAGCTTATAGAAAATCTCTTAACTTCTACAAAGTAGCAAATTGGTTTTTTAAAATATTTCTAGCAATGTAATAATATGGATGAATTGTAGCGTGAATATCCCAAATATTTGTATCACATAAAAATTTATTAGCTTTATAATTACCCTTTTGAATATTGATATCTTTAGAATATGCAGGGAGCTTTTCACTGCTCTCAGAAACTTGATTAGAAGATGCCAAGGCAACTACCTGATGAATACAGACACTACCTCCTTGAGGTGCAAAATATACAAATGGTAAAGGAACTTGTTTCTTCATTTCAGAAACGAAGTGTCTAAGACCACGTGACTTAGATACAAATATTTCATCTGTGTCAGTATTTGTTATATCAAATTTAAATCTTTTGTTTTGTTCAATGAGTTTTGATAGAAATCCATAGGGAGTAACTTCATTATTAGTTACTTCTGAAGAGTTAGAATTAAATTCTTGACAAGTACTTTTTTCATCATCTTCATTTTTAGATATATTTTCATCTTTTCTAACAAGGCAAATTTTCTCAACATTATTTGAATCCAACATTTCATTTGATCCAGATACAAAGCTCAAGTTCAAATTCTTAACTCGACCTATTGCAGCAAAGCTAGATAAAAGATTTGATTCATTCTCTGAAGCTATCCCAGCAGAAGGTGAAGGTACAATTGGAATAAATTGAAAACCTCCAGTAGATAGTTCATCCCAAATACCTCTTGAAAGTTGAATATCTTTTGTATTCCTCACGAGATTTAGATCAACAGTTTGTTCTATATTATCCATAGTTATAATATTCTCAGGTGTATTTGGTATTGAGAGAAGCAAGGACTTTATTGCTCCAAAGCTAGTCTCTATATCAATAGGTATTTTGGATAACAAAAATCTTTCTTGAGGAGGAAAGAGGACTACATTCCTAGGTGAGCAGCTATTAATAAGTGGAACTAAAGACATTATGTCATTTTCTACGTAAAGACCATTTGTTACAAAAAATTGACATTGAACTTCAATATTCAGAACTTCATATTTAGTTTTAAAAGGCTCAGGGCCACCAAGAATCTGTCTTAGGTGTAAACGCCATTCCGGCAAAGCTGTATTATTTTGAACTGAGTTTTGAGATAAATATACGGAATTCCTATTTTCCACATTATTCGTACTACAAACTGTAATTATTGTCTGTACTTGGGAGTTACTACAAGCAGTCCCATTTGAGTTAGGTAATAAGGATATATCTGTTTCGTTTATATTTAAAAGATCACGGCGTCTCTTTGAAGCTAAAACTTCTACAAAATGAGTCATATCTATTCCATGTTCATATGACAAGTTTTGAGTATCTTTTATGGTATTTATTTCGTTTAAATTTATGATGTCTTGACTTGAAGCTTCATTCCAAGACTCTGCAATATTCCTTACTATAGCTTCATCAATAAATGATCCATATTCATCCTTTGCTTGAGGTAAATTTGTATTTTTATAGGAGGCAGATTCCAAGTCTTTAATAATATCTAAATTGTTATCCATATCTATAATTTGATTTGGTGTATCAGGATCGTCTACAATTTGTATAGGAACAAGAGTCGAACGAAGTTCTTCGATCTTCGAATTTATAAAGAGATTTGGTCTAAAATCGGTCAAGTTTGGCAAAACTGATTGTTTAGCATTACCTAAAGAAGATATTGTACCAATTACAGAACCTTTATAATTTGATATGTTTGTACCTGATTGTTGAATACTTTCAATAGTTTCTTTTCCAGGAACTCCAGAGCCGACTCTAGAAAGAAATTCCATGTATTCCAATAAAGAAGTATCATCTTGAGAAAAGTTAGATTCTTCGACTTTTGGATTTAGTTGTATATCTGAAAATTCAGAATTAGACTTATCATTTTCAGTATCTTTAATAGAATCAATACTATTAGGTTGTTTGGATTCCTTCTGAGACAAGTATAGGGCATATAGTTCATCTTGTCTATATGGGATGAAGCGAATTATTGGCAATTCAAGTTTTGTGTATCCTAAATCCTCTTTAGAATCTCTTGGTACTTTATTTATTATTTCTTTTCTCTCCAACCACACCTTATGAGCAAATGTATTCAATTTAGGTTCTCTTGTAAATATAACTGAATTATTAGGACTTGATGCAAGATCTGCAAATAATTCTCGAGAATAACCATAATCCATTGATGCCGGAGAAGCAAATATAACTTTTGGTAATTTTGCAGAGGGCCCAGTACGGACATTATTTAGTGTATTTTCAATTAAAATATTTTTAAGACCATGAAATGGATTAAATCTTGTATTACAGAATTCAGACCGAATATCCAGACTCATCCATTCTATCAAGGTTTTAGCTGAGAGTATAAATGAAGAGCTCATAGGGGACACAACAACTATGGGGTATAAAATGACACTTTTATTCCATACAGCATCTATATAGCACAGTAATTCTAGTAGTAAGCTATCAAATTCAATAGGAATCAAGATAGAACCTGTCTGATTCTTCTTGAAGCAACGCAATATTGTATGAATAAAGTTCTTAATTGCCTTCCAACGATTAGATTGTTCATAAGTTACTAAGCTTCTTGTTAATGCAGATTTCTCAATATGAATTGGTAATATACTAGTTATAAATATATCTGGACAATTAACACGACATATATCAGCTGGAGTAACGTGCCAATAAGGAGATGATGTTATCTGGTTTGCATATAGTATATCCCAACTCCCACTAGATGTATTCAGTGTTATATACCACATAGTAGATCCCATATCTATACCACTGGGCAAAGCTTTTAAAGATATACTTTTAAGATCGGAATTGTCCTTATTTCCAGAAGAAATAAACTGGATTTCGAATGATTGGTAATATCTCAATCTACATATATTATCACCCATTATACAATCTATATCATCTTCTGTATATGGAGATTCCAGAAAATCCTCATTTTCAGCACTACATGTAAATTGGAAGCCATTATCACGATCACGTAAATTTATATGATTGATCGTATCATATAAAATTACACGACCAAATCGAAATACTGGTTCCGTACATATTATTGGTATATCTACAATATCTCCTTCAAACCTTTGCTTCTTCAAAAGTTTTGCAAGAAGTGGTAAACCTCCAATACAAGAAATTGAATAGTTAGTAAGCAATATCATATGGGGTAACTCTATTGAGGAATTAAGTAGTTTCCATAAAGACATGTCATCTTGTACTCCCAAATCGAACCATATTCGACAATTACTTATACTTAATACCTTCCCAATATAAAAGTCATCGTCAATTGGCTTAATGGAGATATTGGTCATTTACTATATTTCATAAATTTAACCAGTTCCACTGTATCAGTTAATATGGATCATAATATTGGTACCTTCCCGCAATGTCCCGCTACTTGGCTTATTTTTGGTACCTATTAGGTTGGTATTTATTACAACAGCGGTAAAATATTCTAAGTAAAAAGTAGCATAACAACAACAAGATTTGGTTTTCAATATAGCTATAAAAGAGTTTATAATATAAATACCCTTTGTGGAATACAGAAAAAATTGATTTTTCAAGTTATAGTTTTAGTATTTATATGAGTCAATTACCCTTATTTAATAATAAGCTTAAGTTCATGCAGAGTACGTCAGTAGTGTTAGCGCCTTATTCTTGTCACGTCTACATTAACTTAAAACAAAGTAAGCAAATACTGAGCCGTCTCATCCTGAATTATATTTTCAACAGTAGCGGTCTGTAACTTCAACATCTATCATATTTTTAATTATAATATCAAATTCTCCAGAAATTTTAAAATGAAGAGAGGACGTGGTGCTGCAGGTGGTGCCAAAATGCGCATAACTCTTGGTTTGAATGTTGGAGCTCTAATAAATTGTTGTGATAATAGTGGTGGCAAGAATCTGTATATTATTGCTGTCAAGGGAACAGGCTCATGTTTAAATCGTCTACCAGCTGCATCCATTGGAGATATGGTTCTAGCTACTGTTAAAAAAGGAAAGCCAGACTTACGTAAAAAGGTATGGCCAGCAGTTGTGGTACGTCAGCGCAAGGCATTTAGAAGGCCAGAAGGCACTTTTATCTACTTCGAGGATAATGCAGGAGTTATTGTTAATCCAAAGGGAGAAATGAAAGGTTCAGCTATTACTGGTCCAGTAGGTAAGGAATGTGCTGAACTGTGGCCAAAGATCTCAGCAGCTGCGCCATCAATTGTGTAGATAATTGTATAAAATTAGACTAGGAAGAGGTAATATTTAAAAATACTTATGTACTTCAAGCCCTATAGGGAGGGGTGTTATTTCTATGTACTTCTCTTTTTCGATATTTCTAGATGAAATAGGAAGTGCATTAAAAGTAGTAAGGGGTTAACTCCTTTCTATTCAGTATTCATGGCTATATTCTTTGCAAATTTAACAACATCATCAATATTGTCAATACTACTTTTAGATGAACCAATGCTCTTATTTTCATTACCTCCACACTTTCCACCACATATTTCAAGAGTAGAGTGTAGCCATTGATTTGCTTTTAATAGTTTCCCTTCACCCTGAGGTACTATTGCTAAGGCTGAAATGCCATTCTTGTTACAGGATCCACTTGTAAGTAGCATAAATGACACTTTAGGAAATTCCTTAATTATGTATTGTGAAATAATTTCAATACATTTAATATCTCCATCGACTTCTTGTATATTGCGCACTAAGATATTTCCAATATTCAAATCTTTAGATAGTTGAGATAATATATCTTGTGCAACTTTTTGAGCAGCTGATTGTCGTTCTTTTTGTTTTAGTTTGGCATCATCCAAAACTCTCTGATATTGGTTATCTAAAAATTGGGAGAGGTATTTTCTCTTAATCAGTGGTAGTATGCGTGTTTCATCAAGTAATACACGGCATTTCGTTATTTCCTTCCCTAGCTCCTTTCCAAATATATTCTTCAACTGTTCAAATTTGGAAGTTAAAATTAAAGTATTGTCTTCAGCCACATTTGCAGTATCGTTTGTTACTGCTACAATTCTCCTAATACCTTTTGCTATACCTTCTTCACTTAAGATAATAAATGAACCGATATCATATGTGTTCAGTACATGCGTACCTCCACATAACTCAACAGATGTTTTAATATGTAAAGATTTACTAGCACCAAAGTTGCAGTCATTTAGTTCATTTACAGGTATACCAACTGAAAGTACACGAACAGGATCAGGATAAGCTTCTCCAAAAATAGCTCTTAGACCACTGATTTCTTTAGCTATATTCAATGGTACAACATCGCAGAATACTTCTTGTTTATCTTTAATAATTTTATTTATAATATCTTCAATTTGCTGAATTTCATTGATATTCAAGGCCTTGTTTGCGGAAAAGTCAAATCTTAATTTTGTTGGTTCAACTATTGACCCACGTTGATCACATTTTTCACCCAACAGTAGTCTCAAAGCATAGTTCAGGAGATGAGTCGCAGTGTGATTTCTCATAGTCATCACACGTCTATCTTTATCAATTAAAAAGTGGCAATTTGAGTCCCCAACTGAAAATTTTCCTTCAAGAACAACTCCAATATGTAATACATAATTGCCAAACTTTTGACAGTCAATAACTTGAAAATTGTTCAAATTGTCCTCCCATAACTCAATATATCCTATATCAGAAACTTGCCCACCTGATTCAGAGTAGTAACATGTTTTGTCAAAAATTAAACCAACTATACCATGAAAACAAGTAGCAGTGTCAATAAGTTCATGTCCATTGTATATAGCAAACAATTTACCAAAACACTCATTGTTAAGATTATATTTATATATATCATCTGTCAAATTCAACCCATATTTCAACAAAATATGCTGTTGGATATCTGGTTTTAAAACGAGTTTATCTAATTTCTTGTTGAATTTACCTTCTGAAGCTAATTGATGATTTTCCATGCATTTTTTAAATCCTTCATGATCAAATTCCATCCCCAACTCACTAGCAATCAGCTCAGTCAAATCCATTGGAAAACCGTATGTTGAATAAAGTTGGAACGCTTCATTTGCTGGGAAGATTAGTCGAATATTCTTCAATTTGCTGTTGATAGGACTAGAAGATTTTAGTAATTTATTGGTAACTCTATTGAATCTTTCGATTCCCTTACCTAAAGTTTTAGAGAATTGTTTTTCTTCTTCAAATATTGCAGATTTTATTGTATCTTTTTTCTCAACAATTTCAGGATAGTAATCACCAAGTATATTAGAAACGCTGTCAACTAGTTTATAGAACCACATATTTCCATCCATACCAGCATTAAAGTATTGTCGACCATAGCGGACAGCTCGTCGTAGAATGCGTCTTAAAACATATCCTCTTCCTTCATTACTTGGAATACAACCATCAGATATTGCTACTGACAGAGTTCTGATGTGATCTGCAATGACCCTATATGACATGTCAATTTTATTTGGGTCATCTTTATCTCCTACCATACCTTTATACTGAGGAATATTTGGGAAAATACTATGTATTTGATTAAATATTGGTATAAATAAATCTGTATCATAGTTACTCAATTTATTTTGTAGTACAGAAACTAATCTTTCTAATCCCATACCTGTATCAACACATTTTGCTGGTAGTAAGACTAGCGATCCATCAGTCTCACGATAATATTGCATAAAAACTAAGTTCCATATTTCAATAACACTAGGATCATCCTTATTCACTAAATGTGAAGCATCCCTACCTCCAATTCGATCGAAGTGTATTTCAGAACATGGTCCGCAAGGACCGACATCTGCCATTTCCCAAAAATTTTCCTTTGCACTACAGCTAATTATCCTTTCTTTAGGTAAATAATTCATCCATATATCCCTAGCTTCCTCATCTACAGGACATGCTGGGAGTTTATCATCACCACCAAAGTACGTTACATATAGTCTTTCACTAGGGATCTCATATACTTTAGTTAGTAACTCAAATGCCCATTTAATTGCTTCTTCTTTAAAATAGTCACCAAATGACCACGAGCCAAGCATTTCAAAAAAGGTGTGATGATACACATCTTTTCCAACATCATCCAAATCGTTATGTTTGCCTCCAGCTCTAATACACTTTTGTGAGTTGACTACACGAACTAGTTTACTTAATTCGGAATTTGGTTCAACAGTTTCAGTGAATATAGATTTAAATTGATTCATACCAGCATTTGTAAATAGTAAAGTCGGATCATTTAGTGGGATTACTGAAGCTGATCTATAAAACTTATGATTAGCTTTATTCACAAAAAAGTCTATAAATTGTTGTCTAACATTCTTACCAGTCCATTTTAATTTTGAAGGTTTTGAGTCACACATCTTTTAACCACAATTATTTTGAGATTATACAAAGTGACTTTTGGTTTCTATGTATTTCTATTGTAAAATCTCAACTTATAGTAGCTAAGTTCAAAAACTCTATCTAATTTAGACTATAACTTGCACGTCCCTTGTAAACTGTAAGCATCAACCGCGGTGGGATGGACAGTTTCATTAAAACCCTGAGTAATAATGGAATATCTCCAATATTGAACCCACAAATTAGGGATATATTAATATAACTTCATGTAATATCTTGATACCAAAATAATGATTAGAAGTTTTGTATATGTGTCCGTATCTTCGTATTTTTAAGGTAGATATTTTAATAATTACTAATAGTACCCTTAGCCAAATTAACTAGCTTGTCTGAGACTGATAATACAGTTAGACCATTACACTTGTAGTGAATTTCTCTTGTTCGATATAAAGTATTCCAATTTTTCCATAAATTTGTCAATACTAATGGGAATTCCGTAATGATAACTATGTGTTAAAACAATAAATGGAAGTTTTCGGATATTTCTCCCAGAAAATTTATCTATCTTTTTTGCAATACTCAATACACACATTGAATATTGAATATTAAAGTTATGACACATTATATTATCTTGTTTCAATTGTATAACATCTCGGAATGATAAAAATTCAGTTGGAATATCTCTTTTATTTAATATAACATTCTTCTTAATAAACTCTTGAATACATTCAACAAGTATTAAATACCTTGTATATAAAGATGGTAGTGGTATAAAAATTTTTAAATCTGCTCTATCTAAAAATGCATCATCAATTGCATCTGGTATGTTTGTTGTTGTCATAATTAGTGTATTTGGATATCTCTTTAAGCTGTCAATTTGAGTAAGCAGTGCATTTACTACTCTTAAGCTATCTGAAGGTTCATTTCTCGACATACACTGCTTCCTAGCACTTGTTAAGCTTTCCACCTCATCAATAACTAAAGTAACAAATGAATTTGAATTTTCTAAGACTTCTCTAATTTTCGTGAAAAGTCTAACTACCAATTTTCCACTTTCTGAGAACCACTTAGAAAATAGTGAATGTGCACTTATCTCTATTAAATGAATTGAGTCATATCTTGATGAATATCTTATCCCAATTTTTTGCGCTATGGCACGTGAAATTGATGTTTTTCCTGTTCCAGGAGATCCATACAAAAGTATGAGGTGATTCCAATTTATAACATTGTAATTAATACTGTGATCACTTAATATCAAACTAGCACTTGCATAATCCAACAATTGCTGTTTAATTCCAGTGTCATAATGCAAGGCTTCCCAAAGTCCATGAAATGATTCATTAGGCAACTCCCAGTGCTGCCATATAGGAGTATCTGAACTATTTACCTCTCCATTTGATTCTTCTAAGGTGTACTCATAACTATGATTATTTAGTTGGTATATAAAAATTATAGGATCTACTTGATAAATAGGTATTATACTCTCATCGCATGTATTCTCACAGGTATTCCTTTCTTCTATCAGTTTAACTGGACACATTAATGATAAAACAATATCCTTGCAAATTTTCCTTAAAAATGAATCACCAATTGTACAAATTTCAACTCTCCCTAGTTTAACACTAGCTTGTAATAAAAGATATTTCTCAATTCTCCTTGCTATAATATCACGATTTATTCCATTTATCTCTCTATCATTACTTATCTCAATATTTTCGTGAATACAGACTTCAACTGAAAGTGGTATTTTACATATATTTTTATTTATACTAGTGTACTCTCTTTCGGTATTCCTCAAGTCAGTGCTAGAATCAATAATATTTGTATATCCAAAGTTTGCAGTTGAGCTTGAATCTCCAACTAAATCTAAACAAGAGTCTTGAGACTCCTTAATATTTTGTCTGTATTCAATTTTGGGAGTAGCTCTACTTGATCTATTTAATGATGCAGGTATTGTTGCAGGATATTCCATTTTAAATACAAATATATATATCTTGCCTTATTTTATTACAAAAAATTAATATCAGCTATTTTTCTGGTCGTTTATTTGTTATATTTTTGCATATTTAAAGTGTCAGATTTTCCTTCACATGCATGCCGGTACTCAGTACATGTACTTTGGGGAGGATTATTGGCACTTCAAAGTTTATATAAGTAATTTTTACTAGATTATAAAATTAATCAGATTAGAATATTTAAGTCAAACTAAATCCAATAATTATTACTAATAGCAATGGTAATCTCAAAATTGTTAGTCTAGAAAAAATTATCCATAGCCGCTAGCGGCTACTTAGTATACAAAATAAGAAAATTGCCAACTAAAAAGGGGCTTACGCTAATGGTAAGGGTAAATGAAAAACCTAATCAGTTAGACGATGGTTTTAATTCTGATATAAAAGGTAAAATAGTAAGCATTCCATTGTATCCACTAAAGCCTCAAACAATTGACGGTGACGATCCATTCTTAATTCAAATAAATGAGGTCATTGCACTTGATGCTATATACGGTAATATAATAGTTCATAATGGAGGTGGGTTTATTGTACCAGGAGCTTCTGGAATATCAGACTCTAATATACAATTTTCCTCAATTTACCAAACTTATTTTGATGATAAGAATGATGTTGATTACCAAGTCTATTTTATTCCTAAAGAAGTGACAAATTCGGAACTAACTACTCTAGATATAAAAGATAACTGCTTTAATAGTAAATTAGTGTTATATAGTTTAGTATTGTCAAGAAATGCAAGTGATAGTGTATCCTTTAAAAACCGGCGTTATTGGCGTAGAAACCGTATTTTTGCCAGATTATCCGTATGTTATCCTCAGATATACCCTGTCAAGAATCCAACATTAATATTTGAGTTTTCATTCGAACTTCCCGAGAGTATACTAAATAAACTGGAAGATGGAATTGTAACTATATTGTGTAATAGAAGTAGAAATCAAGAATGTATTTTCCAAGTTTTAGAACATTTAGAAGTAGTTCTCGATGATCTGTGTAATTATTTGCAACTTTCAGAAGATCTCTGGGAACAAATGAGGCGTGTTAATTATCAGAAAGAATTTGAGAAACATTTGGAAAGTAACAATATTTCGAAGACTACATCAAATGGTATGACAATTAACACTGAAGAAAACCCATCTATTGCTTCAGCTGAAGATATAGATCCACTGTCAATAAGAAATTTTGTAAGGTTTTCCGAGAAAGTAGAGGCAAAATTATTTTATGGTAGGAAGTCTAATATTGAATCGGGACCTCTGGATGATGCTTTGCTAGGTGATACAGAATCATGCAATTCTTCAAAAAAAGTTGGAAAATACTTAAAATCAGATGAAATTTCCCAGGAAAATGATTCATCAGTTGTTTTCCTTGAGGAAGATATAAGCAAGGATGAAGGCTTCTTATTATCATCAAGATTTTACCGAGACTTCCAGCCCTTAAACTTAATATATAAATCTGATTTTGTCCTGTGTACTAGTGCTTTACATCAAATAGACCAAAATATTTACCATGTTATTAGATATAAGATTCCACCAATTTTAAATGAATCTATGAGAGATGTAATATTCAGTCGAATATCATCATTAGCAATGCTGCAACATCGTTGTATTACAAGGTATTATCAATGTTGGATAGAAAGTACATTTGATAAGAAAACTCGTGCAACTAAGAATCTATTCTTTTTCATACAATCTGAATCACTAGGTAACAGTAAAACTTTGTATGAGGAGGTTTTTAAAGGGAAAATATCTCATAAAGAACCAGACATAATCTGGTCATTACTAAGACAACTTTTGGAGCTATTTTCATATTGCCATAAAAAAGATGTATACCATATGGCATTGTCTTCTAAGTGTGTTTATTTAAATAGTGATTTATATGGATTTTCCATAAAGGTATCAAATTTTTTATTTGGACCATCGGATATGTTGACTTCTTCTTGGGACCACCTCACTAAAGATTCTACAAGTATATTTAAATCTTTTTCGAAGGAAAATGCAATTAAATATGACTTATATTGTATTGGAATGATCTTTATTGAAATGTGGACATCTGCATTAAAAATTGATGAAACAAGTAATACATCAGAATATTTGCTTCAGTGGATATTATCGGATAAAATTCAATTATTGGAAGAAAAATGTAACTCTGTAAGTGAAAATGAAGAGAGAGGTAGTAAAATAGATCACTACAAGTTTTCTGAAATTCCATCAGTCTTATGCCAAATTCCTAAGTCTGCTCTGATTGTAATGTATAAACTTCTACACAAAGAAGACACACTAAAAAGTGCAAACGAGATACTCCGAAGTACTCTTTTACCATGTTCTGTTGACAAAGTTTCATTTGAACTTTATCTATCAATGCTAAATTATTCAGATACCTATGAAAGTAATATTACAATGAATACCTTATTTTCAAGATATGTAGATGATATAAGCTCAGCTGCCTTTTTGTTTGATATTCAACAAGAAGAAAAATTAAACTTGATGGATTTGACAATAAATAATATTGTTAAAACAAATATAACTGATGTTTTACAAACTCATGGGTTTATTCCTTCTTCAATACCTTTATTGTACCCTGTATCAAAATCTCTATTAAATTACTCATCACCATCCAACTTTGAGAAATTACTTATAAAAAGTAAGTATCGAACAAGAAATCCGCATCTCCTATTGGATATATCTAATACTCTGTTAGCATTACCCGTGTCCATTCCAGATTGTATTGCAAGTATGGTTAGTACACTATTTGAAGAACTTAACTCGAATAGTAATTCTGCATCGGGAACTACTATAAGCAACAATTTAAATACAAGCTTATCAACGGACTCCATTATACAACGTTATAATTTACAATCCATATATGAACAACCTAAAAGTGATGATAAAATAACATTTGGTCCTCCAAGATCTAACTTAGGCTTAACATTTGATATCTTACTTTTTTCTCAAGAAAGTGATACCTTAACAGATTCAGATTGCAAGAAATATTTAACAAATTCAGGTATATCCTATGAAATCTTTCTAACTGAACTGGAAACATTGCTACTTTCAATTAGACTAATTATACCATGGATGAATTATTGGGAGGATACACCTATAGTGAGGTGGACTTATCCACCTTTAATTTTGGCCTTAATTGATGATTGTTCAGCAATATCCTCTGAAACAAGCAATAGTAGATCCATCTCAAACCAAATAACATCACCTCATGCAATATATGAAAATATGCGGAAAGATTCATGTATTCATCTTAAAGACAGCTTAATGGAATTAAAGCAAATATTGGGACAAAAATTCATGATAAATTGGGAGCCTGGAGGTGATGGCTCATTTAAGCTCAACAACATTTTCGAGAATTTACTTTACGAAAAACTACAGAATTACATGAAATCAGAGGAAACCAACAATTTATTTAAGATGTTGACAATTGCGATTGAAGTAATGACGTTAACATCAGGATTCATTTCTGATGAAAGGACACGTGCTGAGTTTATCTTTGACCCTCTAATGGAATATGATCAATTTACTTATGATGTAACTGGATTAATATATATTATAAACTCTAACAGAAGTGACGATGACATTATATATGCAATGGGTGGAAGATATGACAAGAAACTACAGAATTCCTTAAGTCAATTTTTACAACCAAATTCCTCATCTCTATCACAGTTACAATATTTGCAACCTCAATTAAACTATTATAACTTCGATCGAATTAATAATCCCCAATCAGCATTATCTTCAAGAAGCATTGTGAATAACACTGCATGCTCTTCTTTAATAACTAGTGTGTATGGTATCCTAGGTGAAATTGCTATTGAACTAATAATGAAAAATACAAGTGAGATGGCAAGATCTCATTCAATGGAGTTTCGCAAAACTGGTGGATTGATTAATGGAATTAGCTATAGCCAAGTTCTAAGCAAGCATACAAGTATTGCAATCAATTCAAGTACTATATTAATAGAACCATTAATACTCCTGCAATCATGTTATCCAAAAGTTGTCGTTGTCACACAAAAAAATAAATTACAACTTTTAGTATTGAGTCTTGCTAGACAGCTATGGCTTAATGGTATAAGATGTGAATATAGATTGGCTCCAGTGCAATATTTATCGATATTTGTTGATAAATTGAAGAAAGGCACACTTGTAGAACTATTAGTAGTAGTAATGAAGACAAATAAACCAACTACAAATTCACTATATAATGCTTCAAATATTTCTATTGATGAGAATGAATCTGTAGTTAACAGTTTTACAAATAATAGCAATTCTCCACTGCAATCAACCCTAACATCAAATGCAAGTGAAGCAACTATAGATCTGAAGTCTGTATCTTTTCGATTGGAATCAATAGCTTCTCCTTTCCATGAAATCAATATGAATGGTGGAAAAATAATATTAGAAAGCGAAGAAGAAGTAATTAACTATATTCATTCTAGAAGGCGGAAATAAATATTAATTTTTAATTAATTAGGGAAATATATACAATAATCTCCACAAATTAGCTTGAAATAACTAATGTTATAAATTGCAAACTAATGCACTTATTTAATGCACCCCTTATAAGTGATATGATTTCTATAACATGCATATAACACTTTACTAATTAATTTCATATTTTCTATTAATTTTCATATGTGGAATTTGATTGCAGTTTCCGTTAGAAAATCTACCAAATACACTTTGAAATACAGCTCTAATTGCATTGCTCTTACTTGATTTTCCTGAATTTTTGCTAGATTTACCATTTGAAATGTTATGAACGAGTGATGGGTGCTCATAAGATATCTCCTTATCATCTATTAGATCACAACATAATGTAGGTATCACATTTGTTTCATCTGAAATTAAGTAATCACCTCTGTTTAATACCTTATGCGAATATTTCGATGATACCTTAATATTTTTATTGATACATTTGTTAGATAAAATAGTTTTAAGTTCACTCTTTTTCTCATGCTCATATTCATTATGACCATGGTTATACATAGAAGTTACATCTTTGTACCTATCCGAATAATCCAAAGTGTTTAAAGAGTCTAACTTTATATCTTGGTCCCTACTAATTGAATTATATGTAATAGGACAAGAACCTTGAATTGTGCACCTCTCTTTGCCTTCAGTAGCTAAATTCTGAATTCCAGAGTTCAACTTACTAATATCACAAGTTAAATTAGATGGTAACACTGAATATGGATTTATATTAAATTTTGGAGATGAATTTGAATATTGAGATACTAATGATCTTGAGGGAGGCTTCACACACACTTTTTCTGTTTGTATTGATGCTGTCCTACAGTTAATACTTTCATTAGCCTTGGCCCCAATTACCTTAACTGGGTTGACATTAATTTGATGTGATACCTGCGAAAATTTCTGTACTTTATTTGTTGACAAGACATTACCAATATCTTTGAGGAACTTTGATTGGAGTGGAATTTTCTCAAACCAAGGATGATAAATGGCTTGTGCTGCAGTACATCTTACGTCAGGATCCTTAGCCATCATCCATTTAATTAAATCCTTTACACAAGAAGATATACTTTTCCACTTGCTAGAATTGCTAAATTGAATATTACCTTGGATATTTCTTTTAAGTATTTCTTTCATATTGTTTCCAGGAAAGGGAGGAGATCCCCCCAAAACAGTATATAGTACTACACCAATAGAAAATACATCAACTTTGGTATTATATGACTTGTCTTCTAATATTTCAGGAGCTACATAACCTGGTGATCCACACCTCATTTTCATTGCAGGTGATCCTAGAGAAGCAGCTAGTCCGAAATCAATAATCTTAAGAGATTCAGGACAATCTTTGTTTTCTAAAATTAAATTCTCAGTCTTCAAGTCTCTATGAACAAAGTCATTTGTATGAAGCCATTGTAAAGCTAACAAAATACGTCTCATAGCTACTTTGGCTTGTTCTTCAGTATATGCACCTTTTTGAGCAATCCACTCAAATAATTCTCCACCACCTAAAAACTCTAAAACTAAGCACACATGATCATCTTCTTCAAATGAAGCAATCAGATGGACAATATGTGGATGATGCACTTTACGTAACACTTCTATTTCTGTATAGACGTTTGACTCCTTTACTTTCTTCTTATCAACAGCCTTGATAACTATATCCTCTCCAGTAATAACATTGCGCCCCTTGTATACCTTAGCAAAACTACCTTCTCCAATCAATTTGGTAGTATGAAATAAAGAACGAAAATTTCCAAGTGGTAATCCAATTGATGAAAAAAAATTGCACCATGCAATAAAGTCATTATGGCATTCAATTTCATACATTACATTAGGGATTTTCTCTATATTAGATTTGTTTGAATTACTATTAACTATATTCGAGCAACCATAGCTATTGTTACTTTCTAAATTACTATTAAAAAATGAAATATCATCATTAATATTAGAGAGTGGATTATCCACTACTTTTGCCGAAGATAATGCTGCTTTGTGATGATACTCACCTTTAGATCTTAAACAAATACATGGTCCTCTTTCCGTAACACCACGATATATAAAACTACTTTTTAAATTTATAATTTCTCTAGGAGTCTTATCTCGCCCATGATCAAAGCATAAAAGTAATGGGGTACTATTTGTTATTGTTCTAACAACGGCAATATACTTTGTGTTTATTGGTGAAACCTTAACAAAATACTTTCGCTTCATTTCAATTCCTGAGTTTCCTATTGAACTAGAAACTTCGATTGAATTTAGAGTTGTTGATGTTGAATTTATCGAACTATATTCTGTCTTACTATTATCACATACTTTGTAATGCTGAGTATCTTTATTATAATACCTTTGTGATGAATTGTCCAATTGAATATCTCTGGGTTGAATAGTACTTAATTTAGTATTCCTTGTTTTAAGGTGAATGTGAGATAAATTATCAACATCTATATTATTACCCTTATTCCTAGAAGGATTTTTAGTTAATTCTGAATAAACAGCTAGTTTATTTGTTCCTGACTCAGTGTTATTCCTAGATATAACATGAAATGTTGTTTCTTTCTCAGGCTTAGTGGATTCAAACTCCTTAATATCATATTTTGTAAGAACCATTTCGCCATTATACCCAATTTTACTATACTCAGCCTTACATATCATCACAGAAACTTTTCCTATATATTATCGGAGAACTTAAAACTAAAATATAAAATTCGTCACTGTTATGATATAGAACCCCGTTATAATATAATCAGATATTCCTTACAATTTAACTAAGTAAAAACCCTTGGAGCGTTAATAAAGATATCTTTTCTAAAATATATAGTAGATTTTATCCTAAAACTATATTTAAATCAGATTCTGACAGGTAACTAACAATCTATTTTTACATCGGTACCTGATACTCACATGTACCGCCTCACGCACGAGCGCCATTGAGGCGCTATTTATTAGGCGGCTCATTTTTTTGGTGACTTTAGTGAAGCTAAAGAGTAAATAGAAGTGTTTAATTGATAGTGATTTCTATATATTACCATTATTCTATAGTAAAATTAGCTAATAATAAAGGCATCTTGTGTGTGGAACAGTTTTAGTTTACTTTCTAAGCTTTATGGAATATAATAAAGCTAGTCAGTAGTATATGGATAAACCAAATGAAGTTATTAAGTATTTTACTATATAAATGGAACCCTGATAAGCCTATTTTATTATCAAGTTGCTATAACTTGGGTGATTTTAACTTTTTCCAACGGAAAGCTATGCAAGAACATATTTTATTTCATAGTAGATTACTCTGTTCACGAGTTGAAGCTGGAAATAGAGTTACTGTATCTTTTCCTCAAGATTTGGGACACTGCCATATATATATAACTGATAATGGCTATGCTATATGTTGTATAACTAGCCCTGATTATCCTGTACGCTGTGCATTTTCCCTGTTAACTCAGTATTTACAGGTTTACTTGAAAAATCATAATTTAAATGTAGACCCTTTGCTAGCTAATAAAGATTGTAACGAAACTTTGACTCAATGTGAAGAATTATTTAATAAGTATCAGGATCCCTTGAATAATGACAGAATATTTAAGGTACAAAAAGACTTAGATGAAGTTCGAGATGTCATGCTAAAAAATATCGACGATTTACTTCATAGAGGCGAGACTCTCGACACATTAATGCAAAAAAGTTCTGATTTAAGTGCAGCATCATATCAATTTTATAGAACTGCTAAAAAGAATAATCAATGCTGTCAATTATATTAGAATAGGCAACTATGCACAAAAACCAATAATAATATTCAGATTAATCAATATTAAATAAAATTGAAAATTCAGTTAGTGGAAAAATAATCATTTTTAAGTATATCAATAGTCTATTTATTTATATTTAATAATAGTAAAACTTATAAATTATTCTATCTAATAGTACTTTTAGTGATAACTTTAACATATTCTATATATTCTTCAATAGAAATAAAATGCTCCATATATATAGTCCTGTTATAAATACACCTGCTTAACACTTTTTATTTTTAAAGGCTATATATTAAATAGATCATATATAAGAAGTATCTTAGTAGTTATATCATTGACTTCTATTCCCTTATTTGATACAGACAGAGATTCCAAATTTGTTGATGTTCTGTTATCAATATCATAGTATTTCTCACATGCAAAGAATTTGTACTTAGAATTATTAGTATTACCAAGAACTTCGTATCCTGAAATAGTATACTTTTTCAAAGTATCTAAATTGAAATCAAATAATATATTATTTTGAAGTTTATCTTGATAAGATTGTTTCTCCATAGGAATATCACTGTAATCTTTATCTTTATCTTTGTACTCTTTAATTTTCTGTCTTTTTTCAAGCCATATAATTCTTGATTGTTCTGCTTTTCCTAATAACTTAGAAGTAGCAGGTATAATTTTTGAAAGTACTCTCCATTGAGGAATGACTGCAAATTCTAAGAAGCCAATTTGCATATCTACTTTACTAATTTCATCTTTAAAATTCGCATAAGGTGTAATTGGTAAATTACATTGATATTCTAATAAGGCTTGACTATTAAATTCATCTTGTATGAGTGATGCCCATTGATAACAAATTGGAGATGGACAAAGTGGATTTGATATATCTGCAGCATGAAGAATTACTTCAACAAGTAAATCTTTATCTATTTCTAATAGAGCTGAAGAAACTATATTAATATTACATATATCATTATTATCACTACATATCAGACTTTTATTCAACAATGTTGAATTTCTTTTATAAGATTTATAGTCATCTTTATCTCCACTTAAATTGGAATTATAATATTTATTAACGAGTTTAATATTATTAACATGTTCACTTCTTATTAATTCTAAATTTGAGTGGGATAAATCTACATTTCTATTATTATCAATAACTTCATATGTAAGCTCTCTATTAGATAAGAATTCCTCCAAAATAGAAATAAGTCTAGTATGATTAGACATATCTGTAGATAAAATAGCCTGGATAAGTAATTTTCTGAAATAGATGTTTTCCTGTTCATTAAAGCTCTTCCTAATATCACAGTCTTGAAGATGATCTAATAATCTAAGAGTATAATTACAGTGATGATTTTCCAAAATTGATACATCATTATATTTTCTAGCTAATTTTGAATTTGTACTTTTTAAGAATGAATTGTTAACTCCAGGATGATCAATATCATGGACAAGGCTACTGAATATTAATACTAATTTTTGGATATTTGAAAAAACGTGCATCAAACCATAATCGTAAAGGAGAATATATGATACTTGTACAACTTGGATAGCATGAAATATATTATGATATGGATTATTAGAATTATAAGAATCTTTGATTGCATCAAAAAGTTTTAATAATTTTGTATGTTCCCAATTCCATATTTTATCAAAATCAAAGAAACAAAATATATCTAATAAAAATTGACGATGTATTTCCCATCTATGAGACCATAAAGGTAATCCCCATTCTCTATACATATCTAAGCGACCACTTAATACTCTCTTGTATTCTAGTTTACTATCGTATATTGTAAATCCACATTTTATACCTAAAATGTCATCTTTAACATCCTCATTCTCCACTATATACTGCTCATTGTTATTATCTTCTAATACTTCCTTTTTAATATCTTTATTTTTAAAGTTAAATTCATTATATAAAATTCCATGAGTTTCATTCCCTGTGGGAATACCAGATATATGTTCATAAGTTAGACTTGAGGAATTCCCTAAATACTTCTCACTACTTACATTACATGTGATTTCTTCATCTGAAATATAGTCATTACTAATAATAAAACTTCCTCTCCTTTCATTTATCAAAGAATCATTATTTCCATTATATGCACTATTCTTTTCGGTATTACTGTTATAATGGCATCTCTTTGAAGTAGATTGTGAAATCACAGATGGAATAGAACTTTTAAAAGTAGAAGAAGCAATATTAGAATTAAATCCAATATCATTTCTAATTGCACGGATAATTTGATTATTATTACTTCCTCGTTTATTTTTATGCCTCATTGAACAGTAAAATAAGTGCATATTTAACATCATAATCTGGGTTCCAAATTCAAGTGATATTTCTCTTGTTATAGTATTATACAAATTTATATCTAAAGGACTAAAATTTGTAATTATATTAACTGTATCATAAAGAATATTATTGTCTATTGATAAAGAATTACCAGATTGACCAGAATTTGTTGGATATGAAGATGATGAGAATGGTGACGACATATATGACGAAGATTTTGCAAAAATATCATAAGATTTATGAAGATCACTTTCCGAATATTTAACAGAAATGCTTAAATTAGTTGAATTCCTCTTTCCATTATTCATATAATTTGTATAGTATGAATTAAGTGCATTATCATGCATTAAGAAAGATTGTAGAGATCCAAAGGATGAAGATGAAGAAACTCCAGAAGAAATATTAGAATTATAATCAAGATCACTTGTCATGTCTTTTATTACAGTGAGACCATTATTTCTTGTACCAAATCTTTGTGATCTTAGTGAAGTTCTATGTGCTAAAAAAGAAAATCCACTTACAACATTTGTACGATTCATTAATCCCATGTTTAAATGATTTTGCAGTACTTTTTTCTTCCTATTTTCTTTCCTTAAAATATCAGATATTTGTCCAATTCCAAATAATTTTAAACGGTTTACAAGTTGAACTACAATATTTACACTTTCATTAGGTGAATATATAGGAATTGCAACAGAATTAGTCATCTTAAAAGGTGTTATTAATGATTCAATGATATTGCTAAGTGATAAAGGTAGCTTATCTACCGATTCCTGATCACCACAACAAATTATTCGCCTTTCAGTTAATACTGAATGCATAACAGGATCATCAGATGATATTCTATATCCAATCAAAGCTTTGGGTCCAACAATACATACAAGCTCTTTATGAAAATATTCAACAACATAAACAAGTACCAATTGCGTAGGAGTTAATTTTTGTAAAAAATCTGATAACCTAGTAAGAACCTTTTGTGCAGCTTCCCAATTTCCATTTTCCATTAAGAGGATCTTTTTGTAATCTAAAAGAGGTCTAAAAATCCACCTATGGACTTCATAACAAACATAGAGATGATTTAAAGATATTATTGATCTTTTTTGCTCAAGAAAAAGTGCCACCAAAATTTGAATCTCTTCAACAAGATTCTTAAGAAGTAATATATTCGGATTTTGTGGTTGTAAACATATAACTAATGCAATAGCATTGGAAAGATGAATATTACTTTTTTTATTTTGATAAGAGGATGCTGCCTTTAAATCTCTCGAAGGTAAATGGGAATTCCTAGAAATTTGTACAAAATTATTTAAAAAATCATGCTGTTGATCATTAAAATGATCAACTAAATTACGGGGATCAACAATAGTACAAGATATTAAAGGAATCTTACAATTGCTATATCTTTGATAGTAACAAGATAAACTCTTATTTCCTTTAAAAAGATCTTTATAACCTTCATCACCAAATATATTATCATCTTGATACCTATATGCTGTAAATAAAGGATAACTATCACATATACAACATTTTGAAGAATCAGAATAAATTGAAGGGGGAGAAACCTTGATTACCGGACAATCTGATATCTCAGAAAATTCCTTTATTATCTTCAATTCTTTCTCATATTCTGCAGTACAAGTATTATATACAAAATTATTATTATTTTGTTCTATATCATGCTTATCAAGAGAATCTGAATGTATATTTATGTTTAATAAATTATCTGTATTTTTTATAAAATTATTACTACCAAGACATTCAGTATCTATTGTATTATCTATTTTGTTAAATATCTTATTAGAAGAATCTCTTCTAATTCCCAAATTTTCCATAAGTAGTATATTACCTGAGGTTTCTATTAAATTATTTTCATGAGAAATCCTTAGATTCTTTACATCCTTATCTATCTTATAAGAATTTTTAGATATATCAGGAGATTGTAAATATGGTATCTTCATGTTTAATGATTTATGATAATTTGGACAATTAGCTTTTGATTTTGTGATTGAGTAACCTTTACCATAAGTTATAGAATTCTGATTTATATTTGAATAGTTATTCTTTTCTAATTCAGAATTATCTTTACAATTTAAACAACAAATAGGACACTGAGTAGCTAAAGCAATATCACATGGTAATTGATGAATATATTTTAATTTCTTGTAAAAATAAAGACCAAAAATATCATCCGGAGATGAATTTATAAAATCAGAATTTGTATACATACCATTTATTTGATTGTATATTGCTATATCAGAAACTCCACAATTAGGACTTATTTCATCTGATAACTTATATATAGATTTTAAGATATAACAACATACTTGTGGTGAAAAATTAAAATAATGAAAATGTTGCTTAAGTCCCTGTGTAAATATCTGATTTAAAAAACTCTTATTATTTAATGAAAATTTTAATATATCATATTCAATATTACTTGATGAGTTATTCATATCTTCTTGAGGATAATCACCACCTAGTAAATTTGAATTATCAAAATCTTTACCATCAAAATATCTCATTGCAGATGATGGGGGAAAAGTAGCTCTTCTACTTAATCTAGAAAATATCTTAGACTTAATTGGTAAAGATAAAGATGTAGAGACAGGGTGTATAAGATCATCAGTTAAATTTCTTAATACAAATCCATCTCCATATTTCTTAGGAAATACATGACTAATTTGAGGAATATTATTAGATATTGTAGAAGTACAACTACAACGATAGTTATATGCTAAACTATTAGAATGTTTTGAACAATAATCACGTTCCAAATCATTATTAGTATTACATACTGATTCACTAATACATGCATCACCATTACTAAAAGATCCAACTTTTTGATTATTAATATCAAATGATATAGAATCACTAATAAATTCATCACCATTATGCAATATTATTGTATCCCTACATGCATTTTCTTTATCAAATTGAGATATCTCATTAAATTTATAACCGATTAAATCTTGATTAGTAACGAAAGTATCACTAGTCAAATTTTTAACCTCTTTTTCAAAACTACGTACACTTATTTTCTCATGGCTGCATCTATGAGTTTTGTGATTACAACTAGATTTATAATCTATCCACTTACTTGTAATAACACTAGGTAAAATAGAACTCCATGTTCCTTTAGTAGGAAATACTCCAGTTAATTCATTTACTTCATCATCTTTAAATAAAACTAATGTTAAAGGAGATTGAAATAAAATTGAAATATATAAACTAATAAATTTACTTAATTCAAATCCATCCATTTGTGATGTTAAATATGTTTGAAAATGCTTTCTTATTATTCTACATTTTCTTTCATTTACAATATCTTCATAATGATCATCTATAATATTATGGGATGATAAAGAAGAATTAATTGATGTTGGAGTTAGGCGTCTCCTTCTTCCTTGTGGTATCAATTGACTACTTTCACCAAATTCATTTACAGAGAGCTGTATTGAGTGATTAAATATACTTCCAGACTGAAAATTAGAATTTATCCCATTAATACCATTACTATAATTATCAATCTTTTCTGCACCTTTTAATTCATTATATAACTCTAACCAACCATCTGTATCGCATAAATTTGCTTTTACACCATCTCCAAATAGGCACATTGAAATAGGTAAACATGAAGAAGTTTTCAAACATTGTGGTATTGTATTTGTTAATGATCCTGTAGAAGATGTTGCTGAAGAGTCTGCAGAAGAGAATGTCGTCATTAATATCTCTTTTATATTATCCTCTATCGCTACAACTCCTACATATATAAAAGAATAGATCTGAAAGGATATACAATATATACTTGTACAATTGTAATCATAAAATTTTAAATTCTCCTCTTAATCTTATACTTTAAGTCCCTACATTAAATCCCTCAATGTAGGCACATATACCCCATACTAATACAACCCACGTTAATTATTTGTCTACCCGCTTATTACTTTTATGAGGGCTATACATAAAACTATTACCTTAGAATTAGTTTATTAAATATTTAAATAATTTTTCTTTTATTTTTTCTAAATAATAATAAAAGAATTTAGTCTATACCATTAATATATATATATTGTATTATTATATTTATTTTTATAATGTTATGGTGGAATTATCTTATAAATATAATATATTGATAATCTCACCACCAAATTGTTTTAAAAAACTTATATTTAATATTTTATAATAAATAACTAAAGTTATAATTTTTTTTAAAAGTTTTATATATTATCATATTAATCTAATTTTTTATTGTTAGTAATTAAGCTAATTTACTATTGCATGCAATTATTAATTTGACATATTTATTACCTCACAGATATAGCGCGATTTTACATGCAAATATTTTTTTATTATCTACATTAATTTTAATAAAATTTTCCACCCTTAATACTCTTAAGCTAATATTAATTTATTACTGCATTAACCCTTTAGAAATTAAATATATATTGAATTTTAAATGTATATAGTTAAAAATTTTGGACATATAATTATTTTTTTTTTCTATTACTAATTAATATAATGGAATATTTATTATATAACATATTACATTAAATAAATTTACATTTAACCTTTTAAAAAAAATAAAAAAAAAAAAAAAGGAAAATTAATATTATAATAAATTAATAATGGAATTATAAGATTATATAAATTAATTAATATATATATACAAATATAAAATAGATATAAATTTAATTATCTATTAAATTATCAACTTAACAAATAACACTAATTACTGGTTATTTAAAGATATCCTTTATATAACAAATATATGGGGGTATTTTATTTAAATTATAATAATAATACAGTATAAATATATACTAAAGTATATAAATCATTAGATTACTATATTATTGAAAAGAAATATTCTATATTTCTGAAGATATTCATTACTTAGTAATTACTAAGCTTGAAATATATTATGTATGTATATATATAACCTTTGTATATAAACCATATAATTAAATAAACAATATACTTTCTAATATATATTGTTATTTTATGCGGTTAATAGATTAATATTTTTATCAAACCTGACAAATAATCTAATACCCAAGAATTATTTAACCCGATACCGTCTATGGATCTTTTTTATTTAAAAATAATAGCGGTAATGTTAGGCGCCATATTGGAGAAATAATAACTGAGAACTAAGGTAAACCTGAAATAGAATAAAATTCAAGGCTTATATTACAAAAAAAAAACTATTTTATAAATAAATAATTTGATAAAATTAAGTGCATTAAATATGGATATAGTTATTTTAAATAAGATAGTCTCATTTATAATAATAATGTTTATTGGTGCTATTGGGACATATATTCCAATATATTTGGGAAATTTGAATCCTATATTATTACAATATATAAATGTATTTTCTGGAGGGACATTAGTTACATTAGTACTCTGTCATCTAGTTCCTGAAGCAGAAAGATTATCTCAACTGATAAATTTAAGATGTTATATAATAGGTACAGAAATACCAATTGTATCTTATTTAACTCTTTTTGGTTTAACATTAATACTATTTTTTGAGAAAGCCCTATTTTCATCAAAGACAGTTGCTCAATTTCATATGCATGATCATTCATTTCCGCATAGAAGAGATCATCATCATCATCATCATCAAGATCCCGGTTGTAGAGGATCAATTAATGAATCATTATCAAATGAAGTAACTTCTTCATGTGAAACAATGACATTAAATATACCACAATCTAATATATCAGGAGTAAATATTATTACTCCTTTAATACCTCAAATATCATATACATCAACTTCAAATTTATATTTTTTAGTTTCTGCACTATCTGTTCATTCTGTATTTGAAGGTATATTAGTTGGAATTTCAAAATCTGTTGCCTCAGTAATAATGACAACTTTTATTATTATAACTCATAAATGGATAGAAGGTATTGCTGTTGCAGCAGGAATAAATAAACATTCCGAAATATCAAAAACTACTGCAAGACAATTATTAGCTTCATTTGTACTTATGTCACCTTTAGGTATAATATTGGGACAAATATTTTCATTATTAAATAGCCCCTTATTAATTGTTATTCTAATTTGTATATCATCTGGAGCTCTATTATATGTTGCACTTGCAGAAATGGTTATTGATGAATTTAGCTGTGGTGAAAATAGAAAACAAAAATTTTTTGTTTTTATTTTAGGAATTATATTAGTTTCAATTATTAATATTATACAACATAAATTTGGAGGATGTAATTATCAAGATTACAGCAATATTGGTGATTTACATATAACTCATTATAATCATAATCATCATTAAAAATAAAAATATAAATATTCATTAAAAAATTGAATATTAGTATTACTTGATAAGAAATATCCCAATAATTATATAAGTAATTATTTCAAATTTCAATATTTCAAGTTTTTTTTTTTTCTTTTTGATATAAACAATAATATTTATAAATATTTTTTACTTTATTCCATTATTTACATACTTTAAAAAATGATGTCAAAGTTTGTTGTTTAGTATCAGAATGTTTTTTAGCATTATTAATTGATTTTATTATTTTGTTATGACCATTAGATGTTTGTTTTTTTGTCATATATGTTGATTTTTCTTTACTTAATATAAAATCTACATCATCTTCTACTACTAAATATCCGGTTTTTGAATCTTTATATATTTTATCACGAGTTATTTTTTCTAAATTTATAGCATCAACTTGTTGTGGATTATATTTATGTTCATTGTTATCATCCAATTTATTTTCTAAATCTACTTTCTTTTTTTTATTTAATACTTCATATGATAATTCAGAGTTTTTAGATTTATTATAATGTATACTTTTTTTATTATCAATATTATTGTTTTCATCAAATAAAGATGATTTTTTTTTTCTTCCCTTAGAAGATTTCTTTTCTAAAGAATTATCATTATTTATCTCATTTTCAGAATATAATAATAAATTTGAATTATTAGAATTATTTGAACCTAAATTATCATTAGATTCATCATTAAATAATAAATTTTCATTATTATTTATAGATATTTTGGATGGTGATTCATCCATAATAATATCTACAGTTCTTTTATCATCAATATTAATATCTTTGATATTATATACTTGGTTATTTTCATTAAAAGTATTATTCATATTTATATCTATATTCAAGTCATTTTTAAGATTAGAAGTGGTATATAAAGAATTATCAATATTAGTCTCTAAAGAAATTGATAATGGGTATGGGTCTGTATTAATAGTATTATCTTTAGAATTATTGTTTGATATAATTGGATATAATTCTGTTTTAGATATATCTAAATTATTATTAATCATACTATAATCTTGGTTTAATGAAGATGAATAACGAAGTTTTGGACTTGCAGATTCTCTAAATAATGAATACTTAGAAATCCATAATTTATTTGGTAATAATTTTGTAGCTAAGATATTTCTTCGAATTTCTTCACATTCTAAATGAAAATGTACTTGATTATTAGCTATTGAATCATTTATATCAATATTCTTTTGTTTAATCCCATATATAAATTTTTCAATGATTTTAGATGTATATAAACTTAAATCTGTTTCATCTATAACTTTCATTGTTATATTATCACCATTATCATCAATAATAGTAATTAGATATATAAGTTCACAATATTTCCCATATTGTTCACTCTCCCTATACAGTTTTAAAATCTCTCTACATTCTTGCACTGAATTAAATTGAATTTGGTTACACAATCTAGAAACAGTTAAAGTCTGATCATGTTGTGCAAATAGTATATCAAATATTTTAAAATTATAGTTTACATCTGATATCATCTCATTATTTAAATCAGTTTTAAGCATTTCGTTTTTTTTTTTCTTTTTTTGTCTAATTTCTAGAAAATTATAATAGCTACCCAAATTATTTAATTAGTATAATATTAGCACAATATCTTGATATTTAAGTTAAACATTCACTTTATATTATTTAATTAGCCTTATAATCTAATAAAATTATTAATTATAATATAAGGCCAAAGATCTTATGATAATTTTTGAAGAAAAAAATTAGAAAATGGTATCTATATGTAAATATGTAATAGGGACTAATTTACACCGCCTAATTTACCTTAGCCATTTATTTTTAGGACTAACAAATGTAGGTCTTATATCAGTATATGAATAAAATTGATTCTGTAATTTTTTTTTTTTTATTTAGAGGAACTAGAAACCCTAATAAAAAATTTAATATAAGGCTATAAACAAATCTTTAGGGCAAAATTATTTAATGGGTAGATGTTGTTTGATGATCTGGGAAATGTAATTTACTTGATTACTTTATACACACTCCAGGGTTTACCAATTGGTCTGAGTAGTTCTATACCTTTTATTTTACAGGGCCGTATATCATATAAAGAACAAAGTATTTTTAGTATGGTAACATTACCATTTTCTCTAAAGTTATTATGGGCACCTTTAGTTGATAGTGTATATATTGAAAGAATTGGACGACGAAAAACTTGGATTATCCCAACCCAATTATTATGTAGTATATTAATGATAGGTGGTAGTTATTATCCTTTTTTACCAAAGTGGTTAGGGGAGGGTGAACTTAATAATTCAAAAATTGTACTTTCAGCTTATATAATTCCATTATCATTATATTTTTCTATCTTATTTTTATTAATGGCAACTCAGGATATAGCTGTAGATGCATGGGCTGTAACAATGTTATCTCCTAAAAATAAAGGATTAGCATCTACTTGTAATGTAATTGGACAATCATTAGGTTATATTTTAGCATATTTAGGATTTCTATTTCTTAATGATATACATATAAGCAATAAATATATTCGTCCATTAATAAATAGGAATAATACATCATTTGAGAGACCTATTTGTGAGATGAGTGAATTTGTTTTTATTTGGGGTATTATAATATTTATTGTAACTATATGTACAGCAGTGATAAAAAAGGAGGAATATTTAGACAATAAATATAATTATATTAGTAAGATAAATAATGAAGTTAAAGAAGAAAGTATAATAAAACAAAATAAAAAAGTGAAGAGTTTTATATCTACATATACTAGTACAACATGTTCTAGTGATTCGGAAAGTTATCAAATGGAGGAAACTCAAATTGAAGAATTATTAAGTATTAAACAAGCTTACATACTTTTATATAAGGTTATCTTACTTCGTCCTGTAATGCTTTTAATATTACTTCTATCAATTATTCGTATTCCATTTGCAGTAACAGATGCCTCATCAACTTTTAAACTCCTTGAATATGGAATGAGCAAAAGTGATATAATGTTAGTTAGTCCAATAATGATTCCATTTAGTGTTTTAACCCCAATATTTCTTGTAAGATTTACAAAGCAAAAGCATCCGCTTAAAATAATGAATTATATCTTACCAATGAAACTAATTACATCTATAATGTGGTGCGCATTATTAATATGGTCCCGTTACATATTTAAACCATGGATTCCTAAGATCTCCCAAGTAGAAACACCATTTCCATTTTATTTACTATTTTTGATATTATCTGTAATATGTCATATATTATCTGATGTTCATTCATTGGTATTTATGACATATTTTAATATTATTGCAGATACAAAATATGCAGGTACTTATATCACATTATTTAATACTATTAGTAATCTTGGTTATAAGTGGTCAACTAGTTTTAGTATCTGGCTTTTAGATTACACTAATATAAGAATTTGTTCTAATGAAGACTTTTCAAATAACTTTAATAGAACATCTTGGGATTATTCCTCTGATTTCCTCAGGTATTCAATTGGTGAAAAGTGTTCAGTAGATTCATATTTTGTTCAATCTTCTGTTTGTATATTTTTGGGTATAATGGGGATATTTACTTTATTTCCACATATATTTAGAATACTTGAAGAACATGAACTTAGCGATTGGACAGTAAAAATTTATAAAGAAATTCCCGAAATCAAGCATCCTATATTGAAGTCTGATTTTATTGTTGAGGAAACGAAGATAAATAAAAAGAGATTTAAAGAGAAGATGGCATAATTTATTAACAAAATTAAAGTCATGTATTAAAAAAAAAAAAAAAAATTATAACTCAAAATGTTATTAGAAACTGTATATATATGAAAATCTAGAATTAATATAAGTATTAGTAACTATCTATTACTTTAAATATTAAACTACCATATACACTTTTTTAACTATTTCTTGTAAAATATATCTTTTGTTTATACTTGAATTTATTTAACTAAAATTTGTTTTTTTTTTATAAATTTATATTTGTAAATAAGAATTTATCAAATTTATGTTCACCTTATGGTTTATAGACTTTAATCATTATTATTACAATTAAGCTTTTATGTCTTTTGTTTATAACTATCATAAATCTTTTATTTAATAATACTATAACAATATTATTTTTTAATTTATAGATTTATTTATTGTATTATATTGTTAAATTTATATCCTTAATATATCTTTGAAAGTATATTTCTTGATACTATTAATACCTTTTTAAAAACTATTCCCAAGGTGTATAAATCACTAAAATTATTAAAATATTGAAATTTATTTTTATTAGTTATATATAATATACCCTACTAATATAACTTAGTATAAAATATAATAATATATTCAATTTAAAAAAAGAAGAAATAATTTATTATCTATTACTATAATAAGTATTTAGTAAATCTTGAACTATTCATATTTAGAAGTATCTATATATAATTAATATTAATACAAGTTATTTTATCATTCTTTAAAAACATAATTTTGGTTCCAATTTTTTCTATATATTTTGTTTAATAAGTAAAGATAATATTAGATTAATTATTAGATCTGCTGTATAATAAAAAGAAAAATTATATACAATATTTAATAAGATATTAATATAAAGTTATTATTAAAAATATAATAAATTTTAATTTAAGATGAGAAATATTAGCAGCTATAACCTGAATAGATCTCAAATTCATTATTAGGATGAAATTGCAAAAAAGTGGAATTAACAACCTATTTCCTAATTATCTTGTATATGTCAAAAAAAAACTTTTTCTAATAAAAAGGTATAAAAGATGAATTTACTTGTTGAAAGTTCACGAAAATTCCAATTATTATAAATATTACTATTTGTAAATTTATATCTAAAAGTAATATAATAAATCCCGTCTAATGGATGCAGAATATAAGACGTTACCCCTTTATCATTATAACCCGCTAATAAAGCAAACTATTTTACTTATAAGACTAAATACATGAAACTTGAAATTCTGAAAAGTGAGGATCTACAAAAAGTACTCACTAATGTATTAATAAAGAAAGTTGATGGTAATATTTATATTACAACTCATTATATAATATGGGTACCAAGTACAATAAAGAATCAACCATTTGATAATATCAACTCAATAATCTCTTTAAGTTCTGAGGAAACAGATGAAATAATTTTAGAACCATGGCAAGAGTTATATGCTCATCGCCATCGGCTAGAGAAAAGATTGTTAGGTTTAAGATTTAAGAAGAATGAGGAGGGATTTACAGATATAAATATGGTCTTGAAAGATAACTTGGATCTAGATATCCTTATAGAAAGCATCCAAAAATATCATGATGCTTCACTTAAAAAATTAATTAATAGTAATGAAGAATCTGTTCAGGTAAATTGTAGTCAATCAAATAGAAATGTAAGTATGGAAGTAAATAATTCTATTCCAATTGAAAAAGAAGCAAAACAAGACATAAAAGTTAGAAAAGAATTCTTTATGGAGAAGAAAAAAAAAATTGAAAAGAAAGAAAGAACTTTACATGAAAAACTTAAAGGATTATTGGATCTAGAACCAGATTTACGAAGTGTTTATACAAACTTAGTTCTAACTGGTCAGGTGTCATTAGAATCTTTTATAGAACATCATATTGATAAAATAGAATTGAATAAAGAAGAAGAAGTAGGTCCTAATAATGTGGATAGTTTTTTAAAAAAACCTCCAAAAATGTCACATACAAATAGTGGAGGAATAGATGTAACAGTTACTGCAGAAGAATTGAATGCAATACTTGAGGAATTTCCAATAATAAAGTACAAAATGTCAGAATATGTTCCCCATAGACTAACTGAACAAGAATTCTGGAATAGAATAATCCAATCACCTTTATTTTTTGATATTTTAGGTCGTAAATCTGAAGGTATATCTAGTGATAACTTTAATATTGGTAATTTACCAGAAGGTAAAGATTTACTATATGAACTTAATAATCTTGAATCTGGTGGATTTAATGAAATTTTATCTAGATATGTAGATAAAGATATTAATTTATTACCAAATATAGATTATACTAAATGTGGATTTGGCACTAGTCTAGGTTCAGCATCTATAACACAAAATTTAGAAGATACTTCTAAAAATTTGTTAGAACGATTTAACCGTCATGGAGCCCATATTTTGGAATTAACTATTGGAATGGATAAACTAAAATCTAGTTTAGATATAAATAATGACATTGTTGAATCTCATAATGACCAAGTGATTGAAAATAAAGATATTAAGAATCAAATAAGTAATCTTAATATTGATCCAAAATCTTTTTTTTCTATTGGAATAGAGGGAGAAAATGAAATGAAAAATATTGTGAATAATGTAGAAGATAATTTGAATATGAAACAAGATAAGATATCAAGTATTGGAGATCCCAACTTTTGTACACTCCCAGAGTCTTCAATAAATATATTTAGTGATATTGGTCGTCTAGTACTAATTGAGTGTACTAAACAGCTTCAACAAGAGCAAGTTAGCCAATTATCTAGTTATCAAAAAAGTACATTACTTGAAAATTTTTCATCTCAACAATTAAATACATTTCAAAATTCGCAATACCAAATCTGTAGTAGTAATAAAAATAATGAAGATTTCCCAGTTTGGTTTACTCAAATAAAGAAGGAATTTTTGGAAGTAAATGAACTTTTAAGTCACTTTTGGAAATCCACCTTGACCCCTAAAAGTATAGAAAAGCGAAGGAGGCTAATAAATACTTTAGATAATGTTGCTCAAAATATCGAATCTCTAGTACATGATAACTCGAATATATCCATAACTGTAGTAAGTTCTTATGGACAACCAGCTGGAACTCTTAGGTCTATGTGTCTTCCAATTTTAGAATCTATTAAGACTGCTAGAAAATATTATTACAAGCTTGAAGATATGCTCTCTAAATTACAAAATACAAGCAGATTACAATAAAAAGAATTGGATCTAAGAGAAATATTCAATATCTCAATATTTATAGTATTGAATAAGTACCTTCTTTGATAAATTTAAATTTTTTTATATATTTAGAGAAATAATTAGATATTTTCATAACAAATTTATAGAATAATTTTCAAAAATGAAGATTTATCTGAATTTTTTAGTTTTTTCATATAAATAAGCCTACAATGCAGGTGAGATTATCAGTAACACCCCTTAAAAGAGCCTCTGTTACTATACATTGAGCTAAGGTGTTTGATATTATCTTTCTTTTTAAATTAGGATACCCTGAAATCAAAGAATCCAAAATACTTTTAATAAGTAATACAGCCTGATTTTCATCTAAGACTTCCCATATACTTTGACTAGCAACAATTAGAAATTCATCCTCAGTACACAGTTCAATACTGAATACATCAGGAACATTTGTAATTATGTAATTTGACTCTTTAGGAGGTTTATACAGACCATAGCCAAAAGAGCTAACAATGGGCAAGTTATATATACTTTTTTGCTTACTTGAATTAGTCTGAAAATCATTTTCTAATAATTTTGCTTTAGATAAGTTTATTGGAGTCCCAGAACGGCACAAAACAGCTCTTGTATTCCCAACATTAGAACAATATAATTTATAAATATATTTTTTGAAATGTATATTTTCCAATGTGTTTTCTAATGGAATATCTAAATGTTCTTTGTCATTTTCAAATCTAACAATGTAACAACAGCAAGCACTAGACCCACAATTCAAAGATTTAGAAGACATAAGGATTCTATGATCAGCTATTATGAAAGCTTTCAACAAAGCTTCAATTATAGGATCCTTTGGAAAATGAGATGAAAGTTTGTTAGATTTCTCTTTATTAAAGTATTCCCTTTCGCTTGGGTTAATTAGAGCATTGTAAAATTCTTCAGGTAAAATATCCTCTAATTCTGATGATATAGATCCACTATCTCCATGTCCATCAAATACTCCTAAAAATGTACCATCTTTGATATTAGATATAAACCAACCATCTCTCATATCACGTCTCATACCAAGATCTTCCCAACAACTGATAGCTGTAAATGGATTCTCTAAAAATGCTTCATATTTATGATTATCATTCCACTTTTTTTTGGGTTCATGAATATTATTATTATCTGTGAAACTCAACATTTCTTTTATTGTTCTATTCATCTCCCTATTATAAAACTCTTGAACTATATTGTATACGACATTATAACTCAGGGCTTTATTTAACTTTTTCTCACTGTCTATACAAGTATATGGCCTTTTAATGAAATGTTTGACTTGCTCTGCTCCTTCAGTTATAACTTCACCTAAATTATCCAAAATTTTACCACCAAGATGCGTTAAACTTAAGTTCAAAAGATTATCTTTCTCTTTTTTAGTTGAATCCTTGGGAAGTCCAGAGTTATTTAATAGTTTCTGTTGACATTTATATATTTCTATGGTACTTTTGTCATCTTCCCTATTTTCATCATAAGAAATTTTATCATAGTTTGAGGACTTATATGAGTATTCTAATTGTTTACTAACTAAATCTTTACTTCTCACTCTTTCAGTATTTATTATGCTTTTATTAATTTGCTTTGAGATGGAATCAAGACTATTGAAGAAATTTGTTTCATTTTCATAGTCACTTTCTTTGGGATCTTCACTATTCCCATCACTTTCTTCAACACCATCAGCTTTTGTAATTGTTACACTAGCTCTTAATGGTAAATTTTCTTCCAATTTGTATATATTCTCAATTAAATAACGTTGTAGAGAGCTTAATGTTTGAATATCAGAAATATTTGGAGTACTATCACGAGAAGATGAACTACTGGGTAATATACGAAATTTCATTTTTGAAAGTAAATAACTTTATTAGGCTAACCCTTATAATTTATTTTCTTTCTCATTAATAACAATTAATTAATATTTATTTGTACATTGGATTTATTTTACACAAATTTTAATGTATATGGTAAATAAGTGTGGAAATTTTTTTGTTTTAATATATTTAAGAATCAAAAAATCTACCCTAAGACTCTGAACTTGCAGTAGCACTATCTGTTACATTCACTGAGGTTTTCATGTCTGGATGAGCTGGTTCGCGAATTTGTATTGGACATAAGCAGTTGCATGGAATTCTGGCACTATCAACAATAGCAGGATGATGAGTAGTTAAGAATTCATCTGGGATTCCTGCAAAATGTTGAACAATTATTCCAATAGCTGACAAAATAATTAGTATACCTATAACTGTAGCTGCTGCAGCTCCATAGCAATCTCCAAATGTAAGGCATGAATTCTACAAACAAATATTATATACAAAATTAATCACTATATATATACAACTACAAATTAGTAAGACTTACCCCTACAATACAACTACAATCTTCAAACTCTTCATTACTCTTTATTTTCACCAAATCTGTAGCTTTAAGTAAATTGGGAGTTAATGAACCCTTCTTATCTGGTATATTATTTACTAAGTTTTCTATCTTTCCAGTACTATCGACAGATATATAGACTTGATTAGCCAATACATAATATATAGAAAACAATAAAATTAACAAATTTAACCAATATATAACTTGAGGGCGATACATATTTCATTAATTCTCCTTTTTTTAGTAAATTATGCATGACTAGTTTAAAGTATCACGCCAAAAAAACCGCTAATAAGATACATGCATTCTAACTGAGCAGTAAGTTATTACCAAAAAAAAAAAATCACATATATATTTACCATTCAGTAAATAATACCAAACTTCAGATAAAGAATGACAAAACTTTTTATGTACTAGGATAATATTATTTATCTCTATAAATCTCAATATTTTCCATATATCTACCTATAAACTCTGATTCAGCTCAAACAATAATATATTTGTATTTTATATGACCTTCAATAATATTTCCGATATTATCCTCATTTTATGTCAGTATGCTCATTTATAAATTAAGTCTTAGTGAGTAAATATCCAATAACGATCATATTGATATGTAGTAAAAGCAATTCAATTGACTTTATAGATATGAATATAATTAAACATTAGGACATTTTCAAATTTATTTCTGTTTTCAATTAATCTGCCATAAACCTTGCAATAAAATATAGAATTATATTAAAAATTGAAATATGTATTTTTATACCTTATAGAATATCATAGTAGTAACTGGGAGGTGTCTGATATTTGGAAATATGTTTTGATAAATATGCCATTACTAATAAATAATTATTAGTAATAAAGTATCATTTTTTATATTAGGTTTGTTAATATAATATAGTCAATGGTTGAATTGAAGATTGTCTTTTGTTTCATACAACTCAAAGACTTGATTTCCTATCCTGTGAATGAAATTAGCTGAATTTATTTATTTAAATAATAAAATCCAAAAATACTTTATACTTTAGAAAGACTATAAATATATATTAAATATTTGATAGAATAATTTAAAGTATTTTTATATACTTACAGTAGTGTAGAAATATATTTTCATTTTAAACAACTCAAATCACTTAAGTTCGAAAGTGAATATACCAACTTTTAGATTGCATTGAAAATATCCATATTTAAGGGAAGAAATGATGTTGTAGAACGAGATAATAATCCAATTTAATAATTCCACTTCTTTTTAAAATAATATTCAACTATTAAAAAATAATTTCAATTATTCACTAAAAAAAGGTAGATTAGAATAATAGTGTTACATAAGAGAATCTGACGAATTAAGAGGAATTACTTGAGAAGCTATATAAATTAACCAGACTCCTTAAAAGTATTTCTTTTTTGAGGTTTATTATTTAACATATAATATAATTTTATCTTAGTCAAATTACTGAATAATTAGTTTATATCAAATTGAACTAATTCCCTCAATTTTCTTATTAATAAGAATATAGTGTGCACATCTTCCATACCGGTAGTTACATGTAGCAAATACCGAAGTCTGCATGTGCTATGCACCATGTGGATTATTTAACACATTTGAAGATTACTCCTATTTCTAAAAGAAAACTAAAGAAAGTATAAGCAAATAGTTACTTCTAAAATGCATATGTTAAACACATTATTGGCATTATTTGCTACACTTTATAGCTTCAATGTGGCTTATTCATCAACAATACATGATATGAGTCTCAATTATGCAAAGAATTTCCAAATAAAACCTCATCAGAAGAACATGTATATAAATAATGATAGCCCTGAAATTCCAGTATCAATAAAAGATGTAAAGCCAATAAAATATCCAAGGTATCCAGCTACAGGAATGAGATTGGGTAAGACTAAGTCAAATAAACAAGAATTATCTAGGAAGTATACTCAACCACTTATGAATTTACCAGAATTAAACTACCAATTTATTTCAAGCTCTATGAGTCGTTTTATTACAACAGTGTGTATAATGTCTGCATTGCCATTTTTAGTTTTATCATTGTTTGGAGATACTGGAGATTTTATTTTTGCTCAATTTGGTGCTCTTAGTGGATTATTTGGATTTCTTCTGGGTTTAATCATATTTAGTGCAGTTTTGCCGGATTTATTAACTATGATAATATCAGTATTAGCTGGAATTATTAATATATATAGCACTTTGAGAATGACAAGAGTACGTGAAATGCCTTATACATCCATCTTATTCTTCTGTTTCATTATGGGTAATCTAATATACCAAATTTTAGCTGGTATTCCAATATATGCATTAAGTCCATTATATACTGGATTAAGTGGTGCAGTATTATTAAAATTCTTAACAGTATTTGGCTCTGAATTTACAAATTTACTTACCTTTCAAATTAGTTTAAAATTCTTTTATTTTCTATTTGTATTAATATTTGGAATAATTTCATATCAACTATTACCAGATGGATTAAAACATTCAAATATTACTGAAAAACAAAGTGAAGATGAAATACTTAGACTTCATAAATATACTCAAGCAATATCTTCAATTACACTGACATATCCAGTTGTTGCCTTCATAAGTCAAATGTTATACATAAGTGACATATTTATAACATCACCATTGGATCCACTGAGTTTTTTTTATATTCCTTCTCAGTTTCATATTACTTATCCATCTACATCAATCTTACTCACTATTTGGATTTTACTTATTATACTTACATATCTCTTTAGAACCAAAATTTCGAATAGAGATAATTATAAACCTAGCTTTGTAAAAAATCTTATAGATCATTGGAAAACTGAAGAGACTCATTAAAAATAGAAAAGTATCTAGAAATTAATATTCATAAAAAGAATTTAGTTTGGGTAATAATTTGCCTATTGCTTTCTAATTCAAAGTCAATATGGAGAGGCAAAATTTCTTTGTGATGGATTGAATACATTGCTATTTCTTCCTCTTGAATAGTATTGTGGTGCAAAATAACCACTTCTGGTTCCTCTATGAATTCCTACTCCACGTGTAAAGAGTGGAAATCCTCTTCCTCTTCCTCTTGGAAATCCTCCTCTGTTTCGAGTAAAACCAGGGATATTTTTTCTTTTTGAACACACCTTAATCTGTCTACCTCTAAACATCGCTCCATCAAATTTTAATGCCGTATCAACTGCTTCAGGTTCACAAAATTCAAGATATGCAAATCCTTTTGGCATTCCAGTTCTCTTATCATTCATAATTGTTATTCTATTAATACTCCCACAACTTTTAAATAGTTCCTGTAACTCTGTTGGTTTTGTTCCATAATCAACATTACCAATATAAATAGAACGTTTTATTTCATCATCATCTATTGGTCCTTCAGTTTCCATATTTTCATGAGGTTTTTGTATATCATCGAAATTCTCCGTATTGGAAATCTTGACATCAGATACAACTGCAGGAGCAGAGGGAGATGAAGCAAATAGAGTAGATAATCCAGTAGATTCCATATTAAATTTCTCTGCAGATTGCTCTCCTAGATTCATTAAAGGAACTGAAAGTGAGAAAAAAAAGTAACCTTGAAAAATTGAAATGCCTAATAGTAGAAAAAGGAAGGCTAATCCTGACTATTACCGGGAATTTTCAGCAGTGTCTAGGCTCCAGGCTAGATTTATATACTTTTTGGTTTAATACTGAATTATAAATATATGTTGGAAATTCATGACAATGGTCAATTAAATGATGATCAGGAAAGTGATGAAGATGTAAAATTTCTTATATGTGGTGTTGATCGAGAGGGTGGATTAAATGACTTTTCTATAAAAGCGTCACAGACTGTAACAACAGGAATATCAAATGACATTGGATCTATATCTAATATATCTAATATACCTGTTAAAAATTCTACTGTGATTATTGAGCCTGAACAAACTACTTCAGATACTAATCCTATAAATAACTTAGTAATGGTTTGGGAAACTAGTACTGAAAATAGACCATGGAGCAGGTTACTTGATATATCTCCCTGGTTCAATTATGGCTTTACAGAAAAATCATTTAAAGAATATATTATTAGACAATTGGTGATTAGATGGGAAAGAATTAAGAAACAAACAATTGAAACTTCTGATGATTCACTAACTAGCACAGCTTCATCTAGAATTCAATCTATGGCTAATCAAAGTCCTAATGTCAACAATTCTTCTAATATTACATGTAACCCAGTTATTCCAATTTCACAAAATATACAATTTCCACCAGGTATACCATTACCACCACCACCAGGTATGCCATTACCACCACCACCAAGTATGCCATTACCACCACCAGGTATACCATTACCACCACCACCAGGTATGCCATTACCACCTCCACCAGGTATACCATTACCACCACCACCAGGAATGGGTGGCCCAATATCTAATATGATTTTGTACCCTCAAATATTTCCTCATGGCAATCCATCATCATATCCATTTAATCCATTAATAAAACAACCTGCTGATAGACGTATTAAAAAAAGGAAAGAATAATACTAAATAGTTGATTATGTAATTGAGAATATAAAATTTATCTTTTAATAAGTGGTTCAATTTATTTAGATTGAGGGAAGATATCCTTAGGATACTTAAAAATTGATAAATAAATTAGAATCATATATACTTATAACTAAATATTCAATTTAATGAATACATTCTTTATTAAAGAGTGACGCTGCAAATTTTAGGATTTTCCCAATCATAAACATTTTATTGTTACTTCAAAGTAAATATCTTTAAAAATAAAAGGGAAAAGAAGTATTAATTCACCTTGTTTTTATAATCTATATTGTATTTTATATTAATTCTTCATTTCAATTATGACTCTAAAATTATAATGTATTAGACCTTTATAGTATAATAGAAAGTATTTTCAATAGCTTATTATTATAAAATATTAATAATTATTTTATATTTAATAGACTTTAACAAAATACTAAATAGATAATATTAAAATTTTTAGTAAAATTCCCAAAATAAATAAGGGAAATGTGTGCATTATATGAACAAATAATATATTACCAAAATTATGAACTTTCTAAGAGTTATCAATATATTAATAAATTTATAATTTATATAGGTATAATTAATAAATCAAAATGAATAAAATGGCCAGGAATATTTCTCGTCAGTTCAAATTTGATAATAAAGAAAAGATGTCAATAGCTAAATTTTTGAGATATTTAGAAGTAACCAATTACTTTGAAGGATTACATAAAAGTTGTGAAGAAATACAAAAATTAGAAAATGAATCAGAACAAATTCAAAAAAGTAAATCTATTATTATTAAAAGTTATAAGGTTGATTCACCAGATATTAAATTAAGGGAACTTATTAATAAAAATATTACAGTAGATAACATATTTCTTCAAAGAAACTGGTGTTATAGACTAATAAATGAAAAACCTCAAGAATTTACACTAAAACAAGGAGATTTTAACAGACGTTATGATAAAGAAGATCAAGATTACTTAAATCATGAAAATGATACTTCAAACTTGCATTATGACAATACTGCAGACAAATCTAGTCAAATAATTCATTTTGAACCACACAAAGGATTTCCAATTGTAAATTATGAATACTTTGATATAAATGATATAACTAAATATAATCCAGAGCCATTAAGTATTCAAATAAAATCTCATAATACTAAAAGAAAGTATTTTTATGATGTACAAAATAAAAATATAGAAACTCAAGATAATCAAGATGAAAAATATGATACAGAATTAGAAAATTTAAATGAAATTATTTTATCCTATGAAGATCAGCTTAGTAAGAATGAAAAATTTGAACCATATGTTCTTAAATCTAATCAACAACAATCTGATGAATATTCAAATATAAATAAAAATAAAGAATTGGATATATTTCAAGATTTATTATCAAGAAGTGATTATTGTAGATTTGATTGTATACAAAATATGAAAGATTATTTTTATTTTAGTGATTATAGGACTGAAAATAAAGATTGTAATTTAAATAAATCAGTATTATATAATGAAAAACCCTATTTTAAACGAGAAATATTTAGAAAAAAAAAAACTGATGCACTCTTACCAGGATATGACAATTCATCTGAAGAAGATATTGACCAAAATTATAAAAATAATCAAGAAGAAAGCAAAGTTGTGAATAACAATATTATATATATAAAAGAAACTGTTGAAAATGAGGAAGAAACTCAAGCTAAAAATACAATCAAATATTTTTATGATCATCCTTTAGAATTAGGACTTTATATTAAAAAAATTGATAATTTGATTAATAAAAGAAAATATGCTTATGAAGAAGAGAAATATCAACGTTTACATTCAGAATATACTTTAAAACATAAAATAAAGGAATATATATATTTACATAATATGATGTATGAAAATTATAGTAAAATAGAATTATTACAAAAAGAGTTATCATATAGAAGTCAATTTTTAATAAATTATAAGGAGGAACTTAGTAATAAAATTGATGGTTTATTAGAATTAAAACAAATTTTAATCAATTCATTTGGTATGTTATGCCATTGGTGTGTATGCGAACCAAAATATTTAGATAGGAAATGTACACAAAAATGGGGTCAAATAAGCTCAGCATTAATACCAGGTGGTAGATCAGCTCATGCTTTACTACTTTGTAAAAGAATATGCCATTTTGATAATAGACTTGGTCAGCTATATGCATCAATGTATAAAAAAAATTTGACTCTTGGAAATAAAATCTTGAAACAAAAAAAAATTAATACTTCATAACAAATCAACTTAGAGATATCTAAGAATATTAAAAGTATTCTAATTAAAATTTTAATAAAAAAAAAAAAAAGTCTAAAGAAATTGGAGATTATTAAGTTAAATTATTTATATAAATTAGATCTATATAAATATTATTATACTATTATATAATATATATTATAATAATATAAGAAAAATATTTATATCCTATCAAATTATTAAAATTACAATATTATTAGTTATTTATTTTAGATTGTTATATAACTTTATGTGTTCTTTTCTAAAATTTCCAATAAAATCCCAGACCATTAGTATTTCTAAAATAACTAATCTTTTAATATTCATTTACCTTAATATTCTACTCTATATTATTTTATATTCAAAGTAATATTAATTCCTTTTTCTTCTAAATAAATCTTTAGTAATAAATCTAAATTTATAAAAATTTAAATTAATTGTAAATGAAAGAATCAAAAAGATTGTCATGTAAATATATATCTTTACAAACTATATGGATTACATGTTGTATATTATGTATTATATATGGATTAACTAATATTATTAAGTATTTTGTTGCACAACGTTTAGTAATTGACTTTTTCATAATATTTTCTGGTTTTATTGGACTCTTATCAGAAATACATTGTTTCCAATTTTTTTCTTATATGCTATTTTTTTATACACCAATTGGACGTGGTCTATATATTATTATACAAGCATGTTTATTTCTTAATAGTAATTTATTATCTTTAATTAGTTCTTCAGTTTTGATTAGTTTGGGAATACTTTATATGATATCATCAGCATTACTTGGAGGTGTTACAAAACCACTATTAGAAAGTTCATTAAATAATGAGCTTAATTTAAAAGCATCTATTCATTTCATTTCAAATATAAAAAGTAATTCTACAATCAATAATAGTACTAGAGTTCACAATTCTGATAATCATATTTATACATCTAACGAAGATAAAGATTCAAGTCATTTACATCACAATTATTATCCCTATCATCCTCATCATTCTCATCATTCTCATAATTCCCATCATTCTAAAAATTCTGATCATAAAAAGATAATTTCAACATAATAATTAATAATTATAACATTTGTAACTCTTTAAATATAAACTTTTATTATTATAGTATAATGAGTAGAATATAATAGAATGTATTTAATTTATTATAGTGTGTATATTATAGAGTTTGTATATATATACTCAAAGATGTGTATTTAAAGAATACTAAAATAAATCTTCTTAATCACACAATAGCTGTGTAAATTAATGCAACACAGACGCCAAATAAAAACTGTCTACTGTCTCAAGATTTATGTGGAATTTAGGTACTATTTGTTAAGATGTATTGGTTCTATTTTAGAAAAAAAAAGAAGTAACCAAGAATTAGGTACATCACTATATTGGAAATAATTAAATATGTTAGAGAATAATACTAAAAATTTAGGGACTTTACACTTTAAATTTTCTCGTAATTATGAATATATACATAGTATTACTGCGGATGATACAGGTTAGTATTTTCAGAAGTAAAATTTTTCTATTGTATTGTAAAAAATAAATGATATAATTTATTATTATATATAGGAGATTACTTTGTCATTTCATGTACTAATTCTTTAGTAATTTTAAAACGGCAGGGTGATGACTTTATACCTATTTCAAGTATTAGATCTCCACATGATGGAGCTACAATAAGTTGTTCATGGAGTCCATTATATTCTACTAAGGTAAAATAAGTCAAAATGACATTTTAAATATTCCTTAATAATTTTTATTTCTTCTTTTTTTGATTATTTATTATAGTATGCATTATTTGCAACGTGTAGTGATGATAAGACTGTTGGAATATGGCTATTAAATAAAAATATAAACTTTAGTTCAATTAAAAAAACGGAATTGATAGATTATCAAAATATACCCAAAGGTCCATGTATACTAACTGCAAGATTAAGAGATGCAAAATTATCAGTAACAAAGTGTTGTTTTGCAATAATGGATGGATTCAATAATGATGAAGCAACTAGTATAAATTCATTATCTTCATGTTTATTATTATTTACTTGTAGTGAAGATGGATATATAAGAGTATATGTTGCTCAAGATCCACCTACATTCCTATTATGGACAATAAAAGATCAATTTCCATGTCATATAAATAATCCACGAGGTTGTTTAACATTTAGTTTAAAACAATATAAACCCCCAATAATAATAAATAGTAATGAAAGTATATATACTTACATATTTAATCAAATAGTAGTAGGGGGTTTTGATGGAACATTTAAAATATTTGCACAAATTAAGATATTATGTGATTCTAGTTCTAATAATCAAACTGGAACTGAAATAACTGAAGATAAAAATATGACACCTTTATTATCTCCACGAACATCTTCACCTAAAAAGATTGAATGGAAATTGATATATGAAACATGTAATCAATTATCAACAAATGAATCTATTTTAGATGTATCTTGGTGTCCAAATTATTGTAGAAAATATGATATTTTAGCAACTAGTCATGATAGTACTTCATTACCCTGGATTGGAATATGGAAATGGGAAATAATTGATGAATTGAGTGGTAACTTAATATTATTACAAAAATTATTTATAGATTCTTTAAATTTCTCTATTTGTCTTTCGTGGAATACTAGTGGTACAGAATTGATTGCTTCTACATACTGTGAGATAATTAGATATCTTCTAATTAATAATAAATACACAAGATATAATCATACAGATGATACAAAATCTTCACAAAAGTCATTATTAACAACTATTAGTAATAAAATGAAATATTCAAGTAATTGTTTATATTTTGTGAGATGTATTACCCCATTATCATAATGTCTTTAATTTGTATTCATGTAAAAGTAAGGATCTCTATTATATTTCTCTTCAAATTTAACAAACCACCTATCTAAGACCATTTGAGGTACACGAATACATTCTGATGAGTTTGTATTGTTCCCATTAAAGCTCTCTATAAATCTAAATAAATTTAATGCAATCTTTTTTGCAATTTCTTTATTAATATCTATAGGTGGTTTATTTTCCACTTTTACAATTAATTCTGATGATAATTCAATTGTTATACCAATTCTAACTGTTGCTAAATTCATAATATCAGGCAGAAATGGCCAACCTAATAATTTACAAAAAATAGTGAATTACTCCCTTTTTGTCTCTAGTTATCTTTAAAGAAAGAAAAATATAACTCGTAATAACTACGTTATTAAACTGTAAGAGTTTATTATATAAGATTCTATATATAATTTCTTTTTTTTTTTTTTATCCTATAATTATAATGAAACATACCAGTAGTAAACATATCACTTGGTCTAACATTTGTTATTACCCCAAGGAATTCCCAAGATGTAAAAGGTGCAAAACTGTAGTAGATACCAGCTATAGTAAAAATCCCGATAATAAAGTAAAATAACATGTAATCCTTTAAAGATAATTAAATACTTAATACATATTATACTTTAAACATACCTCCACATTGATCTGTTGGTAAAGGTTGATTTAAGAAAATTGTTAAATTGTGGATAGTACTTGGTTGTGGGAGTTCAGCAATCCAACGGCACTCAGATTCTTGAACTGGTGCAGAAACTGCTCTTCCTGGAACTAAAATCCCAAATGTCATTATTCTCAAAGTAATATTACCTAAATATATTATAAATATCTAAATGATAATCCTTAATATATAGGCTTCAGTTAATAAATTTCGATTTAATATAGCGCTTAGATCTGCCTATAATACAATTATAGGACGTCTAAAAAAAAAAAAGAAAAAAAAGGGGGGGGGGAGTTGAAAGGTTTTTGAAGATTAGAGAATATATAGTTAGATAAAATAAATTTATAAGAAATTACTTTCTTAAACACCTAGATCTTCTTTAAAATTCTGATGATTACTCAAAATGTCTATAAATCCTGAATTAATGAGTCATGTTGATTCAGGTAAGTTGCAATGATATAATTTCGGAGTGATGAAGTTAGACTTAGTATTTTGTGTTAAATAGACCAACTTCGACCAATACTTAAAAGTGATGAAAGGATTTTATTAACACGTGGATTTGTAAAGTTCCAACTGAAGTCATCTAATGAGAAATTCCAGGGTTATGGTAGTGTAATTGTAACCACAAATAGAATTGTTTTAATAAGAACGGGAGATATTGATAAACCATCGAATTTCGTTTCACTAGAACTCCCTTTATGTAATATTGATAAAGTTGAATTTCACCAACCCATACTTTTTCCAAGTTATATTGAGGTGTGTTGATAATGAATAAAAAGTGACAATTTGAAGATATTATTTTGAGTACTCTAATAATTATAAACATAATTCAAATTACAATTAGAAATTTCCATGAAATTTGATATTTATAATTCATTGCGATTTTCTCTAGGGTATTGTAAAACCTACTCCAAATGCTATGTATAGTCTGCCTAGTATAAGTTCGTGGTGGATATCTTTTTATAAAGGTGGCTGTTGTACGTTTATAAAGTGTTTCTTCCGTATATACAGATCTGTTGTGCATACTCAAAATGTCAATGATGCTAAAAGTAAGTCATTATTTGAATTCTTATATTTAAAATAATATAGACTACTTTTTCTTTTTTTTTCTATAAACTTACTGATAAGAAAAGGCATTCAATTGGAATCTGCTTATATTGATGAGACTGACCCTACTGTAATTTATATTGAAAATATGAATAATGATAAGAATCACTAAATTTACTAATAAGTTTTAAGGAAAATAAAGTGATTTTTCAAAGACATGTTGCTTAATATTATTTTGAATTTGATTTGTATAAAATTATATTTCCCAGTCATTTACACTATATAAATGATATTGAAAGTGAGACTTCAGAAATATTTGGTACTGAATTTATATCTTTATTCTTATAAATTTATAGTAATTAATATCTTCAATAACTTATCTAACCACTTTATTTAAATCTTTATTATCTTTATATTCAAATGGAGAATCAAGATGATCTAAAGTGATATTATCCTCAATTTTCACCATTGATTCTTGTATTAATTGAGGTAATTATGATTTACTTTTATAAATCCCAGTTTGATTATCTAAAGATCCTTTTATACTTATTTCTTGTGTTCCTTCATCCATATACTTTCCTATATTTGTTACTTCTAAAGTCTCTGTATTATCTTTATGTAACTCCTTCAATTCTATTTCAGAAGTTACATTTTTACTTACCAATGTTTCAAAGTATTCTCTACCTTCATTATCAACATTATCATGTTCACCATTATCCAATGTAAAGATCTGTGGTGAAGATCCTACTTCCCACACTTTACTAGTATGTTGGGATATATTTAATTCTTCATCAATTGCACTAGGTTTATAATTGTTATTACAAAAAATAGTTTGGTTATTCACGTGAAGTATATTATTTAAATCCTGCATTCTATCACCATTAATATCATTTGTATTGTTTTTATATTTATAACTAATTAAAGATTTCTCAAATAATTTACTAAGTGATCTAGCCATAGATTTTATTTTTTTTTGACTATAGTCATGTATGTATGTTACCTTTGAATATGAAGTTGTTGAAATATCATCACAATTATAAATCTCACATTCATACTCTAGTATATCATTATACATATTATCTGAATCTTTATTAATTATATTATTTGATAATATATTTTTTTCATGATCTCTATCAATATCAATAGTCTCATGATCTATTTCATTTAAATTAGCACTTTGATCATTATTCTGATTATATTTTGTACTTGAGTATTTTAAACCATACTTCATCATCTCACTATTTTGCTTATTAAAAAGTTTATTTGAGATCCTACTATATATTGTTGCTATTTGATCTTTACTTATTGAAGGAAAAGTTACACTTTTTAGAAAGAACATTCTTTTATTATCTAATTTATCAGTAAATATGTTTTCCATTTTTTCTATATTATTCTGAATTTTCAATTCATCACTATTATCAATTCCAATTTCTATATGATCTAATGTTATAATATCTTTATCTTCACATTTAGAATGATTTTTTCCTGAAAAGCTTAATATAAATATCCCAAAAATAATAAATATTGCACCTATCATAAAGCATAATCCATCAATAGGAGATAACATAGTACTACCAGTATTCAAATCTTCATTATAAAGAGCCAAACTACACAAACCTCCACTTGTAATCAATACTGAATTTACTATAGGAACTGCATATATTGCTTCATAGTTAGATAGACTTAAATTCCAAAATATAGCCTGTAAAAGTGCTAAAATAAAAAAAGTAGTAGATATTATATATAGTGCAGGGTAATTAAAAACACCATATGAATGAGTAGCCATTATCTGCATCAAATTTTGAATCAATATATTTGAATAACCACCACATAACCCTGAGGTTGCACATACACAAAACCTAATGATAGGTGAAGAGATATAAACTCTTGGTATCATAGAAATTATAACTTCTTTCTTATTAGAAATATTAAGATATAGTGACTTAATATAATTTTTTTCTTTAGGATATTTAATTGTTGAATATATATTTAGTACATTTGCAGCTATCTCTGAATTATCGTTATTCACTAAACATGATGTTCCATTTAAATGTTTATCTACTCCACTCTTTAAATTTGAATTTCCTAATATTTCTAAGAAATCGTTGTTATGCTTTTCAATAACACTAGAATATTTCTCTAATTTATTATTTATTTCATTTGAGCTCAACTTATCTATATTTACAGTATTATTTGCATTAGTTGTATCTAAATAACTCAAATTATCTGGACTATTAGATATCATATCACCTTCAGATTCATCATAAGAAATTGTTTTCCAATCACCTACTATACCAAACAAAGCAATATAAATAAATATAACAAGTAGAATTGAAGATGTTATACTGCAAAATATAAAACTAGGTTGACTATACATATATATTAATTGAAATATGTTAAACTCTTGAATATCATGGATTCCAAACAGTAAAACTAAAATGAGACCAAATATTACACAGATTGCTCCATATATATGAAATTTATTAATATTTTCCTTCAGAAAAATTTGACCAAATAAAAAGGCCCAAAATATATGTAAACCAGCAAATGGTGTGATAATATTGGCTGAGGCATAACGAAGACTTGCAAAAGATAATATTACATTTAAAATAACAGCTGAAAATATCCCTATAATCCATATAGGACGAAGGTATAATGGTCTTCTTTCTTGTTCTGGAAAATTTTTCTCCTTTATAAAGCTTAGTCTAACTAAAACATCTCCCAATGCTCCAAAAATAGAAGCTAGAATAGCGTATATAATGCCAATAATCCACATAATTGGATATCTATTGAAGATTCAAATTTTATAATATTAATAATAATATTATAAAAGAGAATTCTATTGTATTGAATATTTACAATGATTAGTAATAAAACTTTTAAATAATAAATTTATATCAGTAGTTTCAGTAAGACTTTAAAATATTGATAATTTTAGAGACTATTTTCAAAGATTTAAAGTTGAAATTTATATAATCCAAGTCTCAAATAACTTATTCAATAAAGAAAAACCAAATATTGATTAATTTTAAATTGAGTAAAATACTTTGATTTAATTCCCAAATATACTCGAACCTTCTAAATCTAAAAACTCGGATATTCTAAAATTATATAAACTTCAAAATAAGGCCTTATTAAATAGCCCGTAAATTTATCCAAAAAACTGTATCCCAATTTGTTTATATGCCAATACTATTGATGTTATGTGCCTCAATATTTAAGAAGAATTTCAACAAAAAAATTTACTTAAATTTATGTATTATATGTTGATTTTTTCTTTGAAGGAGTAAAACTACCTTCCCTAAAATATAGTGCTATATCTTTATACGATTCTAATCAATTTATATTTGAAATTCCCTCTTTTAGATAATTCCAGCTTTCATTTAAGTTGTCCTAATGTACTCCCCCACACACAATACTAACGTCTAAAGAGGAAGTTGTAGACTTTAGGCGGTCAAATATATAGCGTTCTATTTCTTATTGGGTTTATAACGAAGATTCATGTGTTGAGCATAGTAACCCTTATTGTGTAAAAGTATCAATTTCTTAATTTAAAAATAAAATGAACATAAATATTATAATTAAGTAACCCTAAGAACAGCTATTTTAGACAATTTATTAAAATATATGTTCTTATATTCATCATTTCCAATTATCCATGTATATAAAGGAAAGTACTTTTCAAATTATTAAACACTCTTTGTACTAGTTAATAGCTGACTACTTTGCCAATCATCCACTGCTTGGGAAAGTTCTTCTTTAAGATTTGAGGCTTTTTCATCATACATTTTGGCCATTTCAGAGCTGTATTTGTGTCTATCCTTTTCATCCATCTCCTCCAGTAATTTTGTTTGATCAGTAAGATCAGTTGGTGACTACAAGGGAGATTTCACAAAATTTCGAATTATTGTTAATACTTAAATATTTCAATATTCAAATTGACTTACCAATAAAGTAATTTCATCATCTGATTCCATATCTCCTAATATTGAGGCTGCACATCCAGCAAGTTTGGAGTCCACAGGAGGGTATAGATATTCATCTGCCAATGTTTTTTGTACAAGAACTATAGGTTTTCCGGCCTTATCTGATATCACAATTATGATATAATTTGTTTATATAAAGAGAGATTAAGATTGAATTTTGTTACCACATACCTGGATAGGCATGATCATATGCTGTTCTTAGAAGCTTCCCAACATATGCTAATCTTGTCATTAACTAAGAAAAGAAATTAGAAATGACTATTTTAAAAACCAATAAAAATTATGTGTTATAACTTACCTGAGTTTTACTGGCTAAATTAGTCTGCAAAGTATGTTGCACTGGCCCCATTAATTGATTTCTAAATTTGGAGATTCGCTTTTTTGCAGTATCATATTCAATTTTGATATCCTCAGTAGCTAGTTTTAAATCAGCTGAAAAATCATTATATGGGCCTTGCAATTTACTATTCTATAGTGATGGGGGAGTGAATTTAATAATAGTCAAATGGTACATATTTAAATTATTTAGTAATGAACACAAATATCCTGATTTATTTTCCAATAATTATGATATGTAATAACTTACTGGTAAAAATAAAGCTCCTATAGGACCATTTTTTAGTTTATTTACAAGATTTTCTTCTTTATTGGCTTCTTTTGCTAATAAAATGCCAATTAAAGATACTGAAATAATACTAATTATATTGATAATGTATCTCTTCATCTTTTTTGTTAACTATTTTCGTCAGATATATCAAAGAAGACTATTTCATCAATATTCTGTAAAGTATCTCTAGTTACCCAAGTTACCTATACCAAATAAGTTCCAGATGTGCAATATTACCTAATGGTACATTACCGCAGTTGCATGTTTCCACATTATACATGCATGTACTACCTATCGGTATATAACTAAGAATTAGTAGTGAAGAAAATTACATAGCAAATAAATTGTTTACTTAAAATAAGTGAAATTATTATACAAAGAGAAAACTGTTTTTAAGATTTACAAATTAAAATTGGAAGTTTATTAATTGAATATTTAAAGTTGGTGATTTGATCAGTTATATATATATTAGGACATTTAAATATACCAGGATAACACATTTTCAAGGGATATAGTACAGCACAAGTTGATTTTGTATATGAATTGTAGTTTAATGAAATCTTCTCAAAAATAGGTACAACCGGATATTGGGGATGATAATCCACTACTATTTGTAAATCTAGTTGTGCTGAAGGTTTTTTATTAATGACCTCTATATTTAAATAAATAGCATCACCTGCCTTCTCAGCTACGCCTTCTACACTACAAGTTGCAGAAAATAATGAAAGCTTATCAGATCCATGATCTAAATTACTAGATACTCCAGTTTTTACTGTATCATTTGAATTGAGATTACTTCGACTAATTAATTCCCCTATATAACATATATCATTATCTTCAATACTATCTTCTTTTAATTGAAGGGCAAATTGTGTTAAAACTCTGTGATCATAAGTTTCTAAAGATACTTTCCACTTAATAAATATTGGAATGACTTGTGAAATTGTAGTAGAATCACCACTTTTATTAAGGATTCTCTTGTCACTTATCTTAAGAGCACATCCCCAATATTGACTAGGTTTGAGTATCCATGGTAAATTTAATTTCCCATTTTGGGGAAAATTGCTATATATATACTCTATAATAATATTATTATTCGTATCATGATTTAAAATGTCCATATACAAAATAAATTCGTCATGAAGATAATAATTTGATATTGTTAGTGGAACTTTAATAATTATAGGCAAAGATATACCACAAGTGTATACATTTTCTTCATTAAGCTCATTATTATTAAATGGTGAAACAAAGCTTTCAAAGTTTCCGACAACATTATCATCTAATATAAATTTATCTGTATTAAAGTGAGTATATTCAACTTGTATAAAAATATTTAGTGGAGTATTCCAATACTGTGGTTTTATAGTCAATGAAAAATCAAATAAGTAGAGTTTCATTTTTAATCTCTCGAAATATTTAACATCTAATTCAGTAATATGTGATCCAGTATCTTGAAGTATATTAAAGGATTTCCAATATTCATTATTATTGGCATCCATACTTTGGTATTGTCCCTCCCAAGCAAAGTTAGTTAATACAGACTGCTTTTCTTCATTTGGAATATCAAAAATTATATCATAAAGATTATATTCTTGTTCATTCTGATCTATTAATACTCCTACCTTTATATGTTCACCTTGGTATAAGCTTAAAATATCATTAGATTGAGTTGCTGATTGATAGTTGTGTTTTTGCAAAACCACAGATATGATATAACTTTCCAAGTTGAATTCTAGATCTTGAAACTTCTTATTATTAAAAATAAATATTATACATGGATTTTTTGTTATATTATCTCTCAGACTTTTATCTTCATTTGAATGCATTTGAGTAACAGGAAAAAACTAAATAAGTTCATCAATAAGCGCTTACCACTACTGTTATGCAAAATACTGATGCAACATGGCTTTATGATAAGTTAAGTGTCATCTCGCTAACGAGAAAATTAGCAACTAATTAAATTCAATGTTTATAATTCTTAAATTTCTTTGATAATGGGAAATAAAGATAAACTATGAAACTTTTAATATTACTACTTTTTTTGATCAGTTATTTAGGGACAAAAAGGCACACTTCCCTAGGTCAATATGTAACAGAAATATATCAAAGTAAGCTACCTCTAATATATAATAATTTATTTATGAAAGAAAACAATAATAATTCTTTTTTTATCTTGGATTTTAGCATGTACTCAAGAGGAAGGGATTATTGCAAAATGTGGCCCAGGTGCAAATTGCTTTATAATAGGCAAACAGCCTACATGTCACTGTGCGATAGACGTAGCAACTGGGATGATGCTATCAGGAAATCCATATAGAGGATGTACATGGGATTTGTCTGGGAATTGGCAATTATACACAGGCGAAGAATCAGCTCGAGTGCAACCAATAATAAGCCTACTAACAAATGAAGAATTTTTATTTCGTTTTGATAGGACAGATGCAGTTTTAGCAACAAAGTACCTAACAGGATCCATATTTACAGTAAATGGAATTACAAATACAGCTGCAGGATTATTTTCAAGAGTATTTTTAGATGCAAATGATAATACAGCTGTAATATTGGAAAATGCAGAAGGATTTGTGGACCAACATGGAAGGACGATGACATTGAGAACACGTTGGGCTGATACTACACTAAGTAAATCCTCTTATTCATGTAAGTTTGAAAGTATTTATATTAATTATTAGTTTTCTATTATTCTAGAAATTATTTAGGGATGTATGATAAGCATGATTTAAGTGGTGAGTGGCAACGGCCAGATGGTATCAAAGTACATTTAAATTATTTAGTTAAACCTATTAATTGGCCAGTGAAATCAACAATATATAAGTGGTTAAGAGCATATTGGTTTGATGATGCATCGCTAATATCCCCTATAAGATTGTGTACAACTTTATTTTTAGATAAAACATACAAGGAAGAAAAATACTCAATGCAAACATCGGCAAGATTTGTTCAGCTAGGCTTTTATGGTGCTCTTCGTTTTGGATCAAACAGGATTGATATATATTCACCTGCAAATGGATATCAGATATTGTCATTAAGAAAAGTTGGTATAAATTTACCTCCATATGTACCATTTAGTTTAGGTAATATTATAAAGCCTGAAAGTGAGTATTTTGATAGTACAAAGGTGGAGTCGATCACTAATGATATATATTCACCACAACAAGGATATTATGGAAGATTACTATATGAAGGTAATTATTCACAAGGTATTTTAAATAAAGAATTAGATGTAGCAAACAATAATGTATTTAATAAAACAGTAAATGGAGCGGAAATTAAAAAGGTAGCGGATGTACTTTGCAATGTTAGGAGAATTAATTAATATTTAATAAATTATGTCCAATGAGAAGTAGCAATAAATATAAAAGTGATATATTTAGCTTAGGAACAAAAGAATGGAACTACATTTTGGATTATATACCAGATATTGAGAAAAGTAGTATTCTTAGTGAATTATTGATATGTAACAAACTATTAAATAAAAATATTACTAATTTAATAAAAAATATATCAGGTAATGCTTCATTAATATTGGACATGATTAAATGTAATGTTTTTGTTCCTTATATAGAAGAAATTAATCTCATTGGTATAAAATTATATGACTGGAATAATAGTGATGAATTTTACAAATTAACAAATATTACAAAAAGAAACTATAAAACAGCACTAAGATCTATTAAAAAAGTTACTATTTCTTACTGTGAAATACCATGGGACTTGAAAGAATATAGATTTTGGTCAGAATGGTTAACTTATATAGCTAATACTGAACATATAACATTACAATATTGCAAATTTTATTCTAAAATGAAGGATCGAAATATAAATAGTAATAATAATAATGAAGCAAATATAAATTCTGAATTTGATCATTTTAATGGATCACAAAATTTTAATAAAAAGAGAAAGATATTAGATTATGAGTATAGAGATTCTACCATTTACAACTACACTGATACTGTCCAATGCAAAAATGGATACTTCCCAATATATAATTTACTAAGATCTTGTAAATACTTAAAGGAATTAAGAATTGTAGATACAAATATAAATATAAATCAAATATCAGATTTATTGAAATGGTTACAAGAATTCAATGCAAAACTTCATGCTTTAAATATTGATAGAAATATACTCATATTTGGGAATATAATAAGTTCAGCAATAACTGGTAATAAATTAATTAAGTATTTAAAATATCTATCACTTTCTTCTACTAAATTAAATGATGAAGATGCCTTTTCAATATTAACTTCATTTATAAAAGATAAACAAGAAATTAATATGAAAGATAATGATAATTCTAGATTAGATCATTCTAAAATTAAGATTTCTTTTTCAGACAACTTTTTAACAAATGAATTTTGTAATAAATTACAAAAATATACATGGGATAAAACTTTGAACTTTATTCAAGAGGTAAGAATTGATATTTCTGGAAATCCTATACTAAATAACAAAATAGATCAAACTTGTAAATATATTCCAAAATGGCTAATACTTGAATATAATGATCTACTACCAGTTTTTATGGGAAATGATCTGCAATTACCTTCAAGTACTATTGAATATAACGAATATCTATTTAATCAGTTTAATATCTTAAAAAAAGTAGAAACTCCTAACACTCTCCTAAATATAGTAGATGAAGATTATGATTCTGAAGAAGATGAAGATTATAGTTTAAATAGTCAAGAAAGTAGTGAAAATGAAAGTATTAGTAGTTGCTATAGCAACAGTGAGAATGGTAATAGTGTAGACGATAGTAAATGTAATAGCATTCATAATTATAGAAGTAGTGATGATAAAAGTGATGAAAGTGGAGATATAAATAACTATGAAAATAATAAAGATTATAAGCACAATTAAAACTCTAAAAATGGAATTAGCCAATTTACTTAATAAATTCGATATATAATCTACTTTAAAATATTAAATCAAATATATTTATTAATTATAGAATTGTCATCAAATTATGGAAAATAAAAATTGTAAATAGGGAGAAACAAACTATTAAAATTATTATTTAAAAAAAACTACCTGATTTAAGTTGAATGAGACTTTTTAATGAAAGATAATGCAATCATTAAATATTTAATAAAATCCAGTTTATATATATATATATCTTTAATACTAAACCTTATACAAGATAAAGTCTTTTAAAATTTTTATTAATATTTGAATTTTTAAAAATTTGAAATAACACATTTTTAGATATAATGTAACCATTTGGTAATACAAAGGCAGGATTATTATCATCCATAAACTCTCCAGTTATTGGACAAATTATAAAACTTTGTAACCTATGAGTTAATGGAAGTTTACCAATGTAATCTTCACTATATGCACTACAGCTAGGACAATTAGCTGTGATTCTATGTCTACAAATACTGGTACTTAATACTGAGAAACCTATATCCATTAATCTTAATAAAGTACATTTTTTTGGAAATCCATATACCCAAAACCAAGTTCTTTTAAATTGCTCTAATATATTCTCCCATCTACTTAATTTAAAATACTTGGATATTAAATTTATATTATCTGTATCTTCATATTCTATACCAGTATTTATATTCCACTTTTGCTTCTTAATTGAGAATAAACATGAAATAATAAATTCCTTTATTTCATTTCCATGTAAACTGTATAAATCTAAATCTATCAAATCTTTCATATTTTGAATAATCATATTTAATACTATAAATGGATTTGAAGTCTCACTTTGTACACTTTTAATGAATTTTTTTGCAGCATTTTGAATTTGTAATTGTACTTCTAACAGTGTATAAGGTTCTTTATATTTTATACTTTTATTTATTTTAGATTTATGAGAACTTATCCATTGTAAAGCATGTGATGTTTCATTCAAGTTTATCAAAGAGTTACAAATTTTGTCATACTCTTCAAATAATAAGTAATTATCAATTATTTCTTCACTCTGAATATCTATATTGGATGATTCTATATTATTATTATAAATATTGCTCTGATTAATTTGTTTATCATTACAAATAAGGTTACTATGATTATCTTCATAGGACTTTTTAATTATTTCAAACAATTTACATCTTGTGTTTGGATAATTTCTACTACGATCAAAATAATCCAATAATATCTTATTAGTTATTTGTGTCATATTTTTGAAATTAAAATTTTTATTAACCCATGATTCATCCAAATACCTTTTATTTTTAAAGGATCTAAGTATTCTGATAGTAGCCTCAATTAGTTGCTCACAGTTGGACTTTACTATTAATACGTCATTTTTCAATAGATTTATCTTTTCAATGAGCTTGTCTAATTGAGATTCTCTATCTTCATTATCACATATTTTAAGCCCCTTCTTCATATAAGAATATAAATGTTTTATCTGACTTTCAATTAATTTGTAGGAAACCCTTATTTCAGCTACATTCCTTTCATGTAAGCATTTTATATAACTCTCATCAATAGAATTTATGTAAATATATTTAAAGAGATCCTTTGACATTTCTTAATATAGACACACTTTAAATACAATTATCGTAATATTGCATGCAAAATAGGACTCCATTAGATTCTTGTAATTTTACAAAAAAAAAAGCGCCTTAAATAGATACTAATACGATACCTGACGATTTAGGCGGAAAAATATTTAGATCTTATTTTATAAAAAGTTGTAAAGTGGAGATAGTATTCATACTAAAAAACTTGGTAAGTTTATAAATATAAATATAATTAACTAATATTGTCAATATATTTTTATGAATTATATTATATCCTATTTTATTACTATAGATAACATAATAGCTAAAGATATTATCTAAGATATTCCTACTCTTTTGTTTTTCAATATATATTATATTTTCCTAATTATTCCAAGTTTCAATTATAAACAATATAGACTAAAAATGATTATGTTAACTATCTATAAATAGTAATTAAGTTTTAAGTTTTGATTCTTTTTTATAGTATTACTGTAATATCTTAGTATCTATCTATATATTAGCATTACAGCTGAAATCTCTTTATAAATATTCGAAATTATTATTGTATATTTATTGTTTAAAATAAAGTATTTCATTTTTATAATAAAATATTTTTTTATTTATTAAATTGGCTTTTTTTTTATATTACTACTAATATGATAAATGACAATAATATAAAACAACTCAATAAATTAAACATTAGTTTTTGTAATAATGTACTATTAAAAAATATATTCAAAATTTTTTAAAATTAATTAAAATATTAAATTTGTTTTTTATTTATATCAATATATAATCTTTTATCAGGAAATACATTATAGAATTCTATCTCATTATTGTCAAATTCCTAATACTTCAATAGTTTATTGTATTCTATAATATATATTATATTTGGGTAATAATATCATCTTACTAAACTATAAGATTTTAAAATATAAAATTATAGTTAATTTAATATATTTTTATATTCATATCTGCATTATACTTGTAAAAATAGTTATTTAATAAAATATTTAGTTAATATTATAAATCAAACAAAATATTTTACTTTTTTTATGTTATATTATCTTTAATTTTTATTAAATAATATATATAAGATAAATTATTCAAGATACTACAAATATCTTTTAATATAATCAAATCCCTTTTTTTATTTTATAGTAATATTGAAATTAAGCTTAACATTATCAATGTAAAGTCGAGATATCTATAGTATATATAAAAAATTTTAATAAAAAAGTGTTTGATTTATTGTTTATTAATTCTCAGATTTATATAGTCCCAATTATATATGTTACTTTAACAAATTTAGATTATTGAGAAATTTACACCTTTTATTAGCTTTAATCAAATTGTGAAATATTAAATGATATATCCTTTTTAAAAATAGATTTAAATATTACTAGAATATCATGTATATAAATACTTTAAAATATTTATTAAATAGTTTCCTTGTATATTTTATATATTTTATATTGTTAGATATATTAAATCAGTATTCTTATTTTAGTTATTAAATTTTCATTTAAGTTATTTAAATGATAAGAAGTGTTCTAAGATTTTATATAATTAAATAAAAGGAATAATTGACAAATTCGTTATAATTTTAATATGTAATATTTTAAAATAATCTCCAACATTTTCTATTTATTTCTTATTTTTTTCTTTATAACATCAAATAATGTGATACCCCCTTAATATCATGAAAGTATTATAATTGTTAGTTTGGTATATAAATATAAAAGATCCCCTAAATAAAGCTTAAGCTCAATAATTTAGGAAAAGTTTATCTACAATATTTCTGTTAACTTATTCTTACCAGACTTTCCTACCATAAAATGTTTATTTTTACACCATATACTTAGCGCCATGAATGGTACTCAAGTTGCATCATTTATTTGGCGCTATAGTGTTACTCAAGATGCACCATTTAAATAAATATCCATCTATTTAGGCGCTGTTACATTTGAATATTAGTGGTGGGGAGAGGAAGTGGGAGTAATACTAAGGAGATATTGGAAGATTTTAAGATTTGTTAGCCTATATATTAAAAGAAACATTAAAGACTATCTTCTAAGTTTTGATTTAGTTTCATAAATTATATATAATAATTTTGTATATTAAAAGTTGGTTTTGAAGTACGAAGTAAAATACGTCTTCTACATATTTATCCCGTATATAATCTAAGATGCACGAATATGAAAAAAATTGTACTCTAATAGTTCCACCAATTGTTGGTGGAAGTCCACCATCTTCAAATGAGTTACAGAAACGACTAGAAAATCCTGATGATATGGAGAAATGTAGAGCATTACAAGAATTAATTATATGGATGATACATGGTGAAGCATATAAAAGATTATTAATGACAGTTATTAGATATGTAGTACAAAGTACAAGTCATAAAGTTAAAAAATATCTTCAATTATATTGGGAAATTGTAGAAAAATGTGATAATGATGGGAATTTAAAAGAAGAAATGATTCTAGTTTGTAATGCTTTACGTAATGATTTACAACATCCAAACGAATATATACGTGGTTCAACTTTACGACTACTATGTAATTTAAGATTTTTAAAAATTATTCAACCTTTGATTGAGGCAATACTTGCAAATTTGGGAAATAGGCATTCATATGTTAGACGTAATGCTGTAATGTGTATATACTCCATTATTCGAACTTTTGGTATTGAACTTATACCTCATGCTACTGATGAGATAGAAAAACTCCTTTTAATAGAAGGAGATGTATCTACGAAAAGAAATGCATTTCTTGTATTAACGAATTGTGATGTTGATAGATCACTAAGATATATTCTATCAATTCAAGATAATATCCCTTATATGGGAGACTTTGTGCAAATGGTTTTACTAGAACTTTTCAGAAAAATATATCGTGGATATCCTCATCATAGAAATACTCTACTTCAATTAATTGTAAATATTGTTCAGTATGGATCCCCTGCTATTGCTTTTGAAGGAGCAAATACTTTAATTACAATTGGATATTCTACATCTACAAATTCAATAAAGACAGCTATACAAGCATATATTAATTTACTTTTAACTCATTCTGATAATAATGTGAAATTTATGATTTTAAGTCGATTATCTCAAATAACTCACCTAACATCAGTATTGTATCTACTACAACAGTACTTTATTCTTGATATTCTCAGAGTATTATTGTGTACTACATCACAGTCAATACTTATTAAAATTTTAGATATGATCTTATCATCTTTATTAACAAAAGATAATTGTATGGAAACATTTAATTTTTTAATGAAACATTTACAAACTATTAATTCATCATTTTCTAATTCTTCTACACAATCTGAGGTCCGGCAACTTCAACAATCTCAATTGACTGTGTTAAGATCTCTACATTCAATTACTAGAAAATATCCACAGATTACTTCTCAACAATTATTTGAAGTTTCAATCAGTTATCTTGGTAATAATGATGCTATTTTTGTTAATGAAGTAATGCAGTTTTTACGTGAAATGGTCATTAGTCATCCAAATTTGCATTCAGAAATTACTCAAAAATTACTTTGCCAATTAGTATATATTCAATTTAGCAAACCAATTAGAACTTGTTTATGGATAATAAGTGAATATAAGGGCCATGATAAAGAAAGTATTCAGAAGATTGTTGATATGATTTACAAACTTTTAATACCTTTACCTCTTCATATTAAATGTAACCATAGAACAGACGAGTCAAAAATAGAAAAGATTGAAAATAATTCAAATGTTGTTACAAAAACAATTATCTTAGAAGATGGTAGTTATGCTACTCAAGATATTATTAATCATTCAATAGAAAATACTTCAAAAATTGACAATATTAATAATTTTAATATAGACAATGAGAGTTATCTTAGAAAATTAATAACAAATGATAATGATTTACTTTTAATAGCATGTCTTGGAGTTTCTTTAATAAAAATTATTCTTATTCCAACATATAACAATAATGAAATTAATCTTCCAATACATACATATAACCAAGCTCTATATATGATTGTTTGCTTCTTAAAATATAGTATTAATGAAAAAAGTAGTGGTGGTTATATGAATGATACTACCAGAAGACTAAGACAATGTTTACATACTATTAAATCTATATACAATAATATTGAATCTGGTGGATCAAATGAACCAACAAGTAACATTATTAAACTTCGTGATGAATTATTTTCAACAGGAGATAATCTAAATTTTGATAATTCAAGTCAAACAATATCTCAAATAGGTGATGAGTATGAGGTTCAACATGAACCTATAAAAGTTAGGCAGCCATTTACAACTTTAAATTTTAGGCAATTAAAGGAAAAGGTGATGCTAAGTGGATATGATTTATTACAAGTTGAAGATGATATTGATCAATATGAAGATCCTTTCAAGATATGTACCAAAAATCCAAATAATACAGATATTATTGACTGTAATTCTCTTAAACGTATTTATCCAATTACAGGCTTAGATGATCCAGTTTATATTGAAGTTATTGTACAAGTACAACAACATGATGTGCTTTTAGAATTAATTATTATGAATAGAGCTAATACAGCTTTACAAAATATCCAAATTGAAATATATCCATATGGAAATCTTCAAATAGTTGAGAAACCACAAAATATTAATCATCTAGATCCTTCTGAAGTGGTACATTTGTATTCAACAGTACAAGTTCAATCTATTGAAACTGGCATACTATTTGGTTTTGTTACTTTCCAATTAAAACCAAGTGGAAATAGCCAACTGAATACAAATATTTATTCTAATGATACAGTAGTCTTGAATGAAATAAATATAGATTTAATTGATTTCATTTCATGTAAGACAATACCTCCATCATTATTTAGACAACTCTGGGCTGAATTTGAATGGGAAAATAAAATACCAATACATACATTTTGTACTTCATTTGTGCACTTTTTGAAATTCATAATGTCACAAACAAAACTTTCATTGATTGGTGTCAATCCAAATGACATTAATGACACTGATTCATATATAAATAAAATGAGTGAGAACTCCTCATTTTTTGCTGCTAACTTGTATTCTAAAAGTATATTTGGAGAAGATGCCTTAGTTAATATCAGCTTAGAGAAACAGCATACTTCAAATAATTCAAATGAAAATAAGACTATAATTGGTACTGTCAGAATACGTAGTAGAACCCAAGGTATTGCACTTTCTTTAGGAGATCGTATTGTTTCTATTCAACGCAAAATACCTTCAGATACATCTAATTTTAATTGTAATCAACTTCTAAATATCAACTTTATAGAGATACTTTAGATACTGTTTTAACTAATCTATTATTTTAGAACTCAATGTTTTTTTATTAATTGATTAATTCAAGTTAATTATATATAGTTTAGTATATCTATTGTAATATAACTAATATTTATTTACATTAAACTTATTTCCGGTAATTTAATTTCTTTATATTTCTTTATTACTTCATAATCAGTAAATGATTCTAAGTACTTTGGGCTATAAGTTCTATATAATTCTTGTAATCTCTCAATATATATTTTATGGTATTTCTTAATCTCATCCCTTGGTGGGTTTTCTGGAAAATATGGAACTTCTATTGGACTTCCAATAACAACTAAAAGTGGTACATTTTTTTTTGGTAAAAATGGTAACCACCAATAATCACCATAAGGAAAAACTCCAGGTATACTAAATTTATTTAGAAATAATCTCAAATTCCTTGCAAATCTTGTGTTATTAAAAGTTAAACATTCTCCAAATACATATACAGGACGTATTCTATAATTGTATTGCATACAATATTTTATAAAACCATATCTATTCTTTATATATATTTCATCCACACCCCAATCCAAAATTGTTGATTCCTGGAATCCACCTGGAAACATAATTAAGGGACTTTCTTCTCTTTTCATTATATTTTTAAATGAAGTGTGACTAGCTCCACGTAATGTTGCAAACATACTTAATATTGACCAAATTATAGGTTGTAACCATATAATAGCTTCAGTTACTATAACATAAAGTTTTTTAAAAATATTACTTTTAACAATGTTCATTAAGCCAATGCTAGTTACTCCATGAGGATGAATACCTAGCAGCTGTTTTTGATTTTTTTTAAAATCAGGTGATTCTACAATAATTTTACAAGGACCTATATAAAGGGAAATTAATTAAAAATGTTTAAAATTACCAGATGATACAAATTAATAGCACATCTTACCTGTCCAATTGTTCATATCAGTAATTATCAATAAAGAAAATTTCTTAAATATATATGGAAGTTCTGGAAGTGTCCTAATATAATAAGAAAATAAAATAAATGCCACAATTGTTAACAGCAATATTTTTTTTTTGTAATAAATACATAGAACTAAAAGAAATGGAACTATAGAACTTGATATCCATATAAATAGAAATAGTATATAACAAAAGCCACCATATAGTTGAATAAGCTTAGATTGAGAGATAGGTATTTCAAAAGTCTCTATTTCCTTATTATAAACCATTCCTCTACTTCTTGAGTTTTCTTTAAGTTTCCTTATTAATAATATTCAATAAATATTATCCACATTATAAATGCATGTAATATTTAATAAAATTGAATACGCGGTAAGAATTGACATGCATAAAATTCATCTCAAAATATTAAATATGAATTAAAAAACTTCAAAATCAACACATAAAATAAGTGCAAATATCAGGAAAAGTAACGTTTTAAAGTGTTTTCATATATTTGAATTACAAATAAGTCAAATGAAATTGATGGCTGAATAATTGAAAATATAACTTCAGCAACCTGAATAATCTTTACTGGTTCATTACGTCCTTTGACCAAATGAGATTTAGTCCACTTTGCAGGTTTTTGTACTTGATGAAAATGAGTTTTAACAAGTGGAAAGCTAGCATGAGTTGGTTTTATTTCGCACCATGGTGAATCTGCAATAAAATATTAAGTTTCTTTGTTTGGGAATTAATTTTCTTTTTTTAAGATAATATAAAACTTACCAGTTTCAATATGGAGCCTGTCTAATGGTATATACTTTAATAATTCAAGATTATGTTGTGTTTTAAGTGAACATCCATTTATTCCAATATCTAAACCAATATTTAATAAAGAATCTAAATCCTGTTTAGTTCCAGTGAATGAATGAGCTACAGCACCTTTCTCAATCCATAAATGTCTATATTTTTGAAGAATATAAGTTACTTTTAGTACACATTCGGAATCACCACGAATATGAAGGAAAAGTGGTAATTTGAAATTTTCAAGCAATGATAATTGAAATTCAAAATATTTTATTTGTATTTCTATTGGGCAAAATTGAGTTCTATCTGAGTCTAGTCCAAATTCTCCAAGAGCTACAACTCTATTCCTATTGGATATTATAATTTGTTTTAATTTATCAAGATATTTATTAGCACAGTCACAAAATGAATCCTTGCAGTTATTAGTATTTTTACATGTTAATTCCTTAAATAAAACAAAATGAAGTTATTATTTAAGAATATAAATTAATAATTAACAGTGAAACTTACCTGTGCTCTTGTTGGATGAACTCCAACAGTAATATAAAGAAATTTACAATCAGGATCATGAATTTTACATAATTCTAATGCATCAATGCAATCTTGTAAACAACCACATGTAATTATGATTTTTTTAAGGCCATTTAAGCGAGCTCTTTCAATTATACTATCATTATTTATAAAACATTAATTCATTATAATATTAAATATAATTTGAGACTAATTGATCTTACTCTGATATATCTGGTAAATGATATGATTTACCATGGTATATACCCTGGAATACAGGGTCAGTTAAATTTGCTCCAATATCAATAAAGCAAAAGTTATTCATAATTCAAATAATATATATTAGATGTTCTATAACATCAGTATACCGCATTTATAAATAGATAGTATAAACTATAAACAATTTTTCTGGAAAAAAAAGGGAAAATCGGCAAAAAATAGAAACTAAGTATGAACTAAGAGATATCATCAAGATTATTTGAGAAAATTAATAAGTCAGTAACTCATAATTTTTTTTATATGGCCCTTATTATAGTATTAGTAGAATCAAGATTATATTATGAATTAAATCTAGATAAAATTTTATCTTATATATTTAGCTATTAAAATCAAAATATTTAAGGAGAAAAAAAAATTTGCAACTATTTAAAATAGTATTACTTCTACAATAATGGTATCTAAAAAATAAAGAAGCGGTATATTATGGGGCTTAAGAGTACCGGATATTTGTGTGGCAAATCGGGTAATATAAGGAAAAGTAAAAAAAAGGAATAGGACTGGAATATAAAATTAAAAATAATATAATGTCAGGCATTTTATTTGATCAATTATCTTTATCAGTCCTAGATCGTTCATTTTTAAGTTTTTTAAGAAACTTTCGAGATAGGGAAAATTTTCCAAAATATGTAAATCAAGCTGAACAATTGGTTACATCACGCTTATCACATACATTATATATAGATATTAATGATTTATTAAATTATTGCAATAATCAAGAAGTTATTGACGAAGATACAATTGACAATCCGTCATTACTAAGTGGACCATCGCTTTTATCTTTAATAACTGAATATTATGGTGAACTTAAAGATGCAATTAATGGCCTTATAACTTCATTTTGTCACAGTTTAATAATAAATAATGAAGGAAATAATCGAGCTGGTACATCTGCAATTACATATTCAGCTTCATTTTATGGTTTACGTTGGATTGAAAGTTTAAGGACTCTTAGATGTGAAAAGCTAGGGAAATTAATAAGTGTACGTGGTACAATTACGAGAACATCTGACGTAAGACCAGAATTATTAAAGGGATGTTTTGAATGTGAAATTTGTGGTAATATTGTAGATAATGTAATACAACAATTTGTATATACGTTACCGGTAGTATGCCCTACTAAAGGATGTGGAAATCGTACAGCATGGCAACTCAAATTAGAACATAGTGATTTTGGAGACTGGCAAAAACTACGTATACAAGAACATGCTACTGAAATACCTCCAGGTTCTATGCCAAGGTCAATGGATGCAATATTGCGTGGTGATTGTGTAGATCGTTGTAAACCAGGTGATAAAGTTATATTAACTGGACAGTTAATTGTAGCTCCTGATATACCTTCATTAATGAAACCAGGTGATGTTCCCTCAAGTGTTGTAAAAGATAGAGCAAGAAATCGAAACAATGATTACAGTGGTATTAGTGGTTTGAAATCACTAGGCACACGTGACTTAGGATACCGTTTATGTTTTCTAGCATGTCATATTGAAACAGTTAATGCAGTTGCATCATTGGATGATGGTAGGATATTAGAAAGTTTAGTAAATTCAAATAATATATCAAGCCATGGAAATATATTATCAGATATAACAAATAATTCGGAGAATTCAGATCCATTAAAACTTTTAAATATTAGTGAAGAGTCTTATAAAAAATTTGTTGAAATAGCACAACATCAAAATGGACTAAATTTGTTAGCAAAGTATATTGCACCACAAGTGTTTGGTTATCCAGATTTAAAAAAGGGTATTTTACTACAATTAGTTGGTGGTGTAGAGAAAAGAACAAAAGATAATATAAAATTAAGAGGTGATATTAATGTTTGTATAGTAGGTGATCCATCAACAGCTAAAAGTCAAGTTCTACAATTTGTTCAGAAATTTGCAACAAGGACAGTTTATACTTCTGGAAAGAGCTCAACAGCTGCTGGTTTAACTGCATCAGTACATCGTGATTTAGATCAAGGTGATTTTGTTATTGAAGCAGGAGCATTAATGTTGGCTGATAAGGGAATTTGTTGCATTGATGAATTTGATAAAATGGATGATAAGGATGTAGTAGCAATACATGAAGCTATGGAACAGCAGACTATTTCAATTACTAAAGCTGGTGTATTAGCAACATTAAATGCTAGAGCTTCAGTATTAGCAGCATGTAGTCCAATTGGTGGTCGTTATAATCCATCAAAAACTTTATCACAAAATGTTAAGATATCTGCACCTATTTTATCTCGTTTTGATCTATTTTTTGTTATGATTGATGATCCAGAAGAGGTTTATGATGAAGTTTTAGCATCTTTCATTGTGAAATTACATGCATTAGCAGTTAATAATCAAACTGACATTAAAGGTAAACAAATTGATGAAGCAGACAATAATATGAATTTGTTGCAATTAAATCGTGCAGAAGTAGCTCAATATATTGCATATGCTAAAACTTTTAAACCTACAATTACACTTGCTGCGAAATTAATATTAGTTCGTACATATCAAGCATTACGTATGAGTGATACAACTACAGGAACAAGAGCTATGAGAATTACTGTTAGACAATTAGAAAGTCTTATACGTTTATCTGAAGCTATTGCTAAATTAAGATTTTCATATGTTGTTACATCAGAACACGTTGAAGAAGCATGTTCAGTATTTAAAAATTCTTTAAGTAAAGTAAGATATGGTGATATTGATTTATGTGAAATGGATATTGATGATGAAGAACATGTTGAAAATGAACATATCAATGAAGAATCTAATCAAGATATATCCAAATTATCAAAACAAAGTAATAATACAATTGGCTATACAGAATATTTCAAAATAGCTAGAAGAATGGTTGACCATGTACTAGATATAGAAAAAGATTCTGGTGAGGCAAGTATAGAAGTAACTGACTTAATATCATGGTACATTAGTGAATATGATCATCCTCAGAGTGAAGATGAACTTAGTGAATTAGAAAGACGATATCATAGAGCTATCTTACGTATGATTCATCGTGATATGATATTCTATATAGCTCATCGTGAAGAAATAATACAGGAAGATTTAGGTAAAGATTCCGAAATTTTGACAAATGATAATAATGAACCAATTATTAGAACATTTATAAGGGTTCATCCTAATTATATACAAAATACCGATCTTAATAGTGACAATAAAATAGCAAAACATGCAGATTTTGCATATCGTACATTTGGTGAAACAGAAAGAGTTGAAGTTAATAACATAAATGATGTAGATATACTTGAACTAAATCAAAATTTGGAACCTGAAGATTTCTTACAAGATAATATAGAAAACATAGATAGTGGAAATATAGAAGTAGATCCTTCACTTTTTGATGATTTTGATGAGAAGTCCTCACAAAATGATATAACAAGCCAAAATGAAGTATAATAAATATATTAATTCTGTAGATCTATCTCACAAAGATTTATTATTAAATACTTCAAATTTATAAGTAGCATTTTCATAGCATTATTCCAAGTTTGCTTATCATTAAATAATAAGTTATAACTAACACCATCAATTGTATTCATATCATAATTAATAATAAAAGGTAATTTGTCACTACAATTCATATATTTAGCAATATTACTTATATTAGATAACAAAGCTTTAATTGCACTATCAAATTTGATACATTGGTTATAATTTGAATTTGCTGAAGTATTCCCATAAAGTGGTAAAATTGAATATTCTTCCTTCACAAAATTAGATAAATATTCTGGGATACATCTATCAGTAATAGTTGAGTAATTACCATATGGATTTAAAGTAACTTCAATATTTAACTTCTCAGCAATACAACATAATAGTAAACTTGTATAACCTAATGCACCATTTATCTCTCTCCAGTTCTCATCTGAATTATCTAATAAACCTAAACGTAAATTATTTATAGTACCTATTCCATTTATTTGATTAATATAAAAAGTAGTATTGAATATATTAATCTTTCTTAATAAGTCTACATGATACTGCAAAAATTTTATATCACTATTAGTTCCATCAATTAATCTCTGTATATATTCTAATTTAAATATATTATTCAATCTTATCTCTTTCTCTTGTCTCTTAACTAAAATTTCAAAATAATCTAAATTGTCATGTATACATTGATTAAAATTACATTTATCTGGTAAATCTTTTTCATTATCAAATAAAGAATCTTTAATTAATGAATCTATTATAGAAATATCCTCAACAGAATAATCAATATTTCCAATTAATAAATTTAATGTCTTTGTTTCATCAATTGTTTTATTTAAATTTAACTCAAATTGCATAATTAATTTATCAATACATTCAACACAAACGGACTCTTCAATATTCTCTTTTGGATTATCATAACACTCAAGAGTCACTTCCATAAATTGTAAAAAATAATTTTCCAATAGATTAGAATAACATTCATCTTCATCATCTAAAAATGAATCCAAAATTGAGTGCAAATTATCATTCTCATCTTTGCTTATAATAACTGAAAAAATTATATTACAACAACAACAAATTCTTAGAATAGATTTCTCATTATCTCCATCATTTCTTATTTCAGTTTTATTTTTACTTTTATCCTTAATATTTGAAAATATAAACATTCAATAAGATTATATTAATAGCTTTAATATAATACCGGTATTAGTAGATACCAAATATATAGCGCCTTAAAGCGCCATATACTTTGTTTTATCTATAATCTTTATTCTTGTAAAAAAGATATGCAAAATATTCCAAAAGTACAATTTGTACTTTTCAGAGACAAAGATAATAATTCTAAGAAAAATTATAATCATCCAAACAATGAAGATGTAACTAAATCATTTCTACCTGAGAATATCTTTGATATTGATAATAACCAAGAATATAATAATGAAGTAACTAAAAGAAATTTTATTACAAGTCTTAATTTATCAGATAATATAAGAAGTGATGAAGAACATCAAATTAATAATAATTCAGATCAAGATTTTATCATTAAATGTAGAAATCCAATACTAAAAAGTGAATCACATACCTCTAGATCATCAAGCTTAATTCCACTACTCTTAAAACGTAAAAATCAAAAACAAAATGAAGCAAATGACTCTTTATCTAAGACATCATCTGAATTAGTATACTTAAAAGAATCTAAAATACCTATAGATTCATTTGGGATGGCAATGTTAAAAGGTATGGGCTATGACCCTTCTATACATAAAACAAGACCTAAATTATACAAAAAGCGAACATATGATCAAGGAGGTTTAGGTAGTGATCTTATAATTGATTCATTATTTCAAGATAATTTAGATTTATGGATTATGCCTAAACTAATTGTTAAAGTTATTTCACGGAAATATGGCAATCATTTATATAATAATCTTGTAATTATACATTCAATTCATTATAGTAACACTGATTCAGAATGGTATGCTAGAGTATTGGGACCTTATAATAATATTAATGAATTACTTAAAAATTCTATTTATATTCAAGATCTTATTGAATATATAAATAATTCAAATGATATAAATGATTTAAATAATACTAAGATTCTTAAATTAAGTAATGAATATAATACTTCACAAATTAATAGGCAAATAAACATAATTGTAATTAAACAAAATCATCTATCTCCTTTTAAGTCAACTACCTACTGTAAACAAATCGAAATTAAAAAAGGTAAATATGTCAATTTTAAGTGTTGTATCTTATGATAATAATCTCAAAAACGAGAATATTATAAATCTTTTTATAAAGTATAAATACTAATTAATATCTGAATTCTTATAAATATTTATTATTATATGGAAAATAGATTTATTAAACTGTTTAATATACTTATTATATTATTATATACTTGTATTCAATGTATTGATGAAGATAGTCTTTCATATATTTCAAATATCACTGATATAAATCCAAGTAAACGTAAATTATTACCAGTAGTTTCAAACTTTGGTAATCCACAAGTTAATCAAATAAGAGCTACTTCTAATAATATCCCTAATCCATACATTAATACAGAATCATCCCATACTGGAATAAATAATAATAAACAATTATCTCGATTTGGATATTTTGATGAATTTTCATATTCAAGAAATTCAAATTATTTTAAAGATGATACAAGAAAAAAAGTAAATGGAATACCATTTACATTATTACACTCTTTACGTTTAATTCTTGCAAATAAGATTATACGCTACAATCCTATATTATACCCATTTCAAATTGAGTTTCAAAATATAAGTTCATGTCTTTGTGATTTAAAATTGGATGAAATTGGAAATCAAGCATCTATAGATTTCAAAATAAAAGGACATGAGGATAATAATAATAATTGGAATCAAGAAAATATGAATTCTAATAATTTATATAGCTCATATATATCATTATTACCACCAAACTGTCAATGGAATAATATTTTTAATTCAACTTATGGAGATTTTGATAATTTAGCTAGTAATAACAGTTATTTTGATCCTAGAAATAATAATTCTAAAATTAAATATACTAATTTACTTGGTATAGAAGTGAATGATGATTTTGTGAATGACTCACTCAAAGTATTAGAATCAGATTTAAATAATATAAATAAAACAAATAATATAGAGAATATTACAGATATAAACAATGATATAGTTATACCTAAAAATATAACCGATGATTTATATTTAAATACTAATAATAGTAACTTAGATCAATCAAAAGAATATAAATTTCATTCAAAAGTACTAATAGAATCTCCAGATCATCTTGTTCAATGTATATATAGGATACCACTTGATTTAACCCCTTTTAGTAAGAATTACAAATACTATAATAATAATATGGTCTTAAATGATTCATTAACTAATATAAACACTCCATTAGTGGAGAATGATAATAATAAATCTAATTTCTTATCATCATCATGGTTAAATTATTTATCACCAGAATCACCAAAGTGGTTTGAATATGATTTTACAAGCGACAAAGATATGGAAGTATCTACTGATGATAATAAGTATAATAAGTTTACTATTGAAGGATATTGGGACTTAATTAGATCTATTCCATTACAGGTACTATTAAGTTTGAACACCTCAGATCCGTTGACATATATAATGTGTACAAATACATCAGAAACCTTGAATAAGTTTTTAACAGATAATATAAATAATACTAATTCTAATGATAATAATAATAATAATGAAGATCCTTTAAACAACCCGAGTATCTTTTCATTAATGTCAATTGTACCATATAATGAGTCTTATTGTAGTCGTCCAACAGGTGCACAGTTAAAGATGTTTGGATTTTGTCCGAGCATAACCAATTCTAAATATGATGAAGAATTACAAAGCTGTATAAAGATAACATATACAGATGCAATTTCTGTATGCCCACAAAATTATCGTCATTCTAGATTAGGGGGATCACGTAATGGAATTGGTGGATGTCATGTAAAACAAAGAGTTGATATACCAGCAACAAAAACTTGTGATTTTCCATATACATATAATCAAGCAAAGGAAATATGTGAATTGAAAAAGTATTATCCTGGTTTTCCTGGTTGCTCTAATGGTAGTACATATTACAATATAACAACTTGTATAGTAGCTTATCAAATTTTAAAGGAATATGAATGTCCAGATGGTTATGAAGCATTAGATGATTCAGATTTTAATCAAGGGAATAATCCATCAGAATATAATAAAAGAATGGAAACTTTACAAGAATATAGAGAAAATTATTTACATGAATATACAAATAGATCATATTCATATAATTTACCACCAATGACTCGAATTATTGATATTAATGAACAAGGTATCCAAAGTCGTTATCCAAGCTTAAAATTGAATCATTCTAAAACTCACATTACATGTAGAAAACGTATTATTGAACCATGTGAATATGATTATTTGGGAATTCCATATTGTAAAAATAATATATTTAAAATTAAATACGATTATGTATATTCCTACATGTTTGAAGATCGTCCTATTCCACAATGTATTTTTGATGATATTGTAAAAGTTGAATATAAATGCCCAGAAGAAAGTATACCTTATGAAATTCATATTGCAAATGGAAATAATCCACCTATTATATTTACAAAAGAACTTGGTAATCCATATGATACATGTATAATAACTGAATTCATTCCTATACAACCTAAATGTATAACATCAGATCAAACACCTTATATTTTAATAAAACCACAATTGTCACCATTTGAAAAAACAGGAATACATATTGTAACAAATGAAGATATAGAAAATCTTAATCCTGATGAATTACAAGAAGTATATGATATTATTGATAATTCATTGTTTGATGAAAATATTGATAATAATTTAATAAATAATTTAGATAAAAATGAAAATTCTGAAAATATTACAGTAGCTAGTAATAATAATCCAGATCTTAGTAATTTCACTGGAAATATAACAGAGGATCATATTTTGAACAAAAATTGTATTAAAAATAATACAGTGAATAAAAATAAAGAAAGTGATATAAACTTATTTAATGTATCATCAAATATTAAAGAACCGATTAATCAAATTAATAATACTCAATTCTTATATATAACTCAACAAAATATTAATTCTAGTCAAAATTATACATTAATAAATCTAAATCATAACAAATATATTGGAATTAGTAAAGATGATACATTTAATTCAAATATAGAATCATCTGTTAATATATCAGATCACTATACAAATTCATCAAAATCAAATATTAAATCTGAATGTAATCAATCAAATATATTAATATCACAATTACCAATGGAAATAAAAATGGAAATAAATAAAGATTCTACAACTTTAATATCTAATTTTAGTGAAACTAATCATGAATATCAATATGAAGTATTATCAAATACATCTATGCTATTTGATCAAGAATTATCACCATCATATTTATTTAAATTATTAAATAATATTGAAAATAGAAATAATTTTTCTAATAATCAAATAGAAGAACCAAAAATTCGTCTTTCTGATGCTATTTTAGGTAATACAGATTATATTATTCAAATATATTGTAGTGAAGTTATTACTGCAAAACCATATTTGTCATGTCCTCAAAACAGTAATTTGATTAAATCTAATCTTTGTAGATTACATGGATATACTGATTATATTCTTCAATGTCCAGATGGTTATGTTTTAGATAAAGAAGCATTAATGCTAATACCAGTTGAATATTATAGAAAAGCTCCACCAAGATGTGTAGGTAAACAACTTGTATATACTCAATATTATTGTCCACCAATGTTCCCAGATCAAATTGATAGACCATTTATTTTAAATAAAACTAATTATACCAATGATAAATCTAAAAATGTAGATAATTATCAAATTAATAATATTTCACATATTCAAGATTTTGAGGATCAATATATTAATCACTCTATTAATAAATATAATAATAATCAAATTTCAGAAAGTAGTTCATTAAAAAATAATACAGAAAATATTATAGGAAGGACAATAATTCCATCATATAGTCAAAAAATTTGTCATGAAGTTGATATTATTGAACCAATATGGAAAATGCCAAATTTATTAATTTTATTACTTAAGAATATTAAGAATTTCGAAGATCAATTAAATAATGAGATTTAAACACTTTATGATCTAATTTATTTTAGACAAACTTTTTCTTAAAAAAAAAAAAAAAGGGAATTTCAATTTATAATGTAATTCTACTAAAATATTTAAAGGTTTGGATATCTTAAAATTCACTAAAATTTGTTTATATTGTAAAGTTTGCATGCATGTATATAGATAATAATCTTTCGTACTTAATTACACATGGACTAAAAATTAGCATGCATTTATTACGTAAATTTGTGGGTATAAATAACTCAAATTTCATTCCGGTATCAGTCAAAATAAAATTTAATTTTTACATTTCATTACAGATAAAATCAAAACTTTGTCGTATTTTAGATTTAAATATTTTTTGTATAAATATGAATTCAATACATTTCAGTTTATTAATATTATTCATATATTGGCCAATAAATTGTCTTGCTGGTAGTGGGCATCATCATCCAACTATATCCATCGTAAATGTAGCAACACCAATTTGCCCATCTGGTTTTAATTTAGAAGCTGGAAATATATGTGTTGGATTTGAAGAATTACAACCTGAAAGAATTTGTACTAATGGTGCAACATTAACTAGTGATCTTATGTGTCTTAATACAATATCTCCAGTAATGCATTGCCCTATAAATTATTCATTAATAGGGGAAAATATGTGTCAAAGAGTTATTGAGACTCCACCTATTGCTGTATGTCCAATTGGATTTACAATTACTGATGGACAAATGTGTACTGGTAGCAAGACTATATCACCAATTAAAAGTTGTACATCAGGAGTTTTAGGTAAATCCCAAGATGAATGTATTGTTCAAAAAACTGTGAGCCCAATAGCTGAATGTCCAAGTAGTGAATATACTTTATTAAATAATAATCAATGTTCAAGAGAAATCTTATATGATTGTACACCACCGCCAAGAATTGCTATTGAAGGACATCATCATCATCATCACCACTATATTACAGCTATCCCAACTCAAGTAGTTGCACGTACATGTTCAAAAGTTGAAACTGTACCTGCAATATTAAATTGTCCACCAGGTAGTGTGAGTGATTCAATTAATTTTGGTTGTACAATAACAACAAGTACACAACCAATAGATATCTGTCCAGGTAATTCTATGATGTCAAATGGACAATGTGTAGAAGTAATAACAGTTCCAGCAGAACTTGAATGTCCACCAAAGAAAGTGCCAATACCAACAAAATCAAATGTCTATGATGGTAAATTCCATAGCCTTGAAAATGCAGAAGTAAATTCATTACAAAATATTCAAACATTGAATACAGATACTCAATATGCATATAATGATAGCCAAAGTAGTTTTATTCCTCAAGCGATGATAACAAGAAGAAAATTAGCTAAGAGAGGTCATCACCATCACTATATCCCAACAATCCCAGCTGCACCAACTCCAGTTGTATCCCAAAAGGTTATTGTACAACCACAGACAAAAAAATGTGAAGAATTTGAAACTATTCCAGGAGAACTTATTTGCCCAGAAGGGTTTACTGACAAGGCTGACAAGGGTCTATGTCAATCATTATTACCTGCTACTTTAAATTGCCCTGCTGGTTCAAAAATAAATGAAAGTGGTAAATGCATTAAAAGAATTACTGCTGAAGCAACAATTTTAACTCAACAACAACAAGTACTTCAAACATATCATCATCATCATCACTAATCATTAGAATAAGAGAATTTAATCATTAAGTAGAATGGTTAAAAAAAAAATCAGAAGCTTTGACTTCAAAATCAATTAGATATAAAAAAGAAAAAAAATTATTTATTACTATTATCTGTAAAATTATCCAATTGTTTTTTAGTTGCAATAGATAAAGATGTAATCCATTTCTCACAATCAGTTTCATTTGGACATCTTATTAAAAGAGATTTTTTTATAAAACCATGTTCTTTTAATTTTAATAAGAAGCATCTATTGCCATATTTCTCCTTTTTTTGTATTGATATAATATTTAATGCTATATTACAACTCCATAATGGCTTTTCATTATATTTAAGTAATTCTTCCATTTCCATGTCATCTCTTGAATTTAAAATATAAATATATTTATCTTTAGTTAAAATTAAATATCTTGATAACCATTTTTTTAAAAATAATTGATTTTTCTTAATTTCTATATGACCATGATATATCACTAAATTTGAATTAGGAAGTTTGGAATATACCATTAAAGATGTAATAAACTTTATTAAAGGTAAATCTGATACAACTGAATAATTTTTAGATAGTCTTATATCTGTAATAGGTATTGGAGGTGGTCTAAGTCCTGGTATTGATGTTACTATATCTATATTATTAGTTTTATCTTCAATTATTATATTCCCTTCATTATTAATTACATTATTAAAAACTTTCCCCAATTTTTGTATAAACTCAATATATTCATCTTGTATAAATAAAAAGTAATTTATTGTTTGTTGTACAGAAGATGCACGCCAAACCTCTAATTCCATCAAATTATCAATTGTAGTAATTAAGATATTATAAAATTTTGTTTGAAATTCTATAAATTTACTAGTACTATGTCTATATAATTGGTCATAATACCAAGTGTCTGCATTTTTATTTTTTTTTAAATGAATACCTTCTAATTCATTATTTTGTGAATTTTCGGCAACTTGTTCATATTCTAACCATGATTGATTAATTTCAAATACTACAAGTTCAAATTCTTTACGTGCTTTACAAAAATTTTTTAAGAAGTTATCAGCATTTTTCATATATCTATTTGCAATCCAACTTAAATGTCCATTTACTACATCAGCTTCTATACTATTAGCTAATTTTTTAATATAATTAGCTTCTTGTTCCCCTGAATAAGATAAAATAAATGGCCAAACTCGTTGTGTATTCATTGTACTAAAAACAGAAGAAACCAATTGAAGAGAATTCATATGTGAATTTAAATTATATTTAGATTGTGAATAGTTAGATTCATTTAATATATATGATTTTGAAGATGAAATTTCATTTAATTCTTCTATATCATTCAATTTATTTGGAAATTCTTTAGATGATATTTTATTTACTAATATACTCTTTACCCTTTTTTTAATACTACCTTCAAGACTTTGTGAATATGATCTCCACAATTTAGCTTTTAAATGTAATATAATAGCTAAATCTTGTGTTATTTGTATTGCTTCTAGAGTTGACTTAGATAATTCATTATATATAGGATTTAATAAACTTATAAATTGATGGGTTTTTTCTAATCTAAAATTTTCCCATTGCCTAAGTAATATAAAACTTTCATCTCCTTTAGACTCTAAAGACCCAGAGATACATTTATTAGATTTACATGATTGATCAAAAATGCTACTTTCACTTATTACAAATTGTGTCTTACTTTCTGAAATAGGATGATGTAAACTAGCTATTGATTCTTCTTCAAGGTTTGTAGATAGTTGTAAATTATCCATATTTCCCATTATTGTTGTTAATATAAATTAAATTATCCAATTTAATTTCTAAGATTTCTTTTTAATTAAATAATTAAGAGAAAATAAAAAACTTTTTAAATTTTTTCTTTTTTTTCTAATGAAATGACTCGAATCATAATAAAATCCTAATGAGGGTACTTCTAAAGTATAATATTTACCTCTTAATATATAATTTTATATAATATAATATTTATTAATTCATTTCTAATCATAATAAAAAAAAATATGTTTTGATTATTTTAGAAAAAGATTTAACTATGCATTATAATATTTCAGATCTCTTACGTCATTGCATGTAACTACCGGTATAAATATATCATCATGTGATATATTAAATAAATAATTAAAATTTTAATATATATGAAATTTCAAGTCTCCATATAATTCTTACATTCTTGAGTTTATTTTAAGTTATAAATTCTAAATTATAAAATAAGAAAAAGAGTAGTAATTTAAATATTAGATAATCTTATTTATATATATGTTATATATTAAAATATAAATAAGTAATATAAATATTCATATTTTGTATATAATTCCAAATTTACAAAGTAACTTGTCATAAGTCTACTTTTTAAATTACCTAATACCTAAATACTCAAATATAAAAAATAAAAAAGATGCACTGACAAAGCGGCCAAATAAACTAATAGTGATACCTTATACAGCTTTAAAATAATAGACTATACTAATTAATATTAAAAATCTTCTAATATACAATATGAACTCTGGAAATATTATGGATTTATACTTAAAAATTATAGATAGTAAGTTTTAAAGGATTTATCTATCATTATATTGAATATTTTACTTTTAATAATTATTAGGAACTATTGAGAAATCTAGAGGATTACAGGCACCAGAAGTTCTTGAGAAATTAAGACAAAAGTGGATATCTAAATTAAATGATTATTATTGTGATGTTGAGAAAGATCTTTCATATTCTATTGCTGAATCATGGAATTTAGAAAGTGATCATATCTATGTACCAAAACTTGAAGGAGTACTCCCAGTAAAAATTGAAACAGATAACTTAAAAAAACCTATGCCTATAATTACTTCAACAAATATTACAAATTTAGTAACTGTGGATGATAAATATGAAGATGATGAAATGAAATCAAAACGTATACGAAAAGATAATACTGATAACAAAGAACTAATTAATAATTCAGAAGTTCAAATAGAAAAAAATATTGTAGATTGTGAAAATCCTAAAACATCTGAGGTTCAAAGAGATCAAGTAAATTCTTTTGAAACAGATGAAGATGAATTTGGTGGAGTAGAATGGGATATTATACCAACTGCATCATCTCAATTATCTATTAAACATGAAGAACAAATTAACAAAGATAATGGTGAAGATTATACATATTCAGAACAAGGATCAAACTTAGATGATATATCTGATCTTGAAGATGAAGAACCTTTTTGTAATGATATAGTTGTTGGACACTTTGAAACTGTTGCTAGACCATATTCTCGGAAAAAAAATCAAAAAGGTAAATGGAGAATAAAAATAAGAAAAGGTATAGCTCAAATTGGTAATGAGGAAATATTTTTTGATACTCTTATAGGAGAATTTGATTTTTAATACTGGGAAATATTTAATTATATATATATATTATCATCTCTAAATATACAAAATTAATATCAAATATTAGTTTTTTTATACACAATTATATATAATTATATATTAAATGAATATTTTGATGGGAAATATTATTAAATAATATCTAAATTGAATTGATTAAAAAGAATCTCTTTTAAAGATGATATATATAAATTATTTTTAATCTGAAAAACTTACTAATACTAATTATATTTTAATATTTTAATTTATATTAACTTTATTTAAATTATATCTAGAAAATCACTTGATTTAATGTATTTCTTATTATTCAATATTTTATATTTATACTAAACTCAGATGACTAATTTAATTTAATATTATTAGTTTGACAGTTATCTAGTTTTTAACCCAAATTAAATTATATTTTTGATCAGTATCAAATAACTTAATAATATATTTATAATAATAAAAATTATTTATAAAGTTTATTTTTTAATATATGATTTTTTTTCTTATGTTTTTTATATTTTAAAATCAAAATCTAATTACGAAATATTTGTAAATTAATATATCTTATTAAACTACTTGTAATAATTTATGTAGCGTAATATCTAAGGATCACTCGTAAAAGTAATAAAAAGAAAAAAAAAGAAAAATAATTTAAATTAAAATGCCATTAATATATTCATTAATAGCTAGAAGTAAGTTAAATAAATATTTTATATATTATTATTGAACCTATAATTTTATTAATTAAACTATAAGAACAAACTGTCTTAGCAGAGTATACAGAAAGTATTGGTAATTTTTCATCTATTGCTAGATTACTTTTAAAACATATAAATAATAATAAGGCAGTAAAACAAACCTATACTTATGATCAATATTGTTTCCACTATATTATTAGTGATACTGGAATAATGTTTATGGTTATGACAGAAAAAGATTTTAGTATTGTAACTGCTTATGAATATTTATATGACATTATAGAAAGCTTTAAAAAATTTGAAAAACTTGCTATTAATTCTGTAACACTAGGTTTAAATAATGAGTTTTCCCCTATATTAAAATCTAAAATGGTAAGTTATAGTAAATTAACAATTAGTAAAATGTATGATATTACAGTATGATAATATATTATCTATATAAATATCTTAAATATTATTTAGTAAGACTAATGATAATATTATATTTTAAACTTAAACTTAATATTACTTTGTTTTCTGAAAATATGAATTTAGGAATATTGGAATTTGTATCAATTAAATGAATATGATAAATTAATGTCTCAGATATCTTCTATTCAACATATAATGATTGATAATATTGATATTTTATTGGATAGACAAGATAAACTTGATTTATTAGTTTCACAAACAAAAAATTTGACTAGTGAATCAAATAATTATCACAGACAATCAAGGAGATTTCATAATACAGCTAAATGGTGTGCAAGACCAAAAATAATATTTTTTTTTATTACTTTATGTTTCTCACTTTATTTAATAGCTGTATTTCAATGTAAGGGCTTCCTTTTACAAGGATGTTTCAATAAAACCTCCAATACCAATATAGAACATAATAAATCAACAAAAAATATATATGATAATATTCAATATAAATCAATATTGGATACTCAAATGTTAGATAATAATGATTCAGATATTCCAAATTTAATGGAAGATTACCTACCAGAAATAAATGAGGATATTTCTAAAAATATACAAAATATACCATTAGTTACTTCAAAATTGGATGATTTTGAAATAATACAATAATTCAGAAATATACAAGTTTAATGAACTAATAAATTTGATATTATTTAATATTAGTTTTTTTTTTCAATAAATTTTTTTGGAGAATTTGGTTTCCTGTTATTTAGGAGATTTACTTGGCTATTATATGATAAGCCAATTATACGTTTAAACCTTTTATAAGAAAGTAGAGCCTTACACTCTTGAATATTTAGTGATATTTTGACTTTTGCTATGCGTCCAAATTTATTTTTTTTTGGTAGGATTATTACTTCAAGTCTAGTCAAAATTGAATTTGGTTTACAGGTAAGAAAACATGGTGGATCGATAATGGGAACATGAGTTCCATATAATCTTGAAAAGGAATATAAAATAACAACTTTTTTAGATTTTTTATATTTTTTATTATAATATGAGCACATTTTTGGAAATATAATTCCAAGAACTGTTTCACCATTTGAGCTATCTATAATAGCCACACCTATATCATAAAATTGAGTCATATCTATTATATTACTTTGCTTATTTAAGTTTATATAAGCTTCTAAATGAGTAAAATTAGATGAAATATGCTTACATTTTAAGATACCATATATATATTGAGGATTATATCTTTGATCCATTATTTGTAATTGAATATATAAAGAATTAGTTTCCTGCAAAAATAATGGTGTCTCATTTTTAGTTATATTGGGATGATTTATATTTATACTTTTTATATGTTTATTAGATATATCTGTAGAAAATTTATATTGAATTTCATTAATATTCTTCATATATTCAGAATAATCTGAGAAGTAAAGTAAAACTGATGAATCACAATATCTATTATTTTGAGTCTGAATGGATGTCATATAGTCATATATTGTTTCAATTATCTGAGTAGTATGCAATGTAATTAAAAAAGTTATTTTATCTTCACTTTTCTCTAAAATAATCTGTAAACCTGCAAATACACTTATTGGAGACATAAAGTATTTCATCCCATATAAGTTTGATGAGTTTATATTTTCAGTATTTATTAAATAATTATGAAAAGGATTTTTATGATGATAAAGTAAAATATAGTTATCTTCATTTACAACCCCCCAAACTGCTATATATCCCATTATTATTTGACCCATTTCCCAATTTGGAATTCTACTTTGTATACATTCTGCTTTCAATGTAATATTTTGTGATGTTATAGATAATACCTCCATATTCCATATATAGCCATTCCCTAAACCCCCAAGATCTAGCTCTATTCTTTTTAGTTTGCGATATAATAGATTTTCATCAATACATCTATTATTTATTGTATTAGTTTCTTCTAAATAAGATTCTTGTTTACAATATAATATATCTTTAAAAGTATAATCTTGTTCTTGTACAAAAGAGAATCCACACATCCTTGAGTGCTCTACAATAACATCTTTTAATGAATTTAATAATATTTCATTATATTTATTCTGATTTTGTAAAAATTTACATAGATATGAATAATTTAGACATCTAAAATAGCTATACCAATTTATTTGTTTATTAAAAACTAAAAATTCTACTCTCAATCCAAACTTTTGAATAGCTACTTTGTACCAATATTTTTGATTCATATCCCCCAATAGTAATTTCCAGTCTTTATTTATTAATGTTAATTCTAGAACATCATCTAAACCTAAGTGATCTATTAAAATGTTATATATACCAGTATATAGAATTGATGAAAAGTGAACCATCACAAACCAACTAACCCAATAATTCTTATTATATATATTAAATTACATCCACCTGTTTACTATATTATATTATTTTTTTAACTCACTTAATTTAACTAAATTTGGGAAAATTTTGATTTTCAGATGTCCATTGGTCCGGGCATGCCTTTGAAATTTACCGCCATAAGATTATATCGCGCGCATCATCTCTAGATTATTAATCTAGAATTTCTTATTTTTGAAGATATAAATGACATATTAATAAATCCTCTATTAAATTTTCTATTATATCCTAGTAATAATATTATAAATATAACTATACCAGAGTGAAATATATATATACAAGAATATATAATGTATACATAAACAATCTATATAAAATTAGATCTCTATTCTATTAACTTTAAAATAAAATCTATTAATTATTAGTTCTTCGTTTATGTGAAATAATATTATAGGTATTAATCAATATATTAAAGTTATAATGTTGAATAATTGCTATTATTGTCTGTACCAGCAAAGTCAGATTCATTATCTATATCAACACTATCTTCAGTTAGTTCTACCCTAGATTCATTTGTGGAATTTTGTTCATTATTGCCTTGTATAATATCTCGATTATATGCTGAATTATTATAATATGAAATTGAATTTGTAGTACTGTATGGATTCATATGAATATGAGAATTATCATTTATATGTTTTGTTTGTAACTGTACATTATTATTTTCAATAGGGTATTTCCATGCTAATTCTAAAGCTTGTAATTGTGATAATTCTTTTTTGTGTCTTTCTAATTCCATAACAATAGATGAATGAATAACTCTAATTAGACCATATTTAGTTGCATTAAATATTGATGATGAATTCTGAAGATTTCTTTGAAGAATTTCTTGTTTTATTTGTTTTATTCTCTTTTTTCTATGACATTTAACCAAATCTTCCTCTTCTATTTTTTGAGGTTTTAATTCCTCAACATAAAATGTATGATAAGGTAATAAACGAGCTATTGCCTCACTAAGATTCTCAAAATGTTTTTCAAATTCAGTTGAATCTGAAATAACCAATTTTCTATCTAAATAATCAGCGTCTCTAATTCTTTTTCTGCTAGTAGCTACAAAACATTCAAACTCTTCCAGAGTATCAAATATTTTTGAAAAACTTTCTTTTTTTTCAGTTATTATACTGTCAGACATTTTACCATTATATCATATCCGATCCAAGTTATCAATTTACTAAATAATAAAATTTAAGTTAATAAGCAAGTTTAACAAACCTCAAAATAATTTAAATAGGGCTCTGGCGGTTATACTAAAGAAAAACCCTATAAAACCCTAATTTGTCGTTACTAAGTAAATAAAGATAATCCCAATACAAAAGAATTAGAAATATTAAGTTACACTGTCAATCTAACCCCAAACTTATTTTGTAAACCTAACTAAAAAAATCTTAATGTGGTAATTTGATTTCGTGTATATCTATAGATGTGAAATAACCATATTTAGGTCTTTACAGTGAGAATAAATTACATTGATTGAATTTCAGCCCCCTGTGAGATAAAAGCATCTAAAGCAAGTCTTTGCTGCTCAAGGACATCAATAATTTTTTCTTCATCCTCCTCTAAAAGAATCCCTCTATCCATCTCAACAGATACAATGAGTTCCTTTACATTGAGCGACATGTTAGTAGCTATAATAGTAAGACCCATAATATAATGATTAAAATAATGATCACGTAATCGGGAGAGTTCTTGCTTTGCTTGAACCATTCGTCTTTTGTATGAATCCAGAAGTGAAGCACCTAACAAACATTCAACTTCAAAGCCTCCAGCTTTCATTAAATCCATATTCGCATTAATAAAAGCAAATAGTACCTCCATATCATGTAAAATACGTTCAAAATCAGATTTCCACATATTAAATATGGCATTAGATGGCTTTGTAGTTCCAAGATCATTTCTAATTGATTCCCATTCAGCAGTAAAAGCATTTGTAGGTTCTTCTGCAGTAGTATGATTGGCTTTATTAATAGCTTTCTTTAATGTTAAAAGTGATGTTCCAGATATGATATGCTTACGAAACATAAGATCATAACTTTGCCAACAAGTATTAAAGACCATATTACATACAAGTAATTCTTGTTCAGCAAATGTATGTAAAGAACCTGTTGCCATTAATAAAGGAGCAAAAGTAGGACTTCTTCCCTTGGTATCACATACATGCTGAGTTTCTTCAGTAGAAACTAATACAGATGTCTCATCATATGTATGTCGTTTTATTTGTAATGAAACAGACTGTTTTTCATCTTCATCTTTTAATAGTGGGGTTGATTCTGAATGTGAGCGTTCCTCTTTAACTCCCAATGAGGGGCCTCTAGATAAATCTGAATTACCATTTGAGTGATGATCTAAATTAGTGAGATTATCTGTAGTATTAATATTATTTTTTTGATTTGTTGTATCTGAGATCAATTCTGTTTCATCTTCATCCATTATCAGCATAGCACTTCCTCTAGCACTAGATGTTACTGATGGTTGACTTTTTGCCATTTTAACAGAGGTTGCAATAATATTCCAACAACGTTGATCAATATCAAGTCCATCTACTCCAACAAGAGCTGACCTAGATCTTTCACGTCCTAAGCTTGCCCCCATACTACCTATATTCATAAATTCATTATTATAATTCCCTGTTTCAAGGTCTTCAATAGCAGATTGATTTGCTCTAATCTTTTTTGGTTCAGTAGATAGTGAATCAATTCCCTTTACATTTAATCTTGCAAATACATGAGCTGGGGGAGTAAGGAGAATATGGAAATCCCCATAAAAGTCTAAATAACCATCTTTTAATTTTGGAACCAAGAGATTTGCCGCATCTAAAACATATGGATGGTGCTCAAAGAACCAATGGAATTTAAGTTCTTCAACTGCTTTAACATATTCATCATCTATACTTTCCATGACTTTTAAAAGAAATGCTCTGCGGAAATTCTGAACTGCATATATTTTGAGTCTTCTATAAAGTGTTTCTACAGTTGTTCCATTTACTAATAAAGATAATGAAACTGCTCCTGCAATATAAAATGCAACTTCAGCTCTTGTATTTAATGCCACTCCTGAATCACCCTCAAATACCATTGCCAATGCCATAGAAACACCTCCACGTAAACCTCCATATATTAGAATTACAGCTTCTTTAAAAGATATATCAGAACCAACTCTACGTAAAAAAGGTGATAATACTCCTACCATCACACCTCTAACAGCATTCATTGCAATATAAACTAATATTAAATTAATCCAAATACGTCCATCAGACCAAAAAGGTCGAAATATACGCATACTTACTACTCCTGAAAGTACAAATATTAAATGATTTGCCAAATGAGCAAATATCTTTACAAAATGTAAATGTGATTCTTGGATCTTAGGTCTAAAACATGTAGGAGCCCATGCTGAGATAAATAGACCAAAAGATACAGTTGCTAATACGCCAGAAGTATGTAATTCATCAGCTATAAAAAATACAAAATATACAGAAGCTGTAACACCAATTATTTGGACACCTCCTAATGCTTGAGCAGCTCTTAACCAAACAGAAATCAAAAAACCAACTACAAATCCAACAAATGGACCTCCCATAGCTAATCTAATAAATGTCCAAAGTGAATGACTAAATGATAACCCACCTGATGTCATTATAGTACGGAAAACTTCAAAAAATACTACAGCTGCACCATCATTCAATAAAGATTCACCATCAACAACAGATGCCAACTTTTCTGGTGCATTTAATTGGTGCAAAGATGCAATAACAGCTACAGGATCTGTTGCTGATAAAACTGAGCTAATTAAAAAACATACAATCCAATCTAAGCGTGATATGAGGCGAACTGCCATAGCCAATAAAATCATCGTCATAATAGCTCCAGGCCCTGCTAATAGAAGTGAAGAAGGAAGATTACGCCGAAAAACATGAAAATTAAGAGTTGCAGAAGATTCATATAAGAATATTGGTAGTAGTACATAAAAAATTACATTTGGATCTGTACGCTCTACTATACGTACTCCTTCAGCCAAGGTACCTAATGAGAATGATTCACAAATATAGCTAAGAAACATTCCATAACAAAATAATGCAACAGTAGTGGGAGGTTGACGTACAAATACCACTGAAAGTATCCATTCTAATAGGGCAGAACCTAATAAACAGGTACTCACAAATCCAACCAAAATGGGAACTCCTCCAGAGTATTGAGATAATATTTCACTAATCATATCTGAGCTTAACATATCTAGTACCTATTAATTTTAATTCAATCAATTCGCAGCTCAAGTTTCTTCTATTACATAAAGTAGGAAGTATGGTATTTATTACTACCTAATGCTATTTTCCCTCTAGCGGTTTAATAGAGGTTCGTATAGGTTCATAGAGCTTTGTAGAAGTTCATAGCGGTTCAAAAGAGGTTTTTTTTAAAACCGCCTACTCAAAATATTAAAAAAAAAAAAAGATAACGATATTGTAGTAAGGCTAAGTTTAAATTCATACTAATAAAATAAATCCTAATATTCACATTTTATTTAGAAAAAATTATTAAATCACCTATTCAATTTTTTTTATCGGATTATTTTAAATTATATTCTTATATTTATTTTTAGTACATATTGATATATTATTATATTATTTGTTTATAATATTAGTTTAATTTAAATCGAATAGTATTCTATTTTCTTGTATAATTAATCTTAGAAATAAATAGTAAATCTTAAACTAACTTGTATTTTTATGGCGCCCTTTTAGATACCTATAAGGATATAAATTTACCAATACTTATAAGAGGGATAATCTTATAAATTTTTTTAATTTGCAACGTCACTTAAGTTTACTAATATATTAGATCTAAAATTTTTTACAGTAATTAGTAAAAATAAATTTTAGTTGGATAAAAAAAAATATACACATGGTATAATAAGAATTGTTTTTAGTGAATAGAGGTACATTATCAAAAATGATAAGTTTCACTTAATAATTTGATTTTTTTTTTTTTTATTTTCTAGTTTTCTCTTATTTATAATTAACTGAGATGGTTCTGGAAGTTTTATTCTCTTTAAATTGAGTATTATAAACTAGAGTATTTTAAGACTTTATATAGGGGATTTATTATTAAACTATTTTAATATATTTTATCTTCAATGAAGCCTTATATAACTTTTTAAAATATTTTAAATAGTATATTTAATTAGTTTGCACCTTTTTCTTATATAAACATACTTAATTAGTTAATATTAAGTTCTAGAAATATTATATTATAGTTATACAATAAAGTTTAGTAAATTTATAAATAAGGGGAGGAATCTAAGGGAAAAAAAAAATTAGATTTAATTATTAGATCTATATAAATATTTATTTAGTTACAAAAAATAATTTAGAAGAATTATAATTTCCGATTATCTAGATAGTAAATTGTATGAATAATATACAGCTATTATTATAATTTGAAATTTATATCTAGTCAGCTATTGCCGCAAATTGATATTAAGTAGTAAATAAAAGGATAGTAAATTTGAAAATATGACACTAGATATGAATGAGTTACTACCTCCAGAAATATCTGGGGAATTAGTAATGACTATAGTTTGTGTGTTTGGTATTTGTGTATTATCATCTGCAATTTTAGAAGCATTATTTGGAAATAAAACTTTAATTAATGGGAAATTCAGAGTACCTTTGACTGTAGCTTTATTTGCATATGGAATAGCATTAGATTATGTATTAAGAAGTTTTGATTTTGGTATAATGAGTTTAGCTATTAGAAAAGCAGAAGGAATACATCCAAACATCATATTTACTGTTTTGTTACCAATTTGTTTATATGAATCTTCTTCACAACTAAGTTATCATATTTTTAAAAGGAATTTGATGTCATCTGTACTTTTGGCATTACCTGGAGTTATAGTTTCAATGATTCTTACAGCTGTATACATGAGATATGTTGTAGGAGGTGTATTTGATTGGACTTGTGCTTTTTTGATTAGTTCTGTATTATCAGCTACTGACCCAGTAGCTGTAATTGCATCTCTACATCAATTAAATGCCCCAGAGAAGTTAGCTTCTTTAGTTGATGGTGAAGCTCTTTTAAATGATGGAGCAGCAGTAGTATTTTTTCAAGTTTGCAAGAATATTTTAATTAATCGTACACTAGTGTCATCCGTTATATTTACATCTAGTTGGATTTTTATTCGTTGTGCTATAGGAGGTCCTTTATTAGGTATAATTTTTGGAGGATCTGTTTATTTACTGTTCCGATTTATTCGTTCACCAAGTGATGTACAAGTTATTGTGGTTATAACTGCAGTTTATACATTATTTCTTGTTAGTGAATTAATACATTCATCAGGTGTACTAGCTGTAGTAGTATATGGGTTATTTATGTCTTCTAGGGGTGCAATTTTATTTAAACCAAAGACTCAAGAGATTCATCATACTATAATTAATTTTCTAAGTAAATTGGGAAATAATATGATTTTTCTTCTTGCAGGAATTGTGAGTGCTCGCCTTTTCAGACCATATATTACTAATATAAGTATGCTGTGCAATTTAATTTTACTATTTTTTGCAATATCTATAGTAAGAGGTATAATGGTTCTTGTTTTATTACCTTTACTATCCAGAATAGGATATGGTTTAACTATGAAAGAAGCTATAATCCTTATTTGGGGGGGTTTAAGAGGAGGTGTTTCTCTAGCTTTAGCTATGAGTCTTGAATCAGAGGATTATCTAGATAATGAACTTAGGGGACAAATAACATTTTATGTTGCTGGGACAGTACTTTTGACACTTTTAATAAATGGTACTACAGTTGAATTAATATATAAAAAACTTCAATTATATAAAACTCCGAAATTCCATCGATTATTTTTTAGTAAAGTAATGAAATCTATTGATGAAGAATATAAAAATGTATGCAAACAACAACTTAATAATCATTGGTTTTTTCAGGCTCATCCAGGATTATTAGAATTATGTAATACATTTATTCCAAAGTTGGGGAATTCAGAAATGACTGAATCTGGAGATATAATTTTATGTGATTTACCTGAAGTTGCAACTTTTCTTCAAAATGTTAAGAATACAACAATATCTTTTGTAACCCAAGCTCCACCTATTCCAGATAATATTTCGAAGGAATCACTAATTAAACAACGAACTATATCATGTTTAACGAGAACAGATGATATGGAGGATTCGATTTTTGAAGATGCATTAAAATTAAAGAATATTAGGAGTTCAATCCTTGGTATAGATTTGTCAGAACCTATCACAACAATAGATTCGAATAATATTTTAAATTTTTCAAGAAATCATTCAAATTTAATACATCCAAAGGATGAATTTTCAGATAATTCATCTATTCAAAGAAGTAGTTTAGGATCAAATTTTGGGAGAGTTAAGATAGGACGTCAAATATATATTGGTCATATGGTTTTAAATACTGTTTGGCAATTTTATGATTTATTATTCCACGACCATATTATTTCTGGTAGTGCCTTAGTTGTTTTAAAAAGAGCTATTTCAAAAGCTTTATATGTTTGTGATGAATTAAATTCTCCCATCCATTATTCTTTTACTAGTGAATGGAATTCTATTAAAGACGATTTATGGTGTTATTCAAATATGAATGGAACAAATGAAAACTTGTATTCTGATAGCTTATTTGATCATGGAAATACTTTTAATAAGCATTGGGGCTCACACTTTTGTTCCCCACTTTTAGGTAATTATAAAAAAATTCTGCAAAATTCACTTCAGTTTAGAGATGTGGAAGTTCTTATGTCATTTGTTTCAGCTAGATTTCATTTATTAACTCCTGATTTTCAGGAATTACAATCATACCTTGGATATGGTAGTATTCAATTATTTCAGAATCAAATAATTGAAGCTCAACAATATCTGGAAGCTTTGTCAACTTCACCAGAACAATACAATACAGCAGTTTCACATATTGCTGTAAATATTTTATTTAATGCTAAGAATGAGGCTATGGAACACCTTGTAAAATCAAGGTTATTACTTGATGAAGATGAAGAGAAACTTGTTGATTTATGTGAAGATAGACGTTTTCTATTAAGCTCATCATTATCCAGAGAAGTTATATCGACCGATTATGATATTGGCAACTAAAATTTATATATATGCTGTAAAGGGAATTTCTTATAATATTTTAATTTATATTACAAATTACTGAAGGAACGGAGATAATATTTCGAACTCTAGAGTACACCTCGATAGAAATAAAGATTTAGTTGTAATTAAGGTTAAAGTAGCACAGGAATTTGAAAATTCCAAATCCCCCTAATTAGGAGAAGGGGATTTTTTGGAATTCATTAGTAATTAGAATAAACTCTAATGATCATAATAGTAAATAGAGATATTTAATCTCACAATTTTAAATTAACTAAAAAAACCAAATTATTAATGAAATACAAAATTTAGTTTATTTAAAAGGAAAATCTAAGAATATCACTTTATTTGAAGCGTGGTTCAAGTAATTACTAAATAATTCAAGTGAACTTCTCTTCAAACTAAAGTTCATCATGAGTAGAAGACTGAGAAACAGTAGCATGTTCAGTAATAAATTCCTTAAAAGCTTCAACAGTCCTTTTACCGTCATAAGGTATAGCAGTTCTTGTACCTGCTCTTACGAACAAAATAGTTGGAAAAGCCCTAGGGCTAAAACCTTCGAAAGGAATATCATTTGCTGGTCCATTGATTTTAGCAATAACAATATTCTCATTGTCCTTCATTTCCTCAGCAAGCTGATTGTAAATAGGCTCTAAATTCTTGCAATGTCCACACCATTGAGCATATATTTCTATTAAGACATCTTTGTCCTTTTGAAATACAATCTCTTCAAATGTATGACCTACAACGACTGTTACAGGTCCAGTCTGTTCAGAAGGAACTGGCTCTGATTTAATGCTCATTTCATGTTTACCACTTGCTACTGAATTCATAAATTCCATTAAAGGCTCTTCTGAATCGAATTTCAAACCTCCATAGAGATATCTAATAGCTGGTACAGCAACACTTTGTACAACTAACCCTGGAAATTCCTCTATTAATAAATGCTGAGTAGCATGAGATCCAAATTGATCAGTATCTAAAAATACAAAGGCATACTCCTCCCTAAAGTGAGAAGCAACTTTCCTAATCACAGAGGCATATTTATTAAAATCTTCAGTTGTCCCACAGAACCATGCTGTAAATCCTGGACGTGACATATACAATGAGTAATTATCTGCACTAATTGCTGCAAACAAAGGTACATTCATTACAGAAATCTTAGATTCCAATTTTTCCAAAGTTTTTGGCATAGGAATGACAACTGTTTCTTCATCCTTATGTAAGATATGAAGCTGCTCTTCACTACTACCCAATACAACAATAAATGGATAACTATGTTCACGATGAGAGGCTGCAACAACTTCGAAGTTAGTAAATGTGGTGGAATCTTTAGATGATAAATGACCAATAAATGCTGAAGACGAGCTGGAAGCAATTTCTGTAGCTTCACTCATTGAATCTACAATTTGGATAGCTGGTCCTGTTAGTTTTGATATCCATCTTAAGAAATTCTCCTTAGACCTAGCTCCAGAGAAGTTCTGAATATTCTCTGTACCATTAAATAACTTAATTGTAGGATATCCACTTACACCAAATTGTTGGGCTAATTCCATATTTTCAGTTGCATCAACACTTCCACAGCGAACTTTAGGTATTGAAGTTGCCATCTCTGCACATGTTGCTTTAAATTCTGGCTCAAGAGCTGTACAGTGCCCACACCAAGGAGCAAAGAAGGTAACCAAAACAAATTCATTTTCAGAGACAAACTTTTCAAATGTACTAGAATTTAATGATGTAATATATTCAGAAATAAAGTGGGCTTCTTCTGCACTAAATACAAGTACTGTACTTAGAAGGAATACTAAAAATAACAGTATAGTTTTTAGGACTATCATCTCACCACCAATCTATGCACAAATATATAAAGAGTAATCACTTAAAAAATATCAAAAAGTCTGTATATTGCAAAATATTACAGATGCAGAATTAGTTATTGAATTAATCAATAATTTGATATGCTATGTAATTTATACGTATAAGTACTTCAGTAAATACTGATCTTACCAAATATTGCACTTGTATTTTGAATACTTAGACGTTCTCTAATATTATACACTTAGTACTAGTTACAATAAATACTATTAGGATCTCTCGACATTTAAGTATTTTTGAATGTCCCGTCTCCAAATATCAGTTTATGTTCACTCCAACCCCCCTTCCACCCCCCTTTCCACTTATACAATGAGCTATGATGAGTAGGAGCAGATATCTAAGAATATTCCACTTTATTATTAATATCCTTTGTTGTCCAATATACTTAGTATAAGATATAAACATAGCTCCCTTAGAATATAGTTCAATTATAAGTATATAGTGTGTAGTCTATATACTACACTTTCCTATGAGTGATATATTACTTGTTCACAAATTTCTAAATTTAATTGTATTGTCTAAATATAAAGTAATATTTTAGTTCTTTGTATATCCTTCATCATAAACTTTATGACTTGATATCTTTAATCTTATATATTTCATTGGGAGGGAAACTATTGTGTGTGTAGTGGGATATTTTTATTATTTCAATTGTTAATAATTTTAGGTCTAGAAATAAATGAAATTCTTATCTATATTAGTTTATTTCCTCTATATCTGCATCAAGCCATCTTTATCAACCAATGTTATATATGCTGTGAATTGTGGAGGACCAGCTCATTATTCTAAATATGATGACATTCATTATAAAGATGATAGAGGTTACAATGGTGGCAAAATTAATGAATCTGGTAAGAAATTTTCACCTTTTCCATATCTAAAAGATGATAAAGTTTATCAGACTCAAAGATATACAACTGAAAACTCACTGCAATATATATTAGATTTAGATCAATTAAATCCAGGTAAATTTGTAATTGTATTGAAACTAAGTGAGGTAACCTTTAGAGAAGTAGGAAAGAATTTGTTTGGTATTTCTGTTGGAAATATTTTATATTCTCAAGGTTTAGATATTTTTAGTATAGCTGGATTTGCAACTCCACTAGAGGTCTATATTGAATGTGAATATTATGAAAATGGTAAAATAACACTGAATGATGTGGAAATCACAAATGGTTATTCAGCTGAAGAAAAAAAGCTAATTTTAGCACTTATTCGTATTAAAGAAGATCCAAAAATTAATGCTATTGTTGTCTACCAAGGAAATTTAGAGGAAATACCAAAGATTGAAAAATTTGAATTTAATTCAAATTTAGAGAGAATGCTAGTAAATAAATTTGAAGAAGCCCAAAAAATTATCATTGATGATGAAATTCTTGGCGAATATCTTTATTTTAATAATAATAAAATAGATACATCATATTTGTCTATTTTTGATTCAATCTATAGACTTACTTTGACTAAATCTGGTCTTGTCACAAGCCTTATTTTAGTAATTACTCTTGTAAAAATTGGAATTATTATTTGTAAATAGATTTATAGCTTCAGCAAGCTTATTTTATCTTTTTAAAATGATAAATTGAGCTTTAGATAGTAACATTTTAATATTTAATTATCCCCACTTTGTATTGTATAATATTTCTTCACTTTTTTTTTTAAAAAAAAAAATATATCTTGAAAAAGTATAATTTGATTATTTATTAAAAAGTTATTTTTAATAATAAATTTATAAAGAAAATTATACAACTGCTTGTTTGAAAGATCATTTCTTTTTATATAAAAATGTAATTCTTGATACATTACTATAATTTTATAATAAAGAAGAAAAAAAAATTGCTTAATATTAAATATTAAGTTAAAATAGATATATTCCATTTCAGATATCACCCCATACATCAAATTCATAATCAGTAGGCTGTATTAACTGAGTTTTTTTTGCTTCTCTAGCTTGGAATATATGAAAGGGTTCTTCCAAAGATCTAGCCCTAGATCTCCTCCTTAGCAAACTTCTATCATTTTCTGAAACATTTCTCTCAACATTGCCTAAATATAGTTGTCGAGGTCTACATATCCTAGTATGGCTATCTTGAACTAATTCCTTCCAATGAGCAAGCCATCCTACACATCGACCTAATGCAAAGATACATGTAAACATATATTCAGGAATTCCAATAGCACGTAGTAATATTCCACTATAATAGTCTACATTTGGATATAAACGTCTTTCTAAAAAATAATCGTCATTTAAAGCTACTTCTTCTAATTCTAACGCCAATTCCAATAGAATGTCTTTCTTTCCTACTCTTTCAAACCATTCCAAACATAAACTCCGCATTACTTTTGCTCTAGGATCATAATTTTTATAAATTCTATGCCCAAATCCCATTAAACGTTTTTTCCTAGATTTAACATCTGCAACAAATTTATTGATATTTTCTTTACAACCAATTTCTCTTAGCATATGAATTACAGCTTCATTAGCTCCTCCATGAGCTCTTCCCCATAATGCTGCTATTCCTGCACTAATACAAGTATATGGATTTGTCCTACTACTCCCTACAGTTCTAACAGTAGATGTAGAAGCATTTTGTTCATGATCTGCATGTATAATAAAAAATGTATCTAAAATCTTTGTCTTCATTGGATCACTAACATAGGGTTTAGTTGTTGTAAACATCATATGTAAAAAATTATCAGTATATGACAAATCTCCTCTTGGATATATTAAAGGCTCTCCAATTGAATTTTTATAAGCCCATGCTACCATTGTTGGCATCTTAGCAAGAATCCGAATTATAGCTAATTCACGTTCTTCCCAATCACTATTATCTAGTGGATTATCATGTAAACTTGCCATTGCAGCTGTTACAGATCCTAATATTGACATTGGATGTGCCCCTGTTATAAAACCATCATAAATATGTCTTAATTTTTCATGAATTAAAATTTGTTCCTCTATCTGTTTTTGAAAAGCAATTAACATACTAGCCTGCGGTAATTCACCATATAATAATAAGTAACACACTTCTTGATAATCATATCCACTATTTATTAAATCAACAACCTTATATCCTCTATACATACAAATACCTTCTTCTCCATTTACATATGTTATTGCTGAACAGCAAGATGCAGTAGATGTATATCCTGGATCATATAACATGATACCATAAGAAGAATGAAATTCTCTTACATCTAAAATTATATCAGGTCCAATTGTCGGTTTTAAAATCCTTACTGGATATTCCTTATTATTAGGTAATCGTATTATAGCACACTCTTTTAAATAATTTGCTTCATTTACACTAACACCTTTATTACAATTCTCACATATATAAGTAATATGTGATTTGTTATAAACAGGAGGACAATTAGATACTGAAGACATTTTCTATTTTTTCTATTTTATCTCTTTTTATTTATTATAATTTAGCTGTCCTAATATTTATGAAGTTTTATTTTTGGATCTTGACATTTCATGCAAATTTTGACACATTTTCGAGATTAGTATTATATAATATTCTTTTTGGCGGTAAAAATTATTTGTAATATTTAATAGTCGGTACCCTCTTTCTAGAGGTAGAAATCTTATTTATATTATTATGTAATAAACTTTAATATTTAAGTTATCCTATTATAATCAAACTTAATTTACAAATTAAATTAATATACTTATAAATTCAAAAATCCCAATATATATGTATATATGAAAATTAAATCCTTGACTATAACTACTAATATTATTTTAAAGCACTAAAAGAATTCTTAAAATATTTCTTCAACAAATTAGTCAAATATCTTTTTTCTTTTTGTTCTCTCCAGAATTATTAAGGTATACTCTTAATTTTTAGATACTAATATTTTCTTCTTATTAAAAGATTTAATTTTACTACTTTGTCTTAATTCCCTAGAAATTAAATTTCCATTTAAAATCTCCAACATTGGTAGACGTATTTTAAGATTTTCTAATTGTTCCTTAATACTCTTTTTATCATCAAAACATGGATTATTTATAATACTTAAACTTTTTAATTTTATAAGATTTAATAAATTATCATAATTAATTAAATAATTATTCCCAATCTCTAGAATTCTTAAGTTCCCCATATATTCAATATTTGGATTAATTGAAAGTAATTTATTATGACTAAGACGTAATTCTGATACATTATTAAAATTACAATGAAATGGAAAATCTCTTAAATTATTATGTGATAAGCTAATTTTCTTTAAATGATTATAATATTGATTAGGAACCACTACTTCCTTAATATTATTATTAGATAAAATAATAGTTTCCAGATTTTTAAAAACACTTAGATCAGGAACATATTTAATCTGGTTATTATTTGCTATTAATACTTTTAATGAATTATATAGATTTTTGCATTTTAAAAGAGAATCTAAAGATGTTAACTTATTATGACTAACATTTAAAACAGTTAAATTTTGTAGGTTTGAAAGGCATGAAAAAGTTGTTATTTTATTATGACTAACATTTAAGTCTGTTAAATTCCAACAATACTTAATACTTTCAAGACTATCCAAATTATTTATACTTAAATCTAATCTTTTAAGATTTTTAATTTGAGTTAATTCCTCTAAGGTTTCAATACCCTTATCTTTTAATTTCAAGTAAGTACAACCTAAAATATTTCCATTTTCAACAAATGCAGAAATCTCAGCTATTTTCATTAGTTAAATGACAAAATATCCATAATAATAAGAATTGGATAAGGAATTATATTTATTATTTCATATACAGAAATGTCAATATTTAACTAAGCGCTAAAAAAAATTTTGTTTCAGATATTTTTAATATTTTATATGGCGACATTAATTTTGGAGGAAACTAGATGTTATATTATTAGATAACTTGAATATTAACTCAGTTTATTACACCAAAAATAATATTTTAGTATAATTTAAAGAAATAAATGGTTATATAAATTTATATATAAAGACAAAGTATATTTATAATTTATAAGATAACTTTAGTTTTTATTTTTATTTATTGTTATATTTTACCCGCTTTAAGAGCTCAATTAGACTATTTACACACTGTTGGGACAAGACGGCATTCCAAGTAAAGCTCACAATACCTAATAGAATTTTAGACAATTTCAATAATTAAGAGGATTTTATATGAATAGGAGTTCAATAAATCGAGTTCTACAGAGCCCAGATGTGGGAGGTGCAGAGGCACAGTCAGGTAGAGGATCAGAGGCATTTTTTAGAACTCCATCTGTTGTTGGTCAAGATATTAAAAAAGAAGAGGAAGAAGAAGAAGAAGAAGAAGATCCTCGTAGTATTTGGTTACGTTTATTTTTACCAGATTTATCTCCTCTTGGTGGCCTATTAGTTATTGGTATTGCATTATGTATTGTTGCTACATATTTAAAAGGTACTGGAGTTGAAAGACCTTTCAGTTATCCTCTATTAGTTTTTTTTACAGATTTATTTATATATATTTGTATTATGTGTACTAGATATTTAATTACTATATATTCATTAACTCAATTTGGTGAAGGAAGATTTTTTGCAGCTGTGTCTGGTTCTTTAGATCCAGAACTTGTATATTGTTTATGGTCAGGTTTATGTCTTATATTATGGATGAGTGAAATTCGCATTAGTAATAATGATAGAAATAGTATTCTTTCAACTTCAACTCTTTATTCATCTCGTTTTTTTGAAAATATTAGTTCTGCACTACGTATTCCAAAAGTACCATGGGATGTTATACAAGTAGCTCATATTATTCTAGTTATTATGACAGTAAGAAGATTATTATTATCTATTATTACGTTTTATTTTAGATTGGACTTTATTATGACTATTAATCCACAAGTGGTTGAGTTTCTTCGTTTATATTCTCTTTTACGTAGAATTGATACTAAATGGTGCCTTATTAAACCACATATTCAAAAACAGGAATTTCAAATTTCATCTACTGAAATAGAAGGAATTAATTCTTTTAAAAATGGAATTTTTTTACAAAATAAAGATATAAATACAATTATAGGTACAATAAATGTTCCTTCAGTCCCTAGTATGCTGATAGATTCAAATATTGAACATACAGCAAAAAGTTCTTCTGAAAATTGGTTAGCACTTCAATTTATTAAACAATATAATGTAGCACTTTTTATTGATAATATGAGATATGAATTAAAAACTAAACAACAGGCTAGAGATTGTGCAAGATATTTATTTCATGATATTTTACAAAATGTACATGCAATAATGCTATATCATTATATTGGACGTATGGATCATGTAAATCCTATTTCTTCACTTCCTCCAAAATCTGATTCATATTCTATTTTAGGTGAAGATACATTTTGTCATGCTTTAATTGATTTTGAAGATCGTCATGATATTAAAAGTGATATTAATGGAAAAATTGGATCAAATTCAGATTTACCAGATAAAGTTTTAGAAAATAAACAAATATCTGAAACTGATAATCTTTTAGATAAAAATAATCAAACTTCAAGTAATAAAAATTCTCAAAGAATTGGATCTGCTCCAACAGCACTCCCAAATTCTATTCTAGATATTCTTTATGATAAACCTCTTGGAGATCTTATTAAACAAATTGATACAGCACGTAGAGGTCAAGTAACAGAAGAAGAATGGATTCGATTTTTTGTTGGTATATATGATACTCGTAAAAAAATTTTAAGAGCTGCTACAAGTCAAGAGGGTATTGTACAAGTTTTTAGACGTATGGTCTCAATTTTCTTATGGTTTTTTACTGGAATTATTATTTTGTTAATGTTAGGAATTGATGTTAATACTTTAGTTATATCTGGAGCTGCTATAATATCTTCACTTTCTGTCGGCTTATCATATATATACTCAAATTTTTTTTCAGCTGTAATTTTTGTTATATTTTTAAATCCATATAATGTAGGTGATAGAATTAGAGTTAATAATGGTGGAGCTATGATTGTTAAGAAAATTGAAACATTTTATACTGAATTTCATACTACACATGAATCTCCAGTTCTTATACCTCATTCTTGGTTATCTTCTCAAATGATATATAATGAAAGTCGTAGCAAACGTTGCTCTTCTGATATACAATTTAAAATATCAGATACTACCTCACCATTTTCAATTGAAGCTCTTGGTAGAGCAATTCAGGATTATGTTACTGTTAGACCCTCTGAATTTGTTGCTTCAAATTTTTGGTGTGGCATTACAGAAATTCAACCTGGTCATTATGCAACTGTATTTATATGGATTACAAATACTGATCCATTTCATAATAGAAGAAAACTTATGATTAGTAAGAGTAAGTTGTTATTATTTATTTTACATACTTTAAGACAATTAGGAATTCAATATACACTTCCTATTACTAGAGTACGCCTAGAACAAAGTCATGGAACAAATATGCCAACATTATGGAAGGATAGTATTATAACAAAATCTGGATAATTATTTATTACAACATGCAAGTTAATCTAAATATCTATTTAAAAATAAAATTAGTTATATATTAAAATTCAAGGGGTTAATTTTAAATTAATAAATTTAGTAACAATATTTATCCTAATCAATAGTTAATAGGAAAACCTTCTGAAAATAAAAGGAAAAAAGAATATAGATATTCCGACTTTCATTAATATTATAATATATATTATATTTTATCATCTTATTATTAAATTCTTTTTTCTTCTCTAAAAAAAAAAAAGAAAAAAATAAAAATAAAAATAAAAATGAACCGCCGAATTTGTAATATATTCTCTGAATAAATGGCGCTGAAATTTTCTTCTTCCTATTATGCTTATTTTAAGGTTTTTATTATTACTCCAGAATCTTTTTTCATGGGCATATGACAAACCAAAGGGTTTCATATTTTTATGATGGGGATATTGGAAGTTATTATTATGGACCAGGTCATCCTATGAAACCTCAAAGAATTCGGATGGCTCATAGTTTAATATTATCCTATGATTTATATAAACATATGGAAATTTATCGTCCTCACAAGTCCTCTGAAAGAGAATTAGTGGATTTTCATGAAGAAGATTATGTGGAGTTTCTATCTAGTATAAGTCCTGATAATTGTAAGGATTTTGGTTTACAACTTAAACGATTTAATCTTGGTGAAAGTACAGATTGTCCTGTATTTGATGGTTTATTTGAATTTCAACAAATATGTGCTGGTGGAAGTTTAGATGGAGCATATAAGTTAAATAATAATCAATCTGATATTTGTATCAATTGGAGTGGTGGATTACATCATGCTAAAAGATCAGAGGCTAGTGGTTTTTGTTATATTAATGACATTGTTTTAGCTATATTAGAATTACTTAAATATCATGCAAGGGTTATGTATATTGATATTGATGTACATCATGGAGATGGTGTTGAGGAGGCATTTTATGTTACTCATAGAGTTTTAACAGTATCATTTCATAAATTTGGGGAATATTTCCCTGGGACTGGTGATGTTACAGATATAGGAGCTGCACAAGGTAAATATTACAGTGTAAATATTCCTTTAAATGATGGTATAGATGACCAGTCATTTTTAAATATATTTGAACCTATAATATCAAAATGTATTGAAGTTTATAGGCCAGGAGCAATTGTTTTACAATGTGGAGCAGATTCAGTCAGAGGTGATCGTTTAGGACGATTTAATTTATCTATACGTGGTCATGCAGCATGTGTAGATTTTTGTATGAAATTTAATATTCCAATGTTAGTTTTAGGAGGTGGTGGATATACTATAAGAAATGTAGCTCGTTGCTGGGCATATGAAACAGCAGTTATTCTTGGTAGAACAGATCAAGTATCTGATGATATCCCATTAAATGATTACTATGATTACTTTGCACCTGACTTTAAACTTCACATACCTCCATTAGCTATACCTAATATGAATTCTGCAGAACATCTTGAGAAAATAAAAGTGAGAATTTTAGAAAATCTCCGTTTTTTGGAACATGCACCAGGTGTCGAATTTTCATATGTCCCCCCAGATTTTTTTAATAGAGATCTATTGATAGCAGAAGATGAAGAAGAAAGGCAAATGTGGCATAGTGATAGTAAATCTGAAGATATTGATAAGCCTCCTATATATGAGTCATTATTTAGAGCTCAAAATAGAGAACATCCAGCAGAATTTTAAATCATTTTGTTTAAAAAAAGTATATTTAATTTAATAGCGGGATTATTAACTTTTCTAATAGTTCTTCCTCCCTCCTTTTTTTTCCAAAAAAAAATTAGTTTATATAATTTATTTATTTAATTTATAATAATAACCGAACTTTCTAATTATCTCCTAATATCAATTAAATAAGTTATTTAATATATGACGGAAGATTTCTTATTAAGGTTTATCTTTGCTTTATATCTAATAAAGTTTACATTTTTTACATATATAAAATTTAGACAATATAAATGCCTTAAACTTAAACAAATTCCAGATAGAGTAAAAAAAATGGTTGAGGGTTTTGATCCTATTACAGAAGAATGTTTTTTATTATCCCAGAGTTATGGTTTAGCAAGGTGGGAATTTAATATGGTCAATTCTACACTTGATTTTATTATTGAATGGACTTTAATTTTTACTTTATATTATCCATATATATGGAGTTTTGTAAATTTATATATAAGTAATAATGAATATATTGCTTCTGTTTTTTTTGTCTTATTATCATCTATAATAACTTATTCAATAGGTATTATATTTTCTTTATATGATAAATTTGTATTAGAAGAGAAATTTGGTTACAATAGAACTACTTTAAAACTATTTATTATAGATGAGATTAAATCTATTTTTTTAATGTTAGTTATTGGAACTTCTGTTTTATTTTGTTTTATATTTATAACAAAAAATTTGGGTACTTATTTTTATTTATATTTGGGTGGGATCTTAATCGTAATACAGGCATTACTTTATATGATTTATCCAACTTTAATTTTACCCTTATTTTATAAATTAAGACCTATTTCAGATGATATTTTAGCAGAAAAAATTACGAAATTATGTAAAATTGTTCACTTTCCTTTAGGAAAACTTTGTGAAATGGATGCATCTACTAGATCAACACATGGAAATGCATTTTTTACTGGTCTTTTCAATGCAAAACAAATTGTTTTATTTGATACTATATTAGATTTTCCTAGGAATGAAATATTAGCTATTTTATTACATGAAATTGGGCACTGGTATAACATGGATAACTATAAGAGCTTATTAATTTCAATATTTAATACATTTTTCTTCCTATACCTTTTCCATATTTCTATGACCTCAAAACTTCTATATACTTGTTTTGGTTTTCAATTAAATCCTGAAACTGGTGAAAGTTATGTAATTTTATCACTTTTTTCATTTATGATTGTACAAGCTCCATTAAGTATGATTATTTCTATAATATCTTTGATAATTTCTCGAAATAATGAATATAATGCTGATAAATTTTGTGCTTCTTTTGGATTTTCTAATGAACTTATTAGTGGTCTATTTAGACTTAACAAGAGATCTTCTGTTCCTTTGATATATGATCGATTATATTCATTATTTTATTGTAGTCACCCTAATATTATAGAGAGGGTTGAATATTTGAAGATGCTTCAAAAGAAAAGACCAGAAATTCCATCTTTACTAAGAAAATCTTCATTAGAAGAAGAATTGATGGCATTAAAAGAGAAAAGGTAGTTTAGTTTAGCAATATTGTAGATTAGTAATTTTTATGTCTAAAAATTAGAATTAGCTGTCTCATAATTAATGAGTACCGGTTATATATATCTTGTATATATACATCAAAAGAGAAGATAATAAATATCTTAATTTTAATTATTATATATTTTCTTTTTTAACTTGATTCTTTTAGCTTTAAATATACTTTAATAGTTTTGTTGGAATATTTTAATTTAATGACTAACATATTTATAACAGCTACAGATACAGATGTAGGTAAAACTACAATTAGTGCACTTTTATGCTTACATTATGGATGTAGTTATCACAAGGTGATTCAATCTGGAGATCTTGAAAATAGTGATAGTATGACAATTTCACAACTAGTACCTAATGTGAAGATATATCCTGAACAAATAAAATTAAAAAAGTCGCTATCACCTAATTTAAGTGCAGAATTTGAAAATAAAGAAATAAGTTTATCTGATTTTAATTTTGATTTACTTAGTCAAGATAATGTTATTATAGAAGGAGTAGGTGGAATTTTGGTACCTTTATCAGATAAGTTAGATATAATTGATTTAATAGAATATTCTGGAATGGTTACTTTATTAGTAGTTCCATCACGATTAGGCATGATCAATCAGGCTAGGATGGCTTTAAATTTATTAAAAAATAGGAATATTAACATTATTGGATTTGTTACAAATGGTGAATATAGACCAGATGATTTTAATGTTATTTCAAGATTAACAGATACAAATCATTTATTTCATATACCAACAATGAAGATAATTAATCATGAATCTTTAAAATCACTTAAAATTCCAACAGATTTATTCTGTTCTATTGAAAAAAATGAACATTTAGGAATATGTAAGAAAATATCTGAATATAATACAAATAATCAATTATTATGTTTAAATTTATGTGAAAGAGATAGTAAAATGATTTGGCATCCTTATACACAACATGGAATTGAATCAGAATTTAAATGTTTTATATCTGGATCAGGCAGTTTTTTGATAGATGAAGAAGGAAATAAATGGCTAGATTTAATTAGTTCTTGGTGGGTTATAACTTTTGGACATTGTGATAAAAAATTATCAGAAGCAATTACTAAGCAAGTAAAAACTTTGGATCATATAGTATTTGCAGGATATACACATGAACCTGCCATTAAATTAGCTGAAATGCTTTTAGATTTAAATTCTCAATATTTTCATAAAGTATTTTATTCAGATAATGGTTCAACAGCAATTGAAGTAGCACTTAAGGCTGTAATACATTATTACCAAAATAGAGGGCAAAGGAATAGAATTAGTTGGTTAGCTTTAGAAGGAGGTTATCATGGTGATACATTTGGAGCAATGTCTGTTGGTTATTCATCAAATTATTTTAAACCTTATTATGAGTTTTTATTTCAAAAGATTCATTTTATACCATATCCAGAATCATATGATGATACTACTGAAGAACAATGGCAAATAGATTGTGAATTAAGTTTAAATAAAGCAAAATATATTATTTCATTTATTGGAAAGGAAAATATAGCTGGTATGATCATAGAACCACTAATACAAGGTGCTTCTGGTATGAGACAAACTCGTCCTGAATTTCTTAATAAATTATTAAGTATATGTAAAGATAATGAAATTATTGTAATATTTGATGAAATATTTACTGGATTTGGACGTACAGGAACTTTATTTGCTTATCAACAACTTAAATATATTCCTGATATTTTATGTTTATCTAAGGGAATAACTGGAGGAGTTTTACCACTATCTGTTACATTATTTCCTCAATATATTTATGATGCTTTTGTATCAGATAATATATCTACTGCCTTTATACATGGACATTCATTTACTGCTAATCCAATTAGTTGTTCAGCTGCAATTGCAAATTTATCTAGAATTAATAGTGAAAATACTTTTGCACTTATTCAGAAAATTAATGATGCAAATTCAGCATTTATTTTAGAACTTAAAAAAAAGTTTGAGGATAGAATATATAACTATTTTACGAAAGGTCCCTTATGCGTCTTTTCTTTAAAAGATAAGTACGAAAATTATGGATTAAATTTTAATATTATAATTAAAAAATGTTTGGAAAGAAAATATCTTATTATAAGGCCTTTAGGTAATAGAATTTATCTTCTTCCACCTTATGAAATTGATATAGAAACTTTACAACAAGCCCATAAACTTATCATTGAAGCTCTATTTGAACTTAACATTTAAAAAAACACTTTTTTAGTATATATTTAAAAGATAAATTTATAAATTTCATAAAAAATAATGAATTAACATTTTAAATATAAAATAACACAATTATTTAATTTAAATATTTTAGTTTAGAAAAATTAGGGAATACTTAAATAATTTTTAATTAATTTAATTTCTTTTGGGATAATTTTAATAATTTCATTTTATTTTTATATAAATTTATAGTGATTAAAGCTATTTGAAAGTTAATGTCACTTATTTAAACTTCAAAAGTTCTCAAAATCTTATTCTTAAATAAAATAATATATTTCTAACTTTCTTTATATATTAAATTTGTTAATTGCTCATTCAAATTTTACACTTTTTTTCAAGCTCATAATTTCTTTTCTAAGTTTTATAGCAGAGGCACTCAATTGTTCTTCATTATCCGTCGCCTGTTGAGTATTTACTGATGATGGGGATGATAGTGGTGGTGGTGGTGAGATACTTAAACCTGGTGTAGATGGTGATGGTATTAGTGGTGGTGGTGGTGGAATACTTGAACCTGGTGTAGATGGTGATGGTATTAGTGGTGGTGGTGGTGGGATACTTGAACCTGGTGAAGATAGTGATGGTATTAGTGGTGGTGGTGGTGGTGGTGGGATACTTGAATCTGGTGAAGATGGTGATGGTGATAGTAGTTGTGGTATATTTAAGGAGCCAGTAACATCAAGCTGGGGAGGCAAAAGAGGAACTTTTGTTGAGCTTCCATCTGAAACTATATTTGATGAAGATTTAATACTTTTATTTATGCCAATATATACACATTTAATCAAGGCTACAATAGTACTACCAGCTTCTAACATTTTACCATGAACATCATTAGCCGTATTTTCATCAATCTTCCCATTACAAGTAGCAATTAAAGGTGTATTTCTTTTGTTTCCTGAATCATCAACATAATTAAAGGTAGCAAATTTATTTCCAGAGGAAATAGGGATTTGTGTGAAGACTATCCAATTAAGAACATAATAAATGGTACCAGTATAAGTAGTCCAAGTCATTTCTATAGCTCCTATAACTTTTTTTGTAATTAAGGGGCTCCTATTAGGAACAGTCAACTGAGTACTAGTAGGGCCACTTGGATATTTAAAATTATATAATGGAAGTGGTAAACCACAAAATACTTCTACAATTTGAGTTCCTGATATTACAACTGTGTTATTTATTAAAGATAAGTATGGAATATAGACAGATCCAGTACAAGGTGGAATAACTGGGACTATTATATTAGACATTTGACTAGAGAATTGGCCAATTGTTTCACCCTCTAATACAGAACTTTTTTTTTCAGTTATTGTAAAAGTTACAACACCAGAACTTCTAGTCCAAATATATCCAATACCACTTGAAGGATTTACAGAAGTTATTAAAATATTTTCTGGTGAATGGGTAGGCATAGAATCTTCAGGTATAGGACGTGTATTCTTGGCTATCATCATAATATTAGTTCCCGGCAATACAGTTTGTCCATAAACTGCCATGCTCAAGAATACTATATTAGTACCCATACATTCCATAATAATTGGAATTACTTGATTTTGGTCAATACTATCTACACATATAGCTTCCCCAATATTTTGACCTGGAATAACGTAACCAATTATTCCCTTATTTTTGAAGTTTATAACACACTTTTCAGTTGTAATTATAAAACAATACCCATTTCTTTCTATATTTTGAATAACATTTGAATTTGAAGGATCAGGAGGAGGTGAAGGTGGTAAATCTCCAACATTTTGAGTTTTTAAAGAGTCACAAATTATCTCAAATAAAAGAGTCCCTGCATCTTGTCGGGATCCATCTTTTTTTAATAACTCTTGAACATTAAGAAGAACTCCAGAACAAGGTGAGGTAACAGATACTTTTTGGGTAACTTCTCCATTTATAATAATAGTTACATATATAATCTTCTCATTTATAGTAATTGGAATTGAATGATTACTTTCTATTATTTTGTGAGAATTACTGTGTAAGTTAATATTATCAACATAAACAGTTGTGGGAATTTTACAAAATGCACTGTACTTCTCCTGTCCACTTATATCCTTAGCAATATATGATCTTATTACATCATATAATAAGGATTCGGTTTCTCTTGAAATATATTTTGGGGGAATTACAGAAGAGCATCTAATAGAGGTAACCTTTGGACCATCTAAACTTTTTAATGAAATATCCAAAGAATTTACATCTAATGTTGGAAATGTTCTTACACCATCACAAGGTGAATGAATATCTGCAATTGCAACAGATTTTGGACCTATTTTAAAAGCAAAATACCCAATTTTTTCACCTTCACGAACATTTGAAGAAGTTTTTAAATGATAATGTGTATTCCCTTGAATTTTTGAATATAAAGATACTTCATCATTACTTTCAAGTTGATATAATGGACTTCCCCTATTATGAATTTTTACAACTTGGGAATTTATATTTTCATATTTATCTTTATATTTTAATAAACTAGATGGATCATATAACCAATAATTACTTTTTGTATTACATTTAATTTCAACAAATACTTGACCTGCTTGAACAGATACTGATTTCTCAGTATCTAGTCTATGTTGTAAGATATTTTTAACAGTTCCTGAACAAATACATTCTATTTGTTCATTAAAATATTGATCATCTTTTTTTTTAATTCTGATATTTCCTATTATTTGACCCACTTTACACTTTTCTAAATTCTCCATTTCTACACTACCTGCAGAAGTAATCCCAATACGCCTATATATATGTTTATTATATTTGTATTCTTGAACAAAAAAGTTATAATTATGATTATATGATTTAGGTACAAATAATCTACTAGGACTGGGGGGTTTTTCATATCCAAAAACTGTTGGTATATAAATAAGGCCTTCTCCGTCTTTCCATTCTGGATCCTCACTTAAGGATTTCACATCAGTAGGCATTAAAGATGAATAATCTTGGCTTTTCCATGCTAAATATGCGTATGGCCATAACTGTAATGGAATTGGTAGTGACTTATTAGTTGGTACTGCAATTCCAAGTTCCATTGAATTATGAGATGTAGCTAAAATTTGTTTGATTAATTGTTCACTGCTCACTTGAATAGAAATAATCACTTCTCCTAAATGACACATCTCTAAATTATCTTTTAACTTATAAATATCTCCAGTTGCAGGAGAAATTAATTTATGCTTAATATATGTTGTTCCTTTTTGACAAAATAAGGATCCTATTTCTGTTCTTTTATATACTTTCTTTGATTTTCTGGTATGAGATGAAACATCTATAAATAAATTACCTAAAGCTTTAATATATAACATACTACCTTTAGTAGTAATTTCAATGCATTTAGAAATATCTTGAGATATTTGAACAATGCTAGATTTGTCAATAGATACTGAGTCATCATCTTCATTATATACAATTTCAGCATCTTTACTTAAAGGTTCAATACATGCTAATTTAATAATTATATGATTGGAACTTTGTGACTTATTATTTACTTTATTATATATCGTCCTATCTATCTTCCCAGTACATGTTGCAATTAAATTAACAACTTTTTCTATTTTATTAGCTGTAATACAAGAAAAATATCCCAAAATCTCACCTGCAATAACATTCACATTTGTATCTAAAGACACCATATTAAAAACGGGTTTACCAGAAGCACCAGAAGCTACGGCTATTTTAGTATTGGTAGTTGCTTTAATTAATACAATACAATCATTATCCTGAGGATTCGGAGGAACCCAATCTAATATTGTTGTAAGAAAACTAGGCGTTAAAATATCTATTTCCTTAATATTACAAATTATCTGAGCTATAGTATATCCAGTATCAACTGAACCTTCAAATTTTGCAATAAGAAAACCAGGACATGGTAAAGGAACTGGATATTTATTCTCATATCCCGTTTTTGAATCTTGAAATGTATATAGACCAAAATTTGGCTTATCAACATAACAGTAACCACTATTAAAAGTAGTCTTACCATAGTACCTAACAGATATTTCTGCCATTAAAAAATGATCTCTTCGTTTCATTGATATAATAAAAGGCCCATTTACAATTGCTCCACAAAAAGTATCATTTATTGGTACTACTTCATATTCATTAACAGGAGAAATTCCTATATTCGTAGATTTAGTAGCCTTCATTATATTATCAAGATATATTGGTGTTGTACTTAGAGTAACATTTTGAGTTGTCTGTAATATAGCACTCTGATAAATAGTAACCCATTTAGGAGTATTGTCACATTTCACTCCTATAATCTCCTCATCTTTATTTTCTATTGACCCTGATTTTAATAATTTTAAAGTTCCTGAACAAGCTGTAAAAGTTTTTACTGAATTTTCATGCCTATGACCAACTTCTCTATAAGTAAATATTCCTATTTGATCTTCTACTCCAACATATGTGTCTAATTTTAAATTAGATTGATGATAACCATATAATTTTGTTGATACACTACCATAATTCTCTTTATATTTACATTGAAACAAACCATGGTCATAAATATAATATCCATGAGTAATATACTTTGTAAAACCTATACATTGAATTAATAATCTTAACTGTCCAAAATTACTATAATCTAATAAAACAGCATTACATGGAGACTTTATTATCATATATAGTCGCTTTTTAGCTCTTCCGTTTGATTTTATAAACCATTTAACCTCTGCTAAAGTTTGATTAGTTTTAATATATTCCATAGGAGATATGTTACACTTTGTTTGTGCTTCTTTATCAAGCATATATTTCATTTCACCACAAGAACCAGTAACCCAATGACCAGGTTTATGAGTTATAGAATTTTCATTAACAATTTTACCTTTATGATTAGTTCTCATAATTTTTTTTACTTTTTTACCAAACATAGAACCAACAGATTTTATTGTAGATAAATTACCACTAGTTTTTGTTTTCTTTTGTTTCTTATTACCATTAATAAAAGCACTTACTAATATAGAATATTGTTGATGATTTAAAATTTTTAAAATAGAACAAACTAATACCCAAAATAATATCAATTTAAACTTTTTTACTAATATATTATTATTAGTATATTTGGGATTAAAATAACACATCTGATAATATAGAACATAAAAAAATTAAAATATACGGATAATTTAAATTATCTGGTCTATTAGTAGCTATTTTAGTTTTAAAATATTATTACAGGTATCGCATGAACCAAATCTATTAATAAGATCTCATGAATCATTAAGCCGCTTAATAGCGGCCTAAAAACTTTTTACAATATAGGTGATAATTTAATAATATATAAGGCGCCAGATTTATATTGTTGCAATACAGTAAACTAAGGTATGTATTTTCCATTATATCTAAATATTATTATATTCATAATTTTAATTTGTAATAATTCACGTATCTAATGGTGAATTCTCCTCTTATATTTATTTTTAAATACTTTTAAAGTCATAATTCTAATATAAAATAATTCATATATAAAGGATTATAATATTATGTAGTTATCAATATTTTCTCTATTCATACAACTTTTTTTT